CGCTCCGTTTTTGACATTCCAATTCGAGACCCAAAATCAAAGTACCCACACAGACGAGTTCTCAGCAAGCGCCAGCATTATCACATATCATTCAATGCGGAAAAGGGGAAAGGGGAACAAGTAAACATGAGGAGCAAAGAGATGAAACTGCAAGAAAGAAGCGTGACCCTCTTCTCTAAACGTTGTCACCACATGGAATGCTCCGTCCTCGCAACACCGGAAAGAAAATCTATGTCAATGGGACTTAGGAGATCTCCATAGCATCCCCATTGGCGGCGGATGCAGAGAAGTTGACAGTCCCTTGATCACCAATGAAGCGCTGCTCATAGGTGTTGACAAACTTGACACTCCGAGCAGGATCGTAGAACAAACGGTAGCTGCGCTGAACGTCGTCGACACTGACTTCCTTGGCCTTTCGCTTTTGGCTAAGGAGGTGGGAGGTGGTGATGATGTTGCTAGCATAGCGGAGGTTGGATTCCTGGCCGATCTTGGTCAGGAGGGCGAGGGCATCTGGCGAGAGATCGATTTCCTCCTCCTGGGCCCGAATAGCCAGGATTTGCCGGATCTCATCGGCAGAATAGGGCTGTGTGCTGACGATAACCACGCGGTCGAGGAAGTCGAGAGGAAGGCCGTGAGGAGACGTGTACGTCGTTCCTCTGATGCGGGCCTGTCCGCGATTGCTGGCCATGATGACGATCGGGGCGAGTTCCGCCTCCAAAGCACGGTTAATGTAGGAGAAACACTCAATGTCCAGCATGTGTACCTCGTCAATGAACAACACACCGGGGATGATCTCCGCCTTACCCTCCTCCTTCCATTCAGCAACTTTGGTGTTGATCTGATCTCTCACCTCACTTCGGATCTCACCGGTGTCGCCAGAGAAGAGAGCCAAGAAACCTTGTGACCGAGAGTTGATCACATCAATCTCATGAAGACTCACTGTATGTACGATCTCTTTCCGGACCTGAAGCTCGCCTTCGGGACACTGCACGAACTTGGTATCGGCGCCCATTGCATCGTAATCCCGAGAACGGGCGTACGAACGACCCAACTTGGTGATCTTGCCCGACGACTTATCAATAGAAATGATGTCTCCAGCCATTACGCGCTCCTTTGTCATCGAATCGATCATCTTGGTGCCCATATCGTAGATCGTCTCCATGTCGGTGGTCTTGATCGTGAGTTTTCCTTGTTTGTTGCCCTGCAAGAATCAGAACTCAGTTGCTTCGAGACATGATCAGCGCGGCTGCAGGGCTCTACTCACACCAGTGACACTGCGATCAATCTGAATCTCCACGACCTCACCCTCAATGATCTCACTTTCCTCCTTGATCCGAACGCCGATGGATTTCCGGAATGCCTGCGTCAGCGCTTCGGTCTTCGACATCTCCATGGAGAAGATTTCGGACGACGCAAGCATTGTGAAGGGAACATCAGACCCGAGAGATTGCGCCATTCCCATTGCAATCGCGGTTTTACCCGTGCTGGGAGGACCAGCAATCAGCACTGCGCGACCGGCGATTTTTCCTTCCTTGACCATCTGCAGAATCACGGCGGCGGCCTTTCGAGCTTTCTCCTGGCCAACAAGGCCCTGCGAAGAGGTCCGGGGCTGCAGAGAGTCGGCATCGACACCTAGCCCTCTGATATGCGAATGAGCGGCGATGAGGTTGAGACCCCGGAGCTCCTTGGTCTCCGCGACGGTGGAAATTGGCTACAGTCGGCGGTCAGTAATGCGGAGACAAGGAAGGCAGTCCAATCAAAGAATCTTCCCCTTACCGCAGCCATTGCAACTACCTGAGATCGTGGATGGGACCCGTGCGACAGCGATGACCAGAGTAAAGCGCAGTAGCAAAACTTGGGCTGGACTGGAAGGGCGAAAGAGCTGCGCCGGGCAGAATCGCGCAGCCCCGTCACCGCCGTCCCGACCGCCTGGCAGAATATGGCAATTTCCACACGTCAAATCTCGCTGTCGCGCTGCTGCTGCAAGCGGCAGACGCATGTCAACAATATCATCAATAGCATACTCCCACTTTGCCAAGTGCTAACCATATCGCGGATCCTCGACCTCCTTCATTCATCCTCGCAATTCTATCACACGCAGTCGCTCCTTCCAAATTCACTTTCCATCCAGTATTCGCCGCGTGTATTAATCTCGCCAATGTACCTATAAAGCAAGCCCGTTGACGGCGAAGCCTTCAACATTACGCTTACCCCGCCATTCCCGGATGCAGTTTCAATTCATGTACTTATTCCAATATCGGGGCATGCACGTTCGGCCACGTTCCACACGCTTGGTCGCACCAAACCCCTGAGGACATTAAAATGAGCCCTCCACGACAACCTTCTCGTGACCCACGACTCAACAGAGGTCCTCCCGGTCCTTCATCCACACCTCTCCGACCCACGCCCATCAAAACTCAAGACAACAATTCCAAGATCCCCTTCGTTCAGGGCATCTCCGATCTCGTAAACAGCGCTGTGAAAACGAGCAGTGTTCAGGCGGAAAAGGATACACTGAAGAAGGGCCAGGAACTGGCTCAGGGCCTCCTTCAGAAAGCTCAGGGGCAGAAAGCATTCCCGTCTCTTATCGAATACTTTCAGCAGGCCAGTGATGAACACCGAGCGAAGTTGGGTCGATTGGAGGAGACCTCGAGGGACCTTAGATCGCAGATCGAACAGCACGAAAGGGACCTTAACAATCAATGGACTACGTCCATATTCTCAACTACTCGAATCGACGAAAAACGGCTACAAGATGAAGTCAAAGCCGCCAAAGACGAGGCCGAAGCTGCCAAGAAAGACGCTGCGCAAGCGAAAGCCGAAGTGTCGAGGCTGACAGAATCGAATCAATCGATGGAGAAGATGTTAGAAGATTTCCGGGAAAGGCTGGAAAAGATGGAACGAGCTTCAACGGGACGCACTGCCGACGTCAAATATCTTTTGGAAACGAGCACAAAACTTGGGGCAGCTTTCAATAAGCTGGACTCTGGTGAGCTTTCAGTGGAGGTAACGAACAAGCTTTGCCAAAACGTTACAGCACGACTACAGCCTCAGATCGAAGGAGTAAAACACTTAAATACAAAGTTGGACGCGAGAGTGGCCAAGGTCGAAGAGGAAATTGCGCCGTTAAAAGCTCTCCCTTCGAAGGTCGATGAAATTGGCGATCTTGTTCAAGAACATGCCAAAAAGCTGACACAGTCCAACGTTGACAAGACCGTGAAGCTGTACAAACAGATCAACTCTGTCGTCCCCCGCCTTCAAGATATGACGTCCCGTCTTGAAAAGGTTGAAGCTATGGCTCCCCGTCTGGAAACGGTGGAAGCTATGGGTCCCCGCCTTGAAACGGTTGAAGTCAAGTTAAACCAGTCCAACAATTCTGTCGCAGTCCCCAATGGCAGCTCGCTCTCAAAGACAGGAATGCCCTTAGAGCGACTGCGAGAGTTCGCCACGAAGCAGGAGCTCCAGAAATTCATCGATTTTCAGAAGGACAAGGATTTTGACGTATATGACGAGCTGACAAAAGTACAATCGTCTGTCGGTGACGTCCAGAAGCAGCTGGATACCTTGAAAGACGAACATAGCCAACGCTCCAGCCAGGTTGTAGCTTTGCAGGCCGATTCTACGAAGTTTTCAGAGCAAATCGCGGCTGCCAAGGCTGAGACCACCAGGATTTCTGATGACATGAAACATCTGGCCCCTATGACTGCATTACAACAGCTCTGGGGCACTATGAATACATTTCATCAGAACTTGGAAGGATGCAGAGTTGGGTTGCATTCACTGGAAACGAGGTATAACAGTCTGTCGACGGAGCCTGTCGTTAAGAGTATGGTGGTCGCCATGCAGGAGATGTATCCATCGGCTGGACAACTGACCGATCAAGTTGCACAGCTGAGGCAGCGACTTGAAGAAGAATTGCCTACGCTCAAACAACGGATGGATACATTGTCCGAGACTGAAAATGATCATTTTAATCAATGGCAGCACACTGCAGCCCAACGCCTGGACGATATCAATCGGCTGAGGAATGACCATACCAATCTTAACCACACACTGACCCCTCTCTGGGAACGATATGCGGCCGAACGAAAATTGCCCAGTGAAGATGACGTGAAAAATCTCAGTACCGAGTTGGGCTTGTTACGAGAAAAGCTTGCCAGCCTTGCATCCCAGACTAGCGAGATTAAAACGCAGTCAAACTTGTGCAAAGAGGGCCATGGAAAGAACTATGGTGAACTCGCCGAGAAGATCCAAACCATGACGGCAGAACTCCAAGGGCTAAAGGACGCGTTCAAGGAGATGAAGTCCACAAATAAGGATAATTCCAGAATCGTCAAGGACCTAATGGGCCAGGTCGACAAGTTGGGAGACGGATTAACGGAGATCACGTCAACAAACACGGGCAACTCAGCAGTGACGACTCTCGAGACTGAGTTGAAAAAGCTGGGAGATAAGTCACTGGAACTTATGTCAACAAACACAGGCAACTCTGAGACACTGAAAGCTCTAGAAACCGAGCTGAAGAAGTTGGGACATGAACTGGCTGAAGTCAAGTCAAGCAATTTGGAGAATTTCAAATCACATGACAAAGACCTGAAGACTTTGTCCACGAACATAGATGACGTCGAAAATAGGGTCCTGGAGACACTCGAAAAGAAGTTGACAGATACCTTGTCAGAGGCTCTTCAATCCAACGCAAGCCAGCCGATCGAGAGTCAACCGGAAAATGAACTGTCGGCCGCGGTCCTTCCACGATCAGAAAGCCCCGTGGAAACGCCGCGGTCAACGGTCGAAAACGGCTCGCTATTGCCGAAAAAAAAGCAGAAGAAACGGCTCCGACCTTCGGCTTCTGAGGATGAACGCTCTTCTCTCCCGTGTGGGTCATCAAATCTCGTGTCGTCACCACAACTAAGTACTCAAGAGACTCCGGTGGAGGGCAATCGGCGGAAGAAACGGAAGAAGAAGGGAGATGCCAGAGCAGAAGCGAGGAAAGAGGATGCGATCCTCATTGAGGACGATTGAGCCGAACCCGACGATGTCACAAGTCGCCTTTTACATTGTTATTAAGATTCCCCCGACTGCTGTCACTGTACGAGTTGTCTTTCGACGTTTTCTTTGTTAATTTTCTTGGATGAAAGGCCCCGAGTTTCTTTCCTTCAAATCATACATCTTTTTGCATGTCTATGATGCGAAGTACATACAAAAGTGCCTGGCTAGCGCCTCATGCAAATAATATCTAATAAGTAAATACATCACCGGACTTACGGCGCCTTCTGTAGGAACTTGACAACAGCTAGTGGGAAGTCAGTATCACTTGGTAGATCCCGCGGACCAGCGTCAGCACTCACCTTGTCTGAAACCCGCCGGGTTCTCCGAGATGAGCCAGTGGCCGGCTTCGACGTCCGCGATTTCCGCACGCGGGAAGAACTTCTTGATCGCCGGGATGGTATCATCGCTGACATATCTGCTCTTGGTGCCCCTGATAAAGAGCGTCGGGCCGTCGTACGTGACAGCATCGGATTCCCGATACGGGAAGTCAGCCATGTGGCTGAGCGAGGCTCCAATGACCGAGAGCGGGACGCGGAACTTCATCGTCTGGTCCTCCGCGGACCGCACAAGGTTCGTGAGGAGAAACTGGCGGATCGGAAGAGACTCCTCATATTCCTGGAGAATCTTGTCCGCGTCGGATTGCTTCGTCACATTCTGCGCCTCGATGTGCTGCATGCCGCGGACGTATTTCCCAAAGTCGCTCTTCAGCACGGCGTTGACCGGCGCGTTGTCTACCGGCACCAGCGCGGAGACGAGCTCGGGCGAGCCAAGCGCAACAGCCATGGCTGTTTTTGCACCCCTGGAAACATATCAGAGGAGGGCACAAGAAACCGGGGGGATGTACATACATGGAATGTCCGATAAGCACGCACTTGCCCAGCTTCTGCTGCTCGATGAACTGGATGACATCGTCCGCCATGACGGCGTAGTTGTGCTCCTGCGAGTGGAACGACTGGCCATGGTTTCGGAGATCCTAGTAACGCAAATGAGCTTCTGTTGCGTTTCCATTCACATAGCGACTTGATGCACAAACCACAGTGAAGATCTGACGCTTCAGATCACGTGCCAGTGCTCTGTGACGAGTCAGTAAATTCATGCGAGATCGAGTCAGGCGGTTCAAATGAATGGCACTCACCGACTGATGCTTCTGTTGTTCTGTTTCGAGCCGAACAGCCCATGCAGGAAGAGTATCGGGCTGCGGGTGGCTTCCTCCGTTTCGGGGCCGAAGACTTGATAGGATAGGTCGGATCGCAGCACGCGGGCGGTTGAGAAGGCGCGGGCGCTGCGAAGGCCCCGCAGGGCTATTCGGGGAGGGAAGAGGGTGGTGTTCATGAGGAGTTCGTTATTATTATTAGATATGGGGGAGAAGAGAGTATGTGAATTGGGTTCGTCCCGGCATTTGCTGGAGGTTCGCAGGATGGGTGACTCAGCGCGTATCCGATTCCCGATTTGTCCGTCGGATCTCGCCGCCCAGATCGTCTTCATCTATAGAACCATAGTGAATCGTTTCGCTTGCTCAGGTGGAATCAGTTCTAGACGCTTGTAAAAGCTGGTAAGGATTGGTACCCCCACGGAATACATAATGTTAGCGCTGTGGATGCCTCGTTTGAGTTTTATGGACAACATGTGATATTTGCTAGATCAACCTTTGTACATACAGTATGATGCGAAATAGGCCATGAGCACCGTTCTCATCACCTAAAGAGAGGCACGCACATGCTTCGCATCCTCCTTGATCATATCGGCCGCTTTCTCGGCCACCGCATAAACAGATGACAAGATATTGCCGCTCACATTGCCGGGAAAGACGCTGGCGTCCACTACTCTGAGTCGCTTCACACCCAGCACCCGCAGCCGCTCGTCGACGACCTGGCCGATGGCACAGGTCCCACAAGGGTGGTATTCTGTCATGCAATTTTCCCTCACCGCTTCAGCGGCTTGAGTCCGGCTCTGCAAGCTGACGCTAGGGCTCGGCAACGCCCGACGCACCACCTTGTCCTTGAGCCCCGGCGCGCCGGCGATCTTGTCGCAGAACTCAAGGCCCGCGGCTAGAATGTCCACGTCGGCCGGATTGGTCAGATACGCCGGGTCAATAGCCGGGTTCTGATGCGGGTCGCTGCTCGTGATGTGCACCGTGCCCCGAGACGAGGGATACTGTAGACAGGTCACAATGGTGAAGCCGTTGGGGTCCTCCGGGGACAAGGCCTTGGCGAATTTACTCTGGTCACTGGGGGCATTCTCAAGGTCGACGGTCCCCTGAGACAGGATGTACTGGATGTTGGCTGACGAGGGGCTGCGTAGGTGGCTGACGATCTGCTCGCGCTGGTTCTGTTGGAAGGCGGTTTCGGCCGGCAAGGAAAGAATCTTCTGGCAGGTCGCTTCCAGCTCGTCCTTGGAGACAAGGGATGAGTACGGCAGGAAGCCCATGCAGCTGGTCGCTGCAGCGAGGATTCCCGTACGGTCCTTGGCATACATGTCCATGTGCTCCTGGGCAACGCTGGGGTAACGGAGGGCATCGAACGACATGACTCCGTCTTTCAGCTCGTACACGGCTCCGCTCAGGACATGGTCCTGGAGGTTTGCTCCCACCCCCGGCAGGGGCACTTTGCACTGCACTCCGGCGGCCTTCAAGACGGACGGGTCTCCGATTCCCGACAACTCCAGCACCTGCGGGGACTTATATACACCGCCGCTGATGATGACTTCCCTGGCTGCGCGCACGTCGTACGTCGTCCCTGCATGCATGAACCGGACGCCGGAAGCCGAGGTTCCCTCCAGCGTGACGCACACGGCGAGCGCTTCGGTGAGGACTTTCAAATTCGGCCGCGTCAGATTCGGCAGTAAGTATCCCGTGGCCGCATAGCTTCGGGTTCCCTTGTCGCCTCTCCGGTCCACCGTGGCGAGTGATGAGAAGAACCCGAGATGGTCTCCTCCCCACGGGTCAACAGGGCTTGCGGTCATGCCGGACGCTTCCTTGGCAGCTTGAAGGAAGTACCGCTCCAGGGGGTTTCTCCAGTTGTTGAAACTCGTTTCGATGGGGCCATGCTGGCCGTGGCTTTTTTTCTGAAACTGCAGGAATTTGTTATCACCTGGAAGCCCGACCCGGGTGTCATCCATCCGTTCATGCTTTCTGAAATAAGGCGCAATAGACGACCAGGACCAGCCTTTGCCAAAGGCACCCCAATCGTCGAAATCCTGTTTCGATCCGCGGACGTACATCATCTGGGTTCCAATCTTAGTAACAAAGCAACCAAGCGGGTCAGACGCAGGCTAATGTGTACTTACGCCGTTGGTAGCACTGCAGCCACCCAGCATCTTCCCGCGGGTCTGGTGGTGAATCTTATTGTGGTTTCCTTTCTGTGCAAGGATCAGAAAATGCGTCACATCCTCGACGGTCAAAGCTCATACCTGGGGTACGGTATACATCAACCAGTCGTACTCCGGGTTTGTCAACATCTGAGGGAAGAGGGCGGGGGTCCGGACGAGCTCGTTCTTCGTCTGGTCCTTGCCCGCCTCCAGCACTCCGACGTTGACATTAGGGTCTTCGCTCAGGCGAGCCGCCAGGGTCAGGCCTGCGGTGCCTCCGCCGACGATGATGTAGTCGTAGGAGACGCGACGAAACTCCTCAAGGGAGCAGATCGCATTCGCTGCGAGCTGAGAGGCTGGTCCCGCCATCGTTCCGACTCGCCACAGTGAATCAAGTTGTATGGAAATTGACCACCAGGATTGTGACACGGCGTAGATACCAACTGAGTGGGGGATGTAGTTGATGTCGAGCTGATCCGAAGAAGCCGTTGAAAACCCCAACGCACGGGAATTCGCGGCGGTCCACCGAGCTGGTGGGCGCTCCAGCAGCCCGGCTAGCTGTAGCTATTTATGAAATCAAGCGAAGGTGGTGCAATCGAGTAATAGCCCCGGGCCGTCGGGCCTAGTAGTTAGCGGCATGGAACCCACGGGTCTCCGAGGCCGACGAGCTGGACACCCTGCACGACTGGTAATGCGCGCAGCAAGTAGCGCGCTCACTAAGTCAGACCCATCCATCGCGCCAGTTCTCGATCGGGATGCGACGTTCGATGGGTTCTATCGGGGGTGACGGATTGGCGGGATGAGATGCGATCTGAAGCTGAGAGGGGCGGGCGAATGGTGTTGCATTGCGCGCTGTTACTCAGCCCCTGGTGGGAGTCTAACTCGCAGTGAAACAGGCCTCAAGAACAGCTCCCCGCAGGGACCGCAGGGCGAACTGTGAACTGCCGCATCCCGGCCGTTCCTCCCAGGATCCAATCGCCGCCCGTTGCGCGTTCTATCATCTGACGGCTTCTTTTCCAAGTTCATTCCGCGCCTTGCCTGCCCCTCACTCATCATGAGCCGCCATTAATCCACCTCTAGGGTCTCTTTTCCCCTGTCTCTCTTGTGTCTCCGAATTTCTCTCGGTGACTATCCTCACACCACGCCAGTCACCATGGCGCCCACCGACTTTACAAAAAGCTTCCATACCCAGCTCTTTATCAACAACAAGGTGCGATCATCCTATTCATCTGCATAATATAAATATCAAGAAACTAATTACAGTCGAAATAGTATGTTCCAGCCAAATCTGCATCACGCTTAACTGTCCGCAATCCATACGACGGCTCGATCGTGACCGACGACATCCATTGCGCAGGCGAGGAGGATGTCAACGATGCCGTGGCCGCCGCTCTCAACGCATCCCGTGGTCCCTGGAGCCAGATGCCCGGCCAGGAAAGAGCCAAGCGCATGCTCGCCCTGGCAGATCTACTTGATGCACACGCCGACGAATTGACAAAGCTCGAAAGTCTCTCCATCGGACTTCCAATTGCGATTTCTCGGGGGATTGGGGGCGTGATCGGGGCCGTCTGGCGGTATTATGCTGGATTTTGCGACAAACTACCCGGTGACTTTGTCCCAGAAGGCGACGACCGCGTCTTCAAGGTCGTCCGGTACGACCCGTTCGGTGTCTGCGCGGGTATTGGCGCCTGGAATGCGAGCTTGTTCTTCTTTAGTATGAAAATAGCCCCCGCCGTCGCAGCCGGCAACAGCTTCATCTTCAAGTCCTCCGAAAAGTCCCCTCTCGGTGCGCTTCAAATCGGCGAGCTCATTGCCAAAGCGGGTTTTCCGCCGGGCGTCATCAACCTGCTCAACGGTGATGGCTCTACCGGGGCTCTGTTGGCGTCGCATATGGGAATTCAGCGAATCAGCTTCACAGGCTCCGTCGAGACTGGAAAGGCCATCCAGGCCGCCGCAGCGCAAAGCAATCTGAAGAGAGTGACCCTTGAGTTGGGGGGCAAATCCCCCTCCCTCATTTTCGATGACGCGAATATAGAAGAGGCCCTCATGTACGCCTCGCAAGGCTTCCTGGTCCACTCGGGTCAGATATGCGTTGCTGCTTCCCGGCTCCTAGTACACAAATCCATCGCCGACCGATTCGTTGCGGAATTAAAAGCCCGTTTTGAGGCACTCGCCAGTGCGTCTGGAGACCCCGCGCAGGACACCACTTTCCTCGGTCCCGTGGTCGACGAAGGTCAGAGAGACCGAATTATGTCTTTCCTGAACGGAACGAAGAAAGCAAAGGAGGATGTCGTCCTGACCGGAGGCGCATCAAAAGGCAACTTTGTCTCGCCAACTATCTTGGTGAATCCACCTCTCGACTCTCCAGCGTGGACGCAAGAGATCTTCGGGCCGGTAGTATGTGTTCGGACCTTCGAGACTGAAGATGAAGCTGTCGAGATCGCCAATGCTACCACGTACGGTCTCTCGTCCTGCATTTACACGAAAGATATTCCACGGGCCCTGCGTCTCGCCAAGAGGCTGCAGGCTGCAGGAGTGGCAATCAACTCCAACCATCAGCCAGACTATGATACGCCCCTATCCGGATGGAAACAGAGCGGTAACGGTAGTTATGAAGGAGGTCGGGCGGCGATTCTGAGCTACTTACAAGCCAAGACAGTCATGATTAATATGACTGCGAAGCTGTAGGTAGCTTGGAAAATTGCATCGAAGGAGCGTTGATGATCACCTCAAACTGTACATAATCTCCTGAAATCGAACTCACGAAAGCGTCTTGGGTATGTTGTCTGGGATCCCAAACCCGCCATGATTGTGGATCAAGTTCCTGGAATGGGAACAAGCACAAAGATTTTACAGAGTCGAATATCCAGGGAAATTTCGAAACGGTCGCTGAGCGTGGAAGTTGTGACAATAATTCGGAGATGTCGAAGAGTATTGACTGCACATCGGACACGCTCAGCAAGATGAAACAGGTTCTGTGCCTATGCATCCTGCAAGCACAAGAATCAGCGGGCAGTGGATATCTTCTGATGCGGGACCAAATCAGAATCCAACCAGCACTTCGAACTGATGGGAAATTCGCAGTCACAGCCGGGGTTTGATCGAATTACTGGCAACTTCAGGCATTATGAGTATCTATTCAGCTCGCTGAGAAGATTGACAGGCCATTCGCATTGAGCAAGAGATCGAACGCTTCCGGTGTGCCCTTTTTTCGGAGATCTTTCATAGATGCGAATTGGGCGTTTTGTTTTCTCGACTGGAAGAGTCCCTCGAGAAGATTTGTTGTTCGCTTAATGTCACCAAAGTGGGATCTCTCCCACAGTTTCTCCAAGCGTCCAAGCAGGTACAACATCTCTGTTTCTCGTTGCACTGTGCATCCAAGTATCGCAAAGGGCCAGGCATAGTGCTGGTTCCAGAACAGACCGTCCACGTCAGATTGGAGATTGGTCAAGACCTGCTTGACTCTCGCCTGTACGAGACTGTCCTCGGCTGAAATCTCTGGGTGCATGGTCTTATTGAGCAAGATATCGGCGGTCAAAGCAAAGAGTTCGGCTGCACGCTGTATCTGTTCACGGACCTCGACAGCTGTGTCGGCTCTATTACCCGGATCGATAGGCGATTGTCGATGTATCCATTGACCGAGTTCCTCCCGTAAGGACGCCGCAAACAAGCTGTCTTTGCTATTGAGTGGAGTCCGACGGGAGAGTCGCGAGATTTCCAGGATTACTCGACATAGCCGCGGCGGCATAGCAAACATCGATAAATCGGTGCCTGCGAGATATTCTTCCACCTGGTCCCACGAAGCATACTCGGGCAACCACTGGAGATCAGGACTCAGGAATGCAGTAGTCGCAGCATGGTAGAGTAGGGCCGCAGCGCACGTCTGCTGGAGGGGAGTGATATGTTCAGGTTGACTCTTACGCGAACGTCGCACTTTAAGGGTCATGACGCGCGTTGCGCCGAGCAGGTGAGCAATAGCGTTGGAAGATGGCCCTGATTGTGTTCGCTGTGTCAAGCTCGGTTAGTTATCGACCGTCATTGGTATGCTAGAACCCCCACATTCCTCCAGTTTTCTCTAAGGAACATACCTCGAATATGCACAAAGATACAGTCAACAGAAAAAGCCAGTCTTCAGTGCCGGTGAGTTTTGAGTCCTCGATCAACTTCCTTATCGCAAGGACAGCGCTGGAGTAGTATTTGAATGCATGAACAGGTACCTTCTGACCACAGTTGGAAAGGAAGCTCGAAGCGCATGCCAGGAATGAGTCCCTAATGCTGGGATACTGGACCCCCAGGGTCATGACTTCGTTTTGAAAGGCTGAGGGGGTGCCAGGAATGAGCATCTGCGGCAGAACCACAGAAGCAAAATACGACAGCAAAGCCTCGCTCGTCGGGCTATCGAAAATCGTCAAATTCCGCGACGATGAGCCCAGAATGGTTTGCGAGCTGCGTTGGCGGACGAGAGCGTTGGGCTTCTCTGTGGATGGGGCCTTGTCGGATTCCCAGATACACGTGAGGTGATTCCGACGACAGGCCCTACACTCTTTGCGTTCCTCATCGCATTTCTTGCGGCGAATGCGGCCTACCACAGCGGGTTACCATTCGGTGCCACGATCCCAGCGAATACAGATGGTACTTACATGTCAGACAGCCTGATTTCGTTCTCCACTTCGCTGGCATGGCGGTCGATTCGTGGTGGATCTCGAACCGTTAGCTGTCAGCGGCATCAGGGAGGAGATCTGGGGGATGACAATCTCCCGTCCCACGTGATGGTTAGCTAATCCGTGGATAAGCCCCCGTAATGCACTAGGTAGCGCACTTACGACAGTTGATAATGACACCCCGAACTTCCGGTTGTCTCCAGCTGTGATGGGTTCATTACAGCGTGTCATGGCATGGTAATGTTTACATTGTCAAACCCTGAGGATTAAAATCTTGGTTAAGCTATGTTCCGTAACGCAAAGAGGGCGTGACGCTTCTGGCATGCCACATGGCTACCGCTGTCCCATGGAAACAACACATGTGCAGATACCTATGCTTCAGGCTTAAAGCTTCGGCGTCTCTCCAACCGCACTCGAATGCCGGTCATTGTCTCCCACTTCAAACATCGTGCGCCCTGTGAGGATATCGTCGGCCACCCTGTCTTTCTTAGGTATTTGTCCGATGTTTATACACCAGACATATACTGATTCATAGGTGATCAACCAAAACATATTTCTTCATGAGTCGTCCATTGTCCGTAGATGCACTTCATAACAATATATATACATAACACCATTCCATCGTCCGCCCAAAAATGATACAAGCCTCAATGCATGAAGAAAGTGACAGACACATCTAGCTGTCTAACAGACCGGGGACCTTCTCGCAGAGATACTCAACAACTGCATCGGGGCCACGCTCCACCTGCAACCCAGGAGGAAGGGCGTGCGTCTTGATGTCGGGCTTGATTTCGCGGGCGATGGAGTGGATTTCGCGAGCCTGCTCGTCGGTCCACATGGAGGCACTGAACTGTAAACGAGTTAAAACAGGATTTAAAGCCGAACAAACCCGCAAGTCTTGTTCATTATGCGGGCTCCGAAGAACACTGTCACATACCAGAACGTCGGGCATGACCTTGGTCACCGTGGGGCGAACCTCTTCGATCGCTGAAGATTGTATTAGCATCGCCATGCCATCTCTCGTGACTTGAATAAAGAGCACATACTCGCACAGTTGGCCTCATGGATGATAGTGTAACGATCCTTGAGAGCTTCAATCATGCGGCCGATCAGGCGCTTGGCGCGCTCGGGCGCGGTGTTGACAGTGACGAGACGAAAGGGACCCTTGGGAGCAGACATTTTGATCTCGCGGTAATAGATGCGAAAGGCAAATGGGCTGCTTGGAGGGCGGACATTCCGCTTTTAAGGAGGGGCACATCTTTTGTTTGCCCTCGGCATATCCGACGTTGTTTCCTCCCCGCTTGCGCCATCCCCACGTTTGAACGTGGGGATCTTCCCGGCATCGGGCTTCGGACCTAAGCTCTTCCAATCACACATACTGAATTTGGACTGAAGGAGCGAAAGCATCGGTTTACCTCCCACAATGCGTCTGTTTTCTCCACTGGATCCCGCCGCAAATGGCGTATTTGCTCGGGGCTAGAGGTGCTCCCCGCGCGATGTCGGGGTAGAAATAATCCTGTAGAGGAGTTCGCGAAACGATCTTAGTTTCTTCACTGCTGCTGCTGGATTGAGCTTCAACTCTGCATTCCCGTCATATACCTGCGTGGACCAAAGAAACTCATACCATGTCTAAGATCGCGTCCACCTTCTCGCGTACGTCACACACAGACTTCACTTCCCCGAGTCGCAACCCCAGACGCCGGAGACGTTTGCTAACAAAACCCAGGCCTTGTGCGCTTCGTTCCCAAGTCGAATCCCTCTAAAATCCTCATCGGTGAGCCCGTTGATCCACAGTTGGATGTCGGATTGGCCATCTACCAGGGCAAGGAGGTCTCCGTGCGGCCGTTCTCTGGCACATCCGTCCTCGACCCCGGACAAAAGACCGAATCCACCGAGACCATCAGTCGCATTCTCTCTCCTCTGTCGCAGAGCGAAGTCGGTACTATTCGATGCATTGGACTGAACGTAAGTCCCTTAAGTGCCGGCCACCGTGGAGAATCCGACCAAAGTCGAGCGGAATTAACCATTGCGAATAGTATGTCTCCCACGCCGCCGAGATGAAGCTCGACATCCCCGAAGTGCCCACTCTCTTCTACAAACCTTCGACCTCTCTCGCTGATCCCTGGCCCGCCCCGACTATTCTCCCCAAGATCACGCAGGTGGACAACACAGGCGACTACGAGTCCGAAATGGTCATCGTCATTGGCCGTGATGCCAAGGATGTCAGCGAGGCCGATGCCCTTGACTATGTTCTCGGGTACACCGCCGCCAACGATGTTTCCAGCCGGACGTCGCAGATGAACCAGAGCCAGTGGTGCTTCTCGAAGGGATTCGACACCGCCTGTCCGATTGGTAAGAAGACCATAAGACCATATCGATCTTGCATGATCGAGCCCTGCTGACCGAGTCCACAACGTAGGACCCGTCCTCGTTTCCTCCGCTCAATTCCCCGACGCCAGCAAATTTAAGATCCGTGGTCTCAAGAACGGCAAGGTTCTGCAGGACTGTCCTCTGACGTAAGATCTTGCATGCCTTCGTGTCCAGCATGAATGATACTGACGATACTGCAAACAGCGACTTGATCTTCAGCGTACCTAAGCTGGTCAGCTTCCTGTCGCAGGGTACGACTCTCCCTGCCGGCACTATCATCTTGACCGGCACCCCCCCGGGCGTTGGAGCGGCCAAGTACCCTAAGGAGTTCTTGAAGGCTGGTGACGAGTTTGCCGTTGAGTTGCTGCCCCATGTTGGAACCTTGATCACCAAGATCGAGAACCAGGCTTGATTCATGGAGTAGCCTATTACGGAGGTAACCTTTATAGAATGTCATGTATATAGTATGATTTCCAGCGTAAATCCGTCAAAATAACTACACGTGTTGAGAGCAGTGTTCCGTTTGCTCGTTCCTCCATTTCGAGCACCCACAGATCCCCACGACCCCACGATGAGTAAGTCCCCACCTCGCCGAAGGTAATTATGACCGAAGATTCGGAGATAAGAGCTGCCAGGACTATGTCTATTATTATTTGGATAAATCGGTAGTTCACTCAGTTTGTTTAAGCGACATGAATATAAATTCTTCGATGATACAAAGAATAGTAACTCTTGTTCAGTAGACGCATGAAGCATGATCAAGATTGAGTAGTATTCCGGTCGAGGCATTCAAGTTTTGAAATCAAGTGCCGATTACATGTGCTCTAAGTCCTGTGGTGGTACCTTAGCTACCTACATGGTTACCGTCGATACTGTAGGAATTGTCTTCCATCTTGTGAGAGTCTGTACTATCTGGCATTATACTGAACTATGGCATCGTTGATCAGTGGAACAAGAGTCAAGACGGAGGACATCGTCTCCGAAGATTCCTTGATCGGCACCCCCGACAATGAAGCTCAATTCGGGAACAATTGGCATGAAGCGATCGTGTAAAATGTGTTTCAAACGGGCTGCTATAACCAATCAAGCAGCAAGAGCAATCGTAGTTGCTTTGTCGCCATTCGCGATTGCTGTGCGCCGGAATAGCAATTTCCCTGATAGCGTGTAGTTAGAGGCAGGCTATCCAGTAGTAATATTATCCCTGCAGTGAAAACAGCCATTACTATCTCCGAGACTTAGGGAAAAGATTATAGTATTTGCAACTCCTGGCGCTCCTACATTCCATGTAGAAAGTGGGTATGACTTCAACCGTGCGGAGTAAGTCTCCTCCGCGTGCTTAGGGCGTCCAATGGCCACGACTTTCGGGGAGAACTTTCACGCAAACCCTAACAAGATGCCAGTCTCAATGCTGGATGAGAGATACATGTCGCGACTGGGAAACAAAACAGAAGAACAAACAAGCAGCAAAAAAATGCAGTTTATCTGAATGAGCTGCCCAAAGGAAAGACACCCCTATCCAGTGTGACGGGCTAACCCGGCGACTTGCCGATAGTTTTGTTCGGGGGCCCGATCGGCCAGCCGTCAGGAGACACTAGCGTGGTTTGACAGTGTCGCTTTCCCGACCGTACGACTTCGGGTGCGCAACCCGGCGTGGGATAGTCCACTTATAGGGGTGGTACGTATATAAGCAGTGGGATAGACTTTTCGCAGGCGGCTGAATGATTTGCTTTTTCTACTGATATAGCTGTTATTCACCCACCCTACTTTATCTGTCGACACCTTGTCTTGACCCTTGTTCGTTCTCGTTGATCATACTCATCAGAAGTCTGTTCTTCTATCCTATGCACAATCCAATCTATATACAGTCGACGCCCGTTGCTCTGTCACGTCTATATCTATTGGGCCCTCCATGCACGGTCTAAGCTATCCAGTTCTCTTCGAAAACAAAGGGCAAAAAGATCTACTCCATCTCCGGGCGCCATTTCCGGCCCAGAAAGTGCAGGAAAAGGGTCGGTATCACACTAACCCCAACCATCAGAGCAACGCAGACACCTGCAGACTCAGCAATGCCGACGTTTTCGAACATATCCGGGAACCTGTCGTCCGTTAGCATACACGCGACACAAAAAGGCCCTACGCCGCGAACAAAGATGACTCACCAGAACGGACCGAGGAAACCCCAAATCTGCCGAACGAACGTGATGAATACGCCGACGCTAGCAGCTTCCTTGGGGTAACAATCGACGGAGTATGTGATCAGGACGGTGGTAACAATTTGGTTACCGGCGGCGCCGATGGCAATGCCAATGATCGGGGCTACGTTCCAGTGACCTTGCTTGGCCTGGGAAGTGCACACCAGGAAGACAATGGTCCCCACAATGGAACAAATGTAGCCCAGGTAGCTGAGCCACAGACGGTACTCGGGTTGAGGCTTCCGCTGGATCTTCTTCGCACGCATGTTCATCCAGAGGTCGGACATCACACCGCCCAGCTGCTCACCGATGAGCGATCCAATGATAGGACCCAGGAACTGGAGACCCAACTGCTCCGCGTTGAGCTCGAACTTGTGCTGGAGCAGTGCCGGGACCTCGACGGTCGCCAGGACGTTGCTCAAAAGGAAGATCATAGCATAGGAAGCCGCGGGGATCATCACGCAGGGATACATGAACATCGAAAGCGGCCTCACAAATTCGTACCAGGTGAAAGGAGTTGGGTCAATCCGACGCAGCTGCAGATATTCTCTCTTCCACGCCGGCTCCTTGGGATCGGTCTCGCCGTTGATGTATCTGGTCTCGGGGCCAAGGAACAGGTACAAAATGAACTGGACGCCGTTGACCTGTGACACAATCAGCGAGTTGCTCAAGATACTTTGGAGTCGATGGTTCCGTCGCGGATCTACTCACAATTGTCAAGACCCAGTAAATCCACTCATACCCGGCACGGTATACGACGAAACCAAAGATGAACGGGCCCGACGGAATACCCAGGGTAACCAACAAAGTCCACACACCCATATATCGGGCACGGTCTTTTTTGAAGTAGGTTTCCATCACCACCGCACTACCAATAGCTGCCACCAGGAAAACCGTCAGCAGATGTCACCAAAATGGTGTCCCCCTTGAAAACTTACCGGAGGCGGGAGAGATGAAGAAGGCCTGTAAGGCTCTACAGGCAGCAGTCGATGCATAATCGGGGCTCTTAGCGCATCCGATGTTGCACACCATGCTGCAAAACAGGGAAAGAAGGAAAATAGGACGACGACCGAAGCGGTTTGACAACGGCTTCCAGAACAGAGGCGCACCGCCTAGAATGGCAATCTGGAGCGAAGTCAAATAACTCGCTCTCTGGATTGAAACACCAAATTTTTCGGAGATCCTGTGGACCTCAGATCAGCATGGGAAAGTTGGAAGCCTGGGAAACAGTAGGCTTACGTTTCATAAGCTGGAATGATACCAGCGGCAGCAAAGGTGCCCATGCACGCATGGAAGGCTACGAGGCATAAGTTGGCCAGTTTCTAAGTGCAAAGCAACCTGTTAGTCAGGAGTTCACTGGAAAAGGATCTAGCTTCTAGATCTACTCACCTTCCACCCAGGCCAGTTGTAGGGATCAGCAGGATCCATACTCGGGATAGGATCCAGCTCCAGCGTGCCATGTCGTTCCAGTAGATATTCTTGATGCGGTTTGGAGATGCGTGATGCTACCACATCGGCGTAGGAGACAGGGATCCCTGTCTCCGTACTCTCAAGAAGGTCAACCCCGGCCTTTCCCGGCTGATTGGGATCCTGGGGATCCTTAGGGGGCTGCATCTCCATAGACGCAGTCATTGTGAAAAAGTCTGCCCTATTAGGGATAAGGGATGAGAGTAGCAAGGTTGGTTGAGGAACACCTGGAAACCCCGGATTACCTTTGGTTAATGCTACCGTCCAACTCTTTTTAAAAGTCAGACCTGGGGGAAAGGCTGTGCGGAGGGTGAAAGGGGGGCAGCAAGTCAAACGAGCGAGGAAGATCCATAGTGGTTCCTGGGGAGGAGGACCCCCATCTGCTGAATCATGCTCAGCACACACCAGATCCTAACCGAAGGCGAAAAGCTCTGGGACCGATCCACCCAGACATGGCCTCGAACCGGGGCTCATCGGCCTATCACGGATAGGAGACGGGCTCCGGCGGTTTACTCCGGAGTACTCTGGGGAAAGATTCTCAGACACTGACGAGTCGCCGGTATTGTCGTGGAGAATATGCGGAGTGTTCTCCACGGGAGTAGTGCCGACTCAGGGTCAGGACAGCGGTTGACATGACTTTGAGTGGATTGGCTGAACCAAGACGGATATAGCGGGCTGCTTTTGTTCACCAGACGGGTCGGACCAGACTCTGCAGAGACCATAGCCGAGACCGACTCCCGAAGCGGCCGGGGAGGAAATTTGGCACATTAAGCGTGCCGGGAAAATGGATAAGTCTTTTGGAGTGGAGCTTATTCGAAATGAACTCTTGGATAGTCAGCCTCGCATCCATAGACGAGCGACTGTTAGTCTCTTGGCCTCAGCTCAGAACATCCAATCCGTGGCAAGATATTCGGGCCGATCGGATATGCATTACTCTGTAGGAAGGTGTTTACCACCGTAACTTCGCTGGGGATACATTAGCATTGTTGGTAACAATAATAGAAATGACACATGGCTCTCTATTCCGGGACGGCATTATAGTATGTAGTAGTAGTACTCCGGAGTTGGTATGTACGAGTACTTCATGGATGGAGTGGAGTAGAACTCTGTACTCCGTGTAGTGAACCCAGGCCAGGTTCTCTCACAGACCTTGTTGGCTTTCTGTATTCCGGACTGGACACCATCAATGGGCTATATGACGTTGCGAGACCGTTCGTGCATGATGAAGATGTGTGAGTACAGAGAGGAGGATTAATCCTACTCCGACACGTGCCAAATCAGGCTTGTTACACTATTGCCACTCTGGGTTCTGCCCCACAATCCTCCTCCGCCTTCCTCCCCTGGCATTATCATACACCCACGGCCGAAGCTGCATTACTCCGGTATAGCCCTAGGTACTCAACGCTTTATGTCTCAACCACATTGAAGTATTCTTATTGACCGTCTGCATTATCCGCGTGTCTCTCGTCGGCATTCCCGCCACCTTACCTAGCCTCTTGGGGTCACCGGCATTTGCTGGTCGATGTTCAGGAGCGACCCAGCCCTAACTGAGGAATCCATCACTGCTAATTCAGTGACTAAGTCCCATTATTCCCCAATTTCTGCGGGCCTACAATACCTAGTGAATTTTACACCCGTTACACGCGGAAGAGCCGCGCTTCTATCGGTTCCTTATGCCTCAAGCCGCGGCTTCTCCAGGGGTCAAGACCCTGGTATGCCGAGTCTGCCAGAAGGCCTTCTCCAAGGCTGAACATCTCAGGGTAGGCCATCATTATGAACACATTCTGCTAGGCCAAGTGGGGACTTAGCTAACACCGGCAATCAGAGACATGAACGTTGCCGTAGGTCTATGTGCGTTTTCGGCGGATGATGATCGTCATCTGCCGGATGCCCAAACCAGTATACCTTTGCCAGAAGCACAGACAGAGGCTAACTTGGTGCCGCTTTGAAGATACGGGATCAAAACCATTTATCTGCAAGCAGTGTCATCGTCCATTTGCACGCCAAGATGCGCTCACACGGCACGAAAAGCTTCATCTTCGGGCTGCCAACTCGAAGAATGCACTTGAAAAGTCGGTGCATACGGCACCTCCAACCACAGTGCCAGATGCCTTACCTTCATGGGAGACGCCGAGAGCCGCAGCTGATCCTACAATCTCAGCCGCCGTAGACCCTGCAACGAATCATGGTTGGGAGGCATCGTCGGATCACAATGCCGGCCTACAACACCCAGGCTCAGACCTCGATTTTGCGCTCATATGGCCGGACTCGGAGAATTTGTTCCAGAGTATCATGTCATGCGACACGACAGACCAATGGCAGATGCCGCTCGGTGCGCTGCCATTTCCACCCATTGTTCAGGACGTCAATCCCATGAATCTTGGATCCCCTCATTCCTTTGATGACCGTAGTTCGTCAATAGGTACAATACCTTCAGGGGGTAGCCATCAGGCCGTACGGGATGTCACTGAAATGGTGACGAGCTCAGTGAGACATAGGATCCCTGGTATGGTTTTGGCGTAAGCTGACTCTGAACTTATCTAGTCTTCGAGCGTCACCGCCGCGATCAAGTCAACTTCCATCACGTCAGTGTTCCTCGATGAATGTCTACACATGTTCTTTGTCCGATTCATCCCGACCTTCCCAATATTACATCGGGCTACCTTCGTTTTTCGGGAATGTACCCACCCGCTGTTACTCAACGCCATGGCGCTTGGCTCACTATATTTGGGCCCTAAGGATTCTGTTGCCAAGGTGTGTGATTTCGAGAATTAGGCTGGGATATGCCAATCTTGACAATGCGAATTAGGGCGAGGCACTATGGCGATTGGCACACACTGCTGTGGCTACTTCAGTGAGTCCTTCCGTCGTTGGATTGCATGTACATCCAGTTTGCTTATGCTGTCCAGTGGCAATCTTTGATTACTCACCGAGGCCCATATGATACTTGTAACGGCGTCCAACTCCTTATTACTGCCCTCTTGGGGCAAATATACGGAGCTTTGTCGAAGGTATCTCGTGACCCACCAGTCTGCCATAGTCCCGTCTAACATCCCGCAGAATCGGGTTATCCGAACTACGAGCCAAGTCTTTCGGCCCCTTGGTTTTTTCTGGGCACGACATTGCGGCATGCTAGACTGCGAGCCTTTCTCAATGGAAAATCTTCCCTTTCCCAACGCTTCTCCATCAGAGAAAGAGCAAAAATGGCGAACCTGGGCGGCTCGGGAGATACAACAACGTGCGATCCTCGCCTACTATATCCTGGATGGGCTTGTTGCCCAGATGTCAGGTGAAAGTGCTTCCACCCGTCATGTAGCGAATCCACTCAGCCTCCCAAGTTGTGAGGCAGCGTTCGATGCCGGTAATCCGGACGAGTGGTTGGCGCACATGCGTAACCAGAAGGCCGAACAGCCATCCTTCCGGCTAATCTTTCGTTCTCTCTTCCCCCAGATTGGCAGTTTCCGATCTTTGGATTATCAGTTCTCTGCATTCGCCCTTCGTGTTGTCTTGGAAGGCCTCCAGTCGCTTGTGGCCGACTTGGATGAAAGTGATCTTGCTGCTGTTGGTGCCCCGGGTCGTTCGGATGTGAGGCGAGCATTGGCTCAGGTGCACGAGACGATTACCATGAGCACTCATCTGTCAGCACCCGAAAGACTCGAAGTTCTTCTGCGCTGGCATACCATCTGCCTTGATACAATGATCAACTCGACCGCACTTTGCAGGCATGTTTGCTCCCGATACAATATTCCGCAACATGTCTCTGGAGGCTCCCGCGCCGTCAAGTCATGCTTCGATATGGCGAAGTGGGTGAACACCGCAGATGCTCGTCGAGCTTTGCTGCATGCCATTGCCATTCAAGATATTGTAGAACAGCTTCCTCGTGGCCGTGCCCATGTTACCCACATGCCAAGTTCCCTCTTTGCTGCGGCTACGATATACGTCGTGTTTGTTTTGTCGGGAGTAGGCACTGTTCACCTCCCGCGCACGATTGTCTGGCACGATGCACTTCTCTCGCATGCCGATATGAATCTGGGATGCGAGAATATTCGATCGTCAATGGGCACTGAGACCCGCAAATTCGTTGAAGAGGGCCACACAGAGTCTCCACCTGGCGTCGCAGCGGTGCGAAATCTCCTTTATGAGATGAATTCCATGCAGAAGCTGTTCCGTTGTCTCATCTCGCAATGGGGTATTGCCCACGACATGGAAGAGATTGTTGACCAATGGATTTCGCGCTGTCACTAGTCAATTCTGGCGAAGAATTATTCTCTAATTTTGATACGGTTCAGCTTGAGGTTCGATATGGTTTGATCTTTTTATCCCCCAGGCGTCGGGTTTCACTCTCTTTCTGCGGGGGTAACTAACATGGAGTTTCGCATTGGACATGATATTGTTGTTGATAGGAGGACTGCATTATGAGGGATGTATGGACCCGTGGACATATTGGACAAATTCTTACATTTGCATTGGCAACCGTTCAAGAGAAAGATGTTCATTGCTATCAAGAGGTTGGATTTTAGGGTTCTGGACGTTGGCCCACACTGCCTGATCTGTCTTCTGCACAGCAAGCATTCTCTCCACAGACCATGCCTATCTTTCATGTAACACAACCGGTGAGAGAGATGGGCAGGCGCTGGATCATCCTCCAACGATCCGAGCCGAGGCGATCATCATCAATTGACCCAACAGGGGCTCTCCAACCTGGGTTCAAGTGCACGACTTCTGTCGGATTTTGAACCGGTTCAGCGATTTGGACCACATGAGGTCAAGATTTCGACAAGCTAAATGGCGATTATCGCCAAGGATCGTCACGGCCATGGAGCTAACGATCCACCGGCCACGACTCTCTGATAGTGTCTACTCGAACCTATCTTGGTGTAAGACTACATCCGTTGGAAGCTCTTTATTATTTCAGGGTTATCTATGCCAGCGCCGCGGTGCAAGGCTCTATCCGAGTCCTTCAGTCGTGGCAACTTCAGTCTTATGTGTCTTATGTGCCCATGCAGGCACCCCGGGACTTTTGGTAAGACCATCGAACTAGTAGAGGAGGCGTTCAGCGATGGCGAACCGAAGCCCTGGCCTACCCAACCCGGCGAGTCGAAACTCGATAGTCGTATCCAGGAAGCCCGCGAGCGGAACCTGTATGTCAAGGACGTTGGTGATCCTGCCGAGCAGAGGCAGCTGCAGTGGGTGAGAAGACCCTCTCCACGGAGGAGACTGCATTTGTGAGGCTTAGTTCGTAGTGAACTGAAGTGTGGTTGAGAATAGACTGGAATGGAAGAGCCTACAAGGGTCGAGTGCCAGAATAATCACTGTATGAGATTCTTATTGTATCGGCAAATTGGCATCTCTCTATCATACGTAGCAAACAGGAAACAATTGTGCTCGAATATGCAAATGCAACCCAACGGTATCAATCTTGAATGCAAAGGGTATCCAGGCAGTCTGATGCATGACAACAGCGGAACAGAACGATGCTAAAGAGTAACAAAACACCATATGAACGACCATGCTGAAGAACAATAACTAAAAAAGCAAACAACCACCCAGTGCTCAATTGCCAGTAGTCTGTGCTGGCTCCGTATCTTTATTGAGAGAAGCTCTCTTATTCTGCACATTTCGAGCTTCCATCCAGACACCGATTACTTCCTTAAGATTGATGCTCCAGAGCTTGATGATTTCACCGAACATGTCCTCGAAATCATCATCAGTCATGTTCTTATCGCGCTCAAAAATATCAACGCATTTATCGTGCGCTTTCATCAGCGCATCCGTAGCAAGTTTTAGTATAGTCAGGTACTGCCACGCAACGGACCTCGAGGTACTGGCGTTGGGGATCGGTATTTCGGACACCAGTTGCGCCGCACTCTTTTGAAGATCCCCACGACACGCAGTGCTGAGAGTCTCGTGCAGCCTAAGCTCACCCAGTTTGCTGGGCTCCTTCACGGCGTTGGGACGTGATATGTATTTCGACGGGGGAGAGTCCAGGTCGTCACCGGTCTCTTCACGTAGTCTCTTTTTGGTGGTTCGCAACGTGCCGTTGTCCCTGGCAAGGAGTTCCTCTTCCAAACCGCTCGAATAGTCCGATGATTTATATTGCGGATCCTGAGACATCATCCTTTTTAATTTTTGGTCAAAGGTTTCCTGACGTGGAGGCTCTCTGGGGTCTGGGGTCGATGGCCTGTGCTCCAGCGGGGATTGCAGTTCGTCCGCAAATGCCTGTGCGTCATCGGGAAGAAGAGAAACCCACTTCAGGACACGTTCTTGCTTGTATCGCAGCTGGGCCTCGGTTTCGGCATCATAGGCAGACTGTCGTGCCGGCGGTTTCTGCAGACGACGCTGCAGCATGGCTTCCGGGGTTTTCAACTGCTCGTGACTCCGCACACAGACTCCCATCCACTGGTCCACCTCGGCCGCCAACAAATCGTCTATCATTGGAATGCGTCGTCGATTCTCGTCCACAGCTTCCCAGTGCATCTGTCGGTCCGAGACCAGACGGCACATCCAGCGGCGGCAGGACTGCCACGAATACTTCCGCTGGGTCCTCTCCAGTAATTTCTGCGAGACTAGCACCCAGACGTTCTTGGGGTACGCTTTGGGATCGGGGTTGATCATGTATTCGGCACATATCCGAACGAGGGCTCGTTGTTCGTCGAGGGTGAGTCGCTTGCCTCGGCCGTCGATAAAGGAACGGGTCGAGTCGCTTACGGTGGGCGTGGCAGCAGGGGAGGGGTTTTCCGTGTCTGGAAGACGGCGGTCCTGGGGCGGCATTATTGGCGGGGCGGCAGCACCAGACTCCTGAAGTGCCCTCCGCTCCATGACTTGACGCATGTGCATCCGTACATGCTGGGTTAACGTCTCTAACGCCATGGGCTGGGAGGAGGGAGCGGGAAGGAGGAGGCCGGGGGGAGAAAGAGAGGAGGAGGAGGAGGGTGAAAAGGAGATGATGGGGTGATGTGTAAGAAGAGATGGCGGCGGCGGTGGCACCGGAAAAGAACAGGAATAATATTGATCAGGCAAGTGCGGCTGCCCGACAAGCGGCCGCTCCTTCCCTTTTTTGCTTCGATTTTTGCCCCCGCGCCACGCGTGTCGCGTCAGCACACGTGACTGGCCTGTCATTTCGTTGCTTTTACCTTTTTCTTTTCTCTTCTTCTTCTCTCTTTGTTCCCGAACATTCATCTACATACCTAGGTACAAAGGGTTTCGTCACGGCGAAAGTTGTCTGATTCCAAATACCTCGGAGGAACCATGGCTCGGTCCGAATCGAGCAGGTCGGGCATCTCTAATATTACCCGATTGGGCGGTTGACATTGTTGACAGTCCCAAGAACCAGTCGATCATGCCAACATCACAAGATGGTTCCCTCATCAGCCAGGGTTCATCTCGCACTCGATAGGCGCCGATGCAGAAAAAGGCGCTTTGATTGCATCATGGATTGACGACCCCCTCTCTGGAACAGCCTGATCCTTGGATCCACCATTCTCAGGATAATAATAGGACAATGGCATCTGCCTCGGCTGTCACATAGTTCGTCACCCTCCTTTCTCTTCCCAGGTTGGCCCCGGTCGCTGGATTTGCAATGATCTGCCAGCCCACCTTGCTCCAACGCTAGCTATTGGGGAATCGTCGAACTGCATTCCAAGAACCCCTTTTACTTACGGTGATGCTGCGCTAGCATTGCTAGTCACTTGAACTAACTAGGGGCCAAAGTCTCCTGAATCATTTGACGTGCAACCGGCTTTCCTGCATAGCAAATGATGGCTCAGAAAGTTTTTTGTTCAAGGCTAAATTGCCAGAAACCCTGTGTCACTCCTGGTCGGCGCTAGAGTTGGCGCACGTTCTTATACACGTAGCCTAGAACCGAGGCTTCTTCGCCTTGCTTCCTCATTCTGTTTCTCTTTCCTCCTTGTCCCCATTTCGTCGGACCTCATTCGCATCGCGAGACTCAGAACCGCTCCCACCGCGCAACCGCGAGAATGACACAGGGACCATCCCGCCTGTGGGCGGCAGTATCGGCCATGACCGCGCTCGATGGCGCAGCCAATCGGTTCCGAGTGAAGATTGCCCGGGAATGGACGACGCAACAGTATGTTAGCATCAACCAGCCCTATGCGCCTCGGCCAGACTGACCCGAGCAGCTCGGTTCTGGGTGGCTTCCTAAATGCCTTGATGTTATCTGCTGCACAGCGGTTCGCCGCAGCCGAGTTCGGGCCCGGGCGGTTCCCGGATCCCGTCCACGCCTTCGTTCAGTTTCTCAAGATGGTCCCACCAGGCGGGGTCGTCGTCACCTGCGATGCGCTGCGCGTGTCGTCGCGGCAGTGCGTGGTAAAGGTCGAACTAGCCGGCTCGGTCGAGGCATCCGCCGCTACTGCAACAGTCGGGATCATTACCCTCGGTGACATCTCGAAAGAAGCCGGGCTCTCACAGCCCTCTCAATCGGCGGTTTGCACTCCGCCAGCACCGCCGAACCGGGAGACTGAATGCGTCACGATCGATGACCCTGTCGTTGACGCGACGCCTGTAACATCCAAGTTGAACTGGGTGGCACCGCGCTCCCCAGACGGTCTTTGGGGCCATCGTCTGGGCGGCCACCACCGCGAGGTGTGGGTGTCATTCCGCGATGGGTCTTCTATCGACGATATGTATCATTTAGCGTTGTTGTCGGATATGGTAGGTCTGCAAATTATAATCATGCCGTGTCCGTACTCACCCTACAAACAGCCGCTGCAGCCGCCCGCAACGCATCAAGCAGGTTTCTACCTTCGGTACGCACTCTCGACCCTGTGCTTGACGGTCGAGTTTAAGAAACGACCGGACCCGTCCACTCGATGGGTCATGATCCGGTCCAATTCGCACCAGGTTAGCAACGGCCGGTATGATGTGAACATTCAGATCCTCGATGAGGGTGGGGATCTCTTGGCGTTGAGCAACCATGTACTATATATTTCCGAGCTGCGGCCGCGGTCGAAGGCGAAAATGTAGCTGTTTATCGGGGCCATATCAACCATTGGAGTACTCTAGGCTGGCTAGTGAATCAACTGGAGGAAGAGTCCATGCTGACGCACGGCATCAAGCTGGTTACGACGAATGCGAAGGTTATATAACCCTGCTTATGAACCTAATCGATTGTGACCTATCAACCAGACGCGCCAATAAACCGAACGTACATTTTGTCTGGACGCAACAAAACCCGAGATTCGTTCCGATCGTATCTATCACAAAACATTGATCTCCATCCCCCCCTTCCCCTCTCCCCACACTTGATCAGATATGGCAACGCCGGGACCCGCATCGCGAAGACCCTACGCCGCCCCACCATAAATATCATCGAGCTCATACCCCGCAGGCGGGTTGGGAAAATAGAAGTTCTCGAGGCCAAACACGTCCTGCGGCATGCTGGCCGGCTCGACGGTGGCGCGGGCCGCGCTCGGCGCAGGGGTCGCCGCCGGAGCGACAGACCCATCGTCGAACACGGCGTTCCCATTGCCACCGTCCTCAAGCTTGACAGCGCCAAAGACAGACGCAAAGCTGTGCACATTCTCAGGGGTCTCGACCTTAGTCGTGGTGGCGGTCGAGGCAGCGGACGAGATGGAGGCGGGGGTGTCGATGATTTCGAGGTCGGCGTCGAGCATGGCCGCTGCGGCGGTCTTGGGCTCCAGCTTCGGCCGGGGGATCGCCTCGTCATTGTCGTCCACGAAGATGGCGTCCATCAAGCTGCGGCCCTTTGCGGACGCACCGCGCTTGCTGGGCGAGGCGAGATTTCGGGCGACGGCGTCCCGTTTGCCCCGGCCGGAGGAGGAGGGCTTGGTGATGCCGCTGCGCGGGCCGCGGGGGGTACGCGGGGTGGTGGAGGGCGTGTTGCGGCCGCGGGGAACGTCGGTGTGTCCGTTTGCGCGGGCTTCGGCTTTGAGCTCTTCGGCCATTTTGCGATAGCGGCGGAAGCGGCCCTCGATGGCGTCGTAGGTGGCGCCCTGCCCGAACATGGCGGCCATGGTGTTGTAGTCCAACTGTGGGAGTTAGCGTGGGTGTGTGTCAAAGCGGTTGGGGGGTAGAGGTACCTTTAAGCCGGGATGGGCGGCGACGATGCTGGCGAAGAGACGGTCGGTGGATTCTTGCGTTTTCCAGTTGACCATGGTGACGGTTTTGCGTAGAGGATATGTGGGTGGTTAGAGAGGAGGTGGGTTGGATCGGTTTGGCTTGTAGAATGGAGATGCGGGAAGAGATGGAGACGGAGGATGGATGGAGGCCAGTCAAGGAGCTTTATAGGTCGTAGGAGAGAGTGAAGGAGTGTCGGTAGAGAGAGACTGTAGGGAACGAGAACGAAAGGTACCTGGAGGGAAGAGAAGAAGGGCTGCCGACTCTATGAAGTAGGAGAGAAGGCCTCTATAAGTTGAGAGCGGGAGAGAACGGCTTCTTGATAATCGGGAAGGACTGTAGGTTGTGCCAGTAGAAGCCTGACCAGGAGGATGGAGGGAATAAAGAGCCAACTATAGCCTGGGTAGTTGACTATCCCTCCAGGGAACTGGACCTGTATACAACGGTTCCTGGAGAAGGCCAGCCCACCAGCGGCCAGAGAACGGTTCTCGGAAGAGACATCAAACATCCGCTGCAGCCACCACTCCATTCCAGCTCCATGGGATGCATTCCCAATGGTCGAGGGCGCTCGGGGATGCAGGAACATGCTGGGATTTACTTCGAGGGGTCGTTCACCGCTCCTGTCGCAGGGCCTGTTAGCTTCTGTTAGTCGGGCTTCTCTTTGCCGAACGATACCGCGCACATACACTTCCATGTGGAGGATGACAGGGTCGCCATACAAATGTCGCGGGGCGAGCGTGCAGAGGCACAGACTCGTGGGTGCTCCAAGGGCGATCTACATGGATAACAGAACTCTCGACAAACTATCCGTCTGCTTCTCAAGTCTCACAGAACCTCCTTCACAATCACAATCCACCTTCACATCACCCTGCCCTTCACTCCTAGTGTTACTCCCACCGTGAGAAGTGACATAAATTGCCCTCTCACCATCTTCCTCTGGCTCTCTCTCATCCTCCTCTCTCCCTCACCTCACACTCTCCCCCCTCTCTCTTAACATCCCCATTCTACCTCCAACCGCCAACATGCCTATGAAATGGACCCCCGAAAACGACCAGCTCGTACGTCCCTTCGCCTCACCCTAGCTACCCTCCTAATAAACACACCCAGCTTCTCCTGAAGATCCTCGAAACTCATGACCTCTCCGTCGACACCAAACGAGTCGCCGAAGCATGGCGTAAGCCCTCCCTATCCCAACCCACACCCCTATCCACACCCACTAACTCCCCCCAGCCAAAGGCGACAACAAACCGACCCCACGCGCCATCACTGAGCGCCTCGTCCGCATGCGCCAGATCGTGAAGGCCTCCTCCAACGGCAGCGACGGCCACTTCAGCATCGGCAAGGGCACCGCCAACAGCGCCGCCTCGACGCCGCGCAAGCCGCGCTCCACCTCCACCCCCAAAGGCGGAGCGGGGCCCAAGACGCCCGCCTCCAGTGGCAAGCGCAAGCGGCGCAATCCCTACGACGACGGGGACGGTGACTCCGATGATGATAGGGTCGCCGTTAAGATGGAAGCGGACGATCTCGACCTCGACGCCACGCCCTCCAGGAAGAGACCGCTGCAGCCGGCGTTTGCGGGGTTGAATCTGGCGCAGGGTGTGCGCGTCGGCACGACGCTTAAGCTGGAGCCGCGGGATGAGGAGGGTGTGTTTGGGGTGGAGGAGTCGCCGAGCAAGCGGGTGCGCAAGGCGAGTGTCCTGCCGCCGGGTATGGTGAGCTATGATGTCGATGAGGACGAGGGGGAGACTTCGGCGTCGGAGTATCAGCCTGAGGTGGGACAGGGCGAGCAGGAGGCTGATTTTATGATGGCTGCGTGAGGGGTGGTGGGGGTGCTGGCTTTTGTCTGCAGACGTTGGATGCTGTAATGGGGGATAGGATCTACGAGATGTTTCTTTAGTATTGCAGTGCGGAATCTTCGCTCAGCGGTGTGATGCATTTCTCGAGCAGAATTTAAATCCGTAGGCGCATTGCTTTCAAAGGTGACATCCTTGTCCAGAACCAAGCCCATTCCAATCCCAGCGCATAGACCAGCATCCACGTCTTCAATCAAGCGTCCTCCTCATCCTTAACACCCTTGAAATTCTCGTCTTCAGCCTTCATCTTCTTCGCCCTGGGCTCCTCAATCTCAACCGCAACCGCAACATTCTTCTTAGGACGACCACGGCCACGCTTCGCGGGGGACGCAGTCGGGGTAGGAGGAGCCGAAGCCGACGCGCTGCCACTGTCGGAGGGGGGTATCTTAATTTTCTCCTTAAGACGCTGGATGCGATGCTGCACGGCGCTAACGGTGCAATCTGTCATGTGGCCGTTAGAAAAGAATTTCGTAGGATGCGGGATGCAGACGTACCCTTGCCCATGAATTCGGCGAGGGCTTTGTAGTCGAGCTTCTGGTGAGTGGTGGAAAGGACGCCGACGAGCAGCTGGGGGTGTGTTAGCTGTGATTGGAGTGGATGAGGTCTAAGGGATGGGACTTACTCTGGCGTCGGCTTGCTCGTTCCAGTTGATGCCCATTATGGCTGGGAGAGCAGGGTGGGGTGGAGGTTGTTTAGGTGAGTTGGGGGTGGAAGGGTGGTGAGAGGTATTGTAGATGGAGCGTAGACGTTGTGGGAGTGTGGAGGTAGCGTAGAGGAAAGAGGATAAAAACAAGAGAAGGTAGAGAGAAAGCTGAGAGAGGCGGAGAGGGATATAAGAGGAAGAGAAATCAACTGGTGGGAGGTGAAGAGGGAGAGAGTGAACAGTTGGCAGGCCAGTGGAGAGTAGCAGATAGGACAATGCGTCATTCACATCCTTTGCTTGCATTGACTGGATTCTGCACTCATGCCATCCCATATACAGGTATTGCAATCTTCATATTCATCACTCTAGTTATCCAAAAGCGAACTGCTCAGCGCTATGGTATCAATAGAATCATCAGGCAATGATATAAACCCCGTAGACAAATCAAACATGCTCTAATCACTGACCATTGCTCCCCCGCTTGAAGACAAACTTGTTATACTGTTCCGGATGATACGACGAGAAATAGTCGTTATACAACAGTTCCTCCCGAGCCTTAGCCGGGGTCGTCAGATCATCAAACTGGCGGAACACCTGACCCAGCGTCACATAAAGCTCGCAGTATGCGAGACTGTCGAGTCAGCGGAAGAAGTTCAGGGTTGTATAAAACGGAGGACTTACGGCATTCCGACACACTGTCTGGACCCCTTTCCAAACGAAAATAAGAACCGATCCAGCGATCTGGCCTTCTCTGGATCAGTCCAGCGTTCGGGATTGAATACCTCGGACTGCGGGAACAGGTCCTCATTGTGATGCATGATCCAGGAGCTCATGCTCACAACAGTCTATCCAGGTTAGCAAATATCCAAGTCCTAGAGTGCAAGCACCTACCCCTCCAGGCACATGGTACCCGTTGAACTCGGCTCCAGGATCAGGGACGACACGCGGGAGTCGACCGACAACACCAAACGAAAGCCTGTAACCGATTAGAGCCATCCACCGGCAGATAAAAGAGACAATTACCGAAGAGCTTCTTTGATCACACCCGTCTGCAAACATTAGCCACGTTCCCCTTCTGCAGCGCATAACTCACCAAATAAGGCAACTTCTCAAGCGACACAAAGTCCATCTTCATCGCAGGGTCCGGGAAGGCCTCCTTCAACTCCGCCGTCAACCGCTGATAGATCTTTGGGTTGCGCACCGCGTTGTAAGTCGCAATCGTCAGGGCGTTTCCTGTAGTGTCCGCTGCGGCCGCCACGAGAATGTACGCCTCATCCTTGAGCTCCTCCACCGTCGGCACGACGTACCCTTCCGCAGCATCTGGGGAGAGAAGCTGATGGAAGATGGTCGTCCGCGCGGCCTTCTTCCCGTTGTCAACCTCATCTTTAACACGGAGGATTTGCCGACGCGATCCCTAGACACCCATTAATCCAGATACCCCAACCGGCCACCGGCCAACCTACCTCATGATGCAACATCATGCGGGTCAGCGCACCGCTGGTCAACTTGGCTAGCCAGAACGGCGTCCCCAACGCCAAGGGCTGCACAGCAGGAAACTGCTGGAAGAACCAAAAGGCAGGCCCAAAGTCGCGGATCATGTTGAAAAACTCGACGCCAAACTCCTCCTCGTCGAGAAACCCGTAGCAATGGTTGAACGCATAGTCCGTAATGACATCGACGGAGATGGCGCGGAACCCGTGGTGGAGGTCGATGCGACCGGTCGATTCGAAGGCGGCACGCATGCGGCCCACGAGCTTGGCTGCCTTCTCCTGGACGATCTCCTCGAGGTCAAGGACCTTCTTGCGCGAGAAGAAGGGGTTCAGAGCGGAGCGCTTGATGCGGTGCATGTCCGGGCTCGGCGTGGTGAAGGTCGCCTTTTCGGTGCCGAAGGCGCCGTAGAAGGCCGGGTCCTTGCCGTATCGCGAGCCGACGTAGTAGATCTTGTCGCAGTTCTCCGGGTCGCTGAGGTGGATTTCATTAGGGGAGATGCGGACGACAGGGCCTGTGGGCGACGCGATTAGCGATGCGACGGGAGAAGGAGGACGTGCGCAGTACGCTGCCGCATACCATATTGCTCGTGGAGTTTCTGGATTTGGAGATAGAGACGTCCGCCGTTGAGGTTGTACCAGAACGAGTAAAAGTAGAATGCGCGCGCAAAGAATGGACCGGGCACCTTGGCCAGTGGATGGAAATACAGCCGATAGATCACCGTCCAAAGACCGCGCACCACTGTCGCAGCGACCAGCGTGAAGCCTAGCAGCTGGAGGAGGTCGGCGCGAGCCATGCTAGACAGGTGAAAGAGCGACATGGGAGCCCCCGAGGACAAAGTTGGCCGAAGGTTGGCGGATACAGAGGCAAGGGGATGAACGATGAGCGGGGCCTGACCGGTTGTTCTTATATCAGGAACGTGCTAGATGGAGGGCACGGCAGAACCCACTAAACCCCAGCGGGGAGCTTAGTGAACGATCTCCTCCAATTGACCGTGCGATAATGTAATGAATATCGCGGCCTGCCTGGGTGGTACCCTCCCGTTCGACACGCATGTGCTTTGTACGGAGTACGTCGTAGCTGACTGGCGTTGTAGACGCCTACAGCCAAAGCGTCGTGCATCTGAGCCACGCAGTCACTGAACTTGGGTCGTGTATCGTACGGCGACCGTTTACTTCAGACCCCGAACCTGACTCAACCTCGGGGTTGCGGTATAAGGCAACGAGGCGGTCGATGATCTCCGACGTGCAGCGACGTGGCTTTGCATCGCAACTCTCCTTCGAGGGAGAAGAAAACGGCCCAATGACCTGGAACGGCGAAGGAAGCTGCAGAATGGGGCGTTGCCTGGCCATGGAGAAAGGGACTAGAAGCACGAGCTGGTGGACACGAACTCTGCTGCCAATCAGGATCCCCATTGGAGTCGACGCGACTGTGCAGAATTGTTTGTCCGTCTTTCGTTCCATTCCGTTGGTAGATCTGGAGCCAGTTTCGGCTAGAATGCCAAAGAAACGGCATGCTGACCGTTATTTGGCGTTCTGACATTTCCGTGGGAGATGGTTAGCCATGCTGACGGCTTATCCTGGAGGATGTTGACCACAGCAGAGACGGACGGTGGGCCCAGAACGAATTTCTCCCCACCCAGCGGAGCTCAAGATCATCCCGTCCAGTTCCCCAGTTACAGTTTCAACGGAACGGGTGGCTAGACGTGGAAAGGAGTAAGTTCATAATATTGAATTAGGCCATGCAAGAGATTGAGCATGCATGAACAAAGGCATTGTCGAGCAAAGTGGTATATACAAAACGAGCAACGATCCGCCCACCCTCGATAACGGTCTCCACCACCGGCCAGAAGTCTTCATCACTGGCCGCAAGTGACACTGCCGAGCTCAGACTAAACCCCCAACTTCCCGAGCTCCCCGACACTAACGCCGAACAGAGTTCAGCCATCCTGCTAGTTCCATGCATTCCGTTAGTCCAGTTGGTAATGCAAAGAACCGCCTGTCAAATGAAAACCCCTCGGTGGGTAGCAGGTCCCCGTATGGCGGACGCCACTAGTATGGTTTCTGGCCATACACTCCGACGCTGTTTGGCGGGATATTAGCAAGAGGGAGACAGTTATCGGAGGGTTACCAAAAAAGACTTACACCCGGAAATAGGCGTGGGTGTTGGGGTCCCGCAATCCCTTCCGCATCTTGGCCAAAAAGACTTGCACTTCTGTATAGGTCCACTAAATTAGGGAGAATAGTCAGTGTCATCTCCCACTAATCATGGGTGGAAATGGGTTCGGCAAAGCTGAGGAAGATAAGGATAAGAAGGGGAAAAGCAGAACCAGGGAACTTACGCCCATAACACGAGTCAGCAGCGCCATAGCCCATCCTTCAATGCCCTGTTCGCAATGCACCAAGTTCCACCGGCCTAGCTTCTTCAGCTTCTTATCCCGGCTCCACGGACCAATTGGCAGTTTGAACTGTTGTTCCGTCACATTCTGAAAGCCCGCGCTTTGCATGTAGCCCTTGGCCAGCTCGGCAATGCGGAAAGTCTTCCCAAACTTTTCGCCGGCTTCAATGAAGATCTTCGACCATTGCGCTAGGACGTGATCTTCAGTCACCGTGCCATCGTCCGATGTGAACTGGATGGACATCTCCAACTGATCGAACCAACCGCCGGGGCGCAGCGTTCTGGTTGGCGTGTCAGTGCGTGGCGTTCAGGGCACCATGAACCGATTGGAGCTTACCTCAATGCATTGCTGTAGAACGCGGGCCAATCCGCAATGGCCCCATACAGAGCACGCACGTGGACTAGGTCGAACTCATTGTCAGGGTAAACCCAGGGCTCTGTCGCATCGTCGATCTCAAATCGGAGATTGGGTGGGACAAAGCTAGGTTGGATGGGGGAAAGATCGGTGCCAATGACTTGAGCCGATGGGTATTCATCGGCAAAATCGCTGGTTTTGTTAATTCCGGCCAACATAACTGGGGTGGAAATGGATGTGCTTACATAGCCCAAATACCAGTGCCAGTGCCGACATCAAGGACATTCTGTAAGCGCATGGAAGATTAGCGCAAATTTGTGACAGGTAGGAACAGAGATGTGAAGCTCCAACACATACTTGGATGCTCTTGTTGATCGGCGCAAGGACCAAGCGGTTGTCGAGTAGCATGGTAAACATATGGTGACTGACGTCAGATTAGCTGGGAAAACACTCCGACCCGGTGGATCGAAACATACGCAATGTCCAGTTGCTCGTTCTGTATGTCGTCGTTTGGGCCCCTGGATATCTCCATCAGCGCACTACCCCTTCAGTCGTGTTGATGGAAAGCAGTACCAGTACGCGCCCTCCTTGTAGGCATGGTATCGTCGACCGTTCTCGAACCGATACGCTGTGATCATGGAGTTTAAGGAAGTGGTGTCGCTCGCACTGTGGCGATAGATTAGTTTTCGGGCAGTTCGTGAAAACGCGACAGCAAGTTGAGAGGCCCTGCTCACAAATCTTCCGCATAGTCCGAGGTTGGGTCATCGTCCACCTCGGTGGCCTGGTGAGGATTAATATCAGCGCGGCGAAAGAAATGCGAAAGAATTCCAGCAGCAAAGTGTGACCTACGTGGTCGTCATCTACTTCCATCGGAGGAGGCTGTGGAACGGGGTGGGAGGAAGACTCGGCCATGGTGGTTGCGTATGGATGTTGGGGATGAGAGGAAGGGAGCGATAAAGGGATGTGGAAGATGGTTGTTGATATTTAGGTCCCCGTCATCAAAATAGACTAATCGACGGTCCGGGCAGCAAGGAGAAAGTCTATCAACACAGTCCAGGAAAAGAGATCTGGGAGAAGCAGAACTGGATCGCAGTGGAACACATGGGTGGATGATGGGGAGATCATGCCGAGATGCGACTCAGTGGCGTGGTTTCCTGCCCCCGCCCTCATCCGGTCACTTCCTAGGGCATGGAAGCTAGGTAGTACTATTGGATTCTGCAGGGTACCGAATTCAGAGACCTGAGGTAGGGGCTACTACGGAGTACACCCTAGTTCAGTCAGTTACATTACAACCACGCTCGGGTGCCCCTTGGAAACTGGCATGTCACCCCCAAGAATCGTGTTGGAGGTATATCGAGTACATTAGCCTGTGGCCACTCTTCATAATTACTCGTTCACATCTTTCCAAGATTCTAGTTGGCCATCCATTCCCTTCTACCTACCGAACTAAGTACCTTCTATACCTCATACATCGACCAAAGGTCAACCACTGTAGGCAAACTCACCCGCGTTGGATTCACCTCCCTTACCTATCTGGCACTAGAACGTGCATAACTGGACCCATCCATTGTCCGATCGCCTGGAAAAAGACTTCCGTCTGGTGATGCCCCCACTTGTGCACACCGCATACTCTGTATGCCAATTTAAATCTGAATAATGTTTATATTTGGACTTGTTCACCACATCCTGTAAACTATGGAAAGTCTCCCTGATACCATTTTGAGGCTAATTTCAGACACATATGTAAAGCATGAGTTACTTCAAAGGACAAAATAAGGGTCATCAAGAGCCGAAATTCCCCCGTCGATCTGTGTCGTTTAACTGGGTTTTCCAGCCGATTTGAAAACATCGTCGCCACAGTCATAGACACCGTCAACGGGTGCATTTGTTGGGATGTATTCTCTCCCATTCAGGTAGCTATCCGCTACTGTTTGGAATTCCTCGTAAGCATGTTTTATACAGTCATGACGGAGGACCCAGGCTGGATGTGGGACGTGATTCGGCTTAGCCTCGGTTTGATCAGCGTCCCAATTTGCCCTGAACGATTTCTCCATCTCGTCAATAGCGGCATTCTGAACCACGGACACGCGCTTGTGCCTGTATAACAGGTTAGCAGTAGTCCGCCTCAAAGGGATTGATGGTACACACCGCAGTTCTTGCATAACCCGCAGGCCTAGGGGGATATTTTCTTTGCCACTGAGCTCGAGGCAGATAGCTAAGACCGCTGCGTCTTCAATGGCCTGGTTGGCCCCTTGACCGAGATTCGGGGGCATGGGATGAGCCGCATCTCCAATCACAATCATCCTCCCGCCCTTTGACACCCAGGTGGACAATGGGCGCCGTGATGTGAGTAAATGATTCCAGCAGCTTCCTGGCGGGGTCCTGGAAAGAACGGCAGTGGTTTTCTTGCCTATTGGCCAGTCTTTAATACATTCCGAAGCGCGGAGAGCATCTGCAGGCTGTAGCCAAGCTTCTGAAAGCCCTTCCACATCCTAAAGACCGTCAGACTCCGTTGCATGAGAACATATGATAGATGACTTACTCTGTGTGGTAATGCCCAAAACACATAATTACCCTTTCCCAGCGTTCCAATCATAAGAGAGGCATTCTTCCCAAAGTATACCTTACACGTGTCTCTTTCACCTACACCCTCGAGAATCCAGTTTGCGTCTGGCTGACCTGCAATGATATCTGCAGCGAAATGGGATCTGTAGATGGCAACTCCTGTTTCGTGGGGAACGGGTTCTTCTCCAGTGATAATATCTCTAGCTCTGCTGTGTATGCCATCAGCTGCAATCACGCAGTCAGCGGCGACTTTGTCCCCATTTTCCAGCAGGATTCCCGCCCCGTCCTCTGACTCCCAGTAGCCAGTGACCTTGACCCCAAACCTAAGATCAACGCCGCAATCCTTTGCGGTTTGATAGAGCAAATCAAGAAGCCCTGACCTCTGAACTGTGACAACGTCCCAATTCATACTTGAGGGGAATACCATCTTGCCCCTCAGCTCGCCGAAAGTATCGTGCAAGTCAATAGAATTGAGGACAGTCCGTATATTATCAAGGCTCTCCGCCATGGATTCATTCCACCGGGTTAACACATTCATACCGTTAGCACCGATGCCTATCAGGTCGCCTTTCGGTTGTCATTATAAACCCAAGCAATGTCCCTTATGGATTACCAACCGGCTTGATGAGGGCTGTCTTTTCTCTCAAATCCAATCACATTGTGACCCTTTCGGTGACATTCAACAGCTGCTGTAAGACCCGCGATGCCAAGTCCCACAATTATGACAGTTACCTGGCTGGAACCTGGGCATGAAGAGCTTTCTGCAGCCGTCGAATGTCGCGTCATATTGTTTTGCTTCGCGTTGATCTGGTTTGGGGGCAAGGATGTTGTTAGCCTGCAAGTAAAGAGCCTTAAAGTGGCCTTTTATATTCAAAGCAACACTCATAGAGATACAGTATCGCTATTGCATGTGCACAGGTAATATAGCCAGAAAGAAACAATGTTACTAGGCGTCGCAGCCTGAGGTAGTACAACTGATGTGTGTCTGCCCAAATGCACTATTCGATCGCTAGCCCAGAGGTCGATTTTCTATCAATCATGCTTCATTTTCAATATATTACGCTTCTAAAATCCTGAAAGATGTGTGCGTTACATAAAAACCTGCCACCTGGCACTTGATTTGTATCTATCCGACGCTTAGCCTTTTTTCTAGTATTGATTTACGCATCCTGATTATGGAGGTTTTGGCGCATATAGAGCCGGCAAATGGCATTCAGGATCATTAAGAACCATGTATGAGTTAGTCGATAGTGATATTTTACCAATAATTCTCCAACTTCTGCACACATGTACAACGCGACATACATATTGTGGGACTACAGATCGATCTGTTCTATTGACAGTTGCATATGCAACTGCAGAACGCCATGGTCATTGAGCCTATCATGGATGATCGCCCTACTCCTCCGATCAACAACTAAATACATTCATGCCCCGTTAGCAAGCCCCTTGTCTATTTATAGTCATCTAGAAAAGCAATTAATTAGTCCCCCGCAGACGATCCCGCTGCACCAAATCACCCATAGCAATCAATATAACAAATATAGAACAACAAACAACCTGGAACCCATGCCCATCCACCCATACACCGACCGTCCCGGAAATTTTAATCACAAACTCCAAATCCATACATGCATCAGGAATACAACTGACAGCAAAGCAAAGAAATCAGGACCAACAACAACAAATTCGAGCGAGGCAATTTGGCAATGGGAAGTGCCATCCAACGCCGGGGCCAAGGGGGCACGGCAGATGGCCAGAGACTCCTGCCAAGCTACCACGCATGACGTCCATCGCCAACATCCATATCCCGTCCGTCCCAATCCTCATCTCCGCTCAACTCATCGTCGAGAAAATCTTGTTCATTGAACTGGGTCTCCGTAGGCCGCTGATTATCGATCCGTACCATGACGACATCGCACATCCCCTGACGAGGAAGGGACTTGTCGTCCTCAACATCCGACACCGCTCGCCCCGACGGGCTGAAGTCCCCGTTATCTTCAATTTCGGAGAACTTTCTCTGCGCAATTCGGGCACTCTTCCGCTTGGAGGGCGTCGATGGCCCGCTGGCGGGAGCATCCAACTGGCTTTCCACATCATCCGCAGCGATTTCATGTTGATGTGTGATCACACCCTGGGCTGGGCGTGGAATCGTGTAAAGATTCGGGTCAGGAGGTGCACTTCGACGTAGGAAGACTCTCTCCAGCCGGCCTTGCCACTTTTCCCGGAAAGATGCGCGGTCGCGCCATCCAATCTTCAAAATCGCGTTGATCACAAGCCGGCGCAGGTTGCGTAATTCAGGTGCTGCGTCGATCAGAGAGGTAAAGAACACCTCCGCAGCGACACCATCCCACTTGCTCAGCTGGTGCATCTCAATGTCCTGGAGAGTAGTGGGCCAGGTCGGGACTTCCGATCGGCTGAGCAATTCTCTAAAATGTGGTTCAACGTCATGGTAACTAGATCGGTCGTACATGGAGATATCCACTTTGAACTTTTCAAGTTGCGGGCACGTCTGGGACAGGCCCACGATAAAGGAGAGGCTGAGATGTCGATTGTGGCATAGGGACAACTCGCGGAGGGTTTGGCCATGTGTTGAGAGGAATGCGCTCAAATTCAGGGTTGACACATTAGCACAGTTGTTGATGCTAAGAGAGGTGAGGCATGATGGTAGAATGGGGAGCAGATGCTCGTTCACAATTGAACACTCGAAAAATTCTAAGCGACGTAGTTCGGGGAGTTCCTTGAGTGCCGTAGCAAGAACTACCTCGGCCTCATCGTTAGCGTCAGGATCTTCTTTCTCAGAGACGTGCAACAACTTGAGCTCGCGCAGTCCACTGAATGCTGGCTCAAGGTGCTTAGCCATCATTAATGGAATTAAGGTCTCTGTTTCCAAGAAACGACTGTTCCAATCCCAGCTTCGGAGTCGGATCGAACTTTGGGAGATGGCGGAAAACAGAGCTTCCGGATAAGTCCATTTGGAATACGGTATCTGCCATGGGGGAAGTCCAGTGACATGGTCATCAGTATGATATAGCCGCAGCCTTTTCACTTGAGGTGTCTTTTCGACCAGTTTCGCAAGGTCAAAATACCCCAGCGTCGGCCCACTCTTATAGAGAAGCAACGGTTCAACATCGATGTCGAGCTCCCGAATCTTGTTGACGTAGTTCGTCGAAAGCGATTCCTGCGGCTTAGAGACCAAACTCAGCAGCCCATGCGATTTCGCATCCGGGATAAGTGGGGGGCAATTATACAGCGCAGCCAGCGCCGGTTCATGAAAAGCGCGGCATAGGAGTGAAACATTCACGAGCCATTGCACAGAGCTGTGCCTGGTTCCACCCTGTTCGTTTACCAGAGGATAGGAGGCACGGAGGAAGATGTCAAACAAGATGTGGTACGGAAGAGTCTGCCAGGGAGGTATCACACCCGAGCTAATGAACGGCAAACCATCCGCCTCTACCTTCCTTCTCTTGTTGAGCGGTCTTCCCAATTCCAAGCGCTTCTTGGTCGAAGATCTCTGGGTTCTCTTTGCTTGGGACCTAGTCCTGACCGTGCGCCTTCGTGGAGGTTTGGATGTTGTGTTACGACTGGTTGATTCGGGAGATGGATATTGAAACCGGGTTGGAGCTTCAGTCGGCACGATTGCGTCGGGATCCTCGCTCGCACTTGCATCACCGTCAAATTCCTCATCGCTTGATTCCTCGCGATATGAAACCGGCATGCGATGCGAATCACGCGGGCGTAAAGAGAGCGACAAGCGCCTGGCTTGTTCGTCGTCGGAGTCTAGCACCTCGCCACGGTCATCCGAACTGCTATCTTCATGGTAGGACTGAACTTGCGTGCGGCTCGAACGAACTGGGCGAGAGGCCCTGGAGGGACGACGTGGGGCGGAGCGTATTGATGAGGCCATTGTGGCGGAGGCGCTAGCTGCCCTAGGTCTGGAGAGCAGAGCGGATGGGAGGTAGATGGCTCATGGTCTGCAGATTGCGACCCGGGGAAGTCTGCGATGGATGAGACGGGGAAATTTGAGAAGTGAATCCAGATGGACGCCACAGACTGGAGAGGAAAAGTTGGTGAATGTGCGAAGAAGAGATCCTTCGAGCTGGAATGGTCGGAATGATGAAGTCACCGCGAAGATGGAAGGGGTTAAAAGGTTGGTTTATCGATAAGAAAGAGAATGAATGATTTGCAGCCTGATGGCCTCAGGCAGAAAATCCCCCGCCCCAAGGCCACGACGCTAGACCCAGACGGGCATCGACGAGCGTCCCGAAATAGAAACGGTCAGCTCCCGCTCATCATGGATCGCTTTTTCTTTTTAAACGCGCCGGCCAGCCGCCATCTCCTCTTCCTGTTCCTCTTCCCCTTCCCCTGGTGCGAAGATGGCGCTCGATCATTCTTCTTTCGACATCTGACCGCCATGCGCTTGTCCTGGTCGACTCTAAGCCTGCGAGCGGTCTCTCCTCTACTACGTGCTTCTATATCCTATAAATAATCACATGAACCCCATGCGCTCGATAGGGCTGGCCCCGTACCAACTCGAATCTACTTCCATTCATCTCCCCTGAACGGTCCAATCTATCCATACCTTTTGTTCTTTGATTATTTGGTCAGTCTTACGGATTCATTCATGTTACCCAGCCATCTGCTTGGCGCCGGTCAGATCAGTACTTCCGCCCTCCGCTTCAGGGGCATTGTTGCTTCCTCGGCTGCGCAGTCGCCCATTGTACTTATTTCCCACGATGGAGGGCTCGTTCTCCAATATCATGAATCAGCCAGATAGGAATGAATTAGGGGGTGCTCCTCTCGTCATTCAACAATATGCGCGATATCCCTCGACGTTGGAACCGGGACTACAAAGTGCCTCCTCATTAGGCAGCACGCACAGCCAAGTAGCAACATCCAAATCCCCTCCTCTGCATCGCAAAGCGACCCCTCGCAGCCTACAGGCCTCGCCGACGGGAATGCGGCCAGGGGTTCCTCACGCGGCTGTTAACCGCTCAGGTCCCTCCATGTCTCCCCCCGTCTTCGACCCTCTCCGCCATGGGCCGCCGAGAGATTCCATTGATCAGGCAGAGTCACGATCCCTCCCCTCGCGGGATATCACAGATGACACCATCGATGATGCTTATGTGATGTTCATTTTCTACTGTAACCCGAATGTTCCTCTCTCCGCGGATACGTCCGAGTTGCGCAAGACGTTCCGATGTCCTCCACGCAGCGATGGGAAGAGTTTCAGCATTTTCACATTGTGGGAACTGATTCGCAAACTTGATAGCAAGGAACTCAAGACATGGCACGCTCTGGCGATTGAATTGGGGGTCGAGCCGCCTGTGATAGAACAGAAGCAAAGCACACAGAAAGTCCAGCAATATGCGGTTCGGCTTAAGGTTCGTCGCATTCTTGTGCTCTTTCAAAGGAGGGAATGATTGTTCTAACGTGCAATAGCGTTGGCTGCGGGCAATGCATGTCGATGCATTCTTCGAATATTGTCTCGGTCACCCCCACCCATACTACACGCACCTGCCGCCTAGTAATGTCGTTGCGATGGACAGCCGAGATGGTGTGCCGTTGGAAGAGGATCTCGCTCTGCGGGCTCTTATGCCTCAATGGAAGCCAAAAAGAGGGAGAAAAAGAGCCGAGGAGCGAGAAATCGTCGGCGAACGTTCCGTGAAGCGGCCTCAACTCGACACTTCGGTCGGCGTCTTGCGTGGAGGCTCGTTTCCCACAAGTGCGGCAACCTTTCCGCAGAGTGCAATACCTTTCAGTGCTTTTCCGGAAGATATGGAGACAAATGATCCCTGGATCGCCCCCCAACCCTCGTTTTCAGCAGACGGATCAGGAACTCATCAGGGCCACGATCCCCGCTGGAGGCCTATTGAGCGCGCCCCATCCCCTGCAGCATACCCTCACTCAGCTATCATACCTAGAGGCCAACACCCTTCTGAAGTTTTCCTGCCGCCCACTGAGCCACGATCTGCTGTGACCCCATCTTCTGGGGAAAAAACACGGCCTAAAAGACGACATGGCCCGGCTGTATCGTCAGCCTGGCCTAGCACTAATACATCATCCAGTGGAAAGGCTAGAGGAAGACCCCCCAATAAAGGAACAGTCTCTGGTCCCTTCTCGACATTTCCGGTGAATCCCAACCGACCGGCGCCCGGTCAAATCCAGAACCCTGGAACCAGTCCATCCCCTGCTATCGTCGTCCAGCAGGATCCTAGCAATCGATTCTCACAAGCACAATATAACCAGTCACCCACTCCCCATCAAAGCGGAAGGCCGAACAAGCTTCAGCTACAGGTCCCACAGCACTCAGGTGCTCCCGTTCGCCTTGCGACACCACCAATGCTCATGGTGAATGGAGTAAACAATTCCTCCTTTTTGAAGGTTGAAGCAACACCCCAAAATGGTGCCGCGATTCCTTCGAATGATGCTACCGAGAGACCCGCTTCTAGGCACTTCAGTCAAACAAACTTTGCTGCCGACCAGACGCCCCAGGTGGCTCCTGACGATGTTATTCGCATACTCTCCAGTGAACTCGCCCGCGCAAAACTCACAGGTCGATCAGTGCCACTAGGTCCCGACGAAAGCCGAACGTTGGCAATATCGATAGTGCAAAATCTGATGGCCTCTTATTCGCAATCCTCTTCTGGCATCACGCCTCTGATGGCCGCTCTCCATCTTGGCCTGGGTCAGCACTTTGGCTATGCAGGTGGTACGGATAGGACTATCACTGTGGATGCTCATCCAGTGCCAATGGCGTCCACCGATATGTCTGGGAATTCAGGGGCCAATGGCTCTTCGACAAGCTATGCCTACACCGTGTCCCATGAGTACAGACATGGACTTTCGTTTTCGACAAAGATTACGTTTGGCGATATTGTGCTTGGAAGCGCGGACAGCAGCAGGCCTGTGAATAGTTCCAGGGCGACTGATGAGCTGGAGAACAGTACTGTCGAGGCAGACAATTCGACTGACGCGGAATTTGAGGTGGATACTGCAGATAGCTCTGTATCAGAGGCGACCTGGAAACAGCGTTACCTGAAATTGCGGGCCCAACTGCAGAAGAAGGAGCGCGCTTTGTCCCAGTATAAGCGCAAGATCTTGGAGTCCGTGATGGCGGATATATGAGGTTTTCCGAGCCCTTGAAAATTGGGGCCAAGCCCTTTTGATGTGTATATCAGTGTTTCATCCCGGAGATATCCCTATTGTTATCTATGTGGTTTGGCGAGTTTTATGTCTTGTATGGATTTGGTTCTGCTCACAGATACCCTCCGAGCGATATTGTTGTTGCTGTTAGATACGCGAGTTCATGACGTCTTGGACATCTGGAACGACGATGTTTATTACTTGCAAGATACCTCAGTTCCATGTGCCAAAAGTCCATCTCTGTCTATCATTGGCCGAATATGTCCGTTTCCGCAAGATCCCAATAGTCCGAAACAAGCCGTAGAGCATCAAAAAATCAAACCGCCCGCTCATTCCAAAAGCCAGACGACTACTCTTCCTCCTCGGTCTCTTCCTTGAAATCCTAGCCCATCATATTAGCATGCAAACCTACTCCTCAGGAACACGGGAGACCACAAACCTGCTCCTCTTCGTCGGGGACAGCAGCATCAGAAAGTTCACTGTCCTCCTCCTCCTCCTTCTTCGGTCCGAGCCTCTTCTTGACAAGATCTTCGGCGACAGCGACAGCGGCCTTCTTCATAACCTTCGCCTTCTTGCTGGGGGCCTGTTTAACGGTAGCCGCCTTGCGTTTCGCGCCGGCCACTTTCTTGCCGAGAGACGTGGCGGAGGTATCATTGTCCCCGGTCTTCTTGGTAGGAGACGCGCCGCCGGTGCTGGCCTCGTTGGACTTGACGAGTCTGGAGAATCGCTTCTGGCTAAGCAGTTGTCAGTAGGCTATCATGTGGGTAATTGGTGAGGAAGAAGGGGGTATCGACGTACGCGGCCGCGGGGGTGACGATGCTGCATTCCTTTGCGACTTCGGTGAAATCCACCTAGAGAGACGTTGGTATCTTTGACCATGACGGGGCTTGGGGGTGGTGACTCACCTTCCCATTGTTCGAGAAGCGAATGCAGGACAGCAGGAAGGCGACCTGCTCTTCAGCGGTGACCTTCGACATGGTTGGTTTTGTTGGTTTTGGGTTGTTTCGTGCGTGGGGCGTTGGTGGTCGTTGTTTCGGAGATGGGTGTGGATGAGGAGGTGATGTGTGAGTTGGGAAGGTAAGTCAGAAGTAGATGAAGGTAGTTCTTGAGACGGTTGTGTCAGGCGTGGACGGGGAGAGAGGGCAAAAGTAAAGTGAGCCTAGAGAGACGATATTGTGTGGAGAAACGAGAAGCTGGGGGGAATGTTAGGGTGAATGTTCTGTTCCTCTGGTTAGAGTACGTCTTAATGAATGTGATGGCTGTTCTGTTAACTGGTCCCTAAACAAACACAAGCCACTTCTATAGCAGTCTAGTGTGGGACGATCTTCGCTCCATTCATTCCTTGGAGAGCTACCTGCACTAAATAAGGCTGAAGCAAAGTGAATCTACTAAAAATCTTCATAACAGCAGAGCCATTAGAGTGTAGAAGCTGGCTTCGATTTGATATGCCTCAACCTACTGTTGCCATCTCTAGCTACAATCTTCCGTCTTGTCTTCATCCATTCAACCGCTGTTGACCAGAGAGACACATAGAGTCAGGCAATAGCCCTTCCAAATTCATGTAGGACAATGCGTCAAGTAACCCCCGATGCTGCAATCCCAGCCAAATAACAAGAAACCAAGTGCCCCATTTGTAAACACAGCAAAGGATTTGAGCATAGAGCATCGCCTAGGACAGAACATAACCATTAGATCCGTTCCCTGAACAGCTGAAGAGCGAAGCAACTCACAAAACTAGGAAACTACCGATCACGGTTGAAGCATCGTTTGGTTCGAAACCTTTCTCGCCTCATGCATCCTCAGCAGCAACATCAACGGCAGCCAAAAGAGCATCGTCGATTCCATCCTCCTGCTTTGGCTTGGGGCCTCTTTTCGCGCCTTTGCCAGCTCTAGCACCCTTGGCAGCAGAAGCAGGCTTAGAAGACCCCTTTGCACTCTGGGTGTTACCTCGCTTTCTTTTAGCCTTTGGTTCTTCCTCGACGGTGGCATCCGAAGAGCTATTGTTGTCCTTGTCTTCCTTTCCGGTAGCGGACTTGGCCACTGCGCCGGTCATCTTTCCTTCCAGGTTTTCAAAGCCGTACTTCTTGCGCAGAGCCCGGAGGCGGTTGTAGACGGAGGCGACGTTTGTATAGCCAAGGCTAGCCGCGACTGCAGGCAGGTCGACCTATTTCCTGTTAGTCACATTGGACAATATAACCGGATAGAGGTAGGCAGGTCGAGTTCGGGGGCGTACCATCCTCTCTTTATCCAAGTTCTTGAGACACTCAAATACGAATTTGACATCCACCGAGTTGAGCTCGGGCTCCTTGGTGCTGTCTTTCTCCTTCGAGGCCATTGTTGTGATTCCTGGACGATGAAGTGTCAATGGGTAGGCCTGGTGAGAGGGGGACTGATCAACAGAGAATGCTCAATTCTGTCTTGGAAAAGATATTGAGTGAGTCTGATCAGGGAGAGAAGGACATGGAGTACAGAAGGTGGAAGTCAGGAGTGGATATCGAGAGGAACAGGTTGTGAGGAAGAAGTGATGGGAAAAGCTTTCAGGTTGCCTGGAGTGGCTGGACTTTTCCGCAGAGATCCTTCAAAGCTCTGCAGTAAATTGACACTGAAGTGTTACGGTTGGGATTTTCTTCGGGGACAGGGACATGTGTGTATGCTCCGAACAGCTCCTATTGCATTTCAAGGTCTAGAATTTGCGGCGAAAATACAGGAAAAAACAGTAACGACAATTTGACATATGCACACTCATCACAAAACATTTGACACTATCCCATCACAGATAAAACCGCCTTTGTAGTAAGAATGACCCTCAGTGTATTCTATCCTCTTCATTGGGTGCGCTCGACACCACCGGCATTTCCTTCGAAGCCATATCGCTTTCCCCCATGCCAAATCCTGGATCGTGCGGCCGTTCAATCTTGATCAGGATGTCACTCATGCTATCATCCCCTTCCATCTCCGATTTCACAGGAGCCCAGATATGCTGAGTAGCCGGCGGGCGCTCGAATCCGATTACTGGACCAGGGAACGCAGGCGAAGGTGTATACATCGAGAGATCACCAGATGCATGGGAGAAGGGAGGGTACGGGGCCATGAATGGATGAGTAGAAGGACCGCTAGCTACCTGAGGTTGAGAGGAGACATGCGGGATATCAGCCAGGTTGAAGTTCTGGCAGTACGGGTCAATCTTGAGGTAGGGCTTCGGTTCGTGGGGTACCATTTGCGGCTCTTGCTTCACCATGGACTGAGACGGAGCTGGAACGGATCCTTTCTCCACGTCTGCCTTGCACGCGCCGGTTTTGGCTTTGCCGGGGGTCTTTTTGGGGCGAGAAGACCGCGGAGTGGAGGTGATGCCTTCCATTTGCTGTCGGAAGCGCGAGTATCGCATGCGAGCAGCATGGCCATTTGAGATCTCTAACTGGGATGCCACGAGATTCCAGTCGATCTATAGCAGTTGTAAGCGATGTTGTCAGTTCCTCGTGCTCGGTTTGACATACCGATTTCAGATCCAGCTGTTTGATGATCGTGTAGAGAAACTTGGCCGTTGGGCCATCAGTTGGCATAGCCTTGCTGCGCCGGACAGTTGACATGGTGAAGAACGCAACGGTTAGGAAAGACGTAAGGAAACAGTAGCTCAGTTTGGCACTTTGGGTATACTGGGTGCTTGGAAATGCAATGGATGGGGATGATGCACCAGCACGCACAGTACCGGAAATATATAACTTGTCTTCTGGCCGAACACATGATGGATGTGGCCTCATACAAGAGCGACAAACCGCCAATACAAAGAAGTAAGATACAGTTAGTAGACATCAACCAACAAAGCTATTTGCAGTCTTCATTGTTGTTCGACATGTAATTGGTTATGAGGTGGATGGCTTTTCGGCTTCTATCTGCATGTCTCAGCTGCCATCTCTGGAACTGAGGCATATCAAAGGACTGGCCCTCAATGAGGATGGACTGCTGGATGAACAACGCCTTGTCATGAATACAGGCTCTGGGCACGGCATTTGAATGCTTTTTGTCACAACTGTGTTGGGTGGAATATTTTGCAAAGTACCTGGGTAGGTAGTTATCAAGATGGTCACGTGGACTTCCTTGCCCTGACAACAATGAATATAGCCGGAGCTCTGAGCACACAACTTACTAGATAGGAGTTGACGTGTTGGTTATTTATCCTGAATTAAACATAAGCGGTAACAGAGAGCCGGAAGCGCTGGCGGATGGAGCTTCCGCGACTCTACTGGCTGCCCGCAAGCATCACAGCATGCGTTGGTACCAGACAAAAGGAATCATGCCAGCCATCTTTTTTCTTCCCGTCAAGCTCCTCGCTATCATCCGTCATTGGTGAGTCCAAACAATGGACATGTCATCAGATGCAGGCACCGTATCCCATTTCCGGGTGCCCTGATCAGGAGAACGCGGCAAACCTGAGAATATGACAGGTCCAGTTTGCATAGTCGCTAGCCCTGCTCGTGCTTCTACCCAAACCATGCCACAAGCGCACAAAGTTGGAGCCTCAAAATATTAGTCAATTGCAAAAGGATGGTGATAAACATACTGTCTAGGGACTTACTTGAACCTCCTCATAGCATTAAGTGGAATTGGTGCACGCAATGGATTTGCCCCGTGGCAAACATTCTAAGCATCATCCAGGATGGATCATGCAGGACCTCTCCAGAAACTGCTTCCGTCTTGCGATAAGTCTTAAGGTCTTGTTGATATTTCTTTTTCTGTGCCCCCGTGATTCTCCACCTGGTTCTGGCGTTTCGAGTAGCGCGTCTGTACGCGTCTGGACAGCAAACATTGCGCGTCAAGGTCTGGTATAAGTATTTCCTTGTGAGTAGGAGCTTTTCTCGAAAATCTTCTCCTGTGAGCATTCCTTCCGGTTCCTATCCTTTCAAATTTGCTGGCAATCTTGATCGCTGCCATGGGAAAGTCTATCAAGGTTCAGAAAAAGCCCCGATCTACAGTCAAAGACAAGCCTAGAAAGAGGCAAGACACTCCCGACTGGGATGATGGGCATGACAAGTATATGCTCTTGAACGTATTCCATTTACTTAATGTTGGAAAGCCGAATTTCAGACAGCTCTCCGAAGCGATGGGTAAACGGGCGTATTCTGAGCATCATCTAAGGTCCTCTTCCTCCAATACACCATTAAAGGCCACTGCTAATGCTATTCCAATGGAAATAGAAACCGGTTTAGGGAGCTCCGGACATCGCGGGCAGAGATCAAAAAGTACCGCGAGAGAATTGAATCACTCTTTATGAGCGACGAGGATTCCGAATCCGACGACGACTTCCGCAATGTCCACTCCGAAGTTCACGTCGTCATTGGCGATGGCGTAGAGAGCGAACAGCCATCACCCGGGTCCGATGCTACATTTGAAAGCCCCGGAACAGATTCTGGATACAGCCCGACGTCAAGTGCAAGTTCTGTTACTGCATCGCCGACTCCTTGCCAACGCCGTTCTGGCACCAGAAGGGTTCTCCCTAGCCGAGAGGCGCAGTCGCCGAGGCACGAAAGTTATACAACGGGGTCCAGGCCTCGTGCTGACTTGTATCGCCCGGCGAATCACTCGAGGCGAGCTCGTTCTCTCACTACTCCCGGGCTCCCTGCAGATGCTCCGCGACAGCCAGCGGCCCATAGGCGAGAGAGGAGTAGGAGAAGACCCGAGTCTACTCGGAACTCGGGACACAAGGTCAACATCACATCTTCTCTGAATGTCAACACTACAAGACGCGATGACCGTCGCAACTCCAGTCGTCGGGGCTAGTCCACATTCTTGCCTAGACTGGCATTCTGCTCAATGATCTCTCCATTGCGTTGTCTCCTGCTTGTCGCCTTTCTATTTCTGTCGTTGTTTCTTATCGTTTGTTCCGGTTGGCTTGAGAGTGTATTTGGGGCAAAAAAGACTTGGATATGCCTTGGTGAGCTTCCATTGTGAAAAGTGGACAAAAGTTAGATACCTCAGATGTATGATTTGGATACTTGTTTGTACTTATCTTCTGCTGAATCTATTTTCTATTGTTTCTCTTGCCATCTCCTTCTGCGGGTCATGATCACGTGGACATTTGATTCTCTTCGGCGAGCGGAGGGAAGATCCCCCGCACATACTACAACGCTCTGCCGTCTTTGTTGCTTCACTCTGTAGACCCTGCTGGACAGGCAAATCTCGCATACAATGGCCTTGGTCGCGATTGGCGCTTGCTACGTCGATACTATTTTGACGTTGGTCGACACTCCTTTCGAATGTAAATCTCAAAGCTCAAAAGCTCATTCCCACCTCCAGAACACCCCACTATCCGGGCGAAGATGAGAAACTACGCGCCTCTAGTATCTCGCGTCGGCGGGGAGGCAACTGTCCCAATACGCTGGAGGTTCTTCAGCAATTGACCGGCCAAGGACACTCCGGGGCCAAACTGCCCATCCATCTTGTGTCCGTCTTGCCCCAACGGCAATCTATCGCCTCCCAACAGATCCAAGCGGCGTTTGAGCCCCGCGTCGATGTCAGCCATTGTATCTATCGACAGGAATTTGAGGAGCCTGCATCCAGCTACATTATCAAGAGCCAGTCGTCTGGGAGCAGGACAATCGTCAACTACAATGAGCTGCCTGAGATGACGGTCGAAGAGTTCACGCGCATTGCGGATGACCTGGGTCCTAAAGCTAATTGGTTCCATTTTGAGGTGTGTAATATCAGTTATCATGCACATCCAGTAAAGCTCTGATGCTTACTTTACTCTGTTCAGGGCCGGATCCCAGATGTGATCCTATCATGCATCCGGTACCTTCGACAGAAGTTTCCCACGGTGCGAGTTAGCGTTGAGGTGGAGAAGCCCTGGAAGACCGGGCCTGCAGGAGCTTGCTACAGAGGCAGATGCTGTGTTTTACTCAAAGAGCTGGGCTCAGGTATTGATTGCGCTTATAGTCGTCTTCGACATTTCCAGGTTTGATGATTGGTCGCTAATTCATTTCAGGGAAACGGATATCAGTCAGCCCAGGAGTGCCTCCAGAAGCAGTCCTCATTGACCCGTAATGCGTGAGTTCTACAACCATGATTGTATCCTGCACCGACTGATGTACAACGCAGGTCGTTATTGCTCTGTACATGGGGACAAGATGGAGCTGTGGCCCTAGAACCCAAAACAGGAAACCTCATCCATCGCCCAGCATATACAGCCAATAATTTCAAAGTCATCGAGTAAGTGACGTCTTTTCAGAAATGAAGGACATTGCTGATACCGTTACAGTCCTATCGGTGCAGGAGATACTTTCATAGCTGGAATGCTGTATGCAATGCTATGCCAAGGAGACAAGTGGGACGTTTCGGAGAAGCTGGGCTTTGCGAACCGCGTTGCCGGAATGAAGGTAGCACAAGAGGGCTTTTCTGGACTGAGCAAGGCTTTGAATTCGTATCCTTAATTGACAAAGTCTCAGTCAATTGAACGAATTGATCTCCACAGCCGTAGTCTTGTAAATACTAGTCCCAATTCCCAGACGATCGAGCCCATTTCTTCGATAATGGATGCGTGGTTCTAATTTTAGTAGGAGATCCCTATATTTTATATTATTCTTAAAATTTGATTCAATATGCATAAGTTATTCTGTAGTATGGTTCCAAATGCATTTCCGTTTGGGGAAATGTGCACGTGACATCTTATCAAGGAAAGCGGTGGGGGCAAGAAAATATTCTGCCCGCAACTTTTTTGATTTTCGCTGAAGCTTTTCGCTGCGGAGAACACAGCATCGCATTTTTCCCAACGAAACTGCCATACTCTACAATTTACCATGGCGGCCGTGTACAAGACACTCTCTAAGAAACAGGCGAGGAGGCTCGCAAAGGAGCAGGAGGAAGAGGAGGAGGATATCGAAATGGGCGACTTTCTCGGCGGCGCCGACGATTCAAGCGACAGCGAGGAAGAGGAGGAAGAGTCCGTTGAATCCGCCAAGAAGCAGCTTGCCGCTGGTCTCATGCCTAAGACTCGGGTTCTTATGCTTACTTCCAGAGGAGTGACATACCGGTAAGTTCGCATCCATGGCATGCGACTTGGTGAAGATGAAGCAAATAACTGACCATCTTGACTTCTAGCCATCGACACCTTCTGGCTGACTTGACGTCTCTGCTTCCTCACACCCACAAAGAAAGCAAGCTCGACACCAAGAAGAAGACTGCTGGATACAACCTGCTTCTCAACTCCCTCGCCGATCTCCACTCGTGCAACGTGATTTTCTTCCTCGAGGCCCGCAAACGCGGTCAAGATTTGTACCTCTGGCTCTCCCGGCCGCCCAACGGCCCGACGATCAAGTTCCACGTCAACAACCTGCACACGATGAGCGAATTGAATGCTGGCTTCAGCGGTAACTGCCTGAAGGGCGGTCGTGGTATTGTGGTTTTCGATCGCTCGTTCGACGAACAGGGACCCGAGATGAGCAAGCCCGGCAACGAATACAGAGGCCTGATTCGGGAGATGCTTCGCGGTGTGTTCTGCGTTCCCAAGCGCGGTGTCAAGGGAATGAAGCCCTTCGTCGATCGCATCATCGGCATCTTCGGCGTGGACGGAAAGATCTGGATCCGCGTCTACGAAGTCAGAGAATCGGAGCCTGGCGCCAAGAAGACCACGAACGAGGACGGAGAGGAAACCGTCAAGCCGGCCCCGAGGGGCGGTCCGCCGGAGATTTCTCTGGTTGAGATCGGACCCCGCTTCGTGTTGACGCCGATTGTCATTCTGGAGGGCAGCTTTGGCGGCCCGGTTATCTACGAGAACAAGGAGTATGTGAGCCCGAACCAGGTTCGCAGCGAGATCCGGTTGAGCAAGGCTGCGCGCTACGCTAAGCGCAGAGATGTTCAGACCGACCGCCTCACGAAACGGTCGGCGTTGGAAATGGGTCACGGCGAGCGCAAGCCCAGTGCTTTGGACAACAAGCAGATCTTCGGTTGATCTGCATTGCCTTATGTTCGTTTCCTTGCTGCGTTCTGTATGGGGTCTTATAGACTTGATATCCTGAGGGGATGTACATGTGATTGATAAGGGGTACATTGTCATGGTCTCTTTATGGCGTCTGGTGTGCAATAATATGAAAAGTTTCTTTATCTCGGACTAATAAACCCTGAGCAAGACGTTCTCTGTTCTATCTCTTTGCCCTGACCGGTGTTGGTAGGCTGAAATCACTACATACTGAGCAAAAACCCACAACCCGCGAGATCTCAACTTGACTCTCCGTTGCGGGGCCAAAGGACGTCCCCAAGTCTGTACTTCAACATTGAGGACTCTAGGAAGAGCTGAATCATGTTACACGGTCCCTGGGAAGTCGGATCAAGCTGGCTGAAGTAACTTAGACCTGGGCGGAGATTAGATAAGCACTCTATATAAGACCGAACCCATCGGCGCGTCCAAGACACATCTCTCCAGCAACAACTATGGCATCGCCTTCGTCATCCAGCCCGCTGCGGCTCTTTGTGACTGACACCTGCTGCATCATGTTGCTCAACATCTCTGAGATCTGTTTGGTTGTGAAATCCCCCAAGGGAGGGGTCTCGACTTAAGTCCTCAAGTGACCGCGACAGCACCCTTGACTCAAGTTCGGCGGTGCTGTACTCCGATAATCCTATCCACCACATAGGCACGCATATCGAATTGTGCTATTTGACCGTTTCGCTTCTACACGCATCTAGAAACCATCGATAAGTTAATTTGATGCATGTTACGCGTGGTCGCACCATGATATCTTCTGCTAACAGCCGCCCTAGATCTCGAAACATGTTCAAACTCCTGCCTACGGAGCTTCTGCTCCACATATTTCGCTCGTGCGACTCGATAACCGACATCATAAGCTTGACCTCCACCTGTCGCCGACTCCGCCATGTCTTCAATCAGTCGAACAAACTGCAAATTCTGCTGGACATCGCCGAACACGAGTTCGGACCTCTGGACGACATCATCCAGATCGTGACGCAGAACTCAAGTCAACCGGCCCATCAGATCCGCACAGCCCCCATAACCGTCGCATTGTTCAAACAACTCGCGCAGATCGGCCGCGTGGCCCACAAGTGGGAGGCGATCTACCCGGTCAAGAAATGGAAGATGGACTACGAAAACCGGCGGTCATTGACGTCCGACGAGAGGTATCGTCTCCGACGCGCGCTGTACCGCTTGTGGCTGTATCACCGCGCGTTCCACGTGCGTCTCTACGATCGCTTCTCCCGCAACCTCCTCCATGTCATCACGGAGCGTGCGCGCCTCCTTCACAACTGGTCGACCGCGGAGCTGGCTGAGATCGAGGACCTGCGTCTGGTGATCTGCGACGTGGTGCAGAACCACATCTGTCCCAGCAATGGCACCATCCAGCGCAAGTTCCGTAAACGTTATCCGGAGAGTAACCACCAGCTGACGTTCAACATCCACCTCAACTACCCGGTCGATAGTGCTCCTACGAGTGCCTACGGGTTCCTGGGAAACACCACCACACCCTCAGTCGACCAGTATTTCCACACGGCACACCCGACCGGTTCTGTAGAGTCGCAGGCGAAATACAGATCCCGGTTCCGGAACGACTTCTTCCATGACCCCGGCTTTGAGGGCTGGGGCGACGAGATCCCGCATTATTACGTCGTGCAAGATATGATGAAGCTCGACCCGGGCCAGATCCTGTGGCTGCGTGAACATGCGCCCCTGAAGGAGCAGGTCGAGGCTTTTGTGCGTTCGCTGGGAGACTGGTTCCGGGACAATGGCGAGACGTTTGGGGAGACGTTTGAATGGGTGATGAAGGAGAGGGGGGACGATGTTGCTGAGGTGAGAATGGCCATTGCGGACCGCGAATTAGGGATCGTGTGCGAGGAGTAGTTAGATACTTCTCGGAGTCAATGTCAGTTGTCGGTGTGTTCTGCGATAGGAGCTACCTACCACTTTTGTACGGAATAAGGAGTACGGAGTATGGGCTTCAAGAAGCTGGTGGATCACCGTCCTTGGAAATGGGTTCTGGAATGTCGGTTAAAGAAATTAAAGACCCTCATTAACCCCCTGATCATCCCGTCTAACCCGCACCAACCGACCCGTTACTGGGCCTCTTACGTACGAAGTACATACGGAGTAGACCGTAGGTAGGTATCCTACTTCTGAAAGTCGCAAGTCCATGTTTTGCAACAGAAACCAACCACGACATACAGAACACCTGGAAGGAAACAAAGGGCAGTCTTCTGACAAGGCTTTGTTCCTTGAAAACTCCGAGGTCCCTAACCTAGCAGGTACTTAGGCAGTGGAGCCAACATGGAATTGCATTGCGTTGTTGTGGGCTGCCTCAAGGCCGGGGACTTTGTGGCCTTATGGTTGGCTGGGCTAGAATGCTAAGAAACTGACACTATCCTCGGAAATCTTTAGCGCCAGCAGCCTATCCCCGAGATAGACAAGTTTGCTTCCCTCCAGGCACCCACACATCGCATGTGCTTGTCGGAGCGTGTTCACCGCTCTCTGGTAATTTCCATCTACACGCCAATCTCCGCTGACGCTTGATCCTTGCTCAAGGCCAGGTGGGCGGTGGTTCTCAAGATAGAACCTCGAAAATAGTGATCATCTACGGAGTATCCATGGACCAATGATGGAGCGGCTGGAAATAGTGAAGAGTGTCCACGAGATCTCCTAACTAATAAGGATGGATAACCTTGCATACTTCAGATCACATCACGTATACTATCTACGGCATCCCTTGGGTCGATGGTGGAGGTTGGAACCAGCTGAACTGCAAGGAGGCCTCTTTTCCTTGTGATCTATCCATCCTCAGAACGGCACTTCTCTGGGCAACAGACGGATACATTTGTGCGCATGCATATACTGTACTGCTCTTGATCAAAGAAACCACAGCCAATAATAATCCCGTACAACCCACGTAGCCACTATATTAGACGCCGCTGATGACAACTCAAAGTCAGGAACCAAATCAAGACTGGAGAGAAACATGGAGGGTTGGACACGTTGTACCAAGCAATCAAAACGAAAGGGAAATGGAAAAAAAAAGATGTCAATTTCATAAGTTAGGGTGATGAACACAAATAACATGGAGGAAAGGGAGAAGTAAAAAAAAAAGAAATCAAAGCAAGCTGACGACGCGGAATGCTATCGCTGTCCAACTAGCATCACCGCGTCATCCCAAAGTCCCTGGATGCCGTTCCCGACAACGTCCCTGTTGTGTACCATCTCCTTGGAGGCTAAGTAACAGACAGAAAGAAAACAAGGCCATTTCAATTATCACATCACAAAAATAAAATCGTTGCGGTTGGCGTGTCGTCCCCGAAGGCGGCAGGGATTTGTTTTTTCTAGCAGCATCCCTGCTTCGATTCGGAATCCGGCGTTTGGGACACGTCTATCACGGGGCGACGGTCACCCAGGGGAGCCTGGCTGTCACCGCTGTCGAGGGCCTTGCTGGAGACAATGCGGTAGATTTCTGAGGTCGTGTGAGCTATGAAGAGGGAACGAGAAGGGAAGGAGGCGAACCTGTGAGGATGTTCTGGAACGCAAGCTCGACGTTGCTTGCATCAAGGGCGGAAGTCTCGATGAAGGAGAGGTTGTTCTCGCCTGTGCGATGTTAGCATCAGCCCGTTAACTGCTCCCTCACACATCCACGTACTGGCAAACTGCTTAGCCTCCTCTGTGGGCACCGCGCGCAGGTGTCTCAAATCGCTCTTGTTTCCGACAAGCATGATGACGATGTTGGAGTCAGCATGGTCCCGGAGTTCCTTCAGCCACCGGTTGACGTTGTCGTAGGTCTGATGCTTGCTGATGTCGTAGACGAGGAGGGCGCCGACGGCACCACGGTAGTAAGCGGAGGTGATCGCACGGTAACGTTCCTGACCAGCCGTATCCCAGATCTGAGCCTTGATAGTCTTCGAATCTACCTGAATGGAGCGGGTAGCGAATTCGACACCGATGGTGGACTTGGAATCCAAGTTGAACTCGTTACGCGTGAAACGGCTCAAAAGGTTGGACTTTCCGACACCAGAGTCTCCAATAAGCACCACTGTTGCACCACAATCCACCGTCGGTTAGTTGAGGCTTTCGAATGGAGTGAAACATGGCAGGAAAGGGATGGCTTCGCAGTGTCGGCGCGGGGAAGTGGCAACTTTACCCTTGAAGAGAAACTGCGGGAATAATGCGGTCAGTAGGCAACTAACAAAGGGAAACGAGGACACTCACATCATACTCGTCGTTAGCCATGGCGGAAAATGGTCACCGAGGTCAATCGGCTGGTCTGAGATAGGCGAGGTTGGGAGGAAAATCGGGGTGGGAATCAAGGAGGTTGAGTTGGAGGAAGTAGGTCCAGGCAGAACAGAGCGGACACCAGCGTGTACACTACTGGGAAGGAGGGGAGCGGCGGGTCAGTCGACTGAAAGCAAAACAAGGAGGGTCAGAAGAGGGAAGAAGAAAGGGGCGGAGGAACAATGACAGCTGTCAGTGGGAGGGAAAAAAGACTGGAGTACTCACAGATAGGTCAGGGGGGAAGAAGAGGATTGTTTAAGGGGAGAGAAAGAAAGATAGGAGGTCATCCAGACGCCTACTGAGATGATTCCCGTTCTCGTTCGCAGTGCCGAGCGCTGTGCCGCCCGTTTGGGGTTAGCGCCCGCTTGCACGTGATACCTGCTTGTTTCGATAGTCATCTCCTGCCTCTTCGTTCGCGAGAATTTCACGCCCAGATTCCTGAGGGAAACGGCCGATAGTCTGGAGGATTTACCTCTTTCCTGACAAGTTGACACGTGGCTTGGCCCATGATCTGCATGGTCAAGGCGTGTTCGGTCCAGGCCCAATGCGTTCATCATGGCCCAAGCGGACAGTGATGACAGTATATCCGTGACCTCCACCGTATTGAGTGAGGAACAGTCCGAGTACGAGGTGGACACCATTCTCGCTGAGGACAACTCCGGAGATGAGACCTACTATCTCGTCAAGTGGCTTGGGTATCCCGAAGAGAGGTGTACATGGGAACCTGCCGACTCTTTCTCCACTGAGGAGACATTAAGAGACTGGGCAGCAAAGAAAAGATCTATCGCCGACGGGAAACTCACGCCATTCGATACAGATGCGTGGCAAGCCAGGGTCGAGGCGTTGGAAGCCCAGAAACAGGAAAGAAAGCGCCGAAGACAGGCCAAAAGGAGGCGACTAGGTCTGCTAAATGCTGGCATCGCACCTGTGGGCGCGACCCCGATCTCTGGAGCTTCCAAAGTGAATGCCTTGAGCACTAAGGTGAATACAGAAGCGGGAACTTCTAACAAAAGGACTGCGCCAGAGTCCCCGGTTCATGGTCGCGAACGTGAACAGAAACGCGTTAGCATTTCTATCCCCTCAAGACCGCGCCCGAAGCCTCCTCCAGTCCTCTTTGGCAGTAGTAAATCACGGCCTGCCCCAGGCCCTGCTCGGGCTCAGAGACCTCATAATCCTGACTCCTTCAAGAGATTCAATCTGTCTACTCAAAGGAGATACGAAAAGGCCAAGAAAGATGAACCCCCACCAAATACCGGCCAACTCGAAATGTTTCGACCATCAGAGTTCCCCGCCAGGTCCGGCGCCAATTTGGCTGCGCTAGGTAGTCGCGGCTTGCGCAGGCCTGAAGGCTCTGCAGCTCAAGGTTCACCCCGAGCCCCGACAGTGGATACGCAAGCTGGTTTGCCTATGCGATCTACCGAGACCTTTCACAACGACAGCCCAACGTCTCAGTCCCCGTCTTCCAGGGCCCCAGCTTTGTCGAACCCCCTTAACCCCGACTCCAGAACAAGTACTCGCAAACCGGACACACAGCGGGACGTTCCAAGAAGGAGGCCTGGCCCTTACGCGAAACGAATACACCGACAACCAGACGTATGGTGGAATCCCGGGGAGGCCTTTGTCTTCCTCTACTACGGGCCAAACAGAGAAGAAATCGGAGCAGCGAGGTTATGTGGGCTCAATAGGCTCACCTTAGACAGACTTGTCAAGTCTAAGAGGCTGACGCGCCAACTCAACATCTGGTTCCAGCATCTCTCCACCCTGGCAGATTATCAAATACAATGCGATAGTGTGAGTTGGGCACTTCCATGCATCTGAGGATAATTATCAATATTTCACTGATACTGATAGCCGACCGAATAGTCTAGAAACGATGTGATCTGTAACGGCTGGGTCGAGGGGTTTGACCACACCGAGCCCAGTATTTATAGATTCGCCAAAGAACTTATGCAGAAAAACCTTGTGGCGATAGCCTGTCCGGATAACCCATCCCATGATGCATATCTTCTCTATCCACCGGAGACTCGTGACTTCGGATTTTTGGGGCGTCACGCCAAAGAGCCACCAGACTTCTCTCTTCGCATTGCTGTGAAAAGGTCTACAGATTTTTTCCAGCAACCACCTCTTCCGGCCGAAGCTCCCAGAGCTCCCTCAATGATTCAAACTGCTCCATCGGACAAACTTTCCCATTCATCAAACAGACCGGAACCGCCTCGGAGACAGCTCAGTGATGACGTCCATTTCAACACGGCTCCTTCAAACAACGCCATCCAGCCATCGCGGTCGGACCGACAAGGCCTAGCGGAACAACAGCCAAAAACCATGCGCTCAAACTCCCCGGTGACTTCAGCAGAATACGACATATCACCGGGTGGAGAGCGCATGGATATTAGCGATGACGATGAACAGTCATTAGCAGTATCTAACAAGCCCGTTATGCCTCCTTCTAATGCTCCAGAGAATGCGCGAGAGGTCGCGAACGAAATGTTTCTGCAAATGTTCGGAGTAACCTTCGAGATGCTCGCAACCGTAGATGGAAACCCGAAATCGCCATACTCGGATTGTTTTTACATAATGCTTCCCAGAGATCCTTCAGCAGCGAAAGAATGGGAGATACTCCGAGGATTTCTTAAGGCAAACGGGGCACTCGTATATTCCAATATTATTGATGACGATTGGGACAAGTTTCTGCGCATCTCACCTGGGGTTATCTTGGTGAGCCTACCCCAGGGATCCCTTGAAAAACATGCTAACTTTCTGCAACAGGTTCACGATAGCCACATGTGTCAATTTTCTGAACCATGGTTCAAAGAGTTGACTCGCAGATCGTCTTGGAGGTATTCCTTGTCCAATACGCCGGGACAGGCAAACTTCCAGCGTCTATTTCCAATGGGTGGTGTCATTCTGATAACAGAAGATTTTATGATTCGCCGCCCAGAGGGGATTCTCATCTTCCTTGACTATTTTTACTGCATGTATTTCAAGGGCCGATATCCTGGTACTTGGAAAGTCATGTTCCGGCCCGATGTACTGAACTGGCTGATGACCTTATACGAGAAGGACAAAGGTCCGGTGTAAGTCTTTGCCAGCACCTTGCACACTTTCCGACAGCCGCAAACACCAGAATTAACAATATTTTTAGATGGCTAGCGCTTTATTGGGCAATCATGCGTCTCAACAAGTCCACAAGCACCGACCTTCCAGACGGTATCAGTAACTCGTTGTCCGAGAGTGCTGTCATCTCCCCTCGCTCAATCCCCCATTATGGCTTTAGAACCGAAGAGCACAACCCAGATATCCCCAAGGTCCTATCACAGGAGCAGAGGAATGCCGACCACCTGGTCGAGCTTTTCGCTGGGTGGGCTCTTCTTAACTGTCACCGCTTCAGGAAATTCTATGTGCTCACGCACGTGCCGCCACTCGAGAGGTGGAATTCATGGTGCCACATCGGTCCGATTATATTTGGAGAGAAGCAATTGATGAAGGAGTTCAAAATCAAGCACAAATATCACTGGGACAGACTTCGCGGACAAAATTCGACGGGAGATTCCGAACAACAGCAGCCACATACGCCCTTCGAACCACGTACCCCGAAGACTCCTGCGAAGCCCCCTTCGCACCTGGATGGCGCAACACCTGCAGATCCCCGACGTCGTGCCGCGCCACAGAATTATCCCCAGCCTTATCAATGATTCTCTGTCGTTGGAGCTGCAACTGATCTTTCATGAGTCTTTTGTTCTCAAAATACCATGCCGGCGTTTCTATCGCATTCTGTTTTCATCGTCCATGTCTGGGAATGTGTTTCTGAAGATATCCTACGATGCCATGCTTAATAATAATGATCCAACTTTGAGCTATCACGCTTGAGTACCATTTACGAAATCAGAAGACATCTGACTGCACGGTAGCCTGCGATATCGAAACTCGAAAGGCAGTAAATTACAAGCGCTTTGAGCTGGCGCCCAAACGCCGCAAAGATTCGCTTATTCTGTTCAATGAGGAGTCAAAAGGTAATCAGGGTAAACAAGAGACCGTGAGGAATAACCATATGCGGAAGAATGGACGTGAACTACAGCCCAACCGCTCGGGTGCGGTAATCGCGGAAATTAGAGATAGGATGCTCTTCCGACGTAGTGGAGTTCTGGGCTTTTGATCGTTCTTTTGCCTTCTTCTCTTGGCGCATTTTCTCCTCCCAGCGACTCTCTTCCGCGGCTATCATTGAATGGAACCGGCCACCTTGGCCGCGGGCGAGATAGATGGGCTTTTCTTCGCGATTTGCAACAGCTTCCGTGACCAGCACGAACTTCACACTGGACCCTGGAGTTTCGAACATGGCATCACTGAGGATCGTCTCCAGCTCCGTTCGTAGAGCGCGTGCTCCCGTGCCCATTGTGAAAGCATTGCCAGCAATTTTATGCAGGGCGGGTGTTGTGAAGCGGAGTTCAATGCCTGACAAGGAGAACAGAGTAGTGTACTGCGCTATGAGGGAGTTGCGCGGTTCGGTGAGGATGCGCACAAGTAGGGGCTGGGTCAAGGTGGAAAGCGCTGCCGTAACTGGGACTCGGCCGACTAGTTCTGGGATGAAGCCGTAGTTCTGAAGGTCCGTGGGGTTGAGGAGGTCCAACGCGTTGAAGTATGGGGGCTCGCCGTCGGACGATTCTGCCGCGGCGGACGTGAAGAACGGAAGGTGTCTCTTGTACAGAGCCTCTTCTTCCGAACCCGGTAAGATAGGAATTGGCTGGTGGTTTGAGGCACGAGCTTCGGCGGAGCCTTCGTTTGACGTTGTCGGCGAACGGACTGGCTGACCGAAGCCAATCGATCCGCGCGATATCCGATCCATGATCACTTTGTGGAGTCCAACAAAAGCACCTGAGAAGATGAATAGGATGTTGTCTGTTCGTACGTTGTAGACCTCGCCCTTCTGGGGCATATTCCCGCCCCCGGATGGGGGGTATGGGGGGTTTCCAAGGGGACTGTTGGACGGAAAACTGTTGGGAGTGCCACCTAGACGAGGGGCGCTCTTCTCTTGCTTTGCTTGCACTTGTACTGTCGTGCCCTCAATAATCTTCAACAACGCTTGTTGCACTCCTTCACCACTGACGTCCTTGCCGTGGGTAACCTTGGCTGCTGCAATTTTGTCCACCTCATCCAGTACGATAATCCCCCGCTCTGCTTGTTCGACGTCGTAGTTCGCGGCAGCCAATAACTTGTGCACGCACACTTCGGCATCCTCCCCAATATATCCCGCCTGAGTGAACGGGGTGCAATCAGAAATGCTAAACGGCACTGATAGGACACGGGCCAATGTCTTGGCCATCAGTGTCTTTCCAACACCAGATGGACCTAACAAGAGAATATTGGACTTTTCCAATTGTAGCGGCGATGAGTCGTTTAGCTCGGCTTGGTCGGTAGGGGACGACAGGGTAGATTCTGGGGGAAGACGGGCAGTCCGTTGCTGACCAGGAAATTCGTCTGCGACAAGTTTAATCAGTGGTCAGTTATAATGATTTATCAGCTTTGCTTAATTCAGGATGGGCCTTACCCTCCACAGGATGACGGTGCTCAACTGATTCCCGGCGCGCTCGTTTGGCCACCAGTTCCGCGGCCTCTTCTTCGCGTCGCTGAAGCTCCTGAACGCGTTGGTAATGATTGTAGACGGCGACACTAAGTATTTTCTTTGCGCGATCCTGTCCCACCACGAACTGATCCAGATACTGCTTCAGTGTTCTTGGAGTCACCCGAGGAGCTCCGAAAGCCGGAGCAGACGCCAAAGGGCCCGCAGTTGGAAGGCCTGGTTCATAACTACCGCTCCACGGTTGGTTTGTGAAGTCCGACCGATTGAATTGTGATGCCGTTGGAAATGATACGGTAGAACTGGAGAAACTGCGGCGTTGGAGACATGGGCGTGTCTGGGCTGCGTGCCGATAGCGGAGAGCGAACTTGCGGTATCGACCAAGAGGCGCGGAAGATCTCAAATATAGGCGCAGCATGGCCAGCTGCGAAATCAGGTAAAACTAGCAAGGTGGAGTGTTTCGTGAGACGGAGAGCCGGGGAGTAAGCTGGATGACTGAAGATGCGTTAGGAGTCGGATCTGATGGCACCGCTGATAGTAGATAAGATGCAATCCGATAGCTTTCCCCGCAGCACGTGATGCTACCGGCCGACGGTACCCGTTGTCATGGTTTGGAGCATTCAACACTACGTAGGTACGCCTTTCCCAGTAATGGTCCATACAAATGTACGTATCCAGCTAAAATCATGGCTGTATTCAGACAGGAGGGCATAAGGAGATTGTATCAAATCCGGATGAGCTTGAATGGTATATATTCCAGCGCGGAACTTTGACAACACGTTAACAATGTCGCCCATGGTCTCTCTAGGGTCCTCTAGACACGATGTCTATTCTTCATTCCTTTGCGTATAACCCGAGCACGGATAGGATTTCTAACCGAAGATGGAGCCACCAACCCCTGCCCAGACTCTGAGCCTTGCTCACATGAAAGCAAAGCGATCTGAAGAGGCCGTATGCCTGCGTTGTACAAGAGCAGAGAAGCCACCGCCGTCAATGCCTCTGGCTGCTCTCTCGAGAAAGCCATGGAAACAAGGAGTGGTGCCACATTCGGATCACCTGAGTTGTCCACAGTAGAAATCCGTGAACGGGACTGGACTTGATCGGGAATGCCAGGGGTGCAGCTGGGGAGAGATTGTAGATTATTGGGTATTCTGGGTCATCGGCATTTTCATTTGTTCGTTCGGAAGGCGGGTTGCTGCACCATTGTCTGGGAAATGAAGCTGCGCAGTGCCGCCCAGCGATTAGATGTCGACGTAGAATCATTTCCGGAGTCTGTCGCAGTCGTCTCGATACTCGACATCTGCGCCATGTTCTTCGCGAAACGGTCCCGTTCCATTCTTTCCAGCTTTTCCCTGCGTTTCATAGCACCAGGTTTGTGCTTCAATGTCTTTTGCTTGATCACGTTGACCTGGTTGCTGGGATCGTTCATTTCTGTCTCGGTTTCAGGCAAGGCATCGGCCAGCGAGTCAAGGTTGGTAGCGAGCTTCTTGGACGCTCGTCGACGCTTGGTGGCCTTCTGGGAGCTTTTCTCTATCTTTGAGACGAAACTGGCATGTTTGATGGTGCGCTTATCCTTCTTTGTGGTGCGAAAAGCGTCGTCGAAAAGACCCGACTTGGTGGATGGAGGAGCACCCCTCCCACCTACCTGGGTCTTAGCAACGGACTGTTTCTTCGCGGACCTGATAGGAGCCTTTGGGAAGCATCAGTTGCGTCAGTTCGAAGGCATATTCATGTGGGATCAGAGGCTGAGGGCTTACCATAGTCGGATTCACCGGGGCACGTCGGGATGGCCGAAGGAAAAGATCGTAGGGGACTAAAATAAGTAGCGAGACCGACCGATCGACAGTATCTCCGGACAATCACGATAATATTCGAAACCTCGGATCCCGAAGGCCTTTCTTGACTTTTTTTTCGCGCATTGCCGCACTAGACCGAAGAGGGGTTAACTCCGCGATGTTCCCCAGGTTCACCGCCCACATGACCGCCCACCAAAGTCTCTTCCTTGTTTTCCTTTGCTGTAGATTCTGGTTTGCCCCAACATCGATAAGGCTCGTCCCCCCAATGGTCATTAATACATATAAGCGGAGGTCAAAGCCACACACTACTCGTTCCCTCCAATCTCTCCCACCATTTACGCTGCCTAGAACCATCCATCTCTGGTGATCTACTGTACAAACGGTGGTATCCGTCCGGTGACATACGCTCGGAACGGGAAATTGCAAGCTTTTGCCTATCGGACACTATTTATCGTCCCTAGTTTTCTTTTCCTCCCGACCAGATCCACATTCACGGGTATTTCAGCCCACCTTTTATCTCGCAATTACATCAGAAAGAGCCACTTTAGTGACTCTAACGGAGGTGTCGCTTTCCTCATTTGCAGCTACTGCGTGGATGCAGTCTCCATTGCGCCTTTTCTCTCGCCGGACCTGCCTTTCTAGCCCCCTTGCCACGGAGACTCTGCCTCGGTTCTCGATCTTTCTGCCAATCCCTCTCAGTCCCATCATAGGGAACTTCTCCTTGTGTTCTACGTATCCTACAACTTTTAAGATTCGCTCGTTCGCCCCCATCCGTCCTTTCTCCTGTTCCTCTTCTCCATTATTATCCGAATCTATCGCCAACCAGAACACCATGGGTTCCCTTCTGCCCTACGCGCGCAAACACAAGGTGGCCGTGATTGGCTCCGGAAACTGGTATGTGTGATTCTCAGGAGGCAGATTAGACGTATGGACGGGTTGTGGAATGCTGACAATGTTTCTGCGCAGGGGTACTGCTATCGCCAAGATCGTCGCTGAGAATACCGCCAGTAACCCTGCCATCTTTGAGAAGGATGTTCAGATGTGGGTTTACGAGGAGAAAGTTGAAATACCCAAGGACTCTCGTCACTATGATCCTGCCTCGCCTCTGTGCCAAGGCCCCCAGAACTTGACCGATGTGATCAACCAGACTCACGAGAACATTAAGTACCTTCCTGGAATCACGCTCCCCACGAACCTGCACGCCAACCCTTCGGTTGTGGACGCTGTCAAGGACAGCACCATCCTTGTGTTCAACCTCCCTCACCAGTTCATCATCAAGACATGTGAGCAGATCAAAGGAAAGATTGTACCATACGCTCGTGGTATCTCTTGTATCAAGGGCGTCGACGTGCAGGAAGAGGGAATCAGTCTGTTCTCAGAGACGATTGGCAAGATTCTGGGCATCTACTGTGGTGCACTTTCTGGTGCCAACATCGCCAGCGAAGTGGCCCAGGAGAAATGGTCCGAGTCGAGCATTGCTTACGACCCTCCTCATCTAGATTCGAAGGCTCCTTCTCCCAATCGTTCTCCTTCCTCCTCCACTGTGGACGTCGTTCATTTTGAGCACAAGGATGTTTCTGGTCAACTCTCTCGTGTCAAATTGCAAGCACTTCCTTCCGAGTACCCTCCAGTGGACCACGCGGTGCTGAAATCGCTGTTCCACCGCCCCTACTTCCATATCCGCGTGGTGCACGATGTTGCAGGTGTGTCGCTTGGTGGTGCCCTCAAGAATGTCGTCGCTATCGCTGCCGGATGGGTCGAAGGCATGGGATGGGGTGACAACGCCAAGGCTGCTGTCATGCGGGTAGGCTTGTTGGAGATGGTCAAGTTCGGAGAAAAGTTCTTTGGTGCTACCATCAACACCAGAACTTTCACCGAGGAAAGTGCAGGTGTTGCCGATTTGATCACGAGCTGTAGTGGTGGCCGGAACTTCCGCTGTGCGAAGCTGAGCGTCGAAAGGAAGCAGCCGATCTGGAAGATCGAGGAGACGGAATTGAATGGCCAGAAGCTGCAGGGCACTTTGACTGCGCTCGAGGTGAATAAATTCTTGAAGAAGCAGGGTTGCGAAGACGAATTCCCTTTGCTGACGGCGGTGTACCGTATGTCCTCCGCGATCGCTCCGTTTACGTGTTATGATCAATTGCTGACCTCTCGCTAGGGATCCTGGAGGGCAACATGTCTATTGAAGACATTCCTTCTCACATTGAACGGTAAATTAGACCTAATGGTATCCCTATTTTCTTCACTGCTTCTGTTATTGATTCACGGAATTTGTATTCTTTCCTACAACAGCAAACCCATGTCTCATGCATTGCCGGAATCGGACGGAGTGAACGGTGGCGATCAGGCGGTTATGGCCCGACTGTGAAGGGTCTAACTGGCTACATTATTCTGCGGTCTTGATCTTTCCTTCCTTTTTGAATCCCCCTTTTGTTTCTGTTGGGCTTGCGATAGGTATTATTTGGCATGAATCCATCTGCACATAGACTATATAGAAAGCATTGATATATTATCACGATTCTTTCCCCGTGGGAAAAGTAAACAATCCACCGGTGCCAACATTTGGCTAGTGGTGGTGGGACACGTGCGGAGGCCCGAGTTCTGCGGTCCAGACCTTTGTCAACACTTCCCGCACCAGGAAAACACTTGAATGCATGATGTCAGACTCGGCCTGCGGGGTCTGCGGGCGCCCAGGGCAGGAACAAGACAAAACCTGAATGAGGGGACCATTTGAATTCTTTCAACCTCTCAAACCCCTTTTTTGTCGTTCAGTCTCTAGCAGTGTGTTGATCCAAGCCAGGTCTACTCAGTCCGTATCTACGTCCCATGCAGTACAGCTGGTTAGGCTGATTTTCGACCGTCGAGCTTCCTGTACCCCTTGTGCATTCCGGCCGCTGCGAAACTTCGCTTTGGGCCATATCTCAAGTGGAGGAACGATGTCTTCTCCGCAGAAGGTGTACCTTCTTCCCTTGAAAGATGACGGTTCTCCGGATGTACCTGGTGGATATATATATCTACCACCTCCTACCAACTCTCCTTACCATGTTCGTTTCGTTATCGAAGGCAGCAGCTCTATCTGCAGAGGCGGGTCATTGTGGGTAAACGCTCCACAAGATGGGAAACCCTTTGACAGATCGGTATTTCGAAGCTTCAGGTGAGTTGGGCTCTATCTGGAGACAGTCTGCGAGGTTACTTAGACTACACCAGACTTCAACCGAATTTCAACAAGAACATCCAGATCGATATTCCCATCACCAAACCTGGTTCTTTCGCATTCTACATCACTTATTCTCCACTTCCTGAATTTTCGGTCTCTCCGGTCGCAGTGTCCAAGACTGCGAGAACTCCGACCCATTACATTGATGTTGCCCCTCGACTGACCCTCAATGGTCGCGACTTGCCTCTCAATGCGCTCTCCATATTTTCCATCCTCTCCAAATTCATGGGCAGCTATCCTGGGGATTGGGATAAGCACCTCAATGGCATCGGTCAACGCAACTACAACATGGTGCATTTCACGCCTTTGATGAAACGCGGTGCCTCGAATTCTCCCTATAGTATCTTTGATCAGCTCACCTTCGACGAAGCTTGTTTTCCCAATGGAGAAGACGACGTTGCCCAATTGGTCTCGAGAATGGAGAAAGAGTATGGCTTATTGTCCTTGACCGACGTGGTCTGGAACCATACCGCCCACAACAGCCAATGGCTGGAGGAGCATCCGGAGGCCGGCTATAGTGTTGAGACGGCTCCATGGCTAGAGGCGGCTTTGGAGTTGGATACAGCATTGTTGAAATTTGGGCAGGACCTTGAATCATTGGGCCTTCCGACTGAGTTCAAGACGGTTGACGACTTGCTTCTGGTCATGAATGCTCTTCGGGAACACGTCATCAAGCAAATAAAACTTTGGGAATTTTACGTCGTTGATGTGAAGGACAACGCTGCGAGAATTGTGGATAAGTGGCGATCGTCTAAAGACGTTGATTTGCAAGACGGCAAATGGTCACGTCTAGATCTCAATGACTACAAGAACTTGACACTGAAACAACAGGCGGGTCTGATCCGTGACCACGGAGTCCCAACATCCAAGCAGGTGCTTGGCAGATTCAGTCGGAGAGTTGATGATGAGTTTGGCGTGGTCGTAACGACTGCGCTCTTCGGGAAATTTGGTCCAGATTCTGATACTGAGGCGATTCACGAGGCGATATCGAAAGTCCTCGATGAAGTGAACTTGCCGTTCTACGGAGAGTATGACTCTGATGTCTCTGAAATCATGAATCAACTCTACAATCGCATCAAGTACCTGCGAATTGACGACCATGGACCGAAACTTGGAGCGATTACTGCGAAAAGTCCGTTGATTGAGACATATTTCACAAGGCTGCCACACAACGACGTTACCAAAAAGCACAACCCGAAAGCATTGGCACTTGTTAACAATGGATGGATTTGGAATGCCGATGCAATGCGAGATAACGCTGGGCCAGAGTCCAGGGCCTATCTACGCCGCGAAGTGATTGTTTGGGGAGACTGCGTGAAGTTGAGATACGGAAACGGACCTGAGGACAATCCATTCCTCTGGGATTTCATGACCAAATATACCCGACTGATGGCGAAATACTTCACCGGATTCCGCATTGATAATTGCCATTCTACGCCCTTGGTGGTTGCGGAGTATCTCCTGGACGAAGCGCGGAAAGTGAGACCGAATCTTACTGTGTTCGCTGAGCTTTTCACTGGCTCCGAGGATGCCGATTATGTTTTCGTCAAACGGCTTGGAATCAACGCTCTTATTCGCGAGGCTATGCAAGCTTGGGGCACCGGAGAACTGAGCCGTCTCGTCCATCGCCACGGAGGCCGCCCTATCGGAAGCTTCGATGTTGACCTGCCCTCAGCTGGTAGTAGCCACGCGATAGCATCAGCTGGAACCGACAATGTCAATGAAAGCATTTCTCATATAAGACCCTGTCCAGTCCAGGCGCTCTTCATGGATTGTACTCATGACAATGAGATGCCAGCGCAGAAAAGAACTGCCATTGATACCTTACCAAACGCTGCATTAGTAGCAATGTGCGCTTCAGCCATTGGAAGTGTCATGGGATATGATGAGATATACCCCAAGATAGTAGACCTTGTTCATGAAACTCGCATGTACCACTCAGAGTTTTCTGAGTCCTCGAAGGTCACTGTCCACGACCTTGAAGGCGGAATCGGGGGTGTCAAGAAACTTCTGAACGAGCTGCATACCACTATGGGTGTCGAGGGATACGATGAGACACACATTCATCATGACGGTGAATATATCACAGTTCATAGAGTGCACCCGAAAACTCGAAAGGGTATCTTCTTGATCGCACATACGGCGTTTCCACCGTACAACAACAATGTTGTGCTCCCGCCCACGCATCTCACTGGTACGCGCGCTACACATATTGGCACTTGGAAATTGGTGGTGGATGCAAGTGACAGCGTGAAACAAGAAATTCTGTCAGACAAAACCTACTTGCGCGGGTTACCCAGTAAGGTTCACAAATTCGAGGGTACAAAGCTCGAATCGAAGGGAGATGATACCACGATTTCAGTTCTGGACACGTTTTCTGCCGGCTCCATAGCACTCTTCGAAACTTCAATACCGCTAGCTGAGCACGCATCAGGATTGGACTATTTCATCACAGAGGGCGCAGGCGAAGCGTTTTCGAAGCTCAGCTTAGTTGACCTCAATTTCGCACTCTACCGTTGCGAGGCGGAGGAAAGGGACTCCAGTGATGGCCAAGACGGGGTGTATAACATCCCTAACCATGGACCTCTGGTGTACGCTGGACTCCAGGGCTGGTGGAGCGTTCTTGAGAACATCATCAGAAACAATGAGCTTGGGCATCCACTTTGTGACCATCTTCGCCAGGGTCAGTGGGCTTTAGATTATATTGTTGGACGTCTCGAGAAAGTGGCACAGAAGGAAGGGTACGATGCCCTGCGGGCCCCTGCTGTCTGGCTTCGAGAGAAGTTCCAAGCTGTCCGTGAATTGCCCAGTTTCCTTCTCCCACGCTATTTCGCAATCATTGTCCAAGTTGCATACAACGCTGCATGGACGAAAGGTATTCAGCTACTGGGAGACAATATTCGGAAAGGACAGGAATTCGTCCACCAGCTTGGTATGGTCAGTGTACAGCAAACAGGATACGTGAATTCAGCGTCTCTCTGGCCTACAAAGAGAGTGCCTAGCCTTGCAGCCGGTTTGCCTCATTTTGCTGTGGACTGGGCAAGGTGCTGGGGCAGAGACGTGTTCATTTCTCTTCGCGGCTTGCTTCTTTGTACCGGTCGCTTTGACGACGCGAAGGAACACATCCTTGCTTTTGCAAGCGTGCTCAAACATGGCATGATCCCCAATCTTTTAAGCAGCGGGAAGCTTCCACGTTACAACTCCCGGGACTCGGTCTGGTTTTTACTCCAGGCTATACAGGACTACACTAAAATGGCTCCAAATGGCCGCCAGCTTCTTGAGGAGAAGGTCCCGCGAAGATTCCTGCCATACGATGATACCTGGTTTCCTTTCGATGATCCTCGAGCATATTCTCAGTCAACCACAATCACCGAGATTATCCAGGAAGTGTTTCAACGGCATGCTCATGGCCTGTCGTTCCGCGAATACAATGCTGGTCCAGATCTAGACATGCAAATGAAGCCAGAGGGCTTTCAGATAGACATTAATGTGGACTGGAACACGGGAATCATATTTGGTGGCAGTCAGTTCAATTGTGGAACATGGCAGGACAAGATGGGTGAAAGTGAGAAAGCCGGGAACAAGGGATTCCCTGGAACACCCCGAGACGGTGCAGCCATCGAGATCACTGGCCTTCTCTACAGCGCTTTGAAATGGGTTGGTGACTTACATGAGCGTGGATTCTACCCTCACGCAGGTGTCGAGACTGCAGGAGGAAAGACAATCACTTTCAAGAACTGGGCCACCAAAATCAAAGAAAACTTTGAATTCTGCTACTATGTCCCAGCTGACTCCACGAACGACTGCAATTACGATGTCGATGCCAAGCTCGTCAACCGCCGCGGAATATACAAGGATTTATACAAATCTGGCAAGCCTTATGAGGACTACCAACTGCGTTCGAATTTCCCCATTGCCATGACCGTGGCACCTGAGCTCTTTGACCCTGAGAAGGCCCTCGCTGCCTTGGCGCTTGCAGATTCGGTTCTATGCGGCCCTGTGGGTATGGCGACTCTCGACCCATCCGATCTCAATTACCGGCCCAATTACAACAACTCGGAGGATTCCACGGACTTCGCGACTGCGAAAGGCAGGAACTATCACCAGGGACCCGAATGGGTGTGGCAGCGAGGCTATTTCCTTCGTGCACTATTGTATTTCGACCTGGCTCGAAGAAAGACTCCAGAGGGCAGGACAGAGGCTTATCAGCAAGTCACCAAGCGAATGGAGGGGTGCAAGCGAGCCCTCAGGGAAAGCCCATGGAAGGGCTTGACTGAACTCACAAATAAGGACGGCGCTTACTGCCATGATTCGGTACGTGACCATCATTCTTCCACCAGATATCCTCTTTCTCACTAACGAATGACATGAAAAATAGTCTCCAACGCAAGCTTGGTCTGCTGGCTGTTTGCTTGATCTCTACTATGACGGTTTGCAGCATGCCTCCAAGTATGCAAGATTGCTTAGGTAGTGGGTGGTGGAATGATAGACGTTGGTTGTGCATCATTGGACGTAGAGAACTGAGAAGTACCCTTGTCGCATTGTGTACATAGACTTGCTCATATTTCAGAATACTTCATTGTTTCCTTGTCATCTTACATATTCTTCATACGATCAGAATGCAATCCATTATTCCATCAATTCCATCAGCTGGAGATCACCTTGTATATGCTGAGTCAGCGAACCGCCTATGCTATTTCGGGAATCGTCTGAATGAGCTTCAGTTGATTGAGCGCTCGAAACGCGCCCGACTTGCTTCTTTATCCCACGGCTGCGATATAAAGCAAAAATTTATCTCCTGTTCCCTCGACTTTGACGCTCGTATCATTCCCTGGTTTACGACGGTCTGCAAGTACTTGTGGGACCATAACACAAATCCCTGTCACCCGAAGTTCCGTTTGACGTCAGATACTGAAAGCTTGTCTGGAAGCCGAACCCTCGTCCCCCTTATGCATCCAACAACATCGATTCATATCTGAGACAACTCGGCTAGTGAAATGTCTCTCACGCAGTCGGCCGCGACAGCTGTGCTGACAGCGGCGACGATGATGATGGACGAGCCGGACGATCCTGGCAAGCCGCATGAACCGTGGTCCGAACAGACAAACCGCCAGCGGGACTTGTATACACAACTGGTGATCAGTTCTTTTCTCGGGCTTAGCGCATTCTTCGCATTTTGTGTAGGGTCAAACCTGGTTCCAGTCTTGTTTATAGCTTTGCTAACATTGCTCTTTACCCAGATTCTACGGCCAAAGTGGACTGAGTTGTACGCGGCTCGGAGACAGCAACGATGTGCAGCCTCGCACCTACCTGAGCTTCCCGATAGCTTTTTTGGATGGATACCCGTTCTATATAAGATCACTGACGAGGAGGTGTTGCATTCCGCTGGGTTGGATGCATACGTTGTGAGTATCGTGCCGTGTGAAGTCCTGACGGATGTAGTAGGAACACCGCTGACATCTTTTTCGCTGTACAGTTCCTATCGTTTTTCAAATTCGCCGTCCATTTCTTGTCGGCCGTCTTCGTTTTATCCCTCGTTATAATCCTTCCGATTCACTACAGATACGCCCATACCTTGGGGATCCCTGGCTGGGACGACGACGATGATAATACTCTGGGCGGAGGCAAGCATAAGAAGCTCATATCCGATCCGAATTATCTGTGGATGTATGTGGTTTTCACATATATCTTCAGTGGATTGGCAATCTACCTGCTCCTTCAAGAAACGAACAAAATAATCCGCACACGGCAAAACTACCTTGGAAGCCAAACCAGCACAACCGATCGTACCATCCGTCTGTCCGGGATCCCTCGCGAGATGCGGTCTGAGGATAAGATTCGAGAGTTCATGGAAAGGCCTACAAGTTGGGAAGGTTGAGAGTGTCACCCTTTGCCGTGATTGGAGGGAACTGGATCGTCTGATCGATGAACGCCTGAAGATATTGCGCAAACTAGAGCGGGCTTGGACTAAGCACCTCGGGTACAAACGGCAAGATATTAGGGAGTACTCTCTACCCCGGACGAATCTGCAACCTTCTGGGTCGAGTATACTGTCTGAGGAGGACAGTGAACGGATACAACTTCTCTCTACGAGCGCCCGAGACCATGTGGCCGACTATAATGAGAATCGACCGACGACCAGGCTGTGGTACGGACCATTCAAGTTACGCTATCGGAATGTTGATGCGATAGACTACTACGAGGAAAAGCTACGACGGATTGATGAGATGATCCAGGCTGCTCGTAAGAAGGAGTACCCTCCCACCGAGCTGGCTTTCGTGACAATGGAATCTATTCATGCGTCCCAGATGGTCGTTCAAGCAATTCTTGACCCCCATCCTATGCAGCTCCTCGCTAGACTGGCGCCGGCCCCAGCTGATGTTATCTGGAAAAACACGTATCTTCCCCGTTCAAGGCGGATGATGCAGTCTTGGTCCATCACGGCTATCATTGGCTTTCTGACTATCTTCTGGTCAGTGCTGCTGATTCCGGTAGCATATCTTCTGGAACTCGAAACGCTGCACAAAGTGTTCCCTCAACTAGCTGATGCTCTCTCCCGACACCCTCTTGCGAAATCTCTTGTGCAAACCGGTCTTCCGACCTTGGTCCTCTCGTTGTTGACTGTTGCGGTGCCATACTTGTACAACTGTATGTATTATCCACCCGGTCAACTTTCGCTCCCTTGCTAACTGATATCCAGGGCTCTCGAACTGTCAGGGAATGACGTCGCGAGGTGATATCGAGCTCTCTGTCATCTCGAAGAATTTCTTCTTCACATTCTTTAATCTTTTCCTCGTGTTCACCGTCTTCGGAACTGCAACGACCTTCTACCAATTCTGGGAGAATCTTCGGGATGCATTCAAAGATGCCACTACCATCGCATTTGCCCTGGCGAAGTCGCTGGAGAACTTCGCACCGTTCTACATCAACCTCATTATCCTCCAGGGCCTAGGGTTGTTTCCCTTCCGTCTGCTGGAATTCGGTAGCGTGGCGATGTATCCGATCAACTTTCTAACTGCACGGACCCCCCGCGACTATGCTGAATTGTCTACCCCTCCCACCTTCAGTTATGGATATTCCATCCCTCAAACCATCCTCATCTTGATCATTTGTGTCGTGTATAGCGTCTTTCCGAGCTCATGGCTGATTTGTCTTTTCGGTTTGGTCTACTTTACCATTGGCAAACTCATCTATAAGTACCAATTGCTATACGCAATGGATCACCAGCAGCATTCGACTGGGCGGGCTTGGCCCATGATTTGCAACCGAGTTCTGGTCGGATTCATCCTTTTCCAGCTTGCCATGATTGGAGTTCTGGCTCTTCGCAAAGCGATTACCCGCTCCCTGATCATCGTGCCTCTCCTCGCAGCAACGGTCTGGTTCAGTTACTTCTTCCAGCGGAGCTATGAGCCACTGACGAAATTCATTGCTTTGAAGAGCATTGACCGAGACCGTCCGGGTGGCGGCGATATTTCACCCTCGCCGTCGTCCACCCTGTCCCCGCCTTCTGGCCTCGAACGTGATGCGCTTCCAATCCGAGTCGGTGGTCAGGAGTTGGGACTGAGGCTGAAAAAGTATGTCAACCCAAGCCTGATATTGCCTCTTTCCGATGCCTGGCTCCCCGGACGAAGTGTGAACCATGGAGCGCCTGGGGCATTGGATTTCCACGAAACACCAAACGACAGTGCTGTTTAATCGAGAGTTTCCACCGGGGTTTCCCGAAGCTCATTGGTGTGAACCACCGAGCCCTGTCACCCGAGCATTTTGCTCAGGTAGAAGTCTGGGCTCATTTATTGATGGCCACTTGGATAAATACGTTTTTTTGCTAGTATCTCACCTAATCACTTTCCCTAATATTGCTGGCAATTTATGATATACGACTCTATGCTATCTTGAGATCATCGTGATACCATTGCAGTTCTGTTTGCCTATTTCATGCTGTGTATATTAATGTCTGTCTTTCATTGTTGCTCGTGTTGGATTTGTCTGGTTGGATTATTATCCCCTCACGCGTATATAGACAACTTCAGAGTTAGCATGGTCGCATTGGAAATCCATCAGAGACGAGTATCTGGCTATAGTTCAATGCGCGATTTTTTCCGAGGTTGAGTAGACCGTCAATACTTTCTTTCATTTCATTAACTATCCGGTGACGATTCTTGAGCTGTCGATGTTGACATGTGGCGGTAGATGATTCTGCCACCGCCTCAGGTCTCAAGCGATAAGGGGGACATTCCATAGCGAACACTTGCATTATGGTGGCTGACTAGATTCTCATCCGCAGCACACTACGGCAAGGCGAGACGAGGCCATCACAGCTGGGGGCTCCTGGTCCGCCTGGATTGGGCGATGGTGTGCATATTTCCGTCTGGTCCATGCATCGTCTGGTGGGGGAAATATGTGATGGAATTCGTGATGACCCGGTAGATGGAGCCAAAGTCAGATAGATTGTATTGGGATATTAATAGATTCTTCTTTTGGCGAGTATCAGAGTTGTTGCATTCTAGTGGAGAGTATTTAACAATGGTGGTGAAAATGTGTACATACTCCATAGTTACTTTGGTCGGATAGGAGGCCTTGTCGGTAAGGCACCACTACAGCACTGCAACATCGACCAGCGATCAACAATCAACACCCTTTCACCCCAAGAAATCTGGTCTCTCCATTATTATTGAGTGACTGATACACGCACGGATGATGCATCCACAGTGTCAGAGCCCCATCAGAGAGGGGAATGAGGCCGTGGGCTCCCTCACCGCATGCGACCGTCGACTTTTCTTTTTTAGTCGCATTCTTCGGCAAGAATTTATCTCGACCACCGTTACTTTGGACCCTCCTCGTTTAGATCTTGGGTCTTATCCGAAACGGACTTGCCTTGTTCGATCCAAGCATACCAGCAGATCCGCATTGTTACTCTCCAATCCAACATCCCACAAGCAATCACGGTGCGCCAGTCTCGTTCTCCGAGAAGATGCGGCAGGTACTACGTACTACTGTTTCAGATGACCGTGACGATGATTTCTAATGCATCAACAGTCCATCCTGGCCTGAGCGTTCGATGGTGTTTTGACCAAGAACCCACACACCGGACGATCTGCCTCGGCGATGGGCTGACTCGTCTATTGAGTCCTACGGGTCTCCGCTCGTTCCAGCGTTGAGCCCGCCTCGTTGGCTGTGATGGGCTGGTGACAATCCTCCCCCAAAGCCAAATCAAATCGGACAGAATTTTCCACCCTCTTCGCCTTTCCCCCGCCATGGGTCGTGTGTTGTGGTCTCCAACCATGGTGGACCGTCGTCAGTCTGGATCCACTCCCATCCTCGCCGCCGACTCTGGTCTCAGCAGTCGGAGGCAACATTGGGTGGGTCGCGGATGATACACCCTAGCTTTGGATTCAGTCCCTGGCTTTGGAACCTTGCTGTCGACGTCAGAACGGCTATGACGGGAATTATTTATGCCACCCGATGGGCCAGAGGCAAACCAGGATGAAATCGTTATCTAAAAGCGCTTTCCATCCGCACCGGTCCCCGATTCTATCTCTGTCTTCCTTTCTTCTATCACATTCCACCACCTGGTCATCGACAAGAGTTCTTCGCCTTCCCCACGTGGTTGTATGTTTTCCATGACCTCAACCTCTCTCATTGCATCCACTCGCCACCATCTACTCACGGCGGTCTAGTCCAGCGGGAAGGGAAGGAAGGTCAAATTAGAACGGTAACGAACTATGACAACATCTCTACATCGCTGCAGACCAGCGGCTGATTGAGTATGACTGTCAGCGCACGGTCCATGAGCTCGCTCTTCACGTCAATCGCTATCTGATGCGATAAAATCTCGGAGACGTTCGTCAGAATCGTGACATCCTTATCATCACCAATTACCGTTGTCATATATTGGTATATGGTACATATTTGTCACGCCTTGGTGGCTGTCGACCAGCTACTTCTGAACACTATTCTTGATTTATCAAATTGCAAACACTATCTGGTATTTTATACACATAATGCCGTCAGTTTGGGCTGTTCCAGAAACTGAGTACGGCATCGTGCCGGATGAGGACTACAATTGGGAAGCCTCTGCGGTTAGTGAGACCGAGCTGGATGCAGTCCGTGACATGGGGCCCTCTAGAAAGAAACCCAAGTTCAGGATGAGAAACTTATCGACGCCTGGAGCAGACGGTGTTCATCCACCCAAAGAGGGACGGAGTCTTCCTCGAAATGTAACCAAGCGCCTCCTCAATAACGTCCCGTCTGAAACTCGTCGCTCGCTACGCCTAACATCCAAGTCCCGGTCACACTCGATCGACCACCTTACAACCTGTCCCCCAGCTGCCAACGTCACACCGCCTGAAATCCTCTTACAGATTTTCTACATGCTGAGTCCACGGGACTTTGATAATGCCCGCCGGACATGCTCGCAGTGGATGCGAGTCAGTTTGAATGAGCGTCTTTTGGAAACAATGCTGAAACGGGCCGGTTGGTGGGATTCTTGGCTACAAGATTGCCAGACTCAACGCCCTCAGAAGTATGGCGAAGAGAGTAATGTGTGGAAGATGAGCAGACGGTTCGCCACGGAATGTGTCTTGTCGGGCCGCAAGGTGAACGTGGAGAGGCCAGGTTTCGTAACGACGGCGGTGGTGGATTTCTCAGAGCTCGCCGCGGAACAGTCCGGATCGCGTCGTCCGCCTTACTATTCGACTTCGCCGGCAAACAGCCCTCTTAGCAGCCAGCTCTCGTCCTCATCCAAGTTCTATGCCAGCAACTGCGGAAACTATGTCCAGGTCGTGTCTGGTCATAAGATATTTGTCTATCGCCTCAACAGAACTCCCGTCAGTTCCAATGTTCCAGGGGCTGTGGACAAGTTCGACATTACACCTCTCACGAGTATCATGTGCCCCGACGAAGTCATCGGTGTATCTATGGATACGAGCACTCCGAAGGTCGTGGTGGCTGTCTTGATGAGGGGACGATCAGGTCTGGTTTGTGACCTGGTCCCTGCAGACACCGCTGACGAGTGCGGCTCCGAGCAGCGGACAGGATTAGGAACCGAGTCTTCTGGATCATCCACGCCCTATAAGATGCATCCCATGAAACTAACGTCTCCGCACTATTACCATAACGTCTGTTCCGCTGAAGATCCACCGCGCAGTGTCTCAATCTGCCCTGGTCGTCGATGTGTGGCGTTCGGGTCCGGCAGGGGTATCGAACTGCACTGGTTTGACGAAAAACGAAAGCAAGACTGCCGCAAGCACTTCCCCATGTCGCAGCCATCGGAGGTCCTGCATTTTCTACATAACCGACCCGAGTCTTCAACAGATTTACGCCTCATTTCTTCGCTGGCAGGACCAGGAGGACATAAATGTGAATGCGACAAAACTCTTCCCGGAGAGAAGCGGCCCGTCTGTCCCCTACACCTGCTGGCGGATGTTCAGTCTTTCACACGATGGAACTCCGGGGATAGCGGGAACCTCAGCCTAGTGAGGGCAACGCACTGTCATCACTATCGGGCGATCCCCATCAACGACGGACTACACATCCTGTTCATCGAGCCACGCACCAGTCTGCTGTGTATAGGCTCTGATGCGCCCATTGGGGGCCCAACAAGCCTTACACGGGCTCTGGTCTGCGTTCCACCCTTCGGAAAGGACCCATCAGACGCTGCAAAGGAAGGATTGGTGCCCACGGTTTTTGCGTCAGGCTCCGACTGGAACTGGGGGTTACGCGTCGTGGCGGCCTACGGAGACCGAATCATTCTGTATTCTGTGCCCCTGGACGTCTTCAACGTCATTCGGAAGGAACGCGAAAGACAAGGCGACGGGGTGATGGGCGACAGCGATCTAGCCCGGGACTGGTTCCTGGATAATCAGAGGTCGCGCAAACGGCGCGAGAGCCTAGTCCAGAACCAGAACGGGGACTGGGAATTCCTGCTCAGTGTGAGCTACCGGCCCACGGCGATGATGTGGCCGTTCAAGATCTACGGCAAGGAGATCGGGCGGATGGCTAATGTGGTCGAGTTGGCGCTGCAGGCCTCCCACGGCGGGGCGCGCGTGTGGGCGTTTGGTGCGTCGGGCGAGACGCACGTTATCGACGTGGACACATTCAGCTCCGTATCACAGTCGACGGCTGATATCCCGCTGCGGTCGATGACCGTCGGCGCTGATGGCAGTCTTGCGTCTGTCAAATCAACCCGCCGGGCTGAATCGGAGATGCTGCCGCCGACGACGTCGCGCAAGCGAAAACAGGCGGAGCTACGGGATGGGTTCGGTGGCCAGCACTCGCTTCTTCCGCGGACTCAGCATGTCTTAGGCATGCATGGCATGTTGCATGTAGGGGATGCGATGGCAAGTCGACGCACGTCGTTCGCCGCGTGCATTGTGGATTTCAAGATTCCGGAACTCGGCTCTCGCGAGGGGAAGTGGGCGCGGAATGAGGTTGACACTGTTTAGCACATACATATGTCTCTCTTCTCGTACGATATATAGCGTTACTAGGCTTGACTCTCTGGTACACTTGCACTACTCTTCTCTGTATACATTGCTTTGATGACTGTTGAGTTCTATTCTTCTTGCATATAGTGAAGACATAGTTGAAGCATTCATTCTGACAGTGCACCCTCATGTATCCGAACTTTCAACATTTCCCCTCATTCTACCGTTTCGTCCCGCGATGAACAGTCGATCGATGCAACGCACCGCAATGACGGGGCCATGGCGGTGGCGACTGCAGATAACATCATCTTGCATGTTCGTGGCTGTCAACACAGCCGAGGTATAGTATCGAACGCATCCACCACGGAAAGCAGCAACACCTCACAACACCTTCTTCGCCGTCCCATTGACACCCTAAACGCCCTCCCACAAGCAACCGCACTCTTCCAAACCAGCCCTAGACCAAAAAGCGTGACTTGGGTGTGTGGTCATTCTGGAGTGATGTTCGATTGAGTGGAGATGGTCGATTGCATGTACAGAGTATCTCGACGGATTTGTTTTGCACTCCTGGTGGTTGGTTGTCGGATCTGTCTGCTCGGTGCGATGATTCCGGATCGTCAGAGCCGCGTCTCCATTGCCAAGGCTAGGTTTCAATGCCCTACCTAGGCTGTTGGACTGTAGGTACCAGAAGGCCGCTGTACTTGCTACATAAACTATCAGGCAAAGTGAACAAGGGATCGCAGGATTGTATTCAAGTAAAACCGAACTTTTGATAAATCGCTTCATACCAAACCATTTTGGGCCAGCACAGGACATAATCTATGCAGTTCATCACATAGGAAAGGAGCCAAAAGAAAAGAGTCGACAATTAGTTCGCACCGAACTTCTCCTTGCGGGTACGAACAGCCTGCGCCAGGTTCTCCAGAACCAACTCGGTATCCTCCCAGTTGATGCAAGCATCCGTGATACTCACACCGTACTTAAGACCGGCCTTGCCCTCGGGGGGCACCTTCTGGTTACCTAAAGTAGAGTCAGCGGGAGCTATGTTCCAACCACATCCAAGAAAAACCTACCCTCGTTGATGTTACTCTCGATCATGACACCCATGATGGCAGTCTCACCCGCCGCGATCTGCTCCGCAAGCACAGCGGCAACCTTAGGCTGGTTCTTGTGGTTCTTCTGCGAGTTGCCGTGGCTGCAGTCCACCATGAGACGCGGGGTCATGCCTTGCGAGGTCAGCTTGGCCTTGGCCTCGGCGATGCTCTGGGCGTCGTAGTTGGGGCCCTTCTTGCCTCCGCGCAAGATGACGAAGCAGTCGGGGTTGCCGACGGTGCCGACAATAGCGACCACGCCGGGCTTGGTGACGGAAAGGAAGTGGTGAGGGTGCTTCACGGAGCCGATGGCGTCCACAGCGACGTCCAGAGAGCCGTCGGTGCCATTCTTGAAGCCGACAGGGAAGGACAGACCGGAGGCCAGCTCGCGGTGCACCTGGGATTCCGTGGTACGAGCACCAACAGCTCCGACGGAGAGACAGTCGGCGAGGAACTGGGGCGAAATGGTATCGAGCATCTCGCTGGCAATGGGCATACCCTTGTTGGTCAGATCGACGAAAAGCTGGCGGGAGGTGCGGAGACCCTTGTTGATCTGGAAGCTGTTGTCGATATCGGGGTCGTTGATGAGACCCTTCCAGCCGACGGTGGTGCGAGGCTTCTCCAGGTAGGAGCGCATGACAATCAACAGCTCATCCTTGTACTTCTCCTTCATCTTGAGCAGACGATCGCAGTATTCCAGAGCCATTTCCGGGTCATGAATGGAGCAGGGACCGATGACGACGAGGAGACGGTGCTTGTCGGTGCCGTGGACGACGGCGATGGCCTCGTCACGGCCCTCCATGACGGTCTGTCTCGACTTTTCGGTCAAGGCAATCTCATGTTGAAGGAGGTTGGGAGGAGTCAGGGGGTTGTAACCGCGGACTATACAGAAGCGTCAGTTGCAGGTTTTCTGGGGAGGGATGGATCCAACATACTTCTGGAGTCTTCCAAATGGGACTTATCGCCGACATGGCGGTTCTCGATGAAGAACTGCTCGAATTGATCAATTTCGCTCGAATTGCTGGTATGATTGGGGGCAGACTGAAGCGCCGTGACTCACCGACATGATGGACAGCGGGGCAATGGAAGTATGGAGGGGTAGATGAAGAGGAGGGAAGAAGAGAGAATAGAGATGAGAAAGTCTTTGTAAGAGGAACCACGAGAAGCAGCAGACAATGAGTGAAATACAAACGGGGTATCTCAATTGACGCGCCCAGGAGGTGTTGTGTCTTTTTTTTTTTCTGTGACTTCTCCAAGTAAACTGCTCCTATGTCGGCGATGACTGATGGAGTCACGGGCGGGGCTCCACGTGATTTCGGTGTGTGTCGCTTTGGCCCCGCTCTTATTGGCCTGTCGATCACTACAAAGAAATCGGAATTCCTCAGGTATCAATTACCCATTATCAGTTCTTCTTCTTCTTCTTCTTCTTCTTCTTCCTCTTCATGCAGGTGCTTCATGCACTGTAAAGGGCCTTTATGGCACCCCAGGAGGCCACTACCAAAACTAATATCAACATGCCTTCAAACTAGGTATTCCATATCCATTCTCTTGTCCTTTTCCCTCCACCCATCTAGGTGGGGACATCGCGGGCCGTGTTGATTATACAAGTAGTAGATACATCATACGACCCAGTACCCATCCGAATACAACAGTGCGCCGAAGCGAAGAACAAAGAGAGAAAGGAAAAAAATTAAAATAACATACGATTGCAGAGTTCACCTTCAACCACAGTCTCCATCTCCTTATTAATAATCCTCTGGGCTGTCTTCCAAGACCGAATCCACCCGGCCCTGAAGACCCTTCCGGTTCGCCGATAGGCTCAGCTGAGTTCGATTTCGATCAGCTCGCTGTCAATCATGATCCATTGCCGCGTCTTTCTGACTAGCTGGGAGATCGGGCAATGTTCGCTTGTGCGCCATTCTTCCGTTCGCTTCCAACCGATTGATTAGTCCCTGGCAGATCCTCGCGTGGTGGGTTCGGATGCTTTCCGCCTGTTGCTCGCACAGTCGGATCCGTTCTTCCTGCGTCTTGAAAAGTTCGTCGAGCACTTGGTGGCACTGCCGCTGATACACCTCCAGCACCTGGTTGACTGCCTTCTTTTCGTCCTCCAATTGACACGCAAGACGCTAGACATGCTTTTAGCACCACTCGGATCCGATCTATGACCCGTGCACTAGTGGTCGTGCATAAGGGGTGGCTTACCTGACTAGAAGCCAATAGCATGCTCTGGGTCCTCTTGTGGGCCGTCTCCAGTAGTTCGCACGTCGATTTCGAGTCAGTCTGAACCACTTGATCGATATCCAGGCCCTCTAGCGTTCCCGCTGGCGCCGCGGCTCTTTCCAATAAGGGATGGGCTGGAGAATGGTAGCACAAGGGGGAGGATGAAACATGTCCGTCACGCTCAGGAGCTTCCTCTGTAGCGTCCGTCTCGGATCCTCCATCATATCCCGACTCGTTACCTTTCCCTTGGCCCTGAAACACCAACTGGACAGGCTTCATCCGCATTCCTACCTTGCTCTGTATACTGCTCTCCTGTAGTGTAGTGCATGCAGTTGCACCACGACGAATCATCTGTGGGCTTCCATTTTTGTCGACCATCATCCTTTTGGGGGTACTACTGCTTTGCAGAATTGGGGCAGGTATTCGCCGCAAATCCCTAGGTAAAGACCTACGTCGGGCAGCATCTTTCAAATCTCTTCTTCCATCTTCCTCAGAAGTAGTATTCCGACTCTTCCCACCGGCAGAGATTGAGATTTTCCACTGTTTTACTTCGCTCCTTGGTCTGCTTCCGCCTATTCGAGACATCTCAATATGTGTGGGATCGAAGAAGACCGTAGACTGGGCCGGGTTGTCCAGTTCATTGCTCTCGGTCCTCATGCTAGACCTGGGACTCTGGCTCACCATCGTGTTCCAACACGGTGACCTCGGTATTGTGGGTTCCAACCTTTGGGTACTATATTGGTGGATCCTTGACAACTCTGTAGAGTGGACCGATTCCACACCTTCATCAGGAGCCGATAGAGGTATGCTGTGTGCTGCTTCGTCGCATACTCTCTGTTCAAAAGATCCTTCATTTCCTTGTGTATCGAAATCTTTGAAGGCTGCTGTTAATTTTCGACCGACTGCCTTTCCTCTGCCCCCTGGTCCATATTCATTGGTGGCTAACGAGTCTTTGTGCTCCTCGTGAGATGTTTTATCGGTAGCGTTGCCAACGCCAACATTCTCCTCGACCGCAATATCTGCCCCTTTGTCACTGCCGGTACTGTCCTTGATCAGCTCCGTCATGTTGTGTGCGTCCGTAGCTTTGAGCGTAGTAAGTGTATATTGTGCTGTGTTGAGGCCTCCTCTCTCTATATGCCTCTGGTCATGGTTTGTGAGGGGGTCGTGGTTCTCTTCTGACTTTGATCCAGAATGGCCTGTTTGTGCGTCATCTGCACTACTCCATTCTGCATCGTCTGCTTCCCTTTCCGCCTTGTCCTGACGTGAAGCTCTTGATTGCTCATCACCGGGAGCTGTTGTCCCTACATCCTTCTTGCGGGGTCTTGGGTTTGTCTTCCTTTTCTTCTTGGAGGAAGCTTTTCCCACTGGATCTCTCTTCCTTTTCGCTGTGCTGGTTCGTCTATCGAAGATAGACCCATCTCCGGGGAATGGAGATGATATGGAGCTTATTGTTTCTTTCTCCACCGTTCCATCAAGGTTGTCACTGCTCTGTCGAAGGTCCTCATCCCAGTCGACGGCAGCCTTGGAATGGGATGTGTATACCTTCTGTCCGGGTTTTCGTCGGTGGAACATCAGAGATTCTTGGGTGTTCGTAAATCGGGCGGGTGGTTTTGTTTTGCTGGACAAGCTGCGTAGTTGATATGGCAAATTTCGTCGTACATTTTGGTCGGACTTTTCGATGACATTTTCAGGAACTCTGTTTATCTGAAAAGCATCGGCGTTCTGTACTTTTTGCGCATCTGGTTTGCCTTCTGTCTCACTCAGAGACTCAATCTGGTCCTCTGTGCACATGGCTTTCGCCTGGCCCATAGGACGCTGCGACTGTTCTTGATGTCCCCGGCTGGGAGATGATCCCACCTCGCTGTTTCCGGGGACATTATCCTGATGCACAATCGTTATTGCATTCGCCGAGACTGTTTGACTTTGGTCTCCTTGGACCACTGCTTCATTGCAAGTCGTTCCGCTGACAAAAGCAACGTGACCTGCAGACTGCCCATTTGCCACGGTATGGGACTCATGATCTGGGTCCATGTCTCGCCCTATGTCGTTGGGTCCGGCAGACTTCCTTACAATTTCATCTCTGAGGTCCAACGAGATCAGAGTCGACGAAGCCTTTCGGGTCACGAGGATGCCTTCTCGAACTCCACAACGACGGGATTCAGCAGCCGCATGTATTGCTGTCTCCAGGTCCTTCAAGCTCTCTTTCGAGGTCAAACGGAGCTTTTGTCCTTGGAGTACGTCGTCCGGTCCGTTCACCGTCATCACGCTGGAGTCGAGAGTCAAGACTAGGGTAGACATGGACTCTATCGTGAGAGGAGAGACTTCCAAAATAGCCCCCAGTGGAATTTCGAGGTAGTCAAAGCATCTGCCTGCTGTAGCATCGACAGCATATAAAAGTGTCAGCGCATTTGCGCTTAGCAATGCTGCTATAGGGCCAATGACAAGGGTATTCCCATCGATATGAAGAGACTGAAGAAGGTTACACGCTTGGGTAGCCTGGTTCGTCTGTTGGTCTTTCTTTGTTTGCTCATGATGATAGAAATTTTCGATTATATCGCCTGGGCTGGCATTGACGTTTTCGAGAAACTTGCGCTCTGTTTGTGGGATATCTGGGATGTTTATCCCAGAACGCCAAAAGCCTGTAAGAATCGTGGAGGCGAGGAATGTCAGGATTTTGTCTGTGCCATGCGTAAGAATATGTGTTGTCCTAGGCCAAAAGGACACTTAGTCAATGCAACTGTATGTCAGGTTCTTGTTCAGCATACCTTGATAATTCGGCTTGCGAAGGACTCAAAAATGCATCAGTATTGACTTGCACATTGGCCGTTACAGCGAGAAATAGCTTTCCAGCCTACCATATATGAATGTGACCCAGTATCCTGCGATTTTCTTAACTCACCAATCTTCTAGACGGTACCTCTTGATCCCCGTTGTTGAATAGATGATAGAGGCAGCGCCCTAATTCTTGATCGACCAACACCTTGTCTGATTTCGCGAAGTAACTTCCTGGAGATTTCGATCCTGAATTTGCAACTCGAGAGGCTCGCTGCTGGAGTCAGATCCTTCAGACGACACACGGGATGTGCCGGATCTTACCACCAAGAGGTCAAGGCCGATGTTCTGAGCATGTTGAGAATGCAATCGAAGTAAAAGAGCCGCCAGTGTACGAAGTGAGAGAGGTTTCAATACGCTGGTAACACTTTCGAGGTCCTTTGTGATGATCGAAACGACACAGTCAATCTCCTCGGCGTCTAGTGATGTGTCGCTGGAGAGGAGGGTCTGGATGAGGATATTTGGAAACCTATCGGTGTCAGAGGGGGGATATGGATATGGATGTTAACGTACTCGAAAGCTTCTATGCTTCGATCCGGTATAGATGCTCTTTGTAGTTCAGAATCCAACTGAGCGACCCAGGTTGGCGCTACCTGCCTGGAAGTCGGAATCGACTGTGGGGGAGGCATAGTGAGCGAGAGACGGAGGCAAGGGGATTCAGGCGCCAATTGATGTCAGTGGCAGAGCATCACAAGATCATTGAGGGAGCGAACGTAAGGCACATGGCTGATGATGGTAGCATAGAAGGTTGGGGAAGGTAGAAGTACAAAGAACAACCTACGGAGTAGTGGCCGGGCCACCAACTGCCGGTTAAGGAAGGACCAATATCCCCGACATACACGACCCAAACGTCTACCTGAGGCCTTCATGCCATTGTTCGTCTTCCTGTCATTCTAGCATTGGTATAGCTTTTTCTTTTTATGGGACTATGGATCAGAAGTTTCAGAAGCTCTGTGAGCTTTTAGCAACTATCAACTTCCCATATTTCTGATACACATCATTGGGTGTGAGCACCTTTAAATATCTGTTGCATAGTTGACTGAACTGGTGTCATATATACTTCAGTCCAAGTTGATACGTCTTTCATGCCCATCTCTTGGTTTATCTACATCTATATGTTTCACCATTTCTAGCGCGTGGTACACCATATACATAGCCCCTTGAAAGAGGGAAGATCTCATATTCCAATATCCAAACACAACCATAAGTCTTACGCGCCGTGAGTCACTGCACCGTGGGGCGAACTGCTTGATCTGGTGTCATGACCGGTCAGAATTATCATACATCAAGGACAGTGGACATGATGCTGCTGACAAATAGAGGCAATCGGCGGCTCCAAGCTCCGATCCGAGTCGGAAGGATCAATGACCCGCGCTCCGGGCCAGTCCTGTCAGGGACGGACCGGGGATACCGGTGCCTCGTAGGCGGCCAGGGTGGTACGTAGACCTGGAAAACCAACATGGTCAACACCGACTGGATGTCAGATTCCTTGCTTACTATTCCCCCAGACTAAATAAAACAGCCAATACTCCCGCTGCGACGCAAGCAATTGCGTGGATTGCGTGCTTTCACTCTAACTCTCCATTCGTCATAATCCAGAGCGCAGTGACCACCATGCCCTATCCCGAAAGCCAGAACCAAGAAGAAGAAGGCCTGGTAGGCTCTTCGCAGCGGGGTCCCATCAAGGAGATCCTCGAGCAACTATGGGAGCTGAACCCTCTAGCCCGCAAGAAGAACCCGGCTTCTAAAGCCACCCTTCGGTCCATTCCGAAGACCACCCCGCAAAGACAACGGGAATCCGCGTTGGCGCAGTCCCTCGAAAGCGACACCCACCTCCTCGAACACCTCCCACAGACCCTGCTCTCGCAGCATGATGCCCGTCGCGACGCCCCTGAGAAGACCGTCCTCTACCTCGCCTACGGATCGAACCTGGCCGCCGAGACGTTCCTGGGCATGCGCGGTATCAAACCGCTGTCGCAGATCAACGTGGTCGTTCCGTCGCTGCGGTTGACCTTCGATCTACCCGGCGTGCCGTACGTGGAACCATGTTTCGCTGCGACGCAGTTCCGCAACCAACCCCGCGACGACGCGGACGAGGACCTCGACGAGAAGGCGCTCGCATCGGAGAACGCACCGCTGCTGTCGTCGCAGAACACGCAGGCTGACAGGCCTCTCATAGGCGTCGTCTACGAAGTCACGCTGGAAGACTATGCCACCATCATCGCCACCGAGGGCGGCGGCCGCGGGTACAAGGATATCGTGGTCGACTGCTACCCGTTTCCTGACGGGTACGACCCGGCCGACCCCGTGCCCGACTGTCCAGACACTCAGGCGTTCAAGGCACACACGCTCCTGTCTCCGACGAGTGACAGGGCGGCACTGGCCCGCTTGAAAGTAGAGCGTAGACGGACCCCTCCCGTCATCAGGCCCCGGCCGGGCTATGCGCAGCCTTCGTCACGCTATCTGAACTTGATCACGACCGGGGCAGCTGAACATGGCCTTCCCGTCTCGTATCGCACATATCTCGCGCAGATCCACACATATCGTATAACTACTATCCGCCAACGCGTCGGCAAGGCAACGTTTCTCGCCCTATGGGGGCCCCTTCTGCTGTTGATGCTGGCGCTCTCCAGAATGCTGGCGGGGCCGGATGGTCGGAGTCCTGCGTGGTTGATGGAGTTCTCGGACTTGGTCATGTACGGGGTGTGGAAGAGCTATGACAAAGTATTCGCCAAGGTCTTCGGCGATGGCGAAAGAACCATCGGCGATAGCGAGGATTGATTATGAGGCCACCAACTGTATATATGTTCAAGTGGTATATAAACATCAGATACACTCAGTTAAGTACATTTTTCTGGCTCCAAGCTTTGTACGTCTGCCTAATGCATCAACTCCTGTCGCTCGCAACAATTACCTGCCGTGTAGGAATACCCACATGACAAAACAAGTGTCCCGAGGAAACTATTATAGACAAAGGAAATGATGACATTGGATCTTTAAACAAGATTTTGGAAAAGAAAAAAATATCTAGGGTACAGATACAGTAGTCCTGAACGACATGTAACAAAACAAGCATAGACCATTGACAAGAGCGAGGACGGTGCCGATACCAACCAGAGGTCGGGGTTACATTATTCAAGGCTCGCTAGCCGCCTTCCTATCCTCACATTTGGCATCGGAGATCGCCCGCGGCGACGTTCAGCGGCGGGAGACAGGGGGGTTGTACACAATCTTCCGCGTCTTGATCGGAGACCACTTGTAACGCTTGACCCAGACGCTCAGGGCAAACAGACCAGAGAGGAGGGCGACGGCCTTGACACCCATCTTCTTGCGGTCATCCATCTCAGGCTCAGCGGCCCAGTTCAGGAACTCCACAACGTCCTTGGCCATCTGAGAAGTGGTGGCGGGAGTGCCGTCCTCGTACTCAACAACACCATCGAACAGGACACGGCCCATAGCAATGGCTAGAACATGGTTAGACGAGAACAATCTGACCCAAAGAGGTTTACTTACCGGTACCAGGGAAGTAGGGGTTGAAGTTCATGCCCTCCTGGACAGTGGCACCCGCGGGAGGCTCATCGGGGTAACCAGTAAGCAGACTGAAGATGTAGTCGCAGCCACCGTGACGGCCCTTGACGATCAAGCTAAGATCCGGGGGCAGAGCACCACCGTTGGCGGCACGGGCAGCCTCCTCGTTCTTGTAGGGGGCGGGGATGTAGTCGGACAGCTTTCCGGGGCGCTTCTCGATCTCACCCTGGTCGTTGGGCTCGGTGTCGTATTCGTTCTCTTCGGCGAAAGCCTTCATCTCATCGACGGTGTGCATGACACCGACGAACGAGCGCCAAGGGACACGAGTCAGGGAGTGGCAGCTAGCGCAAACTTCACGGTAGACCTGGAAACCACGACGAAGGCTAGATGCGGGATGAGTATTTGGCATTGCAGGTGGAGCGAATCATCGAGGAAACAGTCGATCGGGGGGGAAGGAGCACTCACGCGGCGTGGTCGAAGGTCTTGTTCCACTTGGCGTGCTCCCAAGGGTACTTGGTAGGGTGCAGACTAAAATTCGATGCGTCAGCTCCGTTATGTCTCCGATCCCATATAACCGTTCGGTCGGCGAAACGGAACAAGCCAGCTGAAGTGTCGGGTTCCGACGGGTATCACGACAGAATTACTTACCCCTCCTCAGCAGGGGTCGAGGCAAAAGCTTCCTGGCCATAAAGGTAGAAGGCGGAGCCAGCAGCAATGGCGGTTGCGACGGAAGCCGTGACGGTGAGGTTGAAGGGGGAGTTGGCGGACTCAGCACCGGCGGTCGAGGAAGACGCACGCTGGGCAGTTTATCAGTATATAGCCCGTGGAAAAGCTTTCTGGACCGGGTGCAAGACGATTGACCTCGTTGAACGGGTCCAATGGGCGTGAAATGTCGGGGAGAGGCGTACCGTGGAGGTTCTGTTCAAGGACTGACGTGCGACGCCCCGGAAGGGCACGCCGCGCAGGACAGTACGTGCCAGCATACTGACAATCTGAAGGACCCTCCGATCACTGAAGAATCAAGAAGGCGCAATAGCCGAGGAGGAGAGGGGGGAGGGGGGGAGGGGGAGATGGACGGAGGCAGCGCACAGGAGAATGTGCTTTTGGAGGTGTGAAGTCGAGGTTCCAAGTCGAACGGGCAAGGCAAGTTTCTCTTGGGTTTGGAATTGCCTAAACCCTCCCGCTGATTGGCTGCCGCTCCGGCTCTAACTCCGTTCGGTGAAAACCGCGATTTTTCGGAACAACAAAATTCATCCCATCCACCATCTTGTGCATACTACAGAGACTTGACTGGGAAAAATTCTCAGGAAATATCGATAATAAACATGAATTGACAACTTATGTCCCTTCTCCAGTCGCCGTGGTGGTCTCAACCCCCGACCAGAGCCTCTGCCGTGTATTCCGTCCACTCCCTTCTCGCCCATTTCGCTTCCGTTATTTGCCGTCTGTGTGGGATTCCGCCTTGGCCTGTCTTTCCGATGCAATCGCCGCCCTCAGTGCGTGAATCGCATCTCGCACAGGAGGAGCACCGCAACTATTCGAATGCAGGACTAGACTGAGCGCTGGTAGACGGCGGATTGTACGGCCACTCAGTCCCTACACCCGTTAGGAACCCTTCTACCCAGTCTACCGGGTACAAATACGTACCACACTGTCCAAAGCAACATCCGCAAGCTGTCTAGGAACTGCGTGGGGAAAGGTTTGATAGTTGAGATGCATCTCTTCGAAGGTCGGGAGCTCGAGGGATTCTGCGCATTGTTCCACATACTGTAGCGCTGTCTGAGGATCCGTCGGATCAACCTGGACCACATCAAATGTAACACCTCTAATGATTCCGTGTCGACTCAATTCCTCCAGACATTCTTTATAGATCCCGTAAATCGCTCGGTTGGATAGGTGTGGTATGTACTGCTTGATATCGACGCGATCGAGAAAAGCTTGGTCCTACACATCAAAGTCCGTTAATCCCGGCTTGACGGGTTATATATTCGGAGGACGAGTCACTCACTAATGCCGTGACGATATTGCTGGTGCAGAGAGTGACAACATTGGAATGACATCGTAGTCGGTCCAGCCCAGTGAGGAGTGCATTAACAGCACGGACAGCGTCGAATGGTTCATTCCCACTCAGGGCTCGGTCTCGCGGCGCAGCCAATGTTTCGACTTCATCCACGAAAACACAGACAAAGGTGTCGTCCTCTTCCTCCAATAGGGCCTCAGTATTCTCGAAAGCTTTGGCGACCAATTTGCTACTTTCCCCGAAGAATTTACTTGCGAGGGCGGGGGCGTTGATCTCGATCAATTTGCTCTTGGGATAGTGCTTCCCCAGCCGGATTGCAAGCTTCTGCGAGAGACCACGGCTAGACTATCAGTCAGGGACGCTTTAGTAGCTAGTGATAATAACGCACCATAGACTGGTCTTTCCTGTCCCCGGAGGGCCCCATAGAAGAATTAGTCTGTTCCAGTTGATGGTCCATCTGTTTAGGCTGCGCGAAGAGAACGAGACTATGATGGCGGTTAACGAGCCCATCACCATATGCTGTAAAACGAGGGGATTAACCCATCCTGCTAATCGCATGGAGCAATTGTGTCTGAATCGGTTCATCGAATCGGAGGCTATGGGTCTTGTTAGCCAATCCATGACAGAAAACACATCAGACATACGACTCCCAAAGCCCATCCAGTTCCTTGTTCGGTAACATAAGCACTCTTCCTTTTGTCGAGTCCTCTTCTGCATCTGTTGACTCTTCCAGTTGCTGGGTGGGTTGAGAACCTTCTTGTTCAGATGCTGTGCGAAGCTGATATGCCTGAACATCTAGTTCCACCTGCGGAAGTCGGTAAGCCCCGGACTCTATGTTTCCTCCAACACACTCTGTAACAATGATGGACTCTATCGCTTGTGCGTGTGGCTCTTTCAGCCCTTCTGCGAAACAGTCAATGGTTATATCATAGGAATCAACAGGTCCATGCAGCCTACCGAAAAAATTGATCTCCTGGCCTAGAGACAGAACCACAAATCTGTCGACAATCCACTTGGTGATTTCATCTCTGATCTGAGTACTATCAGTGGTAGCCGAAATGTGAAAGGAACTCAATGCAAAATACCAGATCGGTTCGGACAATGATTCCATCTCGGCTGCTCTTGATACGAGCTTCGACATGAAGGACGGGAAGTTGCGCGACCTCCATGGCTGACAGAAACACCTGGTATGGGTGTAATTTGTATTTTGCACAGAATCTGAGGAATTTGGGGTGGAGGGGGCTGGTTGAGGGACCGGGTGGTCGACCTTGTGGGAGAGTTTGATGCTTTCTACATGGAGAGCAGACAGACAGGCAACTCATGGACATGGAATCCCGTGACATATTTTCTCTCTATGCCTACGGGTTGCGTACTAACCGTAACTCATTTATTGTTCCAGTTGCACCTCACTCTAATACCTCCCCATCTTTCGTTTTGTAGAGATACATCCATTCTTATGACAATAGATATCTCAACCATTCTAGGGTCGCTTGGCAGCGGCATCCGACATAATGCTGCGAAACGGAGTGATAGAGATGATTTGCTTATAGTAGGATGGCACCCTAAAACCCCCAGCTATACAACGGCAATGTGAGTGGGAAGTCGGCGAGGGTTATCGAGGCGATGCAGACGTAGATACTAGCAGACCTCAGCCTGCGTCTCAGCTTTGTCTCGAGAGTCAGAAGGCATTCACATCAATGACTAGAGGAAGAAGTGCAAGATACTACCTAGTATGTGGTATAGAGCAGAGAGGATGTTCCAACATCAGGTTGTATTGTATGTGGTCGATGTGATTCGCGGAACCGGAAAAGGGAAGTCCGGGCGCCGATCCCGATGCAACAACCCATGGATTTTCTGGGGTGATGCTGCCCTCACTCTATTATTATTAACCCCAATGGCTTCTGCAACGGTCCGTTCCCACGGCCTGTGACGACCTCACTCACGATGATGCTTTTTGTTGTATAGTTACGCTTCTGATGATCAACATTTCTGTTTCTTTTCTTCCTCATCGTCGTTTCTTCGCTCGTTCTCAACGGTTTACCTGGCCCCACGGAGTTTGGGAAAGCTGCGAGTCGGCCCCCCAAGCTTTCCGAAGCGTCTCGCCCACCCGACAGGAAGGATCTCCTTTCTCCCGATGAAGGATCAGAAAATACAAGATGTCGAAAGTGAGGAATGGGCCCGGGACTGCGGCGAAAGCCCCCCGCCGAGATGTATTGGCTTCGCTCAAGATGACTTCCATGGAGGAAATCTCCAGGGCTTCCCTACCAGCAGGTATGCTCTCCCAAGGCGAAGATATGTTATGGAATATAAATCTAATACGAACTAGAGATTATGTCTTCGATTCTCGACTATCTTTCTCCCGTCGACCTCATTCGAGCGGCACGAGCGTCGAAGCTCCTCCGCGAGATGGCCTACGATGATAGCCGATGGGTACAAAAGCTGAAGCGCATGGGCTGCTGGGACGAATTGGCGGCTCGGAAAAGAGTCGAGGAAACGTTTGGGACCATTGCGGATGTGAAGAGTGTGGAGCATACCGAGACGGAGGAGGCCACCCCTCAAGTATCGGCAGCGGTCAACAAGCCAACGATTAGCTTGAATACTTTGTCCGACGGGTTCGACAAAATCGAGCTGTCACCTTCAGCCGCAGCTATCGCACAAAGCGAGATGGACAGTGATCCCGTCTTGGGGGCACTCGCTCAAGTCAAGTCTATTCGAGGGGAAGCGCGTCAAGAGTATGGAAAGGTCCATGCTGCCCTCGCACCTTTCTACAATGACATCGCCGTCACTGGACCTTCGCCGGATAACCTGCTGTTCCAGAAATACACCGATCCGCAACAACAGGCCCAGATTTTCTCGCAGTTACAGGCCTTTTCTAAGGTCGACTCTACAGCCCAATGGCGTGAAAACGTCGCCCAACTACAAACAGCTATCTCGATGTTTGAAACGGCGGCCATAAAGGAATTCAGACATGGATATGAAACAGAAGATATCGATGATCGGATGCGGAAATATGCGCATGTCCTTTATACCTTGAATGGCGGGACATCGGCCGTCGAGCTGTTTCTCCACCATAATCATCTGGTTACGCGCAAGTCAGATTTCGGCAGTGTGGCTGACTGCATTGACCCGATCGCTCAGCGAGTGAAACTCGAACAAACCCAGGCCTTCTTTACCCGATTGAGCGTTGCGTACAATGAGGAGGTCTCTATCATCAACCGGGCATTCCCACCAGCGCTGAAGTTCGCATCGTCATTCACAGAAAAAGTAGGGCAAGACGTGTTGTATCCCTTTCTGACAGCGATCTTCGACGAGCTACACCGCATGAATATCGAGGCATATTTGACTGCAGTATCTGGCACATTCGCGCAGTGTCTGAACTTTTCTGATGCTCTGTTACCGATTCAGAGTGCTGCTAACGACTATGACGAGTTTCTCGATAACGTTATCGCTAAAGTATTCGAGCCGCATATGGACTTGTATCTCGCAGAGGAATTGGACCATTTCCGAAAAGACTCTGAGGCGGCAGTGGAAGACTGGGACAGACAACTATCGGAACAGGCTGCTTCTACCGAATCATTCCTTATGTCGAACGTCAATCGACAGGCCGACAAGCGAGATTTCTTGACCTCGTTCAAGAAAGTGATTATGGCGCCTGTCAACATTCTTCCCAGCTTTTCCACGTCGAAGACGACCGAACAAAAATCCGACGACGAGTCTGCTGGCAGCGATTCGTCGGCATTGAAGAGTTCCAAGCGATTCTCGACTATGTCGGCCCCGAGCACTCCTCCGGCGATAGAGCCACCCACCGATGAGTTGGCAGCGAAGGCCGCCATCATGAAATCCAAGATGGAGGGTATCCGATCTCTATTCAGCATCGAAGTCGCTTTGAACATGGTCCACTCGGCTAAGTCCAGTCTGGAGCGCGCTGCGCAATTCGTCAGAATCGGAGGCCAAACTGGAGAGGCAGTCAAGCAGCAATGCGAAGCGATCTTTGTCGCCTTAGTGCGGATACTGGGACATCGTCACCTTATCGTCGGATTCAACAAGGCAGTAGATCATCTGTCAAACTACCGACCTCGGGAGCAAGGCGAACGTGATCACTCCGGGGTCGAACCATTGGTAACGTTTTTGGAATTGGTGAACGTTGGCGATCTGATTCTCCAGATGATCGACGTGTTCTATGAGCAGGAACTTATTGGTTCCAAACTGACGGATCGGAATGACTTTGTGGATCCCGCCGTGAAAGCGAAGAAAAAGTTCGAACAGAACTTAGATGAGCGCGTGGCTGCCGGGTTGAACAAGGGAATTGACGTTCTCATGGAGGAAGTCGACTACATCCTGGCTACGAGGCAGCTGGCGACGGATTTCAATCCCAGTGTCTCATCCGACCCTTACCGGAGGACTATGGAGGTTGGGGTCACTGAAGCAGCAACGGCGGTAGTCGACGTGGTGTCGTCGCATACACAGATGCTTGTGGGCAGTACAGATAAGAGTACCCTCGATGTCTTCAACCAAGAGGTCGGGCTCCGCTTGTTCACTGCACTGTGCAAACATCTCAAACGCCAACGGATCAGCGTAGAGGGATCCTTGCGGCTGATCAGGTAAGTCTTTGCTGGCTTGTCGACACCAACTATACTGACGAATCTAGTGATATGAACCACTACTTCCAGTTCATCCAGAAATTCAGAAACAACGAACTCCTCGTCTACTTCAAGGCGTTCCGTGAGCTTTCCCAGATCTATCTCATTGACCCGTCCGATGCGAAGGAACTGGCCACCCTTATTGCCGACTCCGATCGGTTCCAGGGGATCTGGCGGGTGGAGGAGGTGTATGAATTTGCCGAGCGCCGGGCAGATTGGTACCAGGTGAAACGCGACGTCGAGCGAGCGATGTACGGAATTGGCTGCACAGTTATGTGATGCGACTAGTTGTATATATAGTACCTAGCATATAGAGATCAATACCCTGGATATACATGCGAGGATATTAAAAGTCATGATCTAATGCCTCGTCTAGGCTAACTATGCTAATTGTGGTAAGGTTAAGGTTCCGGTTATATATCTCCAGCTGATCGACCACGGATCTCTCGGAGATGCACTAAGCTTTGTCTATCGAGGATGCCATCATTGTTCCAGACATTGTTAGTCTATAGACTAGTGCTAGACCATATACGTCATAGTCATCACTTCTGTAGATCTACCTAACAGATACTACAACAATCAGTATGCGTTTACTGCAGGCCCATACAGTCCCAGACGGGGGTCTTTAGTGTACAGACGCAGAAGAGCTAGGATCCAGCCAGTACTGCAGCGCAGACATGCCAACAACAAAATAGCCAGCCCAGTATACACAATGCGCAGTGCACACTCAACCCTCCTCCTGATCACCACGACCACCGCTCAAACAATCCCAGAGCCCACACCCACCGCGACCATCACCCCAACAGCACCGCATCCCCCGTCCTACACCGTCCCCGAAATCTTCCAAGACACCGTCCTGCACGTCAGCAACAGCTACCGCCGCAACCACAACGCAACCCATCTCATCTGGAACGAAACTCTCTCCGACTACGCCCAGCACTGGGCCGACAACTGCCAATGGAACCATTCAGTATGCACATTCTCTTACAACACTCTTCATCACGCTCTCTACTCATCAGCTACAGCACGGCCCGTACGGCGAGAACCTCGCTTTCGGGTACCCCAACGCCTCAGCGGCAGTCCAAGCCTGGGGCGATGAAGGGGCCCTGTACAACTACCAGCGCCCGACGGGGTTCAGCGAGGCGACGGGGCATTTCACGCAGCTGGTGTGGCGGGCCACCGTGGAGGTGGGATGCGCCGCTGTCGACTGCGGGTACGACACGAGTCGTAATGCGACGGATGCGTCGGGGCAGTATAAGCGCGCGCAGGGGTGGTATGTTGTGTGTGAGTACTCGCCGCCGGGCAATGTGATGGGAGGTATTAAGGCGATTGGCGGCGGGGACCTGGGGTTGTTTCGGGTCAATGTTCAGTCGGCGAGTACGTATTCTGGACCGTATCCGACCACGACTGCGTCGGGACCGACTCCGACGTCTGGCGGTGTTGGGAGACGGAGCCGGCGGGGTTGTCCTGGGTTGTTGGCTGCATGTCTGTGGTTGTGGTTGTTATGTTGGGCATGGTGATACATCCAGATGGCAGAACTTGCTAAGTGAAGAAAACTGATATTGACATCTTACGGTCTGACCTCAACTTGGGCCAGTTCATCATTGTCTGTCATCTCTCATGCTACTATCGTCACGCACATAACCAACCCCAAGCGGGATATATGCAGTACAGATCTATTCACTTTTCAACGTTCCAGACACCCCAGGGCTGAAACCAAGCCAAACGGATCACAAGGGAAAAAGGGCTCACAGAAGGGAGAAGCACCATTGGCTTCGAGAGGTAAGGGTGAGGATATCGACAGACAAGATGAGGAAAAGAAAAAGGAAATGAAAAGCGGCATTAAATACGGCAAAGAAAACCAAATCAACCGATGACTTCCTCGTTCTCTTCGATGATTTCTTCCACAATCTCCTCGACGACAGTCTCGCCCTGGTCTTCGGACACTTGTGGCGCGTCCTTGGCCATCTTGGCGTCGTCCACGTTCTCGGGCAGACCGTAGGCGTCCTTGTCCTCGGCGAGGAGCTCCTTCTCCCGCCGGATCCAGGCAAGCCACTCGCTGAGCACACGCTTGCGCTTCTCGACAACGGCGGTGTTGGCAATGTCGACGGCGTACTTGTCCTCCTCGTCGAACTCCTTGGAGTACTCGCGGAGGTTCTTGCGGACTTGCTTCTGCTCCTCCTTGCTGAGAAGGGTGGGCGGGCGAGGACGCCAGATGAACTGCTTAAATTTGTCGGTAGGGTTCTCGGAGAGGGTCTGACCGGCAAAGGTGTGGAGGTTCCAGCCATTTTCCATCTAGAAACGATCCAAGTTAGCAAGATATCAAGGCGTAAGCCATAGGGTTGTAGATTGACATACCGAATGTGTCCACACGCTAGCACTGCTGACCACGTAACGACCAGTAGGGTCCCAGTCGACGTCCGTCACACCGTAGTGCTCGACCGTCTTCATCAGCTGAAGGTTGGCGGCCAGATCCTTCTCACCCTCGGGCTTCTCGCCCTCAAAGTCCATATCCCAGAAGTCCAGATCGAAGCTCGACTGGGAGTGCACAGTGGCCACAACGACGAAACGGCCCTTGGGCGACCAGTAGATCGCGTTGCTCGTCTTCTTCTCAATGGTACGCACCAGCTTGAAGTTACCGGCCGAACCACCCTTCTTCTCGGGGGCGAAGAAGGAGACAGCCGTCTTGGGGGGAACGGCGGCACCGGTGGGGGTCTCGCCCGTGGTGATGAGGACGAAGCGACCACCGTTAGGCTCCCAGGCGAAGTTGATGACCGTGTCTTTCAAGCTGTCGACGACCTCAACGGGGACACCCTTCTCGCGAACACGGAAAATCTCGAGGTTGGTAGCCATGGACTTCTTCGATTTGGAGTGACGGTCCACCTTGACACAGACGTAGGTACCCTGGGACTGCCAGTGCAGCTTCACATCCGACACGTTGAACAGGTTACGGGTACGGACAATCTCCTTCGAAGGCACACTCATCATACCCACGCGAGCGGGGTTGCTGCCAATTTCGGGGGTCCAGAAGCACAGCAGCTGCTCGTACTGCTTGACACCATCACGGTTCACGGTCGCGGGGGACCATTCGAAGTCCATCACGCCATCAATCTTGACGGACGTCTTTCCTAGCAGGTTCATCCGGGGAGCCTCGTAGATCGAAATTGACTGGCCCTGGAGCATTCTGGCGACGTACTTCTCATCCGCAGACCACTTGAACGCGGGCCACTGGACCTTCTTCTTGGGTTGAGCTTCGGCCTCGGCGGGACCAGCGGCCAGGTCGTGGGACACGAAAGACCGGAGGGGTTTGCCGGTAACAATATCCCAAATGATGATGTTCTTTCCATCCTCCTCGTAAGACAGGGGTCCGGAGCCACCTTCTTCCACCTGGATGGGGCGGGCGGACCAAGTGGTCACGTAGTTCTCAGCGGGCGAGAATTCAACCAGCGAGACGAACGGATGGGGGAACTGCTTGAGCTTGGAGAAGGCGGGACCACCCCAGAGCTGAATACCCTGAGGGTGAACGGAGGCCAGGTAGGTACCCTTGGGGGACCACTGGACGAAAAGTTGCGTCCAGTGGGCGCGATCCACGACGTTCTCGGGCGGGTTGTTCTTGTTGTTCCAGAACACACCGACTTTGTCACCACGGTAGAGAGCGAACTGGTCGCGGGCGTTGGGGTCGGCCAGCCACGAGCGGAGATGCTCCTTCTCCTTGAAGGGTTCGATCGTAGGAGGCTTATACTCCTCATCAATGCGTCCTTCCCGACCATAGCGATCAATATCCATCAATTTGTTCACGGCGAGGGTGTGCTTCTTGTCGAGGGGTGTGCCGTGCAGCTGTTTCACGGCGGCGACGGCCTGTTCGGGGGTCTCGTACTCAACGAAGGCGAAACTAAAACCAACCAAAAAGGGGCAAATGTCAGGTTGAAACGTCCCAGACGACTAATCATCACGATTCCTAGCATATCACATACCCTTCGGACATGTTCTTCTCGTTCAGCGGCATAAAGACGGCATCTTCGGAGGTTTTGCCAGCCGCGCTGAGTTTCCTCAACAGGAATTTAATGAGCTTTTGTCTGCTCTCCTCGGGGACAATCGGGAGTCCATCAATGACAACGAAGGTATCCAGGCCTTCATCGAGTTTCACTTCATATTGCGCCTTGAGATCTGGGAGAGTCGCGCGAGGATTGAAGTCAGCGGGTGAGGGGCAGAAAAAAGCGACACCACGGCCACGAGATTTCGAGATACTCACCGGAGAAGTCGATCTCCTCCTCTTCTTCCTCGTGAAGATCCTGCTCAGAGAGAGTATCGAAACTGGGCGCCATGGTTGCGGGGGGAGACACAGCAGCAGCGGGCGACGGGTTTACTGGAGAAAGGATTGCGGATCGAGATTCGAGTCTGATTTTCTCTCTTCCCCGTTTGGGCTTGTTTTTAGGGCAAGACGAGCAAATCCAAACCACAAGCGCTTGTGTGCGATCTGAGTCAGCCATCACGTGGTTACTTCCTTACATAAGCTCCAATTTTACGCCCGTCACTCTAATACCGTCGCGGTGCTGTTACCCCGGCTATACACTCCGGTAACACGGTAACACATGTCGACAGCCAATACATGCATTCAATACACACTTATTCGTCCCATCCTACTACTACTTTAACTACTACAACATACCTCGACCTCTTCCTTCAGTCCGTCCTTCAACACAGCTCCTCTTCCTCGTTCTCTCCCTCCTCCCACCTTTCAATCGGCCCATATTCTGTCTATCTCTCTGTACTCTTCCAATATCCCCAGCTAAAAGCTGGTCGTGGTGGACCGGTCGGCTTAACTACCTTAGCAACGGCTCTGCTGCTTATCTCATCCTCCAACGCCTGTCGCGCGCCGGTCCTCTCCCTCTCTTGGATGCCCCGCCGGTCCTAAGCGCCAGCCAGAGTACTACGAGCCAACGACGACGCCCAGATCTAGACAGTTCCGTCCCCGTCACTCCCATCGGCTACACCTCGCCCGCGTCGCAGCCCCATCCGGTCCCCGTCTCCTCAGAAGCGGCCTCTACTTCTTTGACTCGCAATTGACCAGATTGCGACTGCCTCCTCTTCCCAGATTCTCGAGAAATTCCCTTGAACCAGAGGTGTCGCCGGAGACAGCATGTCGCGTAAGTCCCAGTTGGGCTCTGATATTCCCCGAGCCACCCCATAACCGCCGACCTCGCTCTGAACTGACATCATGATCTTCTTCACCCCCCAGTCTCGCCAGAAACTCGCGATGAATATGTTCCGATCATTGATTCGATTTTGGCCGAAAGTGATCTAAACACCATCTCGGAGAAGCGCATCCGGAAAGGGTTGCAGGGCGTGGTCGGCTATGACCTTACTCCGCAGAAGGTGTGTTTGCCCACTTCCCGTCGCAACAACATCCCCTCATTATCCCGCCAAAACGGGTTCCTGTCGGATTTTAAAGAATTGTTTTACACCATGCTGACCATCTCTACCTGTCGCAGGCTGCGATCAAGCAGCTGATCATGGAACGGTTCGACATCTTCGCGGCGAAAGGTGGTATAGATGTTCCTTCCGAACCTGCGGCTGTCACCCCAGCCACCACCAACGGCCACAAGAAAGATCCTGATTCTATGACCCCCGCCGACCCGTCCTCCCCCGCGCAGTCTTCCGTCTCGCAGAAACGCCAAGCCGATAGCGAAGACCATTCGGATCTTTCGAGCAAGACGCCTCCAGCGAAGAAGCCGAAACCTGACCACGATGTCGATGCGGATGCCCTCTACGCGGCCAAGCTCCAGGCGGAGGAGAATATGCGTGCTCGCCCGACGCGCGGAGCCAGTACTCGCAAGGCGCAGCCGGCGGTGAAGAAGAAGAAGACGACAAAGGCCAAAACATCCAAGAAGGTCAAGGCCGAGGATGACTCGGACCTGGATTCGGGCTCAGAAGAGAACAAAAAAGTCAACCGTTCTGGGGGTTTCCATGTATGGGCCAATTCTTCCTGCGGAACCCTTGCATGTTGCTGATCTTCTGATAGAAACCTCTCAATCTTTCCCCCGCGCTTTCAGCGCTTCTGGGTGGGGAAGAGACGGTATGTGCCATATCATCTACGCCACCTCTGAAAGGCGCGCTAACCTTCTCGTAGATGTCCCGTCCACAGACGGTGAAGAAGCTTTGGCAGTACATTCACGAACACGACCTTCAAGATCCCAGCGACCGACGTCAGATTCGCTGCGATGATGCCATGCGTGCCGTTTTCAAACAGGACCGTATACATATGTTTACGATGACCAAGATTCTGAGCCAGAACTTGTATAGCCCTGACGAATAGTCACTCTGGACCAGAGAGAACTCTCTACGATATCTTTGCCTACCGGTTAGGGCACCTTGCAGGATGTGTTCACCCTGCGAAGCTTTACGATTTATTGACTCTTGCTTACTACACCGCATCGGTAACTGGGCGCTTGCTTTGCTTTCTACTCTGCTGTTTCATCTTCGAGATCCCATGTGTCACTCACTGCTGCTGCCATTGATGAGAATTTTGTCTACCGTTTCCTTATGTCCATTCCCATGCTATTGTTCCTCATATCTCTCTAGCGGGAGTCGGTGTTGCCTTGCCGAAGGGCGCCATGGATGTTATCATTAGAACCCATTAGCTATTGGGAGGGTTCTGCAGGGCCCGTCCTGTCATTGCATGATACTCATACGACGTTTTCTTCACTGTTTCCTAGCGTTCCACTCTCCGTTGCTTTCTCCCACGTACGGTCCTGAATTTAGTTCCCAGTTGGTTGAAGGTTAGTGGACTATGGCTGTAGAAGAGCCTGGATTATTTCTTATGTCGTTCCAATTATTACATCCTGGAGAACTCTTAACTTAGGGAAAGTTGTTCTATATTGCTCTCTTTGGGGTGTCTGGATAAGCTGATCACTAAGCGGGCCCAACTTTTGCCCGCCGCTTTTACGGGAAGGGAAATTCCTCCCCACTGCAAATCATCTCCCTACGGCCAACTATCCACCTCTCTGCAAGACACCGCTTCGAAGACAGAGCGCCGAGCTCTTCGCATTCCTCGGCTTTTTCGTCCGGGCTTCTGTCCCCTTTCCCACGTCGCTTCTGTCGCTGCAATCTCGACCTTCCCGAACGTCGCCCGCAATGTCTGACACGCAGCCGTCTCAGGCCCCCGGATCGCAAACCTCGAGCCGCGGGGGTGGTCGTCGTCGAGGACGTGGAGGAGGCGCCTATCAGATTGGCCAAGCGCAAGCAACACAGCAAACGGGCGGTGGTGGATCTGGAAGAGGCTCGAGGTCCCGGGGTCATGCACCCCGCAGGGGCGGGGGTCGCGACAAGCAGAATCGGAGTGCCAACAAGCCGGAGGAGACCACGGAGGAGAAGTCGGGTCCTGCGACGGGGGAGCAGGCAGTCGCGGGGGAGACGGGCGGCGATGAAGGCAAGGGAAAGAAGGCCATCGTGACGGCGACGGATGATGCAGATGACGGGGAAATTTGCTTCATCTGCGCATCCAATGTCGAGCACACATCCGTTTCACCCTGCAACCATCGCACTTGTCATATTTGCGCCCTGAGACTCCGCGCGTTGTACAAGAACAAAGCTTGTGCTCATTGCCGGGTAAGGGATTCCTTTTATGATGCTGACCTCGAAGGTCCTCAAATGCTAACGGACGCCAGACCGAGGCCAACTATGTCATCTTCACGGATAATCATGCGAAGCGGTTTGAAGAGTTCACTGAGAACGATTTCTCTCGCAAGGATGATAACCTGGGCATCAAATACGAGAATGACGACATCTTTGAGGACACGGTCCTGTTGCTGCGCTACAACTGTCCCGAGAGGAATTGCGATGTGGCTTGCCTAGGATGGCCCGACTTGCATCGTCACGTCAAGAGCAAGCATGGCCGAGTTATGTGGTATGTAGCTGCGCATCTGCAGTCAGACAGCTGGAAGAACGGCCACTGACCCCGATATCTAGTGACCTGTGCACTCGCAACAAGAAAGTTTTCACCCACGAACATGAGCTTTTCACACAGGCAGAGCTGCGCAGACACGAGAAGTACGGAGATGACGTCCCCGGTGCTGTCGACCAGAGCGGCTTCAAGGGTCATCCTGAGTGTGGTTTCTGTCGCCAACGGTTTTACGGCGACGACGAACTCTACGCGCACTGCCGTGACCGTCACGAAAGATGCCACATCTGTGACCGACGATCGGGCAATCATCGCCAACAACAATACTACATCGACTACAACGCTCTGGAGGATCACTTTCAAAAGGACCACTTCCTGTGTCTCGACAAGGAATGCCTGGAGAAGAAGTTTGTTGTTTTCGAGTCCCAGATGGACCTGAAGGCCCACCAACTGGAATGCCACCCCAACGGTCTTTCCAAAGACGCCAGGCGTGATGCGCGCATGGTAGACATCTCCACCTTCGACTACCGAGCCCCATACCAGCCACAGCAGCGACAACGTCGCGGTGCCGGTCGAGGCCGGGACCCCAACTCGGAGCCGCTGCCCATGTCGAGCGCCCAACCATTAAGACGAGATGAGATCGCCTACCAGCGCCAGATGGCCATCCAGAGTGCGCAGTCCGTGTCAACCCGGAGTTTCGGCGGCCAGCTCTCCCGCAACGACACGCAAACTGTTCGCGCCCCGGCGCGCACACCTGTCCAAACACCCCCAGCAGCATCGTCACCCGTCGCCGAACTGGCGTCGCTCAATCTCACCTCCAGTTCTGGGCCTGAAACTCCGCAAGACCAGGCGCGCCGTCTGCGCCATGCAGCCGTGATTGAGCGAGCATCCAACCTCCTCGCTAACGACCAAAGCAAACTCAAGGAATTCCGCACGCGTGTCTCTAACTACCGGGCGTCCACCATCTCCGCCACCGAACTCATCGATGCCTTCTTCTCCCTCTTCGACACCACCACCACCGAGCTCGGTAAGCTCATCAAGGAGCTCGCCGATATCTACGAAGACGAACCTAAGCGCACCGCCCTCCTCAAGGCATGGAACGACTGGCGTGCCATCAACGAGGATTACCCCGCGCTGCCCGGCCCCGGCGGCGTCCTCCCGGGCATGTCTCCCAGCACGGTCAACGGCAGCGGCGTGGGCGGCAAGCGCGTGCTGCGGTTGAAATCGTCCACGGCGCAGTCATCCCGTTCGGCCGTGGGCCGCAGTGGTGCTCTCCCGTCGTCCGTCTCCTCAGCCGCCAGTAACCCCTTCCCTCCTCTCTCCGCCGCCACCGCGCGTTCCACCGCACGAACCGCCCCTCTCGGTTCCGCGACGACCCCATGGGGCGCGGCCGCCGGCGCCTCGCCGTCCCTCTCCATGGCCAGCTCATCGCGCTCTGGGCCATCCCGAACCTCCTCCACACCCTCGCGCTCCGCGAACCCCAGCAGTGCCGAGGCGTTCCCAGCACTCCCAGCCGCACCGAAACCCAACGTCCTCATGGCCGGACTCACCCGCGGCACGGTGCGGTGGGATCGGGCACCCCAAGCCAATGCATGGGCCTCGTCCGGCGGCTCCGGGGCGAGTTCCGCTGGCGAGGGCGAGACTGAGTTCGGGGAGCCATCTGGTGGGGGTAAGAAGGGCAAGGCGAAGAAGGGGAAGCAGACGCTGTTCCATTTCGGTTGATGAGATGATTCTGATTATCGCAGGCTTGTACAGCGTTGTTTTGGCTTTGCTTTGAGCGTTCTCATAGATGCGGTGATAGGTACATACAGAATTGCCATAAAAGTTGCCCCGATATGAGCCTGTCCTATGTAATTATAGCGTTGCTGCGCGTCCGTCAATATACTTGGGTTTAATCAATGGAAGTTCCGCTGTTCGAAACGTCGTCCGACGAGATCTCAATGACAGGACGTTCCTCTGTCACCACGCTCTCTGACTCCTCGTCCAGACGCTCCTGCTCCCCGTCCGACACCGTCTCCGTCCGCTGCAAGACCATCGACTGCGCGTCACTGTCGCTAAACGCCGCCACATCCTGATCAATGGCCGCCATCTTGAGCGCAAACTCATCCTGCAGCCGGCGCAGCCAGCCGCGCAACGCGTCGCCGGACATGTTCGCATCGCGCGCCTGGACAAGCTGCTCCCTCAGCGCGAGGATCAAATTGCGCTTGCGGGCGACAGCCGCCGCGCGCGAACGGCTCTGGCGGCGGCGGACGAGCTCGTTCATCTGCGCCGAGACGGCCTGCGCGGTGTCCAGCACGGCGGCGGGCAGGTCGACGAGCTTCGCGAGGGCAAGGCCGTAGAAGCGGGTGGTGTCCGGGCCCTCGGCGACGCGGTAGAGCATGGTCATCTTGGAAGCGTCCGGGGCGAGGTCGGCGGCGAGGTGCAGGGCGACGACGCCGGCGCGCTCGGAGAGGATGGCCACCAGGTCGTGGAAGTGGGTGACGAACCAGACGCGGGCGCGGCTCTCGATGAGGGCCTCGGCGAGGGCGAGGGCGATGGCGAGGCCGTCGGTGGTGGAGGTGCCGCGGGCGAGCTCGTCGACGATGACGAGGGCGCGGGGGTCGAGGGCGCGCAGGATGCGTGCCATGTCGCGCATTTCGGCGGCAAAGGTGGAGACGTTTGCGGCGAGGTCGTCGGCGGTGGAGACGCGGGCGAAGAGCTGGGATGCGATGCGGAGGGAGGCGTAGGCGGCGGGCACGAAGGAGCCGGCCTGCGCCATGACGGTGGTGAGGGCGATGGTGCGGATGTAGGTGGACTTGCCGCTCATGTTGCAGCCGGTGATGATCTGGAAGCGCGAGGTGTCGGTGGCGTAGGCGTCGTTGGGGACGAATTTCTTTGTGTGGATCTTCTCGCGGATGGGGTGGCGGGCGGATCTGAGCGCGAGGGTGTCGGTCAGCTCGGGGCGGATGTAGTCGTGGGCTGAGGCGAGGTGGGCAAAGGCCGCGAGCATGTCGAGCAGGGCGATGGCCTCGCTGACTTTGAAGAGGTGCGAGATGGAGAGGCAGACGGAGGCGATGAGGTCTTGGATGGTTTGGTCGCTCATGTTGAGGACTTCGTTGTGGGCGTCGACGATCTTCTGGTTGAGCTTGACCAGGTCGAGGGTCTGGCATTCGATGCGGTTCTTCTTGCGGTAGACGTTGATGAAGACGTTTGGGAGGGTGGTGGCTATCTCGGCGGCGGAGATGCTGATGTAGTATTGGCGTGCGGTGTCGTACTTGAGGTCTAATGTGATATCGTGGGTTTCTGCGTGTGTGAGTGGAGGTCTGACAGAGGTGGTGTTTCTGACCTTGGAGTTTGGACACGAGCTCTGTTGCGTCCATGTTGGCCTCTTTGTATGTCTGTCTGGCGACGTCGAGGAGACTGTTCACGCCGGCCTAGCATGCACGATTAGCATGTGCTGTTCAGTTGTGCTGGTGATGAGAGATTACCCGGACACAGTAGATCCTCTGGTTCCTGAGGTCAAGCGGCTTGGTCTGATAAGCCACATGTTCATTGAGAGTGGTCTCAATCATGTCTTCGACGGCACGATGGCTCGCTGGAGCGCAGATCTAGACTGTCGTCAGCTAGACCTCGAAAGCGCAGACGGCCGACGACTTCTCTGATGGTCAATAAGAGACTACTCTGGGCCGTCCCCAACGACCTGTATATATTCTTGATCGAAGACACAAGCGTTTTGAGCATGATCACATTGTTGACGCATTGCTCGACGTATTGGAAGTTCCGTTTCGTCGGAACGAGGATAAGCTTGATTGTCAGCATCACACCCGTTGTAGGACAAAAGGACATACCGACGAGAGCGCTTTATCTGCATCGACAAAGCCTTTCAACGCTTCAAGCGCCGAAAATTAGCAGACACAATCAGACGCCTGTGCACTGGCTCACCTTGTCGGACGGACAAAAACATCTCCTCCTTCGTTGACAGGTCTTCGACGGCATCATACCGCGCCAGCAACTTGGACTCCTCGGTGGAGGGCTGGAGGATGTTGGCCCGGAGCAGTCTGCTTCCCATCGGGGTGAGTGTCGCGTTCATGAGGCCGAACAAGCTCTCCTTCGACTTGGGGTTCTGGAGATTCTGTATCAATTCGAGGGAGACTATGGTGGACAAGTCGATGGACATGGAGCCTTGGGAGGGTTTGAATCGGATGCGGAGCGAGTGTGGCGCAAAGGTCCAGTCTAGTTCCAGTTCGACGTACTTGAGGACCTATTATAATTGGTTAGGCATTCATTTCGAACCCAGGAGCGACTTAGTACAGCAGCAAAGCAACACGCCGCAAAGTAGTTCCCTCCCAGCGTGACCTTGATCGACTCGATATCTTCGGGAAAAGCGAGGCGGTCCACGTATTCATGGCCGGACTTTTCGGACCAAAACCGACGATCCGCAAAGGTGAGTGTGGTGTCTTTGAAGTTCTCCTGTATGATGTAGAACAGTTTGGAGTCTTTGACTGTGCTCATGAACAGGATCTCCGTGGGCTCAAACACCGCGATCTTGGTCACAGTCTTGACGTAAGTTTGGCTGTCGCATATCTGGCATAGGACAGTCTCGGCGGTGCAGATGTTGATGAAGGCGAGTCCTACGGTGGACGCGATCCCTCTCGACTCACTCAACGCGCAGACGATGTCCTGCGAGGCGACGCTGGTTGCTGTTGTTGTAGGTCTGGTTCTGGCTGGAGGGAGGGAGGGAGGAGGATAAAACGCGGTAGATCCCAGGGATAGGGCCCTAGACACGCTCCTTGCCATTTTCTACCAATGAAAGGCATTCACCATGGAAATGATGGAGTAAGGCAAAGTAGAACGCAGTGCAGGGTGGAAAGCAGGTGTATAGTTCTGCTGATAAAGCGCGGTCCCGATCGGGTTTAGCGCACCGATAAGGCGTTGATTTTTTTCTCCAAAAAGTCACCAGTTCGGATCAAACAACCAACAACATACCAACTCTCCACAATGGCCACATTGCTTCCCCCACCGACGAAGCGTCAGAAGCGCGAGCAGGATGAGAAGGCGCGCCTGCAGCAGGAGATCGACCAGATCCCGTCCGACCTGGGAAGCGTGCGAGTGCAATTCTTCGACCAAGCGACGGGGTCAGCGACGGGGCCCGCTGTGTCCGTCCCGGTGGCCGATGCGACAGTGAAGAACCTCGAGACGCTATTGAACACATTACAGGGCAATGTAGGTGCCACGTTTGATCACGGTTTATAGCTACATAAATACATGCAGGAGCTAATGCTTTTGCGACAGGAGGATGACGAACGAGTCCCCTACCGGTTTACCTACCAGTCCGACGATAAGGACAACCAGACGCTTGATATCCTCGCCAATCTGTACCACTCGCTGCTGCAGCCCGGCATCAAGACGACCGAAGATACCATCCCGCTGTACTTTACCCCGCAGGCGGTGTTCCGGGTGAAGGCGGTGTCGCGGTGTTCGGCGTCGATCGCGGGACACGGGGAGGCGATCCTAGCGACATCATTCTCACCGGCGTCGTCGTCGACGATGGTAACGGGGAGTGGCGACTCGACGGCGCGGGTGTGGGACTGCGACACGGGTACGCCGCTGCACACGCTGAAGGGCCACACGAGCTGGGTGCTGGCGGTGGCGTACTCGCCGAACGGGGCGATAATCGCGACGGGCAGCATGGACAACAGCGTGCGGCTGTGGGATGCAAAGAAGGGTGCGGCGCTGGGCGGGCCGCTGAAGGGCCACGCGAAGTGGATCACCAGTCTGGCATGGGAGCCGTACCACACGCAGCAGGCGGGACGGCCGCGGCTGGCCTCGGCGTCCAAGGATGCCACAGTGCGCATCTGGGACGTGGTGTCGAAGCGCATCGACACGGTTTTGACGGGACATAAGGGGTCGGTGACGTGCGTGCGCTGGGGCGGCACGGGCAAGATCTACACGGCGTCGCACGACCGCACCATTAAGGTGTGGAACGCGACCAACGGCACGCTTGTGCAGACGCTCAACGCGCACGCCCACCGTGTCAACCACCTCGCGCTCTCGACCGACTTTGTCCTCCGCACGGGCTACCACGACCACACCGGCAAGGTCCCCGAGGCTGATGCCGACAAGGTCGCCCAGGCGAAGCGGCGCTTCGAGCAGGCGGCCACCATCAACAACAAGATCGTCGAGAAGCTGGTCTCCGCCAGCGACGACTTCACGATGTACCTGTGGGAGCCGGAGAGCTCGAACAAGCCCGTCGCGCGTCTGCTGGGCCACCAGAAGGAGGTGAACCACGTGACCTTCTCGCCGGATATGGCGTATATTGCGTCCGCAGGTTTCGACAACCATGTCAAGCTGTGGAACGCGCGGGATGGAAAGTAAGTATCCTTGCGCTGGTTATATTGTTCTTAGACTAACGTCGGGATGACAGATTCATCACCACTTTCCGCGGTCATGTCGGGGCCGTTTACCAGTGCTGTTTCTCGGCTGACTCGCGTCTGCTGGTGTCGTCGTCTAAAGACACCACGTTGAAAGTGTGGAACGTCCGGACGGGGAAGCTCGCCATGGATCTCCCGGGGCACAAGGATGAGGTATATGCGGTGGACTGGAGCCCGGACGGGCAGAAGGTGGGCAGTGGCGGAAAGGATAAGGCGGTGCGGATCTGGAGAAATTAATGCAATATATATCAAGACCATAGAAGGGACAACAAAGCAACTGCGATACCCCCATCAACGAAGCATGGCTACGTCTATCTCAGCTACAAGGATGGTGGGAGACGTGCGGTGAGAAGTGCAACTCGTTCATTAGATATTAACCAAACTTTAGAACATCTTCTATAACAGAAACAGCGATGTCGTGTTTGCATCAGCACCTTGGGCGGATGTAAAATCAATCTGTGCATCTCACCCCAAGGCGCTCAGTGCCCAGTTCAGTCTCCGAGGAGGCTTAGACGTATTGGTCAACGGGAACAGGGTTGGCCGGAGGAACGGCGAGGGCGTTGAAGGGAATGCAGCCCTCGGCCAGCTCGAAAGGACCGCCAGGAGAGTTGATCGCATAGACCTGGAAGCCGTAAGGCGTGGGGCAGGCGGAAAAGCCTCCTCCAAGGAAGGTGTACGCAGGGCCGAATGGGGTGGGAACCACCTTGAGAGGACTGGTGAAGGCGTTGGGCGGGAATGGGCTGCCGGGCGGGGTGTAAGCCAAGGCGCCGTTGGGGAGGACGAAAATGGACTGGCCCGGAGCAAGGGTGTCCTGCAACGCCTATTAGCGAATGTCTGTTACAAGCAGTATAGATCTGGTGCATACCAGGTGGTCACCCGTTGCGAGGACCTTGGTCTCGAAGTCCGGGCATGGGATCGGGGGCAGTCCGCAGACAGCGGCGCCGGGCTCTCCGATCCAGAAGGTACCGGCATGAGCGTTGATCGGCTGGCCGTAGAAGGGAGTCCCCGGTTGCACCGCCTTGAGGGTGTACGAGGGTCCCGCCTCAGCGTTGCTCTGGGAAGCAAGCAAGGGAAGGAGAGCAGGAGCGAGTTGGCTGAACTTCATGGTGATGGCGGGTTTTCGAAGTAACTTGTTCGAGGACTTGAGGAAGGATGATGGTCTGGAAAGAGAGCTCGTGGAGCCGTGTGCTCGTCCGAATTTATAGCCATCTGGAGGTCTCTGGGATATGCGAAAACGTCCATGACAGGCCAAGGAGTGGGTGGTAGTATGACAGGTGCCTCAAGCAGGGCGGACGTTGCAATAGGTATTCGATCCGCATGACGTCAAAACGATTGGTGGATGCTTGGTTGGCTCGAGAGAATGGGAGGGCAAACAATCCGTATGACTGCACGCACAGAGACAGAAAGGCGAAGAAGGCAGGTTGACGTTCGGCAAGTTCCGAATTCAGCGGGCGAAAACCGTCCCGGGGCGGTGGTTGCGGGAAGGGCGTGTGGGGCGCCGCGCCGGAAGCATAAGCCGCCCTGCCTGACTAAGCTCAGGGTCCTCCCCTGGCATGCCGAGTACACCCGCTTCAGGCAACAAAGATGGCAAGGGTTACAACGAAAGCACATCGTGCAGGATTCATTTCTCCGGAGCTTACCACCCCAGCATACTCGATGTACTCGAAGGAAGAGTAATTTGCAGATGAAAGCAGAAAGAAAGATTACATAGAACAGAAATTACGTAAAGCACAGCAACAGTAACAACACCAGAAGCCATCCAACCCCACAGCACCAAGCCTGATACTGCTAGCAATACAACCGGCCGTGTAGCAACCCCCAACCACAAACACCGGAGACCATAACACCGTGTCTGAAACCGTTCATGCGTTGTGAGGTTGACAAAGGAGACAAAGCAAGGAAAAGGACATACCAAACCAAACAGAAACCCAGGGAGAATATGTGTAACAAGAAGAAAAGCCCAGCAAGCACGCCCTGCAACCGTCCCGTATCTAGTAATCATCGTCCCCATCGTCATCATCGTTGTTCCGTCCTCGAGTCCCCTTGACTCCATCCTTGCGAATGGGGATCTTGATCCCCTGGAGTGCAAAGCATTTGCTTAGCGTGGTGCTTTCGATCACGCCAGGGAATTTCTTGGCGGAGAACACTTGGAAGGGCTCGGAGAACACCGTTGCCAGCACCGGGGCATTGCCGTGATTAATCACCGACACTCCATTGGGAGACTCGCTCGACGGAGTGCCCACGTTGACGAAGCTCATCTTCAACCTACGACCAGAGTTAGCGGATACATTCCAAAACATGTGTCGTCGTCGCGGCTTACCGGAAGACCCCTTCCGTCCGGACACTGAGGTCTTGCAGGATGAACCAGACACCGATCTTGTTGTCCGGATCGGTGAGTCGGAACGCACTGGCGCTCAGGCTGCCAATGAGGTTCCGCGTGAACATCCCTCCGGGTCCCGCACTGACGGGCTGGGCGGGGGACATGTTGGCCGGGGGCATGTGCCCGCCGGCGCCGTAGTAGTTTTGATGGTAGTAGGAAGCTTGGGGATTGGAGTACGCATTCTGATACGGCATCGGAGGGTTTCCGCCGTAGTAGTTGCCCATCTGTGGAGGGTAGCCGTACGGCGGTTGAGAATACTGCGGATAAGACGGGGAGACGGCGTGCGGCGGGGGCGGGTAAGACGAAGACATCGCGGTTGATATCGACGGAGAGGTGGCGGAGTGCTTGACCAGGTTCACCTCGCTGGTGCCCTCCGCGTTCCACAGATCCACCATCAAAACGTAGAACGATGTGTCGATTTCGCTAGAGTACCATGTCAGCGGTGGCCCCGGGTCGGCAGACGCATTTGACGGGGACCATACTTGATATCAATCTCTTTCTCGGTCTGCGCATCCTTCACAATCAAGCGGATACAAGGCGGGGGAGTGATTGGCCTCCGGTCCTAATTCGAGGTCAGCTCGCGTCGCACCGCAAGACAAACCGGGGAAGACGCACTTTATCGCCAAAACCGCACATACGGGCGCGGACAGGCTGCTGGACAACTTGTAATGACCAGATCCGATCTTCATGGCATGTCGATAGGGGGGCCAGATGACTAGAGGAATGTACCCCCGTGGATCCCATGGGACCGGCCGACCCGGGCGTCGGATAAGAAGACGAAGGAGGCGGAATGCGATCCATGGAGAGAGGCGGAGGAGCTGGCGGACCTGGAGGGACTCTTTCGTCCATCGTGTACATCATAGATGCGAAAGCGGGAGTGAGCGCGGATACCGAGAGGAGTGAAGCAAGAAAATTTTGTCGTGCGCGAATTCAGGAGAACTGCAGATAACGCCCTCGTTCAGCGTTCGACGTATAGGCAAACAGCGGAACAACGTCACTATCACATCGACGGAAGGCTGAAGCCTTGCGACCGGAGTGCGAAGCGAACAATTCCCAAAGCTACCCTTAAGGACTGGGCGTAGGGTGCGTTCGGTCTGCGGAACGATGGAGACGGAGGAGAAGAGAGTGCGACTGGAGGGGGGTCGGAAAAAGAAGTGTAACGAACGAAATCGAGTAGAGGGTTAAATGGAGGAGAGGTTGCGGAGGGCAAGCGAAGCAATTTCTTTATGCGGGTGACGACACCGAACCAAAGTGGCGAACGGAGGGGAGTTGCCGGAAACCGCGACTTTGCGATAGCACCGATCTTCGTCGGTGCTGTCGATGCCCAACGGGTCTGAACAAGGGAACGATGGGAAGGAAATGGAGGAAATGAAGACACTAACGAGAGGCTAAGATACCGACCGTTTGGCTCCTAAGCTGCGCGAGCCCCCAGTCCAGCGATGATCGTCTTTTGGGTGAGCCGTAGCGAGGGAGCTGTCAAAGTGCGGGAGATTCACCAGGGCTTCCACGGGTCGCTGTCTGGACCAAAGGTTCACAGGAGATGTCCCTTTTTTTTGTACAATGGGAGAGCCACTGGAGAGACGATCGAGGGTCGAAGTTGGAAACGGTGGGGTCGAAGGTGAGCAGGTGAGAGAGCGAGAAAGAAATGAGCTGCCGCAGTCGATGACGATAGCGATGCGCTTGGTGCGGGGGTCAGATCTGGTAGCGAAGAGGAGGTGAACCGACGGGGGACGACGGGAGGGAGATGAGAAGAAAGAGAGATGCAGGCTACGGAGGAGAAGAAAGGAAGGTAGTTGAAGGAGATGAGGTGAAATTGATGGTGGAGGAAGCAGAGAGACTGTCGTCCGCGTTGGTCCAGACCTGAGCGAGGTGAGAGTGTCGGTCTCTACGATGATGACTACCCGACCTTTTTTTTTCCCCTACCTTTTTTTCTTTTTTTTTTTCCCCGTCCCCCCTGCCTTTGGTTATTTTTAAATGGTGCGTAAGGCATGTATCCCGATGGCTTGAATTTTTTTTTAATTAAAAATTATTATCTTAAAAATCCCTTCTTATATGCTCCATTGGTTCCGTCTTTCCCTGGCCTTACGATGGATTGCAGACTATATCAAGGACCTCCCCCCAACGGGACCTTTTAACAAGAATTGTTGCCGCTAATAATGCGCGGATTTTGTTGGATTATTCCTAGTGTTAGGCTGCTGCCACGCTCTGCAGCTTCACGGATCAGGAGGTGATCAGCCGCGCAGGAACCTCCGACCCAGACAGTCGGGTTCATCTCCCTTTCCTCCTTGCTTCAGTTCCCGTCCCCTGGATTCATTCCACGAGCGCAGTCTTCCGGACAAAGTCTGTTTTTTTTCTTCTGAATCTCTCTCTAGCGAAGAAAAATCCCAAGGAAATCAATCCCATCACTATCGATGCAGCTCCTTCTCCAGCCCCTGCAAGCAAAATCCATCCGACAGCTTGAATGATTCGCATGACTCTCCGTCATTCACGCTGCTCTGATTGTTGGGTGGAGCCCCGCACCCCCAGCCAACGAGAGTCAGCGACGTGCCACTCGCGGAGGGTGAAACTGCTCCCCAGCCAGTTAAAAGGGCTTGGGTGGGTCTACATAGCCCAATGCAGCGGCCGACAGGAAGTGATCCTCTCTACTGGGTCCCAACTGCGCCGTTTCCGGGCTTAGCCCCCCTTCTCCGACCTCGAGTCGCCCGTTTGCGGTGTCAGCGTTACCACCACCCACCCATCTACGGAGTCTCTCCGTCGACATTCCCAGCATCCACCGTAACATCAATATACGTAGTACAATAATGTTCAGATCGTAACATCACGTCTCCTCTGGTGATATATGCGCATACCGGAAGAGTTGATGTTACAATCATCCTGGATAAGACCAGGTTCGTTCACGCTGTTCGGCCCGTCCTTACAATGCACTGGCATAGTTCCGTCAGACAGACGGTGTTTCACCTCCCCTCATGCTCGACCAGGTAAGAGACCACTGCCGCATGAGTCATTATATGCCCACCTCCACCAAACCGCGGGGTAGTTAGGTAGTTACGGAGTATGCACATACTTCGTACGACTGTACTTCGTTCCGACCTAGCCAGCCCCCATAGGATGATCCTTTTGACGTGCACCAATACCGCGCCCTGGAAATGGGGTCAACAAGTCGGGTTTAACGCCGGCCCCGGCGCACGGATGCCCTAGATGGAGCTCCCGTCCCGCAGCGCGTCTTTAGCTGTCTTATCTGGATGACCTGTCAACAGCCGCCGCACACAGGAAAAAGCATGCGGATCGGAAAAAGCAAGCATCCTATAAGCCACCCCAGCCCCTTTCAGCTTCCCGGTTCCCCCTGAAATTCCTCGGGCACATGGCGCGCCCAAGTATGTGGGAGAAATATGCCGGACAGCGTGGCCGACTAAAGGAATGATCCAGAACTACACAACATGCCACCAATGGAACGAGGGATTTGCCGAGCCAGGATTGAGACTCGGATGCCTTCTCTCATTGTTGACACAATATTATTCTTACGGTTCAATTTATTTCTCCATAATCCATTCAGACTGTCTACATCAGCACTTAAAATTGTAGCCTAGTCTAGCCAAAAGCTTGAAGATATATCGGCATGACATTCTTCGTCCTCACGTACCTGCACATCACGAGCGTCTTTCTAGGTATAGTTCCTGCACAGTTTAAGCTTATTTATCTCCGTTCGATTTTTGGTCATGGGGGAAAGAAGCTTTCAGAACCTTCTCCCTCGTTAGCGCGCAGGGCAGATCTGTGAAATGCGGCACCAAGTTAAAGAAGTCCCCAGATGTGCCATGCACTTCAAAACAAAGCACTAGCCAATAGTATACATATGATCTACTCATCCTTCGATTCAGGAGATACAAGCAAAACCTTATGCTGGCAATATAGTGGATGGAGAGTCCTTTAGAGACCTTGAATGGCGCCACTACTTTAGATAATAGGTCCTATCATTATCAGAGTAGCGTATTGATATCATGTCAAGTCCTCTCATCATATCCCATGTCGCCCACACACGGCTATTATAGCCTAGCATCTGGTCTTTGTGAAACACGCACCTAGTCTGTCTGAAACCGCAGAGCGACAAGCGACCGACGAGGCAACAAGCTTTAGTGTCACCAGCTCGGCAGTTCGGAGTCAAACTGGGCCGAGGCCCGCATTGAAGCTCGCGCACTTTCAGACCTTACTCTGGGTATACTTCCTCGAGCGACTGTTCTTATTGAGAACAGTAACAGTTAGCAACCATGCCGCAAGTATCCCGGAAACGCTTAAAAACCAACGTTGTCTGGAATCGAATAGCGACTTTCATGGAGCACAGACAGGGTCAGATTCTACGTAAACCAACTCGGGGTTATTGGAGAGCGATCCATCCAGGCCATATGAAGACCGGCCAGTTACTCCCCGTCTGCTCATCCCGACAGTTTGACCTGAGAACCAAGATCTGAGATTGAGGAGGTCAAAGCCGTGCTGGTCCTGATGACGTTAACGAATCCATCAAGTCCAAAATATTGACATGACCCAGTCACAGACATCTTCTGTAGGGGTCAGCACAGAGCTGTGGCGGCGATTGGACCATTAGATTTTTTGTTTGTCCTTTTTCAAAGAATGCAGCTTTGGTCCTAATTTTGTCGCTGTCCATATGTGGGTAGTTTCCGACAGACGGGTGATTCAAGGCTCCTAACACAGTTGACCCACTGACATATCAATCTGATGTTTACCTAGTAGAAGATAACTCATTCCACATGATGATCCGCTAAAACATTGATTCCAAGGCCGTTAACCCGACAGACCACATCGGACGCCCCTAGCAGGTTAGGGATAATCTCGTCATGAATGACATCACCCTGCGGGCCGGGTTTCTACAAATATCTTCCATTCACAAAGGAAATCACCCGCATAAGCGCCAGCCCCGGGATCCTCCGTTGGGCATCTGCCTAGACTCCAGGAGCGTAGAGTATGAGCGGGATTGCCGCAAGGAGAAACGCGACCATACGGAGGCAAGGTAAGCGACGACCGAGGGTCGAATCATCAATGGGAACAAGGAATCTTAGGATGCGACCATGCCTGTAAGATGTGTGACAGGAGCCGATCCGCATATACTCGATGAGGCAGGTCGTGGTGAGGACTGAGCAGGTGGTATGCAAGCCAGCGGGGCTAGCTACCTAAGTACCTATTGATTTCGCGCCTCGGGTTTTGCGTTGGCGGGCATACGGAAGAAAATCTGTGTACTTGTATATGGGTTAGGGGGCAAGTGCAGAGAATCACTTTCGAAGGGCTATCGAACAGATCTTCATATGGGGCATAGGGCATGGCGTCCGCAGATCCACCATCTACTCCGTATCTACTAATTGTAGGAGTAACTATAGTACTGCTATGGTATGATGATCCCAGCCATGTCCAGGCATCGGGGACTCCGGTTGGTACCTGATCTATTTAACGCAGATGACGACCCGGACTGACTCGAGACCACCGTTAGTGTCGGATGGTAGACATTAGTGTCTTGGGGAGTGATCCGCTTGCAGGGAACTAACCCCATGGGAGGAGTTCGTCGTGGATGGGAGTGGAGGGAGAACCGGATCGCAGGCGGGGAGGATCTCGGCGGGATATTTTAAGACAAATCTCACCGGGAGCTTAATCATGGGTACTCGGTAGATTAGGTAGGTACTCCGTATGGATGCTTCTATATGTTCCAGAATATATATAGTATGCTCTAACCTTGGTCGTGGATGTTTTACTGTCCGGCTAAAAATACCACAGACTACCTCTTTGGGAATAGTCTGGTCTTCGGAAGAGGAAAGAAAACTGATTCCCATTGGTAGAGATCCAGAGCCAATCACAACCCCCAGTCATACCAAGAAATCGTATTACCCAAAGCGGAAAAAGCAGGGCCGGTCGACTGCGGCGGTCAGACTATCGATTCTGACGATTATTCTTTCATCGTCTAGGGCGATTTGGAATCGGCCATCGCGTTTACATTATTGGGAGTGGGACGGGGCGGGCAGTGGAGTCCTACCTAAGATGGCATGACGGTTGCTTTATTATTCGACACAGACTCGAAAGGAATTCCCATCGAAGATTCAACAATAATAATACCTAGGTAAGAATAATAATGGGCACTGTTGTTGTCTATTATTATTCTGCTACCTACTACTGCGCGCACATGCTAGTGCCACCACTTACCCGATTCGGGCATTGCGGACTGCTTTACTTGCATCGACCTCCGCCTATCACCACCCCCAGCACCACCACCTTTAGGTAACTATCGATCCGCCGCTTGGGTCGGACGTTGACACTCCCTCCAGGATCGACAACCTTGTCCCTGAACGCCTCGGCGAACGACACAAGGAGGGCCAGCTAGTTTTTCGACCCACCTGGCCGGATCGAAATCTATTGTCCTGCTCTCCACCACCAAGGGGGAAGTCAATTAGATTAAATACCCGTCTCGACGACCCCCAATTTTCCCTTTTCTTGGACAGACGTCCTTTCCCAACATGAGGCCCGAACCCAAACAAAGCATGCACCGATTGGACGTTGCCTGATCGACTCCAGGTATACTTAGCCCCCGGCAATGCTCGTACAGTTCGACGGCCGGTCTCCATATGGCTGCGTGGAGTGTCATCCCCAGCTGATCCAGGTAGGTCGATCTGTTGGAGAACCTCGTCCTCGACTGGTGGTGTTAATACGCCTCTAGTGTGTCGACAAGCCGTCTCGTTGCCCGTGCCTTTGCGGCGCCAGCATGACCTGCGACTACATGGCGACCACCCCAGCGAACTGGTCCACGACTACCGGGTCCCCGTCTTCACCGGCGATGACCTCCATCGCGGACCCCGTGAACCACCCGCTCGCCCACTTCGCGCCTGCGGGGGAGCTGAACCACACCGAGCTCGAGCTGATGGTGCAATGGTGCACCGACACCTACCGCTCCGTCGCGCACCAGCCCAGCGTCGAATGGATCTGGCATGCCGCCGTGCCTCGGGAGGCCCTGCAACGGCCCTTTCTCCTCCACGGCATCCTGGCCGTCTCCGCCCTGCACCTCTTCTTCCGTACCACCGGCGACACGCAGGCACACTACTTGCGTACCGCCCACGCCCATCGACAACACGCCGAGGAAGGCCTCTCCCAAGCGCTCCGCGCACTGGACGCCTCCAACTGCAACGCCGCGTTCGCCGTCTCCAGCATGCTCACCGTCTTCTCCTTTGCCCTGCCGCTAGCCGCGCGCCGCACCCCGACAGCCGCACACAGTCCGCTGGACGAGCTGTGTCACATCATGCGGCACACGCAACAGTCCATGAGCTCCCTGTGCGAGATCGTCTACTGGGTCGGCCGCGGCGACCTCCACGCGCTCATCGAGTGCGACGAAACCGCGCCCCGGATGCCGGACACGTCGCGGCTCGCCATCATGGCGTTGGCGCGCCTGAACGATACCCTGGCGACGCAATCCCCGCAGCACGAGAAGCGCATATTCGACCGCGCCCTCGACGCCCTGGGCCACTCACTCGACCAGCTCGCCCGCGGCGGCGAGCTTCTCCTCTCGGCCTTCCGGTGGATTGTGCAGATCCCACCGCGGTTCATCGAGCTCCTTCACGAGCGGCATCCGTTTGCGCTGGTGATCCTGGCGCACTATGCGGTCGTCCTGCATCTGCTGCGGGAGCGTTGGTGGGTGGGTGACTGGGGCGCACGAGTGATTCAAGCGGTGGGACGGAGTTTAGAATGGGAGTGGAGAAAGGCCCTGGGATGGGTGTTGGATGCGACGGGATGTACTCTGCCGCAATGACCGTACTTATGGATTGCACGACGTTACGACCACGATAGAAGCGATGAATTTGCATGCATTCGAGCTGAAGGAGTTTTCTTGTGCGATGCAGATGCATTACATAACTATACTAATGCAAGGCAACTGAAAAAGCAATATGTAGATGATAAGATACAGGTCGCTCATTGGAGCAATGGGCCTAGTGTCGACGAGCAGCAGAAAGATAAGAAGCGGGCATCCCCATCATTCTCGAGACTGTGTATGCATTAATCGACATCAACCGTCAACCGTCGATGTCCAGAATATAACCCACAACTCAAACGACACTAACAGAGGAAAGAAGACAAAACAGCAGAACAGCACACCCAGCGAAATCCCAAGCACCGCCCGCAGCACTTTGCCCCGGCACCGAAGCCCACGTCTCCGAATGATGCAGGCAAGTAGGTAGGTAGGTATCCCCGAGCCACAGACCGAACGCCGTCCCGAATCCACGAAACCATCCCGAACCCGAATCCCCGCACCAATCAGCTGGTCGAGGAGCGCGCCGGGCCCTCGCTGCCACTCTCAGCACCGCTGCCCTGCTCGAGATCCTTGCGCCGATCCTTGGACGCCGTGCGCACGCGGCGCAGCTGTGCCTCCTCCTGTTCGCGGATCATCTTTTCCTCTTCGGGGGTGGGGGTGTAGGTGTTTGCTGCGCCGCCTGCATCATACATGTCAGTCCGTGTTCTGCATCTATCCCCGCGATGGGTCCCGTCTAAGGGAGAAGAAAGAAAAGGGAGGAAACATGACATACCCCGTCCGATATGATGCGGCGCCTCCTCCACGCGCAACGGCGGCGTCTCGACGTCCTGGCTTTCGCGCGCCAGCTCGGGATGCTCCGGGTCATTGTGCATCATGTTGCCGGAGCCGCCGCGGCCGGTGGTGAAGACCTCCTGCTTGATGGTCGGGGTGACGAGATCGCGCGGGGTGGTGGTCTGCGACTCCGGGGTGGAATAGATGTTGCCGGCGCCGCCGCGGCCGTGCGACATAATGCGTGAGCCGCCCATGGCGATGGTAAATCTGTCGCGAATGAGAGGGTATAGGTGGTGAATGAATGGATTGGGGGAGAGTGGTGGGAGTCGAGGGTTGGGGAAAAGTCTTTGGGCCAAGATGCGACTGACTTGGCGGTGGTGGGCACGGGACTTGTCGATTGGTGGACGCGCTTATCACACGGCGATGACGATGGAGCCTTTCTATCAGGTTATCGGTTGCCGGTTTATCGATGGTTCCGATGACTGTTTCTATGACGCTGTTGGGATGGGTCTAGGTTATCGGTGGACAGCGTGAATTTCGTCTGAGTGAGTCAAGTCCGACTGCAGCGAGAATGTGTCGACTGATTTGGAGGACGAGAACCTCACGTGATGGGAGTCTAGAAGGATAGAATGCACCACAAAATATATGCTTGAAGTACAAAAATTGCTAGATTATGAAATATGATGAAATTATAAGAGATCCATATAGAGTATATAATTCTTCCTTATGGGATGAATAGGCGGATGCGATTTGTTAAGTACTGCCCAGTATACACTATGCAGTATGCGGCTATATCATACGGACATCACACCCGATCCATGCTCGATCCTCCATCCTCCACCAACAACCTCCAAAATGTCTTCTCCCCGTCTCTCCACCGCCATCTTCGCCTCTCTTACGCACCCTCCCCGACCATGGCACCTCACTCGCATCCTCCACAGCGATAACCCCCTCGATCTTCACGGCGAACTCCGCGGCACCGCCTCCTTCACCCCCCTCCCCCCTCCTCCGTCTTCCACCGCAACCCCCACCACAGACATCCAGTACCATGAAGAAGGCGAAATGCCCAGTCCCCCCGGCATGAGCACCACCGTTGGCCTTCGCTTCACCAAGAAATACATCTGGCGACTCAACGACGCCGGCCGCATCAGCGTGTGGTTCGCCAAGATCGCAAACGACCAGGAACCCGACTACCTCTTCCACGAGTTCGACTTTGACGCCCCGGAGAAGACATCCGCTACAGAAGACACAGTGACGCCCCCGACACCGCCGGACGTGTCAGTGGGAGAGGCCGGCTCGGTCGTGGTGACGGCCCGGGGGAGCCATCTCTGCATCAATGATCTGTATCGCACGGCGTATGCGTTTCGCGTGCGCCCGGACGGGACGGTGCTGAGCTGGGCCAGTCGACACGTCGTCAAGGGGCCCAAGAAGAATCAGGATATTGTCAATCTCTATTCGCCTAGTGTGTGAGACACGGATATCGACAGCGTTCTATTCCAACATCGCATCTACATACCCCCATCTTCTCTCCATCTCATCCCCCATAATATCGCTACAGCGTATAGATAAAATCCGGCCGCTTGTCGCCCAGCATCTGGATCTCCGCCGCGTTCAGTCCCTGCACCCAGTGATCGCGCTCCCCGCGCAGCCGCTTGGCGTTCTCCCGCCGCAGCAGCAGATACTGCACCACCGACCCGCCGAACAGGAACAGCACCAGGTACGCCAGCACCGTGCCGTGGCCGGGGTAGAACGTGGGCGCGTCCTCGCCGCGGTAGATGTTCGACGACACGATGCCGTTCAGGTTGCCCCATCCGATCACGATTCCCAGCGTCACACCGCGCTTGTACACCCCTATCGCGCGGAATTAGTGCCATGGACACGGAGAGAACACTGCCAAGTGACTCACCCTCGGTGTTGTTGCTGGACCAGGAGATCGTGTTAGAAATCGCTGGGTAGATCCCCATCGCGCCCAGGAACGTCCCGGCGTACCGGGCTCCGGCCGACTTGCATCCGATCAGCATGCAGAATCCAACGATGCCCAGGATGGAGACGAGGATGTTGGAGATGCCGCGCTGGCGCGTGCGGTCAGCGATGAATCCTACGGTCACGGTGAGGACGGCCGCCGCCGCGTACGGCGGGACGCTCAGCAGCTGCGCTTTAATGGACGTGTAACCTGTACGATTAGCTTGGTTCATTCGCCATGATCGCATCCCACATACCCTAGACACGTTAGTTCTGTCTTCTATGACTGGCCCAAGGAATGGAGACATACCAGTTCGTGAATGATGGTGGGCACAAACAGCGAAAATGCATACAAACACCCATCGGCCCCCATGTAGATCACCGCCCCGGTGTACGTTTTCCAATCCTTCAGACTGTTCCAGAAGTAGGTCATCTTGAAATGCTCGTGCTCCGCACTGGCCTGCTGGTCCTCGGCGAGACGTCGCAGGACACGCTTGCGGTCCACCTCGGACAGGAACTTGGCCTCGTCGGGAAAGTCATGCACCATCCAGAAGGAGGCCGCGCCGACCAGGATGGTCGCCAGTCCCTCCAGGATAAAGATCCATGCCCACCCGGCCTTCCCGCCGATACCGTCCATCAGCGCGATCGCAGCCGCCAACAGCCCGCCAAAGGACCCGGCCAGCGCCGCGGCGGAGAAGAAAATCGCCATGCGCACGCCGAACTCGGCGCGCTTGTACCAGCACGAGAGGAAGTAGCCCACGCCGGGAAAAAGGCCGGCTTCGGTGAGGCCGAGGAACCATCGCGCCTGGAAGGAGAGGAGTCTCAATCAGCTGTCTGTCGTGTGCAAGCCCGGGGTGGGAGAGACGTACCGCCAGCAGGCCGGAGTAGTTGTGGACGAGACCCATGCAGGTCATGCAGATACCCTGGCACGCAGAGGTTAGCTGGAAGACGGCCTGAATCTGCGACGAGGACGCACCCATAAGATCATGATGATGGGGATGAAGATACTCGGGCGCATGCGTTTGAGCAGGACGTTGGTGAGGGGCTCGAAGACGGAGTACGAGACGAAGAAGATGGTCAACGAGGCGTTGTACTGTGCATTGGACATGTGCAGGTCCTCCTGCAGGCCGTCGAGCTTTGCATTCCCGATATTGGTTCTGAGGGTGTCAATTGGGATGGATGCGGGATGGGGATGAGAGGCGTCAACTGGAACCATACCGATCGAGAAACGAGATGAGATACAGCAGACTCAGCCATGGAATGAGTCTCAGGTCGAGTTTCCGGACCAGCGCGCGGTCCTGCGGTTGATTGCGACGTCAGCGACACCTTGCGAACGTGGGTTGACGGCTTACGATTTTGGCCTTCTCCTCGGCACTCAACCCCTCGTCGGGATCCTCAAACAGATCCAGCTTGGACTTGGGGGGAACGTCATCATGCGATGTGGCGGTCTTTTCGACGTCGAAGGCGTCGGTGGGCGGTTTTTCGTCAGCCATGGCGGGAACGCAGAAAACTACAGACGAGATGGTCAGAAACCGACCGAGATGGGGGTGATGAGGGGGAGAGCTCGGTATTTAACGAGGGGAGGGGATGCTGACTGGCAGGGAAGACGACCATGCAGGGTTATCGACTCCCTACTTCCCTAGGCCTTCGGGGATCGCCAACACGGGCGAATGACGGGGAGCAATAAGCATGCGGAGGGAGTCTTAGCGTCTCCCCACGGGGGTCCCAAAGCTTAGCTGGCCGGGCTTCCCCCCTCTACAGTGCCAGTCACAGGGCAACAGACGGCGCATTTCTCGCAATTTATGGAACATCAGCATGCAGTCTGCATACTGCTCATCACGCGCAGCACCACTTCGTGCAGAGCATCTACGGAGTAACCATACAAGTACAACACCACCTGCGATCGATAAGCTCCCCGCATGGCCCGTCTTGGCATCATCTCCACCGTGTCTTGAATGGATTCCAGCCCATCTCGGCCTTGGCCCTTTCGTATCGCTGTCTGGCTCGCTTCCATCTAGCGTTCTCGGTCGTCCTCCGTCATTCGTCTCCGGGTGGAGTGGTAGTGCTAGTGTGGGGGAGACCCTGTTCTATCAGGATCCGTCAACAAAGCCTGATCTTGCGACTGGCGGGTGTTGTAACGACCTGATGACAAATGCAGGGCGCGGTGGTGGGAATATACGAGGGCTATCAAGATGCCATTGTCATGAAGCCATTACATCCACCGGTCCTATCTATTCATTGTCTAGACGCCATGCATCATGCAAATGTCATCAAGTCGGACCAGGATTTGCTCCGTGCTCCGCACCACCTTCCGCGTGTGTCGATCTCCTTCCACCGCAATTCCTGTACATCTTTGTCTGCTGCTGAGGGGCTTGCACGCCAAGTTTGCTGCTGAGGGGCTTATGGGATCCATTCTACTACTTTAAGGAAGGGTTGACTCTCGCCTGGCGAAACTTAACACCGGATGAATTATTTAAGCCTGCTTGAGAGCCGTCCAGAATACGAATCAATGCTCGTCTAAGTCAAAGAAGCGACATCAGCGATATGTCCACAGCCACGGAGGTTGATGTCCACTGACATCCAAACAGAGCCCACTTCTTCGCCGCGTTGGTGCACCCAGGGTTGATGCATCTATTTTCCTCAATCCCCTCCAGTTGATCCCAAGGAATGCATGGCCAATATCGCTGCAGCACCGCCTGGGTGAGACGGGTTGTCGTGTTTGAGCATTTGCATCGGCTATACCTGGAGACGTCGTCGGGTGATCTCCATCCGAACTAGACAATCCAAAAGGTACAAATCTTCCCTCGACCTCCAGCAAGCCAGACTGCAAGACTGCGATATTGCTTTCTCATACCAGATCGTGACAATTGTTTAGGGATAGGCGTATAATCTGCCTAGCGACGGTCTCGAAACCTCTGTGGAGGTGAAACTGCAGTGGCCACAGTCACCGTCGGATCCCACGACCATCCATTCTGGCCAGGAAACGGTCTCGCCACATGTCACATCCCCCGCAACCAGCAGTCTCGGTGTCGACGTCGGTCCTTGGGTGACAGGAAGCACTAATCGCCGCAGTACAGCTGCATGCGAGTGGCTGTAGTTGAGCAAGAAGTAACTCGTCATGTTGGATATGAATACTATGCTACGTACGTCATGGTGAAAGTTCGAAACAATATTCTAGGGTCGAGTGGGAAGTAGAAGAGGTGGCTTAGGTGTTTATAGAGTCATTATGTATTACCATGAGCTATCTTATATACTTCTAAACTATCATGGCAGTGAGCAAAGATACAACTCCCACTCCCTTCAGCCATGGAATAACCGACGGACTGCCGTTCTCATATCCAACATTCGCGGAGTTATTTCCGAACCCAACCGTGCGAAGCCATTCTGGACTCGAGGCTTTCACGTCCAACACATCCGAGTGATACGCATCCAGCACCCCGTTAAAGCGTACCTGAACCCACCCAAAAAGATCGTTTCTGCCCGTCGTCGGGCGCTGGGCTATTTCGAATTCTTCTTGCAGGTAGGGAGCCGCACGATAGTAACCTTCCAACGTCAGGTTAGCTGTCTGATCGTCGAACTCGACCAATAGTTCCGGATAGGTGACATCTTCGAAGCCTCTCCAACCCCACCAGTCACTTGTACTCAGTTGCACATGCCAATAGTCGGTTTCGGTGGTGGTGTTGCACGCGGGCATGGTGATGTTGTCGAAGGACCCCGACAAAGAACCCTGTAGCGTCGCGTTCAACGCAAATAATGAAGAGCTCGGCTTCGTAGCTGTCAGGTAATCGTTGATCTCGACCGCCCCATCAGACAGCACCGAACCCGACCAAGTTGGCCTAGCAGTGCAGTCTTAGAGCCCATGCACTCGTGAGGCAACAGAACGGTAATGACTCACCGGGAAGACACGATAGACCAGTGCAACTTCGTGTGGCCGTATATAATCTGGTCCCCATATGGCAGGCTGGAGAGGTTATAGCCGTCCGGGTAGTAACTCAGGAAAAGGTTCACCGGGTTGGCTCCGCCGTCGTAGGTGCCGCGCTCGGTGATGCTCACGATCGACGGCCACTTCGAGATGATCGTGCGGTATTTCTGGTTCTCGCAGACGGTCTCATTGATCGTGCTGCCCATCAAGGGAGTGAATTCCAGCTCCAGGGTCCCGTTGTAGTACCTGGATCGGATTAGCGCCCTGCATGCTTTGAAAGGGGCGGATCACATACGACCCGACCCAGCCCCAGAGACTGTGCAAGCCTGTCACATTATTCGGGCGATAGTTGGAGGCCGGGTTGTATTTGGGGTCATCCTCGGCCAAGACCGCGAGGGAGAGATATAGGGCACAGAGTAGTGTCCACGGGCTTCGAAGAGATCTGAGCATGATGAGTTTGGCCGTGGACAAGGAGTGACGGGGCTTGGATGTTTTATGCACGCTATCCAGCGCCAAGCGGTTCTTCAAATTTTGCCTAATGATGGCGAACGTGTCTCAGGCACAGTTACATCGTGCAGGGCTGGTCAGTCCTGGACGCTTGGCAAGGCATGGCGTAGGGCGTTAGTGTGATGAGAAGGATGACTGCCAGTGGTGTTGATCAGAATGACTACCAATGCCAAGGCACCTAGTGGTGCCTGAGATGTAATACTAAATCTCGCTTAGACTTGACACTGGATAGGTCGTGATTATATGGCTGTTGCCACTGGTGCATTCAGCCCTGTGATTGTGAGGATCCAGCTGAATACAACCACGTTGCTAGTAGTAGACAAAGTCCAAATCAAATGAAAGCGGTGGACTTGATCGTTCCCATTCCAATGACTATCACTTTTGAAGTCGTTTGTCCCTCTTGATACCATCATCTGTTTTGCGAGGCTCAAGAGTTCCGAGATTCGTCCGTCTCTGAATTGCCCGTTTCTACTTCATCTGAATCGGCAACGATCCGGGGAGTTGGTCCCCCTAAATCAATCTGCTTTGTCCCCGCAAGCTTAAGCCACTCCGTAGTCGTAACCTGCATGTCGATGTGTTCTGAGCCGAGCAAAATTGTCACTGCTCTCCCAAGCGACGTGGAGTTGAGGTACCGGCGCACCACAGCTGGCCTTGCCCGTCGGTGCCCACACAAACCCAGGATGACCATCAGAATGGCCGTTGCAAGGCCAATGGAAAGAACGATAAATCCGGGAACTGCAAACGGCAGATGGTACTGAATCTTTCTTCGGTAGACGAACACAGGCACTTCGCTTGCTGCCGGTCCCATGTCTACCGACGACCACCCACGTGTCCCAACGACGCTGTTAGCGACCAGGTCCGTCCAGATCAGGTTGATAATCGCGGAGGTGGTGTTGGGCTTCTCCGAGAGCCGTTGCCATCGCGCGTACATTGCATTGCTCGACTTCCCGCTATAATCCGCGACGCCCGTGGACATTGACCCACTAATGTCGTAAACGACTTCAAAGGCTCTGGTATGGAAGTCGATACCTGGGAGGTTTATATATCCCGAAACAGGGAAGCCTGTGGAGACGCCACATTGACCCGGTAGCCAGAGCGACTCCTTCTGTAGCAAGCTGATGTCCTCTCTCGTCCCGTAAGCTGCAGAGACGAGCCCCCACAACGGTTGGACTCGGTGCAAGGGTAAAGTGGTGTTTTCGACGCCCCATGTCGGTCGGTCTTCCGGTTTGCTGTATACCTTGTCTGCGAGGTTCTCCACATTTAACCCGGCGAGGCCCCCCTGTGATGAGGAATCATTGTAGTGGAAGTCAACAGTCTTAATCACTGCCTTGGCTGCCGATGCACAGGCGTATATCGGAATAGTCCACTGACTATCGGGCTCGGGAACCAGTGAAGCACCTCCGTCGGTACGTCGCGCGGCACCATACACCATGCCACATGCTGCACCGATATTGGTCATGTTTGCATAGTCTGCGAGACCTGCACCTGCACATAGGGTTGCTACATGTAGATTATTAGTCGATAGAGCTCATTTCTCTGTGTGCTGATGCTTACAGATATCGGTGAAGTTAGTGCGCGTGATGTTGAAAGGATTCGAATAGTGGATAGCGGTCTTGTCAGTCCAATTTAGGAGGGGGTTCACCACATCAAGAAAATCTGCCCATTGTGTGGTTGTATATAAGGCGTCGTATGATATGGTGTTAGGCAGTTTGTTCTGTCGCAGGGGGAACTGTTTCCCAGGCGTTGAGTTGATATACGAGAATGCGTGCGGTGCAGGATTGGTCACATTCAGGTATAACATGGTGTAGACGTTGGTCAACCACGCTGCTGTGTAGGCTTTGTGTTGTAGATCGACATTGTCTTGCGTCGGCCACTGGTAATCATCCCCATAACCGGATGGGAATTCCTTATTAAGACGAGAGAATCCACCCCGGTCCGTCAGGCTGACGTTAGCTGGCTCGGTGGTGTATCCGTCGAGACGCAGAGTGAAGTCGACAGTGAGGTTGAGGGCCACACAACTCGTCTGAGGTTCCACAAAGAGGATATCCTCCGTCCATTTGCTTCCTTGGGACTGCCAGGGAGGCAGACTGTGGTTGCGAAAACCCACGCCTCCCGTCCGCGTATTGACAATGAGTCCCTCCACGACTTCCACCCGATTATTCAGTGCCATGGTCTGCATCTGTCGGTACGCGCCTACCTGGTACACCGTACCGTTGTTGACCTCGTGAAATTTTTGGAACTCATAGTTGCGCCACTGGATGTCCCAGATACTGGACACCGTGGGGCCGACGACGGCCGTACCTCGACCGCTACCAAATATATCGACCAGTGGTTGTGGGATCGTGACGTTCCAGGAGGTAACGTTGACACCCCGGCCGTCTTCGTCGAGCTGATAAGCACTTGTATCTGTCCCGGGGCATGGATACGGGTCGCAGTTGCGGTTGAAGCCTAGACCACTTCGAGGCGGCGTCCCCTGCCCCATGGGTGACAGATCGCGGGCATAAGTAAACGGTTGGGGGGTCGGCTGGTGGTCAGGAACCACTGCCTCGAAAAGACCCAGTGGAGTTATGATTCCCGCCAGGGAGATGATGCTCACCACGATCAGTCTCGTCCATTCTTCGGCCCAGACGACTCGACTGACTCCCGTGCCAGTGACGGCATCACTGCGAAGAATGGTTGGCCATAGAGAGGACTGTAGGGAGCGCGATACAACCGTCCTATCCCAAGGTTGTCAGTTCCATAAAGCATACATAGCGAGAGAAGGATAGTACCAGGTGCTCGCCGTTTGAGTATCTTGAAGGAGGCCGACGAGAATGAGGGCACTTGCGGTGGGGAACAAGAGACGAACTATATGCTCATGAGCATTCACGAAGAATATCATGTGCGATAGTCAAGAGGAACCAACCTACAAATACCGCAGCGGCTATGATACCGGAGATATAGCCTACCGTAAGCTCTGCCATACTTGAAGACCGATAGGTGTGGGGAGGACCGTTGTTGACCCAGGTGCTCCGGTAGTCCCGACATGTTATATAGGCCTTTTCGCCGCATCGCACTTTCTCATCTCCATTTTAATTGTCTGGTGAACAGCCACATTACTTGGCGCCGCAGGACGCTCGTCGTATAAGTCAACGCGATTTGTTGGGTGTCCGAATACGAGAGGGCCATCTGCACTGTCAATTCAGTCTTTCCTCTGATTGGAAAGGCGAGATTCCGTCTGTTGACGTTAGGTATGGAGGAGCGTGCATGGAAGTGCTACAGCCTCGATTTGCACGCCCATTTCCATAATAGGGGCGAAGCTCCGAGGTAAGGTCGTGAGGCTGATTCTTTTGAGCCTGTGCGTTCTGTAGTGGTCATGATATAGATCGGATGCTTGTGATGGCCTCGCAATATATCTTTATGCTTGCACAAAGAATAATGACATAATTGTACGAGTTGTAACTACTAGTGAGGGGTCGGCGTCGACGGCTTATCATCGGCGATACCAGCGGTCGGGTATTACCTAAAGGCCCGACTGTGATTGATGGAAGAGGCCGATCGACTCTTATCTCCCCACTTTCCCCCATACTGTTGCTCCTGAGGCTATCACCGCTCGCAATCGCTTCGTTTTCTCTTCTTCTCTTCTTTCTCTCTCTCCACACTGTCTGCTCAACTTCCGCACTACCTCCGTCTTCGCCAACCTATCTACGTCCACCCATCTCTCCCACTGGGAACGCCCTCGATCCTCGGTACCTCTCTCTACCCAGTCCCGCCGACTCACTCGATGAAGGCGAAGACCGGCTGTGGCTGTCTCATTGATTATCGTTTCCTCGCCTCCTGGATTGATCGCCCGACAAGGCGGAAAAAAACCATCCCCCTGGGTCGGATCCCATTTCCGTGAAGAAGAACAACCTTCTTTCTGCATGGCGATCTTCAGCCCCTGCATCTACCATCGGCTCCATCTCTCGTCCCGAGCCCTTCATTCGCTACCTGGCGTCTGGACCATCTCCCTGTCATCGTGTGCGCCCCATCCGATTTGAGATCAAATGCCTCGTCCCCGACGGCCCGGTGCGCCGGAGCCTAAACGGAGATCCCGGAAAGGATGTTGGTGAGTGGGAGGGACCTTCTAGTTCTTTGGGTTGCAGAGAGGGAATTACTGACCTATGATGTATCGCTCCCATAGGCCCTGTAAGGCGCGCAAAGTGAAATGGTTTGTCCTTTTGTTGTTCAATAGTCTTCACATCCGTCTGCTAACCCCATCCAGCGGGGAAGAAAAGCCCGCCTGCTTGAATTGCCGCCGACAGAACGAGAAATGCGATTACAGCATCCGCCTCAACTGGGGAGGTCGCACCCGGAGGAGGTCTTCGGTCGGCTCGCCCGGCTCCCAATCCAGCTCGCCGTCCGGCCATCTACTCCTCACCCTGTCCCCGTCCGATTCCAGCCAGTCCGACCTGCAGCCGATGCGACTGCTTAAACCCGCGGGGTTTCTGGATGCAACCAGCTCACCAAGCGCGTCGGCTGACGGTTTATCATGGGATATTGAATTGACGGGGGCAATGACGATAGAGTCATCGTATCCTAGAGGTCTACATGATATCCAAGAACCTTCGACTGCCCCAGGCCAGTCGCTCCATAATTCCATCGACCGTACAAGTGACCAGAATCTAGTAGACACGCCATCACAGTCTCTTCAGGATATGCCCGTGTCGTGGTCTTCCCATCACCCCATGACGGAATCGAGCGAAGCGATTCCACATTTCTCCTCGTCGGTCCCTAACGAAATCTATTCAACGTCTGGTCCAACCTCCGGCATGGGCCATTTGGCTGCATTCGACTTGTCCACAGCAGAAATCTCGTTCCCTCAACAGGAGCATAACCCCGCCTTCATGCACCATTCATCGCGGGGCCATCTTTTGGAACAAGAGAACTACGCACCCTATTCGTCTCCGCCAGACGCCAGTAGCATCTACGCTTCGTACGACTCGCACAGCCCGTCGAATACCACTGACGCCATCTCCCCGCACTCGGGGAACTCACAGATGGTTTCTACCGGGATGTCCCCCAATCTACTCAACGTATCCAGCGATACACCTGCCGTCTCGGATGACTTTCTCAACAGGGTGATGAACGGACATCTCGCGTCTGATCGTCAGCCGCATGGTCACCCTAGCGACAGCGTAACTTCCCTGCATCCGACAGTCCCGCCTGCTCGAGAAACCGCTGGCCCGGATGGACCCCCAAGCCCGGCGAAGAAGTGGCACGCATATCTCACCAGTGTCACTGATAATTACGGACTGGACAGTGGTCGCCCTGATCTGGACCTCAACAAGAACGACGACCACTCGGCCATCGACATCAACTATGCCTTGGATCTGATCAATTCCCAGGCGGCCACGTCTCTGTCCGCAATGAAATCCGAGGGATTCCCCAGCAGGAACGCTCAGCTGGATGGGACGAAATACAAATACTACTCGTCGCCCGTCCCTATCAATATCCCGCGATATCTATCGCCTTTACCCTCCACCTTGGTGCAAACGCCTATCAATTTGATGTACTTTCACCACTTTCTCAACCATACGGCCAAGATGCTGGTCGCTCATGACTGTGGGAAGAACCCTTTCGTTTCCGTGCTGCCAACAAGTGCGTTCCCCAGCTCCCACATATTGCATTGGCATTACTAACCACAGCAGTGGCGATCGGAGATTCGAATCTCTTGAACCTGATGCTTGCATACTCCGCCAGCCACCGTGCCCGATATCTCGACCACCCAGAACCGGCAAACCGGATCGCGCACTGGGTCAGCAACGTGTTCCCGGCGCTGCGCCTCGCACTGGAGGACCCCCGCGAGAAGGTCACCGACAGCCACCTCGCCGCCGCGATCATGCTTCTCTCCCTGAAGATCATCTCGCCCAGTACCTTCGAAGTGCCAATCCCGTGGCAGAGCCACCTGAAACTGGCCCGCGACCTCTACATCGCGCGCAAGAGCCAAATGGCGTGCCCTGGAAACCCCGTGGGGGCATTTCTCTCCCGCTGGCTCGGCTACCTCAACATTATGGGGACGCTCTCGTGTCGACACAGCGACCCGCCGCTCCTAGACTACTACTCGGTGCTGAATACCTGCTGCGCCGACGTTGCGCACGACGCGTTCAGTGTCGACTGCTTCACTGGCTTCACGCCGCGCACGGGACTGTTCCTGATGCGACTGGGACAGCTGGTGCACCGGTGCGATAACGAACGGTTCGACGTGGAGACGGGCGCCCTTAGGTCCGGATGGAAGCCGTCGCCCGAGACGGTCGCCACGGCGGAGGAGTTGATGGCTGACCTGGGAATGCTGGAAGCGCATGCGCACGCCGACCCAACGCACTTCCCCGACGCGGAGGCGACGGGCATCGTGGCTATAGATACGGCGTTCCGGTACGCGGGGCTGTTACATCTGCACCGACGCGTGCTGAATACGCCGCAGGAGTCGAGCCCGGTGCAGGAGGCGACCGCGGCGCTCATGCAAGCCTTGGGCGGAATCCAGTCGTCCGACTCGGCAGAGGTGGCGGCGTTGTTCCCGCTGTTTACGGCGGGATGCGAGGCGCAGAAGCCGGAGCAGCGGCAGGAGATCCAGCGACGGTTCGAAGCGCTGGATGGGACAGGGATGAAACAGGTATGTGAAGTGCATGGGGATGACGATACTAGATGCTAATCTGTTGGTATAGATTCAGAGTGGGCGCCGCCTGATCGAGCGGTGCTGGGAGGAGAATCGGCCGTGGATTGCATTGGCGCGGGGCGAGTTTCTGGGGTAGAGGTATACGAGATATGACCGCAATGAGCTTTGATTTTCTGCGAGCGTTCAGTGCATGCTGTTAAGATCCGATGGCCGTGTATCAACGACGTGACATGCGTCCTCCATAGGCAACGAGTGCATCTGTGGGTAGGTTCCTGTGACTGGTCTTGACACATCTGCTGTTACATTTCTCCGCTCCAAGGGAGGCGCTTCTAACATGCATGTATGTTGTGCACTGTATACAACTCGTTGTACGCCTTAAAGTGAAGTAGTTGCCTGTGGCTGCACTCCATTGAAATTTCCCTTACCCCAATACCTATGTTTCGCCGTGCTTTTCAACCCTTCTCTTCTTCCCACCGCACAACTTTATACTTAAGCGGAAAGACGCACGAGATCGTTCTAGATGGAACTCCTGATGGTACAACCCAGTCATCTGTCAGTCCCGTTGCACGGAGACTGGTTCATGATATCTATTTGGCAAATTTAGCTCCTCAAAGCTCCCTCATGAGCCAATTCCGGGGGTATCACCACATGCTCTTCAAGTCCCCAGGATACTGGATTCTTCGCATACAATCGCGGCGGCAATCAGCAAGCGTCTCCATCCCGGCCAATCCCATACTCTGCCACAGATCCGCAAGGAAGCCCTCAATCACCGATTTGGCACCCCGCTTACCATCGATAGCAAGGCCATACATGATAGGCCTTGCGACCATAACGGCCTTCGCCCCAAGACACAGTGCCTTCATGATATCCGCCCCAGTTCTTATCCCGGAATCAAACATGACCGTCATCTTGTCACCCACCGCATCCACAATTTCTGGAAGCGCATCCAACGACGCTATAGCACCATCAACCTGTCGACCTACAAGGCCCCAATCAGCACATGTCAAGCCAAAGGGATGGGAGAAGATCATCACAAACCTCCGTGATTCGAAACAACCAACCCCTCACACCCTGTCTCCAGCGCTCTCTTAGCGTCGTCTACATGCTGGATCCCTTTCAACACAATCGGACCCTTCCAATGCTTCCTCAAGAAGTCCACCTCTTCCCACGTATGCGGCTTTTCGTTCAACTCTGCAACCCAAGCATTTGAAGCACCAAGAATATCCTCTTCTATCTTTCCACCTCCCCTCTCATACTTGGCCCTAAACACCGGATCCGTAAAACCCACCTCATTGCCAATCCCCTGATAAAATGGAAAGTACCCCTGATCAAGATCGGTAGGCCGCCATCCCAATGTCCAGGTGTCCAGGGACACCACCAAAACCGTAAACCCATTCTCTTCGGCTCGTTTGAGCAACGAGCGCAGGATATCCTTGTCGTGGACCCAATACAGCTGAAACCATCGATGGCCGGATCTATTTGCTGCAGCAACCTCCTCAATCGAGCTGCTGCTTGCGGTGCTTAGGGTATAGGGCACCTCCAGTTCTGCGCAGACCTCGGCGATGCCAGTTTCTCTGTCATCGTGGAAGAGGCCTTGCACGCCTACTGGTCCAACGATGAGAGGGGATTTGTGTACTTGACCAAAGAGATTGACCGAGATGCTTTGGTGGTCCATCTGGAAGTCATTCTGTCTTAGTTCTTACCCTTGAAGCAAAGTGCCTGCGCGGTAATGGAGTAGAAGAGAGGGCAAACGGACCGGCCTCATAACCCTTGGGACTCTACAACACCCAGATTAGACGTTCGATCCGCTGAATCCCCGTTCCCGCGCTCGTCCACTTTACTGGATTGGAGGACTCACATCTTCCACTGGCGGAATGCTAGCCGGTTGGCATCCATTGTTGCTTTCTCCCCTGCCCCGGTGGCAACATAGCTGTACGCACGAGGACCGAGGACTTCCCGGGCATGCTGTTCGAGGAGTGTTGGGTTCGTGGTGACGGCGGGCAAATTGCCCAGCGCACCGTCGCGGTAGATCTTCGTCTGGTAGCTGCCGAAGTTAATCGGAGGCATTGCGGAAGATGAAGTCGACGAAGTGGCCGGTACACAGGAGTATTTTCGAAAGGAAAAACTATAATCTTAGGAGAAGAAATGGCTGACTTGGACGTTTGCTTGCTGGGCAGTACGACAGCTCCCTCAGGGCCTGGTGCTTTAATATAGGTTCGGCCCAGACTCTTGCTCAAGGGAATATCGTCTGTGGCTGCGGCGGTTGTACCAAAGCAGCTAGAGACTTCATTTCTACAACTCAAATGACCGGGATTAACAAGAAGCCTACACAGGAAACAGGATCTCTGATGTAGATCGGAGAGTATTCTAGGCTTTTTATTTATTTTTTACGGCCTAATTATCCGGGTACCTAGTATTGCCTGGGGTGGCGGAGCTGTGTGTTCGGCATGTCCGATGCTTCTACTACTATGGGGAAACCGGTCTGTAAGCAACCATCCATATAAGGAACCGCACGACGTAGGCGACCAAATATCCAAGGTATAACTAGCTTAATGACCTAGGCTATTCATCAATTACACCACGTGTCAACAGATGATTTTATTCAGGACCACAGATACTGAGTCCGCATAGACAGTGGCACACCAAAATAACTTCTGCTTCTTCTTGCTCGGTCCAGTCCTCATACTGTGTCCAGTCCCCCTTTAAAGCTTGGTTCTGTGTCATTACCCTAGAGGCGTGTGCAGCAGCTCTGGGTGTTTCATATTTAGTTCACTACTATAATATTTGTGCGCAAAACGTGGATTGAATGCCTGGAGGGCCCATAGTGAAGTAAAGCGGCACTGGATCACCTGACGAGCTTAGGGCAGCGGGGATCAGCTGCCGGGCTTCCGGGCAACTACAACAGTCCATCTTACAAACATCTTCCTTTCTCTATCGCTTTCTATCGCTCTGGACGTTGAGTTTGCTTCCTAGTGCCCTATTCTTCCATATTCATAGACTATCCCTCCGCAGCCCGCTTATCCTCACATCCGCATTCTTAGATCCGGTGCTATCAGCTTCGTTGTCTTGCCTTAGCGCTTCTAGACTCGAGAGGCCTCCATCATGACTGTCGCCCACTCCCTTGTCAGAAAGCACCCTCTACAGCGGCTTCCTAGTCCGTCCAGGGGTTTCTCTGCTCTCGTCCATGTAAGGGTTCTTATCTTTGTTGATGTCATATCTCGGCTGATGATTCCGCAGCTACTAGGTCTCTCCAGCTTCATCTGGTCCTTCAAATAGTAAGTGTCAGCTATTGACAGCTCGGGCTCATGTCGATGATCAATATGCAAATCTGAGTCATGGCATATCCGGTCTTGTCTGATCTGGGCGATGGCTGACCTTACTAGCATGCATGAGAACCCCAACCGAGCGTAAGCCCTTAATTCCCGCTGTCCACCTCATTTATTGATGGATATCTACAGGAACGAAGCCTATGGCTGGCATTTCCAGTACCTGACGGTCATCGGACTGTCCCTGTCCACCGTCACCTTTGCAGTCGGTCTGCTTGCTGATGTGACCTTGTCGAGCCGACTTTTTCTCCTCAAGAACCTTCTGTCGATCTGTAGCGTGCCGATGGAGGTTCTAATCAGTGTGCTTTATTGGGGCCTTCGCGCGGTGAGTCCTTGGAATTCGACTCTGAAGTAGCATGTCACTCATCTGTACAGATTGATGAACGCTTGGTGGTCCCCGATTGGGCCGTGATTCCTCTAAACGCCGGTAGGTCATCGCACGGATGCATTCCACTGCTCTTTCTCACATCTGGCAGACATCAGCTTCCATGCGGTCCCGTCCATTGTCCTCCTGATCGACCTGCTGCTCCTCTCCCCTCCATGGACCATCACCGTTCTGCCCGCGCTGGCGCTGTCGAGCTCCATCGCGTTCGGCTACTGGTTCTGGATTGAATTGTGTTTCGCGCACAATGGATGGTATGTTTGCATCGATCATCCATGTTCACTTCCTCCGTGCTAACCGCCCAGGTACCCGTATCCGATCTTTGAACAGGTTCCTTTTGAAGGCCGCGTGGGCCTGTTCGTGCTGAGCGCCGTGGTGATGGCTCTGAGTACGGCGACGCTGAAGGCGCTCTATGGCCGCGTGAATGGATATGGGACCCCGGCCCCCGCACAGTCCCGTCCGGGGGCCATCAAGCAGAACGGTCTGTTGTAACGGCGGGTCCGGTAGCTGTTTGTCAGGATAGAAGGAGACTCGGTTGGAGCAGTAGACAACCGCATAGCATAGAGTGATTAGATGCGTGATGGTCAGGACGATAGAATAGAAGTCAAGCAACCACAAGTGAACCATGGTTACTCCGCTTAGATGCCAACCTCGGGATCCCCGCAGTATATAGCCGACTTCCTAGAGACTTGGCCCGACTAAGTACATATCAAGTACGTGCATTGGCCAGTATCCAAGTGGTAGATCAACTTACTGTATTGTCTGAAGTTCGTTTGCATCCACAGCCAAGATGGAGTACCGCCCCGAAAAAGACTATGACCTACCCTGCATCGACCTGGTATCCTTGATATTCGGCACGCACCTCGTCCTCTCCGTCCAATTTCCCTACTAATACCCTACAGACTCCCCTCTATCCCACACAACCGAATCCACCGTACTGCACGCCGAAGCCGCCGACCCCTCGAACCGCATCACCAAAGCCGAAGCACGCACCTTCACCAAGCGCTTCGCGCACATCTTCCGCACAGAGTTCGGCATCGGCCGCAACGGCCGTGGCCAGGATGCCGTGCTCTGCATCTCGTCCAATCAAGTCCTCCTACCAACAGTGTACTACGGCATCATCGCAGCGGGCGGCGTCTTCGCCGCGGCCTCGACCGCCCTGACAGCCATGGAGCTAGTCCGCCAAATCCGGCAGTCCAAGAGCCGCGTGCTGGTGACCTGCGCCGAGAACCACGCCAAAACCCTGCAAGCCGCGCAGCAATGCGCCATTCCCGCCAGCCGGATCCTCGTCCTCGAGAGCATGTCCCACAAACGCGCGCTACGCAGCGCCGCACACCCCGCGCAGAACCACCTCGACCGCGCCGCCGAGCTGGACTGGGAGCGCCTCACCGACCAGCCCACCCTCGAGTCCACCCTCATCTGCCTGCTGTACTCGAGCGGCACGACCGGCCCGCCCAAGGGCGTGATGCTGACGCACATGAACCTGGTGTCGGAGGCGGTGCTGGCGCAGCGCGTGCTGCGCGACTCGCGCGCCGGCCGGCCGGGCCTCACCGTGCCGTACTGCACCGTCGGTCATCTGCCGACGGCGCACATCGCCGGCGTGCTGGGGTACTTTGTCACGCCGGCGGTGGCCGGCGGCGCCGTGTACTGGATGCCGCGGTTTGACATCGACCGGTTCATCGAGTACTGCCGCGCGTACCGCGTGACGTATCTGGCGACGGCGCCGCCGGTGTATCTGGCCATTGCGGAGAGCGCGCGGGTGACGGACCACTTCCGCACGCTGGTGCGCGCCGAGTCGGGCGCCGCGCCGCTGAGCATCGAGGTGCAGCGGCGCGCCGAGAAGAAGCTCGGCTGTGCGATCAGCCAGCGCTGGGGGCTGACGGAGACCACGGGCAGCGTGACCACCATGCCGTGGGGGGTCGAGGACCGCACGGGGAGTATCAGTCCGCTGCTGCCGAATGTGCGGCTGCGCATTGTGGATGGCGAGGGGAGGGATGTGCCGCAGGGCGCGGAGGGGGAGCTGATTGTCAAGGGGCCCATGGTCACGCCTGGGTATTTTGAGAATGCAGAGGCTACGGCGGCGGCGTTTACGGAGGATGGGTGGTTTCGCACGGGGGATATTGGGCTGTGGCGGGATGGGAAGATCTACATGGTGGATCGGAAGAAGGTGAGCTAGCTCGGTACCTAGTAGTATGGCTTTGTGGATGAGGGCTGATTGATCTGCAGGAACTGATCAAGTACAAGGGCTTGCAGGTGTCGCCGGTGGAGGTCGAGGCGTTCCTGCTCACCCATGAGGCCGTCGCGGATGTTGCGGTCATTGGTGTTGCGGACCCGGCTGCTCCAGGGAATGAGCTTCCCCGGGCGTATGTGGTGTGTGAAGACGGGCGACAGGTGACAGAGGATGAATTGAAAGAGTACGTCAAGGCGAATATGGCGCGGCATAAGCAGCTGCGCGGCGGCGTGGTGTTTGTGAAGGAGATTCCAAAGAGCACGTCGGGCAAGATTCTTCGACGACAGTTGCGGGACCAGGCGAAGGCTGAAGCTGAAGCTGTGCGGGCGAGGTTATAGATAGACCCGTATAGACAGATATAGAGCTCTAGCATGGTACGTATAAAGATGCATTTATAGTTGTGTTTGGGATACGTCTGGATATATAGATGCACGGTGTATTGAGAGTACCACCATCAGCCACTCGTTTTGAACAATTCCTCTTCACGAGTGCATCCATATTCAAATTATTCCCTTCACTTAGAATATGAATATCTAAATGAATCCGAATGAATGAGAGATCTATATAGTTGGGGGAAGATGACCTCATGGCCCACTGCTTACATAACCGCTCGTGTCTTCTCCGACTTCAGCCAAATCCGTCGTCCTCCAACAACAACCTCTTCACATCACACACCCTCCACGATGCACGCGAATCTCGTCACTGCCCCGGTGCGGGCGACTCTTCTGTCCGGCCGCGTTTCCCTCGCCCCGTTCGTCCACCCCGCCAGTTCCACAGGCTTGTACCAGTCGGTCTCGTGCAAGTCCGCTCGCCCAGCCAGCACAGTAGCGACACAACTCCAGCGCCTCTCCGCCCGGCCTACTCCTCGTTCCAGCACTCCTTTCCTCATCCCCTACACCACGTCCCTTCGCGCAAACTCCACCGATGCCTCGGCCTCGGCCTCGGCCGCCACCCGCAACGAGGCCGCCAAGCTGGACTGGAACTCCTTCTTCAAGCTGCGGGCCTCCCGTCGACGGTACTCGCTCGCGTCGTCGGTCATCAGCTCGATGGCCAGCACCGTGGTCGGCGTGCAGGTGCTCTCCAACCAGGATCTGGAGCACTTCGGCGCCCAGGTGATGGGGCTGGATCCGTTTGTGGTGCTGGGCATGGCGACGGCTGCCTGCGGTGCCGTGGGCTGGCTGGTCGGGCCGTTTGTCGGGAATGCCGTCTGGGGGTTGGTGTATCGGCGCTACAAGCCTTCGGTGGTGATTGTAAGTGCTTCAGCTGATGAATTTGGATGGCAATGAGCTAATGAGGAACCCCTGCAGAAAGAGAAAGAGTTCTACGACCGCATCAAGCGCTTCCGCGTCGACCCCTCGTCCAACTCGATCGCCAACCCCGTCCCAGACTACTACGGAGAGAAGATCGGCAGTGTGCAGGGTTATCGCCAGTGGCTGAAGGACCAGCGCGCGTACAACCGCAAGAGACGCCATTTCATCCTGTAATGAGTGCATTGTTGGCTAGTTTATGTCCTGCGACCGGCTGCTTCGGCTCTTTCTTATGTTCGGTCTGGTTTGTAAAGTACTCAAGTTTTAGCGATACGTCCCGTCAATATAAGTGGTCGTGACATCCGTCTTTACATTGCACTGAACAGAGTATGTAGACTACAACTTCGACTTCTTCGCCGCCGGCGCCTTTTGCTCAATGCTCGCCTCATACCACCAGGGATAATTCGCGGGGCCGTTTTCTTCCAGCGTAGCCTTGAAATTAGGCTGGCGTTTTTCGAAAAACGCCGTAACACCCTCCTTCTGGTCCCTGCAACCGTCAGCACAACCCCTCCCCCAAGGAATAGAACATAACATACCCCGCCCCAAACATATGGCAGATAATGCTCGACTCGAGCAGATGCGCCTCTTCCGGCGATGCAGGCCCACGCCACATCAGCGCCCGGTTCAGCGTCGACGCCATGGGGCTGACATTCTGCGCGATCTCGGTGGCCAACTCTAGCGCGCGCGGCAGCACCGCGGCCGGGTCGGCCAGCGACTCGGCGAACAGCCCGTCGAAATGCGGCGAGGTTGGCGGGAACACGGCGCCCGTTGAGACGAGGTACATGGCGCGCGAGAAGCCGATCAGCCGCGGGAGAAAGTACGACGAGCACGACTCCATGGTGATGCCGCGGCGGCCGAAGACGAAGCCGTACTTGGACGCGTCGTGCGCGATGCGCACCGCCGCCGGCAGCACCATGGTCATGCCGACGCCGACGGCCGAGCCCTGCATCGCGGCGATGGTGGGTTTGCGGCATTTGTGGATGGCGAGGGCGACGCGGCCGCCACTGGAGGAGTCAGTTAGTCTCTGTTCTACCACTGTGACGGTGTCATTTGGGGAAGTGAAGGGACGAACCTATCGCGGTGGTCGACGGTGCGCTCTTTGGCACCCCCGCTGAACCCGATCTCGAGGTCGGCGCCGGCGCAGAACGTATGGCCGGCCCCGGTCAGCACGATGGCCTTGACGCGCTCGTCGACGTCGCACAGGCCAAAGACTCGCTCGAGCTCCTCGGCCATCTGCTGCGTGAAGGCGTTGCGCTTGTCGGGCCGGTTCAGGGTGACCACCACGACGGGAGTGGCGGTTGCAGCGCCTGTGGGAGAGTGCGAGACCTTGACATGGCCGAGAGGGAGGGTTTCGTAGGAGGAGGGGACCTCGATGGGGGGTGGAGAGAAGTACATCGTGGATTGAGTATATAAATGTATGGAGTAGTAGGAGCAATGGACGGAGTGTATGTCAATCCATTGAATTGTTACCCAGTATCCAAGTCCAGTGTTATAAAGCCGTCTGCAACTCCACGGTTCGATCGGTTGTCGGTCTGTATGTTGATGATATACAGTCAACCGATGCCTCGGTCTAGCCGGCTACACAGGGAGTCTGGGCGTGGATTACCCCGCAAGCGGATCGTCATCTACTAGGGTTGAAGGATGATGATAATATCAGAAACCTGTCTGGATACACCGATGGATGTTACGGTACCTAGAGCTGCCTCTTGAAATCTCAGAATTTCGTAGATACCTATCATGTGCTCAAGCCCATTCCCATTCCAGTACAGCGGGACTCCAGCAGTATGGCCCTCAACAAGGGTGGACACTACCGATTATGCTAACCCCTGATTGACGGAATTCTGTATGGGTGGACTGGCTTGATATGCATGCAGCTTGTGGCTTAATCGGACTCATCACAGGAAGCTGGTCCTGATGTGGTAGATGCCCATCCTCGGGCTATAGTCCGTATTCGCAACATCGTACACCAGAAAGACGTGAGCTGGGTACTCTTCTTGATTAGTAGCCTTGTTGGAGGTGTAGAGTCATCTAAATAGCGTAACAAGTGTTGGTCTTGCATTATCTGTAAAGTGATAGGATCATACCCCCAGAGGCTCTCCAAGCCTGTTCCCAGGTCTGAGGGGGGTTTCTTCGCCCAATGCACATCTATATTCGTTAATATGATTCGGTACGTTCCAGTGTGCTGTACTCTCGTAGCCATGCCATGTATGAACAACAGCAGGTTATACAGTACCTTACCTACTTAGACAGGGAATTCAATTGAGATTCCATGATTATTCACTATCAATCCATCAGCCACAATGGGGTTCCACTATCGATAGAATCAACAAACCATAGACGAGCATATAAAAAGATACGACAAGCGATTGGCTGTGGGGCGTGATGGCTGCAAGGGAGTGGGCCCTCTGGTCCCTGAATGGCTTCAGCTCAGTACACAACCCAATCAACAGCTCCAAAGATAGTCAAGCCCTAGACATAGACCCACCTCTGCTCCACTCTCGTGCTTAATCTATTTATTGCCCCCTTTATCGTCCGTGCCTTTCTCCATCATCGCGTTGATTCTGCTCCATCTCCATCTCACCATCTTCGACCGTCTCACTCCCTCTACAATCTCCTCCACTATGCCACTATCCCAATGCCGCTCCTCAACCGCAAACAGAGGCTGTCGCTAGTCTCGTTCGCCTGCATTTATTTCCTGCTTCTTCTCTACTGCAGCTTCAACTCCGCGCGCGATCCCGGCTCCGCCTTTTTCCAACCCCGAGCGGGCTACCAACCGGTGCATAGTCCCACGCGAATCAAGGAATCTCTGGGATACCTTTCCTCTTACAATGCAACCGCGGCGGACCTCGAACTAGATCCCCACGCCACCACCACGCAGAATGCCTCCCTCTGTGTCGGCGTCGTCACCGTCCGGCGGCCCCTCATCCAGACCCTCGACATGACCGTGGGATCGGTGCTGGAGGGCCTCACCCCCGACCAGCGGTCCTCACTCGCGCTCCATGTCCTCTTCGCAGTCACCCACCCGGCCGACCATCCGCTCTACCAACATCCCTGGGTGGCCAACGTCGTCAACCGCACGCTGACGTACGGCTGGCTGGACGATGCCCCGCTGACCTCCCTCCGGCGGCTGGAGATGTCGCGCAACTACAAGAAGAAGTCGCTGATCGACTACCGACTGGCGCTGCAGTCCTGTTACGACTACACGGATGCCCCGTGGATCATGATGCTGGAGGACGACGTCTTGGCGCAGGGTGCCTGGTACAACCACACCATGCGAAGCATACAGAATATCGAGGCGTGGAAAGAGCAGGGCCGCATCCAGGACTGGCTCTATCTCCGTCTGTTCTACACGGAGAAGTTCCTGGGCTGGAACTCCGAATTCTGGCCCGTCTACCTCGGCTGGAGCGTGGCCATTGTGCTGGCGGCCGGTCTGACGGGCATCTGCTGTCGACGGCGAGTGCGCCCGCTGCAGGAGGTCCTGTCGAACCGGTTCCTGGCGATTGTGTGCCTGCTCTGCGTCCCACTCCTCATCGGCTTGTACTTCCTCGCCGGCCGGGTGACGATGCGCCCCATGCAACCGGGCATCCATCTCATGAACAAACACGGCTGCTGCTCGCAGGCCATGGTGTTCCCGCGGGAAAAGATCCCGATCGTCGCGAATGAGATGATGATCGTCCAGGACTGGAAGAAGGTCAAGGCGGCGGACTCGGTTATTGAGATGGTCGGCAATGAATATGGGTTCGATCGGCTGGCTATCTCGCCGCCGCTGATGCAGCATATCGGCGCGGCTACGTATAAGGAGGACAAAAAGAAGTGGAACATGGATTACTCCCTTGGCGGCGCGCACGGGGTGTGGAGTATGGAGTTTGAAAAGGCGTACGAACAGGCCCGGTTTGGGGCCGGCATTCCGGATGCCCTGTGGCTGGATTGATGACGTTACGATGTGCATATAACGATCACGAACATACATGTACATTTCTTCACGTATAAATATAGCGGTCTATGGGATATATACAGGTCGGGAGCCACCACATTGGATTAATCTCTTCTAGAAGCCATCTTCCATCACATCACTGCCATTGTACGCCGGGCGATATTAAGCTATAACACTTCCCTGGTTGTTCTATCATCCTCCAATGAGGGATAGTATCCCAAAGGTTAAGAGTAATGACACAAGTCAGCATAACCTGTCGACAGTGCTCGCCGTTGCAAGGGATGGCATGGAACGGCATGGAATGAAAGCAACGGCCGCTGTCTCGAACCAGGGGTTGTAAAGTAGGGGCCTCGCTCTGGCATGCCAGCACTCAAGAGCAAAACATTGCCTCCTGACAGTCCCACGCGGTGAAAGACTTAACCTTTAACCTCCGATTGACTTGCAGCGATCATCTTTGCATCTTCCTTTCCTGCCAGTCAGATCCGTCTCAACTGAACCTACCCATATCCAACAAGCAATGCGTCGTGCTCTCCTGACAGCAGTCAGCCTAACCCTGTTCTCCCTTGCTGCGCTCGCAGAGATCGTCCCATACGAAGAAACCCTGACGCACCGCGAGAACTCCATCGCCTCTGTACGTGGGCTATTGCCCTCCCTGCGCTGAGACCAGAGAATATAAGCTAACCTGCGCACAATAGGTCCGATTAGACATCAACTTTTTAGGCCTGGGGCCGCTGCAGGCCTCGTACCCGACTTTCGGCGAATGCGTTTTCGTCTCTACGTGCGTACCCTACCTAATCCCTCGCGACGACCGACCTACTGACGTGCATATACAGGCCCCCGGCGGAAAAGTATGTTCGAATCGACTCAGTCGGTCCTGTCGACCCGGAGTGTGTGATGTATAGGTATGTGCGATGCCGTGCAGGGATACCGGGGATACCGTGCAGGGGGAGTATACACAGCTAACATGGCAACATGTAGCGGCGCGGAATGCGATGGCGAAAGCTCGGGGCCCCTCGGGCAGACTGTCATACTACCGAGGAAGTTGTCTTTTTTTCCGCAGAGTTTTGAGTGTGGCAGGAGGTGAGATGGCGGAGGTGATGGGGTATCGTGGATGTTTAGATGATTATACATTGTACAAATAAAAGAATTGTGTTTGATGCGAGGACGATACTCCGTGTCTATTCCTGGCTTGACGAGTAGATCGACTGTCAGTTTCAGCAAGCAAACATGACGGGACAAGTCATGCAGCTCATGCATGGTTGAATCCAGATTGCCAATCGAGTAGAGATACATGGTTGAAATGTTGATGCCTTCGTGCCGATGCGCAGATCGACAGCAACGGGTGTAGACAGTTGATATGCATGTCTTAGCGAGCATCTCTCCGCTCTTGGCTACTATATTTATCTCGACTGCCGATCAGCCTGCAACGTGGAGATACACTACCATGCCCATGAAGTCTGTTGTTTCTATATCTAGTTATCCTAGTCGATGGTCGTCACGACCAGAGGTAACGATAGTATACATCAGCCAATGCCAACGACATGTCCAGACCCCCAAGACCAAACACCCCGATCAAGAGGATCAGTCTCTGCACAGCCACCGTAGTCCCATCTATCGTCTCCCATCCCTGCTGCACATACTTGTTATCCCGCACAATACGGACTCTTAGCCCGCAACCATTCCCCCCGATACCACAACAGCAGCGGCGCAACAATGCCGAGCCCCAGACTCACAAACGCGAGCAGACTATTGCCCCATCCCAGCCCCAGCGCGCGGTACAGACTCTCCGCAAACAGCGGGAACGCAAACCCCGCCAGCGTGCGCACAAACGCTGCCGCGCCCGAGGCGCTGGCCGCATACCGGGTGTACGCATCCACGACGTAGGTCTGCGCGCACTGGAACGAGATGATCAGGCCGATCGCGAAGACCGCCGCGCCGATGTTCGGCACGATCCAGTGCGTGCGGTACGCTGCGCTCCAGCCGTAGAGGAACAGGCCGGCGGGGACGAGGAGGCCGCCGGGAAGCATGAGTGGGATGCGGAATTCCGGGCGGCCGGGGTGGTCGTAGCGGCGTTGCAGGCGGATGTATACCTGCCAGTTTGACATGTTAGTCCGGCTGAAAGAATGGGGGAAGAAAGACGTACGATGTCGATAACGCGCCCGCAGAACTGCAGGCCGATCACAAAGCCCACGCCCAACGAGATGTAGTTCAAGCTGGCCGGGCCCTTGGCTTGGTTGTAGACGCCCTCCCAGACCAGGGGATACGAGGCGAGCCTACAGCTGTGAGTAGTGGAACCGGAGATGCTGCTTGCTGGGAATGCTTACACTAGATACATCAGGCCATATTGGTAGCCGCGGTAGAGCGAGAGAGCCTGGATCGCCGGCTGGGTGAGCAGCATGCGGAATGGGCGAACGAGGTTCTTGCGCAGGACTTGGCCAAAGGTACGATCGGGCCTATCATACTCGGTGTGCAGCTGGCGATTGCCCGTCTCCTTCTGCAGGTTTCTTTTTTTAGTCGCCAGGATCGTGGGGGCGTAGGTCTCGCGGAGGAACAGAAAGGCGAGCAGCTGCACCAGGGCGTCCGCCATGGATACGATCCAGAAGATCCACCGCCACGACAGGTACTGCGTGAGGTATCCTCCCGCTGAGGGGATTATTAGCTAGGTTCACTTGCTGCCTGGCACGACTTACCAATTGGGCCAATTGCAGGCCCGATAAAGGGCATCAGGCTGTACAGCGCCGTGGCTGCTCCTCGCTCCTCCTTGCGCCAGCAGTCACTCAGCACCCCGCCGCCGATCTCGAGCAAGAGTTAGCTAGCTGGAGGCAGATAGGAATCGAGGGAGACGCAATGCATACCGCTTGCGGCGCACTACCGCCGAATCCACTGAGAAAGCGAAACGCGAGCATCTGCTCCCGGGACGTCGCAAACCCACAGACAGTATTAAAGACCAGATAGAACATGTTCGTCGACTGCAGCACGACTACGCGCCCGTACATCTCAGAGAGGGGTGCGATGATGAACGGGCCCAGCGCATACGCCAGCAGGAAGATGGACATGAGCAGGTACTGCTCTATGTCCGACTTGATTCCGAATTCCTGCGCCATGGTCGGCAGCGCAGGCGCCACCATGGTTGACGACACCGGGGAGATGAACGTGAAGCACGAGACCAAGAGCGTCGAGACCCATTTTCTGGACCGGCTCCAGTTGAGAGGATTCGACGGGTCGTCTGGGCCAGACCAGGTTACCTACTGACGTTAGCTTTGGCTACGCCTGCATTGACTTTAGGAGCATACCAGAGTGCCCGCATCGGCAAATAACAGGCGGTTCTGTTGGTCAGCGCCACCATCTACATGTGGCTCGGCGGAATGGCTGCTATCGTCTTTGTCGCATTCCGAATGGCATTGGGAGTCGTCTGAGAGTGTGTGGCCGTGCTGCCGGTAGGAGTCGGAGCTCATACGAGCTGTCGAGACTGGAATTCCATATCGAGGGTCGTATTCTGTAGAGGACTGAAGGGGAGGGAGGCTGATCATCCGATTCTCCTCATCCTGACTATATCTGCCGACAGGATATGACATGGTGAAGGTCACAAAGCGAGCAAAACAGAAGACGAGCGTTATCGTCAAATCATAAAGAAAGCTGTATAATAATCCAGTCCTAAGGCTGTTGTTTATAACTATCCGACAGCATCGCTTCTGCCCTGCCATTATGCAATCTACACGAATACTCCACAAGAAACAACAGATATTCTATTTTTACTCCTTCCATTGCCTGCTCTTCCAGGTACAAGGGTATAAGGCGGTGCAGCGGATCGACGGCATGCCCAATGCAGCCGGTATTGAAATCCGTATGGCCAAGGCAGAAGGCAGCAGTATATCGCGGGATTAGGATAGTGGCTTTGCTACGTGGCCAAGCTTCAAGTGCCATCGGGAAATTTCCCTCGTGACCCCGTAGGCCGTGCTCTAGGCCAGTAATTTTGTCCTTTCGCCAGACCCTTGATATCGTCTGGGGAGGAAGCATCTGCGCTGACCATGGCGGTCTCCGACAGCTGGTGTGATGCCCCCGCGAGGCCGTCCCAGGCAACCCCGTAAAGCAATTATAGAAACGATAACCCTTGTGGAGTTGGGCCGGGCTGGGCTCTGAAGTTGATGCCTTGTGGCCGTGCGTTTCATTCGGGGATAGCGACGACATGGCAGTGGGCGTGTGGGCTGTCCTCGGCCGGGGATAGAGGAGGGGAGGGTGAGTGTCTTCTGACGGAGGGTGAGTCGGGCTTCGCTGCGACTCTATTTCTGGATCGTAGTATATAAGAGTCCGCGATCCCAATGGCATCTGTCATGCTGTATAGCATCAACCACGTTCGTTCAGATCCACTTTCGTTGACTCCAAACCCACCATTCGTTGCTTCCCCCATCTTGTTTGTCTCATCACATCACCATGAACATCCTCGTCTGCCCGTCCGGCTTCAAAGGCAGTATCGACCCTCCCACCGCAGCCGACTGCATCGAAGCCGGCATTCGGCGCGCGCTGCCCTCCGCCCAGATCCGCAAGGTACCACTTGCAGACGGCGGCGAGGGCTTCGCGCGCGCCCTGACAGCCGCAGGGCGCGGCCAACTACGCCAGCTCACCGTAACCGGGCCCGTCGGCGTCCCCGTCCCGTCCTTCTACGGCGTCATCGGGCAGGGCGCGGCGCGCACAGCGGTGCTGGAGATGGCCGCGGCGGCCGGGCTGAGTCTGGTACCGCGCGACTGCCGCAACCCCTGCGTGACGACCACCTACGGCGTCGGGGAGCTGATGGCCGCGGCGCTGGATGAAGGCGTGCAGCGGGTTATTGTCGGGTGCGGCGACTCGGGCACCAGCGACGGCGGCGCGGGGATGCTCCAGGCGCTGGGGGCGCGGTTGCTCGCCCGCGGCGGCGTCGAGATTCCCCGTGCTGCCGGTGGTCAGGCGCTGGGGGCGCTGGAGCGGATTGATCTTTCTGGACTGCATCCGCGTCTGAAAGAGGTTGAGATTGAGGTCGCGTGCAACTGGAAGAATGTGCTCTGCGGGCCGAATGGGGTGGCGCGTGTGTACGGCCCGCAGAAGGGGGCGAGTCCTAAGCAGACTGAAACGCTGGACAGTGCGTTGGCGGTCTACGCTGGTGTGGTGGAGGGCATCCTCGGCCAGGATATCTCGCAGATGCCTGGGAGTGGCGCGTCCGGCGGCTTGGGTACCGGCCTGCTGCTCCTCGGGGCGACGCTGCGGCCGCGGTACGAGGCGATTATGGAATATTTTAACCTGGAGGGGCTGTTTGAAGACTGCGATTTAATATTCACGGCTGAGGGAGGTATCGACTTCCAGACGCCGCGAGGAAAGATCCCGGCTGAGGTGGCGATGCGCGCGAAGAAGTACCAGATCCCGGTTATTGCGCTGGCGGGCACGATTGGGGACGAGGCCGAGCTGAATTACGACGTCGGCATTAACGCGTATACGTCGATCCTGCAGCGTCCGTCTACCCTGGAGGAGGCTATCGTCGAGGCGGAGCGTCTGCTGACGGAGAGTGCAGAGGGTGTTATGCGCATGGTGGTTGTTGGACGGAAGTTGGCAGGGGCTGCATGATTATGACTTGATACCAGACATTGAGTTGCTGTATTTATTTGATGACTATCATGAGAATGTATTGGTTGCCTATTGCAATGTATTTACCATATCATGCATATGTCACGATAGTGTAGACATTGGCTTGGGTCTGTATAGATTTTAACATCCAGTGACACGGATGTTTATGCAGTGCTAAGCAGCAAAGTGAAGGGAGACTGTACTGCTTCCAGCCATTGGAAGCATCAGCTGAAGGTATAATGTTCTTTTCTTCGTGTTGAATCCCTAGACTGCTCTCATGGAAAGACCTAAAGGAGTTTGTTTCCCACTGGCCGCCGGGGTTGACGACGTCCGACCATGTGGACGGCGGTCAAAGCATGGTCGGCATCGATTTATCTCATCGGCAGATCGTTCTAGATCTGATCTCTAGGTCTGATCCTGCTGGTTGTAGATCGTTCATGAGACATGAACATACTGTAACTAAGGGGACGGATCCTGACGTCAGCGCATCCAGACATTCCGATGATCGATCTGCTCGATCGATCGCAGTGGACTCCCTCGAACCCCTTTCGCAGGTTTGCAGTTTTTTCCGTTCATGTTCTTCTTACGACGATATAGACCGTCATCGATTGTCCCAATTAAGCATCTTCGGTGTTATCTTGCGCCAATTGCTGCAACTGCCATCATGCCGCCGCAAAAGCGCAAAACCTCCAACTCCGCCAGCTCGCAGGCGTCATCTCATGCCAACAAGCGCAGTCGGCCCAGTCTGAACGAACCGCATCCGAACGCGCACCAATCCGAGTCATTTGGCATTGTTCTGCGCGAGTTCTATCCCCCGGAGATGAGCAATGCGCGCTGCGACGCCTACAGCGACGGCACCCTGGAGCGGCCCATCGAGACGCTCCAGCGCGCGTACACAGATACGCAGGAGGCAAGAGACGCGGTGCGGCCCAATGCGGCGGTGGTACACTGGTTCAAATCCGACCTGCGACTACACGACAACCGGGCGCTGCACAAGGCGGCGCAGGTCGCCCGCGAACACAACCTCCCGCTGATCGGACTGTACATTCTGTCGCCGGAGGACCTGACGGCGCATCTGTCGAGTCCGGCGCGGGTGGATCTGACGCTCCGGACGCTGGCGCAGTTGCAGCGGGACCTCAACGAGTCGGACATCCCGCTGTACATGGAGACGCAGGAACGGAGGCAGGCGATCCCGGCGCGGATCGTGGAACTGTGCCAGAAATGGGGCGCTAACCATCTGTTCGCGAATCTCGAGTACGAGGTGGACGAGCTGCGTCGGGAGGCGCGGCTGATCCGGCTGTGTGCGAAGAACGGGATCAGGTTCGACGCGCTGCACGATACCTGTGTCGTCCCGCCGGGTTCCCTCAGCAGCCAGCAGGGGAAACAGTACGCGGTGTACAGTCCCTGGTACCGGGCGTGGGTGGCCTTTCTCAAGGAGAACCCGGACTATCTCGAGGTGTCGGAGGAGCCGGGGGCGAACTCGGGAGATGCGCGAAAGCACTTTGCGGAGCTGTTCGATAGCGAGGTGCCCCAGGCCCCGGCGAACAAGCAGCTGTCAGATAGCCAGAAAGAACATCTCTCCGCGCTGTACCCGGCCGGGGAGCATGAGGCGCTGCACCGACTGGAAACGTTCTTGAAGGAGAAGGCTGTCGAATACGATGAGGACCGCAACATCCTGGCGGGTCAACACACCTCGGTGCTCAGTCCGTACTTTGCGTCGGGGTCGCTCAGTGCGCGCACCGCGGTGGTGCAGGCGCGTCGGGCCAACAAGAATCTCCTCGACCGGAATGAGCCGGGGTATATGTCGTGGATTAGTGAAGTGGCCTGGCGGGATTTCTACAAGCATGTGTTGGTGCAGTGGCCGTTCATCTGGTATGTCATCTGTCCCAGTTTGTGCCAACCTCGCTAACAATCTCAGTATGAACAAATGCTTCAAGCCCGAATTCACCGACCTGGAGTGGGAGTATGATGAGATCAAATTCCAGGCGTGGTGCGAGGGCCGGACAGGGGTCCCCGTAGTCGACGCAGCCATGCGCCAACTGAACCACGATGCTTGGATGCACAACCGCGCCCGGATGATCGTCTCATCCTACCTGTCCAAGGATCTCCTGATTGACTGGCGCCGCGGAGAGCGGTACTTCATGGAGCACCTGATTGACGGGGATTTCGCGTCGAACCACGGGGGCTGGGGGTTCGGGTCCAGCACCGGCGTCGATCCACAGCCATACTTCCGGATCTTCAACCCGCTGCGTCAGAGCGAACGGTTCGATGCCGAGGGCGAGTATATCCGCCACTGGGTGCCGGAGTTGCAGGGGATCGAGGGCGCTGCCATCCACGATCCATACGGACGGGGCGCTGGCGACCAAGCCGGGCGTCAGGGGTATCCGCACGCGCTGGTCGATCACTCGCAGAGTCGTAATCGTGCATTAGAGCGGTATAAGCGAGCGAGTCAGAAGGAATGATGGATCGATCTGGGAGAGGTGGTGGCAGTAGCTCGAGATGCTCGGATGTACCCCGGAGACTGGAGTATATACAGGGGCTGTGTTCTAGAGAACCCAGGGTTAATGCAAGCGTACTAAACGATAGACCGCGTACAATCCCAGCGGAGTGAGACAGATCGTCCATGGATGAACGAAGAGCAGCTCAAGAACCGGACGGGCAGGTGGAGGACGAGAGGAGAGTGTCTCACCAAGAAAGTCAGCCACGCGGCGATGCGGAGAACCCTAATCTTCTCCGCTTCTCGTGTTGGACCCTCTTTCTTCTCTCACTCTCTCAATCTCCCTCGATTTCTTCTTCTTCACTCTATACTCTCTCTATTCCATTACTCCTGACCCTTCTCCAACTCCTCGCAACTGATGTCTCCCTCGTGAGACCCTCTCTTCCTCGGTACCGCCGCTCTGGGTACGTCCTTCTCCCCACCCGACTCTTGCCTCCCTCGGCATCCACTAACCACGCCTTTCGCACAGGCCTCTACTCCTCTACTCGTCTTCCTCCTCCTTCACCCAAATCCCCCATTGCTCGCCAATGTCGGCCTGACATGGAGTCTGCCCAGCCGGGGGAAACGCAACCGAGCGCCCAAGGCCCCTCCGACGATCCCACCACCGCCACCACCACGACAGCAACCACGGTCGCAGGCACTACCCCGCCCCCGAAACGGCGATGGAGGCGCAATCGCATCGCCTGTGATTCCTGTCACTCGCGCCGCGTGCGCTGCGACCGCGCCTTTCCGTGTTCGCGGTGTCTGCGCAGCGACATTCGCTGCGAGTTCACTCGGGAGCGGCGAAAGCGTGGTCGCATTGCACGGTCTCGGCAGACGGAGAATACTGGGACGGCGGGGGCCATCACGACAGAGAAAACCACCGCGACAACGGCGACGAAGCCGCTTCCCCCCTCCATCGAGTCGGTCCTCACTCCGATCGCCCAGCATGAGTCGCCGTCGTCGACCTTCCCCCATCGGTCGCCAGCCACGAACGAGATGACCGCATCCGCGGCCAGCGTCGATGGGCGTCGCTCGCAGGCGGAGATTTCGCTCCCTCCGCCACAGCCGCGCCGGTCCGTCCCCGACGGAAATAACAATGCGACCGAGGAGTGGTTGTCTGGCACCCACGTCTCCCCCGGGTCGTATGAGTTCCTGGGGGGCGGAGGTTTGGGGGACGGTCCGTTTCCCCGGATGTTCGACGTCTGGAATGGAGTCGATCTGGCTGGGTACGGTGCGCCGACGCCGCGCGGGAACAAGCCCAGCAGTATCGGACAGCCACCCCCGGTAGCCTTGAAGTATCCGGTGCTCCAACCGCTCATGCCCTTTTTGGACGCCAACATGCCGCGGCGGTTGGTTTTTGATTTGCTGGAGCTGTACTTCACGAGCGCCTTTTCCACCCACATGCACCCCGTGTGCCACCATATCCACTGCTATGTCCTCCGGAAGGCGTCCTTTCTCAGTCGCGACAATCCGCGGCCCAGCAGCCCGGCGCTCCTGGCAAGTATGTTGTGGGTTGCGGCTTTGGATGACCGGGCCTTTGCCTTGCCCATCTCGCCGCCCCAGCGCAAAAAGATCTGCCAGTTTCTCTGTGCGTTGACTATCCGGCTCTTGCGGCCCCTGATTCATGTGTCCTTCCGCGATCAGATGGGACCCAATGCCACCGATCCCAACTCTATACCCGTGGGTCCGGAAGGGCCGCCGACCACGACGCACCATCCGTTTGAAGGGAATGGAGATGATAGGGGACTGGTCGGTCCGGCCGGATCTCTCGATGATGTTATTACCTATATCCATGTCGCCTCGATCATTTTCTTCCAGTGAACAAAAGGCTGCCAGCATGCGATGGTGAGTTTAAACCGATTTCGTTACACTTTAAGTCCTAATTTGATCACAGGTGGCATGCCGCGTTTACTCTCGCACGAGAACTCAAGCTCAACCAGGAGATCGAGGTGATGCCCAGTGTGGACAGTCATCCCGAGGGATCTAGTCCGTCGTTTGACTATTCGCTACCTGGCTGGAGCGGTGTCGACACGGGGCCCTTGTTCGACTATTCCAATCCGACGCGCCCGAGCTTGAATTGTGTGTGTGACCGTGGGCATGATGCTCACAACACCATTACGGAGGAGCACCGCGAGGAGCGCCGACGGACGTGGTGGCTGTTGTACATCATGGACCGGCATCTGGCGCTCTGCTACAACCGCCCGTTGGCGTTGCTGGATGCAGAAAGCGAGGATCTCCTCCTCCCGCTCGATGAAGGGTCCTGGCAGGGCGGCAATATCCACAGTAACAGCCCGAAGCCGGATGGGCCGCAGTGTCCGCTGTCAGGCGACAAGAACAAGCGACGGGTGTTTCCCAACTTCATCTGCCACGACCACTCCATTTTTGGGTTCTTCCTGCCGCTGATGACCATGACCGGCGAGTTGATCGACCTGAACCAGGCGCGCAACCACCCGATGCTCGGGGTGCGACTCCACGGCAAGGACGCGTGGGACGTGCATGTGAGTGAGGTGCTGCGGCAGCTGGAGATCTACAAAGCGAGCCTGACGACGTTTGCCGCGACGGCGTCGGACCCGGAAGCACCGTTTTCCACGGCATACCCAGCGCCCAAGCCGGATCATCCGGTCGACCCGGCGCTGGCCCAGGCGTACTCGTGGCACACGCAGACGGTCATCTCGTACGCGTCGTACCTGGTGCATGTGTTGCACATCCTGCTGGTCGGCAAGTGGGATCCGGTGTCGCTGATCGAAGACAAAGACTTTTGGACGTCATCCCCGGCGTTCGCGTCGACCATCTCGCACGCGCTGGATGCGGCCGACTCGGTGAACCAGATTCTGCGCTTCGACCCGGACATCAGCTTCATGCCGTATTTCTTTGGGATCCAGCTGCTGCAGGGGAGTTTCCTGCTGCTGCTGATCGTGGAGCGGCTGCAGAAGGAAGCGGGCGAGGGCATCTTGAATGCGTGCGAGGTGATGATCCGGGCGACCGAGTCGTGCGTGGTGACGCTCAACACCGAGTACCAGCGCAACTTCCGGCAGGTGATGCGCAGCGCGGTGGCACAGGCCCGCGGGCGACCGGTGAATCACAGCGAGATTCGACATCGACGCAAGGCGGTGCTGGCGCTGTATCGGTGGACGCGAAAGGGGACGGGGTTGGCATTGTAATAGTATTTATTCTATATCTGTATATATGTTTTGAGTATATATCCACGTTCCCATCTGTTAATGATATTGTCTGCCAGCCCTATCGTCCTCGTCTTGTATATAGGTATATAGATGCACATACTCCACTGTCTGTATACAAAGTAGAACATGGGGGACCACCGACATAAGCTACAACAACGATCCTGCGAGACCAATAAAGCCGGCAAAGGAATGCCCAGATCCACACAAGCTTGAAACCATCGGCAAGTGGAGAGAGACACTCGGATAATAGCAGTTGAACCGTGCTTGACCACGGCATCGGTTAGATTCACGGTAGAACCACCGCGGATTCGCGTCTGGTGACAACCTCCGTGCTAAAAGCATCAACTACCGAACAGAATACGAAGCGAAGCGAAGGCAAAATGAAAGGCACCGTCCTGTTATTTCGGAACCCTGCAGCGCCACGACACGCAAGCAGACCTCGCGTAGAGGTCGGACGAGCCGATCGGTTTCACCTGCTTCCACGAGGGTTCGATGCGGACGAATCCTCCGCAGCGTCCAAAGCAGCAATGATGCTCAGGCACGCGGCATTTGAGCCCTGCGGATCGAGACGACTCTTGCCGACTTCCCCAGATTTAGCCATGCGTTCGGTTAATACGGGGTGTTGCGCGGGGACGATGCCAGTCTCGCTGTAAGGAACAAGGATAAATATAACCGAAATCCGGGGAATGCTCGGTTAATATGTTCATATGGCTGGGGTCGGTTCAATGCTGGTTCTGTGGTGCCATTGATGGGATCCAGATGGAGATGGTTGTTTCGCATTTACTTAAAGCTGCTCGTCCCTGGGGATTTTTTTCGTCGTGAAGTTGTTGCTTCTACTTCTACTTTGCATGGTGGTTGCATTGCTGGTATACTTCTGTATACATCCATCTCAACACCACAGACTACCTACAACTTCAGCACACACCTCCAACTATACACCTCAGATGCTTCCCTGACCATCTCTGACTTCAACTCTCGCCGAAATGAATATCCCCGACGCCCATCTCTACGACCTCCCCAGCTGGTCCTTTGTCGACCCGTTCGACGACCAGGCCTTTCGCCTGCACGCCAGCGCCAACACCAACACCCACACCACCGCCTCCGACGGACAGCTCCTCTCCACGATGCCCATGAGCCCGTTTGGCCTGTCCAGCTGGGACCAGCTGGACATGCACCTGGCGCACGAGCTGGGCGACGACCGCGACGCCAACCCCAACCCCGCCAAGTCGGGTTACACATACAATTACCCGGACCGAGCAGCGAGGTCAGTCCATCCATCCGTCCATCCATCGCTTAATATGGCCCTGGACCTTTCCCCACCGATGAAACAACAAACTAACCGCTGGTCATGCGCTGCATTAGATTCCCCGACGCCAAAAACCTGCTCACACCCGAGGATCTCGCCACCGTCGATCTCGACGACCTGCTGCGCTCGACCTCGCAGCTGGCCACCGAGCGCGCCCTCTACATGACCGTCGGCAGTCCTACGTCCATGTCCCTGCCCATGCTGGACGCCTGCAGCTCGCCCGGCAGCAGCCATCTCTCGTCCGGCGCCAGCGACGCCGAGGCCGAGGCCGACGCAGACTGGGAGCGCGACCTCGTCTACCGTCTCCCGGATCCTGCCGCCTCCACCGCCGCCGCTCCCTTTCACCCGGCGCCGTTGTTCTACCCCCAGGACCTGCCGCAGGAGGTGTATGCGACGCCAGAATGCAGCGGCCTGACCCCGCTCGAAATGCCCGACGGTAGCACGCGCTTCACCTCCAACTGGCTGCCGGTGGATCCCGAGGGCGGCTTCACCATCCACGCCGCGGCTACGGCGACAACGCCGTTTTCGCCCTGTCCGCTGGAGTATCCGGATTCGATGCCGGAGGCGTTTATTTCTGTGGGACGGCGGGTGGACTCGACGGCGGGTTGAGCGGGTTCTTTCGTGCGGAAGGAAGAAACTACGCGGAAGAAACTACGGAGTAAAATATGACACGGTCGCTGTCGAGACTGCGTCGGTCGCATGACCCATGTGGAGACGCTGTCTGCGCCGATGCGCGCATCAGGCCGTTATTACTGTACGGAGCACGGAGTAGCTGGCTGGAGCTGAAGGCCCAGTTTCAATCTCTGTCAGTCGGTCTCCCGCTTGTGGGGGCCTTCGCTTGGACCGAGTCCTCCTCGTGCCCGTCCGATGTCGGATCCACCAACAGCTGAGCAGGAGAGCTCATGGCCTCGTCGGGGTGTAGCCTCGTCGAGGTGTATACGGAAGCAGCTGGAGGGGCAGTTCTATGTAGAATAGAGCTGATACGAGATCATGTTTAGACACAAAATTCTCTGGATAATCATAAGATCGCTAATCACTAATATACACGGTCATCCAATCCTAATATATACATAACCAAGTCATCGGTTCTCATCCCGAATACTAGACGACGTGCACTGGTTCGAAAACACGGGAAACTCCAACTTCCGCCCGATAAACAGGAACAGCTCCGTCATAAACTCCTTCTCGATCATCCCATCGCTGAATGTGTCAAACGCCGTGCGCAGCATAAACATCAGCCGCGACACCAGACACCCGGGGATGTTCTGAATCAGGTACTTGGCGCTGCGGCAGATGTTGCACGCATACTGGTACCGCTCCGCCTGCCCCAGCACGCTGGTCAGCCCGTCGTCCGTCGCCGACACCACCAGCCCCAGCGCCCAGTAGAAGCACATCGCCGTCGCCAGCAGGATGTCCGGGTACACCAGGACCTGCGCCGGCAGCACCTGCAGGGTGTTCGGGTCGCGGCACCGGAAGACAGGGAACCCGTCCGCAGAAGGCTCGTCGATCTCCTCACGCGGCGCGCCCTTGGCGTACGTGTCGGCGTACATGGCTTTCCACATGTGGAGCCGGGTTTGCAGCTCCAACGCTTGTTCCCAGATGGTGGTCTGCAGGGGCACGAGCTCGGCCGGCGACGAGGCGCCCGTGCTGCCGCGCTGCAGCTGCGCCAGGAAGATGTCGATCTGCGAAAGGTAGGCGGGGATGTCGACGGCGATGTCGAGCAGCCGCTGGAGGATGTCCTTGGGCGGGCCGTCGGCGGGCCACGGCACCGTCAGCCATTCTTTGGATGCGAGGAAGGTCGGTTTTCGGTGAACCAGGGCCGCCGTGACCTGTGCTGTTAGTTGAGGTTCGGACGGCGAGATGGGTGGAAGTATACCCAGTAGAGTCGAAGATCCACGAATAGGGACTGTTCAATCCCATACCGGTGGCGGTAGGGCGAGCGCGATCGCAGGAGCTCCAACCCGCCTAGCTGGTGTCTCAAAATAGAATCTTTCGAGCTTTGCTTAAACGCCTAACCGCACGGTTAGAAGGATTCTCGAGAGGGGGAAATGCGGCTACCTCGATGATGGTCGATAACAGCACGACGACCAGAACCTCGGTGGATTTGCTCGCCCGCGGATCATTCAGGGCGTTCTGAAGCTGGCGCAGCATCCGGCTGTACCGTGTATGGCCCGCCAGCTCGATCGTTCGATTGCCGTCCCGCCGCCCGGCGAACGTCAAGCTGGCCGCCTCGAACGCCGTGCACAAGATGGGCGACAGCACTCGCATCTCCGACGCTTCTCGCAGCGCGATCGTCCCGCCGTATTTTGCCTGGTCGCGGGGACTGAAGTTGCTGACCAGGCGCTCCACGAACAACTCCATCAGCGAATTCGCCAGGTTAGGGTCTGTGAGTAAGATTTTCTCCTGAACGGGCGGCGACGACGTGTGGCCTGGACCAGTCAATACGAGACAGCTAGTCGGGATGGCTTTGGCAACGCACTGAACGGTGGGCTCGGACTCTTCTCCAGCGCCTGGGTATAAGCAGCATGCGGGTTGGCGTGCTTCTGGTCCGGCCACATCTCCTCGTCTTCAGCGACATCTTCAGCCGCTTTGATATGGGCCAGCGACGTCGGACTCCCCTCATCCTTGATGGGAGGCAGATTCGCCAGGCGGCGGGCTTCGGCCAGCTGCTGCTTCAGATCCTCGCATGATCGCATCAACTGCTCGATGAGGGCGGACTGCTGGATATAGTGTCGGTCTTTCTTGCTAGTGCCATATTCGCATTCCGAGGGGGTTCCCCGCAGACAACATGCGCCGCAAGGCTTCACCCGATCGCACTAGACCGATGTCAGTGATCTTGCGCCGGCCATCTCGAAGACAAGACGGTGAATGTGGTGATGGTGTATGCTCTACGTCACTCCGAAATGAAAGGACAGGCTTCGGCAGTCCAGGACAAGGTAGCATTGAGTCGGCAGATATACCTTCACTTTGCGTTTGTGGCAGCTTAGGCATGAATATGTGGGTCGCATTTTCTTTCGCGTGCCGGGCTTCCCGGCCAGTCCAGCGGCGGACTGATCGTCCCTCTGCTGGGCGTCCTGCTGGCTGTTCATCATGACGATTTGCGACAGGATGGGCGTTCGTCCGGGGGTGCTGGAGTCAGTTGTCCTGAACGAAGCGAAGAGGATGAGCGCCGACCGTGATGGCAGTGGGCGAGACAAAGTCTATTGTGGAACCGGCTCTAAAACACGGGGGCGGGCTGCCAGTTTGGCTCGCGATCGCGCACCGGTAGCCGGGCGCAAGTACCTGTACAATAGTGTTGGTGGCGGAATGGGACCGAATAATGCGACTGTTTATTGGCGTAGGGGAGCAGAATGACGACTCGACTTTCAGGATCAGGGCGAGTCCCATGGTTCTTCAGGGGCCACAACTTTGTGGCATCGCGCGATCGCCACCGGGCTGGCCTGCACCGCCGCAGCAAATGACAGGAGACGGTTGCGTTGGGCTGCACGGGGTGTACTTTCCGCAAGCTCGATTTTCCGGTGTGAAATCCGTATCTCTTGGTGCCGATCTGACGGATCACAACAAAGAAAAGCATCGAAGAATCCTCCCAATGGTTCCCTACTGTAGGTCTGAGGGGACCGCATCTCAGCCACATTCCAGGCACACCACCTCGAATCTCCTACCCTTTGTGGTCATCGTTCAGGCCTTGGTTCAATAGTCTCGGCAACGCACTCAGACTCAGGTCCTCTGATTATTCGTCCGGCTCATGCGGAACGCCATGGGCTGCACCAAATGCCATAGTGGCGCGTTTCCCGGCGTGTTGAACGTTTCTTTTGAGGATGGCTCGGAGAACTTTGGGAAGGCTGCAGCGATCGGCGCGTTAGCGGCGGGCAGATCGTCGTCGAGCGGTGTTTGATGGTCGCTTTCGGAGGGTTTTCTGCAGTGGTATTTGTCAGATATAATGGATTTGATATAGCCTCGCACTTTTTGACTGTCTTGCGACCCACTTGACTGCAACTATGGGTGCGGATGTGATAGTGATCCGTCGATCGTTTGATCGATGCGTCTCTAGGAAGCTGGGAAGCCGGGAAACCGTTGGAAGATGCCTCCTTGCTGGAGGATCGGGGGTTATCGGTTGGTGATTAGTTGCAAGGAGAGTCTTCTCCTCTGGTTCTGAGTTAGAATCAGTCATAGAGAGGGGAATGGGAGAGTAGACGAGCGATGGGGGAGAAGAAGTTGGTGAAGTGGAAGAAAGGCATGTCACGGGGGATCACCTGCTGTCACCTGAAGAGCGTGCCCTATCTCACCTCTACTCTTCCGGTCTCATTCCCTCAATAATCTGTCAAGTCAAGACAAATCAAGGAACTGACAGTCATCTGCACGCTCTTTGAACGAATCCACCGCGGCTTGTTGGCTTGAGTATTCTTTCGAGCTGACAACCGTCAGTGATGGAGTGATGAGGTTGGGAAGATGTCAGTTCTCCGCAAGATGTCAGTTGAACAGAGCTAATCAACACCTAGGCTATGACCATGTCTTCTTCAGAATATCCAGAATAGACGACTGAGATACCCCCAGTCTAGCAGTAATCAGCCTTATGAAGCATCGAAGGACTCGTCATCAGACGACCACCAACCCTCGACAGTCTATGGCCAATATCCCATCCATACTGGTCTACACCAAGTGTTCGCTGGCTCCCATTCGCCGCCGCATCCCCACGATACTGTTTCACCTGGGAACAAGTGGATGTACAGACGGACGGAGAAACACCCTGATATGTCCAGGAAACTGCCGGCTGAATTCCTCCGGGTATTGCTCAAGCCACGAGACTAGATCATTCATTTTCGCTACTTCGACGGTGCTTAGTGCAGGGAGCCTGTGTTAAGACAACCGGAGCGGCCTACATACGATGAATGGCTAATAGCTGCCTTGATAGCTATCTCGAGCCCAGGGGAGGTACAGGATACGGGCCCGCTCAAGTCGTTGCTAGCCGAGTCCACACAATTACTACGCCAGTTCCAAGCGAGATGAGTCTGACATAGTGGAGCGGTTACCATGGCCCGACAGGCCGTCCATTACTCTAGAGAATGACCGATATGCTCCAAGGTCCTCGTGGAGCGACTCAGCCCTACAGGTCCCAAGCCGAATGCCGGGCTATTTTCCGAAGCTTGGTAAGGCTTGTGGGGTGGAGGGCGCCCTCTTGTGCGGACAAAATGGACCTTCCAAGCATGGAGGAAGACTACACACTCTTATTGATGGCTGCCTAGATGGAGAGGACGATAGTCAATGAGGTACTGTATCTCACAACCGACAGATGTCTGGATACCCTCAAGGTACTCGTCTGGATAGTATAAGAAAGGCTGGATCATCCAGGATCAATCATGCTGAGCCCAGATCTCATTTCGGTATCAACACCATGTCGTCCTTCAATGCCTCCAATGTCGATCTGACCACGGCGAGCGAAGAAGATGTCCTCTGTTACTTTGCCATCAGCGAGAACGACTACAACGGCCATCTCGGGGCCCGCATCTCCTCCATTTTTGTCATCTTGATCACGTCCACTCTCTTTACCCTCTTCCCCGTGTTTGCCACGCGGACCCCCCGGCTCAAGATCCCCTATCAGGTCTATGTTTTCGCTCGTTACTTTGGTTCCGGCGTGATCGTCGCCACGGCCTTCATCCATCTTCTCGACCCGGCCTACAAACGCATCGGTCCAAAGACCTGCGTTGGCGTCTCGGGCCACTGGGCTGACTATTCATGGTGTGCCGCCATCGTCCTGGTCTCGATCACGGTGATCTTCCTCCTGGACCTCGCGGCCGAGGTCTACGTCGAGCAGAAATACGGCGTGCAACGCCATGAAGACGCCGCTCAGATGATCGTCTCCTCCCCCCGTGCCCACGAAGACCTCTCCTCCGCCGAAAAGGCCGTCCAATTCCAGGACAAGCACCCGGACCTCTGCCTCGGAGACACCTCATCCGTGGCGTCCGAACGCGCCTTCAAACAGCAGTTCGCGGCCTTCCTGATCCTCGAATTCGGCATCATCTTCCACTCGGTCATCATCGGGCTGAACCTGGGCGTCACCGGGTCCGAGTTTGCCACCCTCTACCCCGTGCTGGTCTTCCACCAGTCCTTTGAGGGACTGGGCATCGGCGCCCGCATGTCCGCCCTGCACTTTGGGGACCGGCGCTGGCTGCCGTGGGTGCTCTGTCTGGCCTACGGACTGACCACGCCCGTGTCGATCGCCATTGGGCTGGGCGTGCGCACGTCGTACAACCCGGATTCGAAGACGGCACTCATCGTGCAGGGCGTGCTGGACGCTATTTCGGCGGGAATCCTGATCTACAGTGCGTTGGTGGAATTGCTGGCGCGGGACTTCCTGTTTGATCCGGACCGGACGAAGCGCCGGTCGCAGTTGGTCGTGATGGTGGGCTACACGTTGTTGGGAGCGGGGATCATGGCGTTGATTGGGAAGTGGGCATAGACGACAGGAACATATGCCACTGCGTCTGGATGGAATACCGCTGTAATAACGCATGTACCATTGAAATAGATACATCCATGAATAGATGCATACCCACCGAAATTACCACTAGTCAGCCCTATTGTAATTAATTGGTCCATCTGCACTGCAGCCTGCATAACCGGAACACATTCATTCCTCCCTCACGTCCGTCTGAACGCCCACCGCCATGGCCGTCTCCCACCTACCTTCAGCCTGGACGACACCAGCAACTCCTAAACCATGAGACTCCCTACGATCTACGCCCACCGCAACGGAGGGCTCACTGTCACCGACGCCCTCGACACGATCGAGCAGATCTACAAAGAATCCAAGGTCATCATCTTCGGCTGCCTAGCGTCGTGGACGATCTACCATCTCCGTCTCGGCGTCGTCGGCCTCATCCTCCTGCTGGCCGTCTGTCGAACGTACTACGAGCTGTCCCTGCGCCGGGTGGAGCGCGCCATCCGCGACGAAACTCGCCGGTACCACGCGAAACACATCCTCCACCGCGGCGAGAGCGTCGAATGGATGAACCGCATCCTCGTCCGGCTCTGGCACCTCTACCAGGAGCGAATCTGCGATCATATCGTGCAGTACGTCAACCGCGGGCTGGCCGGACGCTCCGACGCCCCAGGCGCGGAGGGCGAATCCCCAGCCCAAAAGGTCGTGATCCAGTCCCTCGCGCTCGTCGAGCAGCCCATCCGCATCCTCCACATCCGCACCTACACCCGGCCGGAGTCGGGCAACTTTGTGATCGAGGGGACCTTCCGCGTGGACCTGGCGCCGCCGCCAGACCACCACCGCCGGCACCTGCGCACACGCGAGCCGCTCGTTGACCTGGTCATCCTCCACGACAAACAGCAGGACCGGCGGCAGAATGATCTCGCGGTGCAGGTGCGGCAGTTCACGGGGACGGGCCTGGTGCGTCTGGAGATCGATTTCCAGGGCGACGAGCCGCACATCCTCCAGCCGCAGATCGAGCTGCAGGGCCAGCCTCAGATCGACTGTACGTACCGCAGCGTCAGCCAGCACCACTTCCCGTTCCATTTTGCGCATCATATCGACTGGCGGAAGGTGGTTGAGGTGCAGATCCGCGAGGGCCTGGGATGGGCGTTCCACCGGCCGCTACCACTGCTCCATCTGCTGGGAGGGAAGCTGTTGATCCGGATGATGACGTGGTGGTGGATGCTCAAGCGAGCTTGTCATGATTAAGCAGTAGCAGCGTAATAGATCAATAGGTTTAAATATCTACTGTAGTTTGCAGTACGTAAGAAGTACGGTTGTATAGGGCAAAGAGTGGTTCTGTGGATCCGCATAGTGTAGTTTAGTACTCCGAGTACTCCGTAGGGCTGACTAGTGGGAGAAACAGTGTTGCCTAAGACTAGAGGAGTATCCCAGGTATCCCTATGGAATAGGCATGTATTGTCTGAATGCGTATTTCACTGTATGGTTACACTTGACTCCTTGCGCCAACGTCGAGGGTGGAGAGTGTTCGGCTGGGTAGAGTTCGGAGGCCGTAAGTGCCGGATCATCGGTGATATATACAGATACTATTACAGCGTTGTATATCAGGGTCGGATAGGAGCAGAGTTTCTTACTATTCCTTGATGGAGCCCTTTCATGCTGTCAAACGCTATATCTATACTTCTCGTTGACCGGGCTGCTTACATAGAATCACCGACACTGCACTGCTTCATCAAGTCAGTCTGCAGCCCAAATTGATCGCCATGAAGACAACTCTGCCGAATTCTATCCATCTAACTAACTAACGATCTCTATTCTGCAATCAGCAGTCGTCCCTCGTCCTCGTGGCATGACTATAAGTGCCCCGCTGTGCAGAGTGGTGACAATTAATCTATTCTCAGCGCCGAACCCGCACGTGCATGCAACACCCTCAACCACGAACCTCTTCTTGGACATCATCGCCATGCGTTCCCCTCATCATATGCCTTCACCTGCAGTAGTGGCGTCCACTCGGTTTGATCTTCACTCGGATCCGCTTAATCTTCGGAACCCCTTTTTGAAGGTCGGTTAAAAGCCGTGAGGGACGATCACTATGAATATCCACCTCGGCCCACCGCGTCGACTCTTCAGTTCCTCACCAGCTTCTCTCCCGGTGTTGTGATCATATCAAACGGCCTTTACGATGCGAGCATTCTGGTATCTGGCGGGGATTTCGCCCGCTCTGGCAGCTAGCAGCGGCCAGTTCAACGTCTTGTCCTTCAATGTGGCCGGTCTGCCCGAGATTTTCAACTCGAACGAAGTCCCCGGCGACAAATCGACCAATTCCGAGCAGATCGGAACCAAGTTCGCGGAGTATGGCTACGACGTGATCCATGTGCAGGAGGTACGACATGCCCAGGCAGCATCGCGCAGCCGTCTAACCCCCGCAGGACTTCAACTACCACGCCTACATCTACAAAACCGATAACCACCCCTATCGCACGGCCACCTCCGGCGGCGCTGGCATCGGCTCCGGCCTGAACACCCTCGCCAATTACCCCTGGGTCGACTTTGAGCGCGTCAAATGGGCCACCTGCTCCGACGCCTCGGGCGCGGATTGTCTGACCCCCAAGGGCTTCACGGCCATGCGCGTGCGCTTCGACGAGGGCTTCTACGTCGACTTTTACAATCTGCACGCTGATGCCGGGTGAGTGTCCATACACCGGTCGACAACCGGCTCCCCACTGACGACGGCAGCTCCGAGACAGACGATGTGTCCGCCCGCAGCGCCAACCTGCAGCAGCTGGCCGATTACATCGACACTAACTCCGCCGGCAACCCGGTCATGGTGTTCGGGGACACGAACGCCCGCTACACGTCTGCCGGGGAGAACATCCGCGTGTTCGAGACGCAGGAGGGCATGTCCAACCCGTGGATTGACCTGGTGCTGAACGGCGTCGAGCCAGTCCAGGGCACCGACCCGCGGATCTGCGAGAATCCCACGACGAACCCGGACCTGCGAGACGGTCGATAAGATCTTGTATGTTCGCCCTCGGCTCGGTAACGGACATGGCTAACAAACACAGCTACCGCGGCAGCCGCGCCGTCGATCTCAAGGCCGTCTACTGGGACTACGTGGGCACCAAGTTCCTCTCCAGCAACGGCACCATCCTGTCGGACCACAACCCCATCAGCAGCAACATCACCTGGACGCGGTCCTCGTCGCTGCGCCAGAGCGATCTGTTCGGCGGGCCCCACGGGTATGTCTCCCGCACGCAGCACTAGCCACCTCGTACTAATGATGCAGAACCTGGTTTAACGACCTCCCCTCCATCCCGGAGACCTCCACCGGCCGCAACAAGCCCAGCCGGATCTCCCTCCGCGGCGCCGACCGGCTCGACAGCGTCGGTCTGGTCCTGTCGTCGGGGACGACCTACTTCCACGGCGGCACGGGCGGCGACGTGCACGAGCTGGGTCTCGCGGACGACGAGTTCTGGACCCAGGCGCGGCTGTGCCAGGGGCAGAAGAACGACCACACGCGTATCTTTTATATTCTGGCGACGACCAGCAAGGGTAATACTGTCAGTGCGGGAACCACGACGGATGACTGCCAGGATTTTGCGGCGGATGAGGGCTGGCAGATTGTTGGGTTTTATGGACAGGATGGGGATGAGGTGGATCAGTTGGGATTTGTTTATGCGCCGCAGGCGTGATTTGTATGAGTATGACGGTCGTTTTCTCGCCTGGCTGGGAGGATTCTGAAGGACAGGGGTATGTCTTCAGCTGTGAACGCAGGCTATGTGTATTTGAGACTCGCAGTCCAGATCTGTATAGAGCTCCAGTCAGTCTGATCATCATCACGTAGGACATACCAGACTATGGTAGTCACCATCGCTGTTAATTCAACCCGTCGTAATCAGGAGACATCCCCTTCTATACCTCCGTATCCCATTTTCACCTGCCACCGAGGTACAGCAGTCCCATCATCCACAGCAAAATCTATCTATCCCCCGACCCACCCCCCGATATAGCACGGAACGTCACGAACATGTCCGCTCCGAATCCGGGAATCTCGGATCAGGGGCCGCGTTGAAACAGGCGATGAGCGGCCCGAACAGGAAACGCACAGACAAGACGATCAGCCCGTCAGCCGTCCCTCAGGGCAAGGAGCCGTTTCCGCCCCGGATTCAGGAACGAGCTGGACACGCTTGTGGCGGATCTGCGCTGCAGGCTGGACGTTGACTGAACGTTTACTTCAATTTTGGCTGGGAATGGGCTATTTGACGGCTTTCGTGTATGTTGTGTCGCTTTTGACTGGGCCCGTGGAGTGGGAGATAGTCATCTGCATGAAACGCGAATGTGTTCCATAGTGGGTTCCAGTGGACTCGATCGCCATGAGCGGTTTCAGAAACACTCTATCTTGATCGAGAATGCGTCAGGTCGGATAGCTTCAGATCGTCTGTTGGAGATCATTTCCCGACTGTCCACGGTCAAGGGTCCACGCTGGTGATTATAGGACTATAGATCATGTCATCGATGTATAAATACCACAAGCTCTCACCCAGCAGCCAACACTACACGCTCACAGACTCCAATAACACTACAACACTACAATCGCAAGCCAAGATGAAGCTCTCCCTCTTCAGCCTCCTCCCCATGGCCCTCGGCTCGGTCATCTTCCATCCGCGCCAGTCGAATGACCGCGGCAACTACACTGTCCCCGGACTCGGCGAGCGCAAGGCCGCTGTGCTGGCCGCCGGTGGTAACACCATGGACATGGCCATTGCCATGCTGGAGACGTATGCAGCCGTCCCCTAATGGAGCGTTCGCACTAACGACATCCAGCGAGACCATGACCACTGATTACACCTACGGTGCGCCGCCCACCGCGAGGAACGACTCTCACTGACAGCAAGCAGGCGACGGCAAAACCGGCGACGCCACCAACTTTGGCATCTTCAAGCAGAACTGGATGATGCTGCGCTTGTCGGCGTCGGAGTTTCTGGGCGAGACGGCCGAGCAGGTTGACGACGGTGCGGTTTTGAAGTAGGTTGTCTGCAGATGTATATGGCAGCTATACTGATGGTCACAGCACCGATCTCGAGAAGGACGTCAAGGCCCGCCATGACAGCGAGGAGCACTATGGCTTCGACACCTGGTGTGCTGGCCACCGCAACGGCGCGTCTGGCCTGTCCAACCCCGACACTTCTGATATTGCCGGTGCGCCATCCGCTGTCCATTCGTAATGCATGTACTAACGGAAGCAGGGTATAAGAGCGCGATCCAGTGGATCCAGCAGCAGATCGAGAGCGACGAGGTGTATCAGAAGGATGATACCCGGTTCTGGGTGCAGGTGCAGGCTATCTAACCATCTTTCTCATCCTCCTCTTCATAGATGTGTATCTTCAGTACCTTATACTCTATCTCTATCATCATCCATGACAGGGACTAGATCCCAGCCACAGCCACTCCTTAGCTCTAGAACAATGCGCATTGTCATATCATTATTATACATACTACATCCTATATAGTATATACCTATAGATTCCCAGTAACCCCCGGCTGAACCCCCTCCAATACCTGCACAATCTCCTCCCACACCCTCACCTGCACCTTTGCCCCCTCCTCGCTCCTCACAAACGCCGACACCGCATGCGGCGCCACCACTCCGTTCTCCATATACTCCCCATGACTCTCCTCCCCGGCCGCCGCACCCGCCACGAGCGTGCGACTGCCCTCCTCCGTCGACCGTGCCAGCAACACCTTCAGAACCTTCATCCCGACGCCCGATATATCGCGCGCCAGCCGCGAATGACAGAACCCAGGGTTCAGCATGTTGACCACCACCGCGTCGTCACGCAAGCGGCGCACCATCTCCCGCACCGCAAGCACAACCAACAACTTGCTCAGCGGGTACCGCCCGTTCATATCCGCCGTCCCCTCGTCCGAGAGCACATCCAACAGTCTCGTCCCCGGGGGACAGTCCGGCAGCACCGCCCACGCATGCACCTCGCTGACCACGACCACGAGACGCGGCTTGCGAGCCCGCGGGTGTGCCTGCGCCGACGCGCGCAGCGTCGGCAGCACCAGCAGTCCCAGCAGCACCGTGCTGAGCACGTTCACCGTGAGCGTGCGCTCGTACCCCTCCGCCGTGGCGAAGACGGTCGTCGCGATCGCGGCGTTCGCCACCACGGCGTCGAGTCTGGGCAGCTGCGCGGCGCGCGCCGCGAAGGCTTGCACGGAGGCGAAGGAGGAGAGGTCCAGTGGCCAGACCTCGCAGATGCCCGGGCGCCCGGTTGAGGTTTCGATGGAGGTGCGCGCGGCTTCGCCGGCGGAGAGGTCGCGCACGGCGAGAATGAGCTTCTCTGCGCCGAGGCGGGCGATGTGTCGCGCGGCTTCGAGGCCGAGGCCGACGTTGGAGCCGGTGACGATGATGGTTTGGTTGGTGAAGGGGGCTGGGTCGTCCGGGAGGCCGGGGTGGACGAGGAGTTGATTGCAGAGGAAGCGGAGGTAGGTGTTCATCTTGAGATTGTGTGTGTGATTTGGATGGGAGGGGAATGGAGGTCGTGGTGGTTATGGATCGTGTTTGATATAGGTCATGGCCGGAGTTAGCGGGTTTAAATTGTCGGATATATTCTCACGTTATCACACCTCATACATGGAGTTAAGCATCAGATCCGTTGGATTCTTAACACGTGGATATCTCATTATCAAGACGAAACAAACGTCATTACGCCAGACGCCATCCATACAGCCTGTCCAAGGAACAACCGACACGCACTCAGCACTATATACGGAGTACAACAACCATCCATCAACCACCATACACTAACCAAGTCACCGCCGCCACCCATCCGCTGATGAACAAGATCGTCAGAATCGACGCGCCCGCCCGGTCACCCGTCGTAATGGGCGCCGGCTCGCTAGCAGGGGGCTCTCCCGTCCCCGTGCCTGCGTCTGGGTTACTCTTGCTCTTCCCACCCGTATCCGCCGTCAGCGGCGACACATCCCCCTTCTTGAACTTGATCATGTTGGAGGAAAACACGCTCAGCGCGCTCATGTCCGTTTCGAGCGAGTTGGTGCCGTCATAGGTAGCCTGGTACCAGCGCCGACCGCACTCCGATTGCTGGCTTCCGCCGGAGCACTGCTTGGCGGCGGCTTGGGCGGACGCCTGGATCTTGGGGAGGATCTCGCCGGAGGTGTAGGGCACGATGGTGGTCATAAAGGTCAGCCACGATGAGAGGAAGCCCTTGAAGCAGTCCTGGTTGCGGTCGCATTTCATGTTCGGCTCGCACGAGATCTCCGACATCACGTTGCCGCCGTACTGCTTGGGGAAGAACTGCGAAAAGGTCGTCTGCAGCAGGCCGTCGATGCCTTTTTTCCATTTGGTGTCTCCGTTGGTCTGTTGATTAGTTGGTCAGTGACGGTCGTGCGGAAGAAACGGGTAGACATACCAGATTGTACATGTAGGCGGCGCCGCTCAGATACATGCCGTAGTTGTAGGTCCATTGGAGGTCGCCGTGGGCCTTGCAATTGGACTGGGTCGTCGTGGTATCCGCGATGGTCCAGTCAGTCGTCCGCAACAACGGAGTGGTCGCGCTCCAGTCCCAGATCTTCTCGGCCCAGTCGGTGTAGGTATGGTTGTTGGTGTAGCGACCCAGCCGCGCCGCCAACTGGAACAGCCCGCCGTTGGAGACCGAGTTTTTGGTGGTGTAACCGGCCTGATACGGCCAGATCTGCCATCGCAGCCCGCCCTCGCAGCTGGTCTTGTCCCAGCGGGGCACCTGTGTGTTGAACACCCCTTGCGCCAGGGAGAGCCACGACGGCTGGCCGTCCTGCTCGGGGAAGTTCAGCTCCGCCGCCGTCATCGCGGCCAGACCCCAGAAAACTTGGTCGTCATTGCCCTTGGACCGTTAGAGATGGTGGATTGGACGGGTGTGGGTAACGCACTAGCCACTGGCTGTAGTTGGTGGGAAAGTAGTCGTTGGAGCCTTTCTGCCACAGCATGCCCTGGGTGGTGACGTCGTTATAGGAGGTGTCGCCGGTCCAGTACCAGTACTGGATGAGGGTCATGAACATGGCACCACCCTCCCACCAGGTGTCGGGGAGTTTGCCGGGGATTTGACCCGACTCGTTGCCGTGGTACTGGCTCATCATATTGAAGGCGGTGGTCGCCGCGGCGGTCTTGATGGATTCTAGGGAGATGGACGGTTAGAGGGGTTCTGCGACCGCATGAAGACGAGAAGGACCGCTTACGCTCATCGTCGATGTTGAGTTCGAGGGCCCAGACCGGCGCATGGCCGGCCAGGCAGATGGAGAGAAGGAGAGACCACAGCCGGTTGGGCTGCATGATGGATTAAAGGGAGATGAAGGAGAAGAAAGAGGGCCGCATCGAAGCGATAGAGGAGAGGAGGAGAGGAGAGGAGGAGGTGCAGGGAGAAAGGAGAGGTCGTTGTGATGTGTAGAATGCGGAAATGGAGGTTGGACGGAAGGGGAGGACTGGTATGTGAGCGACAGGAAGAATGACGGGGGAAAAGGAATGAAAGATTAGGAAGAGAAAACGAGAAGAAGAGAAGAAACGAGGAAGACGATCTTTCTTTCTCAGGAGGATGGTTTAATGGTTCCTGGGATGCTGCTGATCTTCATGAGGCCGTCGGTCCCTCCATTGCGCCGTCTGGGATCGTCTTGTTGGCGAATGTTGTCGCGATGATCGTCCTGGGGATAATACCCCGTAGTGCGCCGCATTCTTTCTTGTTGACACACACACTACTAGTCTCCATCACAATCACGTATCTGGCCAGGGACTGACGGGATCCAGGGTCTTGTCAGGTACGCGCAAGAGACCCTCTTTTCGGGTGGAGGCCCGTGTCCATGTGGGGGGATCATCGTGTTGCGGATGGATTGAGGGACGGTAGGAAAGGAGAGAGCTCTGCATGAGATTGAGAGGAGAATAAGAAGTAGAGAGTAGAGCAGAGAGAGTATGGAGGAGAAAGTCAGAAGGAGAAGTAAGAGAAGAGAAAAGAAGAGGAGTGGAAAAGAGAGAGAGAGAGAGAGAGAAGAGGTGGTGATGGTAGGGCAGAGCTAAGAGGGCAGGGTCCTTGGCGCGGTGCTTATTTCAGGGTCACCATATTATCGACACATACATTGTGTACATCGTGTACAGGGTCTTCAACAGTATACTCCTCATCACCCTGCTGGTTCTCGTCCATACATGTTCAATGTTCAGTCTACTGAAGCCGGAACCGACATCACATCGACACCTCAGGCATCATCCTGTACAATTATCGGGCAACTAGATTTCGTCATGCTTTTCATCGCAGTCTATCGCTCATATTATCTCCATCCCATCCATCATCTACATCCGCTCGCGACGACGAGGAGCCGCCCGGATAATATTGTCCACCCGCAACAGAAGCTGTCCACCGTCAGTAAATAGGGTCATCGCATTCACGCCCAAGGAAACTTACTTCAGCAGCCTCAGAGGCCGACGACACCACCGCCTTCTTCAATTTGTAGCTCTCCACCACGCCCAACTCGCGCATGTCGGCAATCCCGCCGCCCGGCGTCAAGAGGTCCAGTCCCGAGCTGGTCATGCCGTTGTTGATGGCCTGGCGCAGCCGGGTGACCAGGTCGCTGGAGTCCAGACCCGCATTGTCCGCCAGAATCGTCGGGAGCTGTCGCAAAGCCAGCGCGAACGAGTCCACCGCCAGCTGCTTCTTGCCCGTCGTGTTCTGCGCCGCCTGTTCCACCGCCTTGGACATGACCATCTCCGCACAGCCACCGCCCAGAGTCACCCGGGGGTCCTTGACCGTCTGCGAGAGCACCGCCAGCGCGTCGTGCAGCGACCGCTCCGCCTCGTCCAGCAGCTGCTCCGTGGCCCCCCGCAGCACGATCGTGCACGCCTGCCCGGCCGCCACGCCCGAGAACTTGATCAGCGTGTCCTCGCCGATGATCACCTCCTCGATCACGTCGCAGTGGCCCAGCTTCACCTGCTCCGGGTGGTCAAAGGTCGACGCGATCTCGCCGCCGGTGACCAGCGCCAGCCGCTCGACGCCGTCAAAGTCGGCGTGTTCGATGGACACGATGCCGGCCTCGGTGAAGAGCTGCTCGGGCCAGTTGTAGATCAGTTGCCGGTTGACGAAGCAGTTGATGCCGTGGGCCTTGATGCGCTCCACCTTGGCCTTCATCTTCTCCCGCTCGGCCTTCTCCAGGTCGGCCAGCTTGCCCGTCGACTCGACCTTGACGCGGGCGCCGAAGATCTTGACCTTGTCGGTGTCCATGGCCGTGTTGGCCACCAGGATCTTGGCGTTCTCCAGTCGCTTCGGCTGGTTGACACCGATCTTCTTGTCGAGGATGAAACCCTCGTCGAGGTAGGAGTCGCTGAGCTTGCCGCCGGCCTTCTTGATGATCTGGATGTGGCTGAGGTCGGTGGATCCACGGAGACGCAGCACGGCATCGCAGGCGAGCGTGGCGAAGTGGTCGCGGTCCTGGGCGAGCACCTTGGAGCTGAGCGTGGTGCGGGCGATGGAGTGGAGATCCTTCCGGAAGGCCTCCATGTCGGTGGTGCGGTCGACGGCGACCTTCTCGAGGGCATCCAGCGCGGCCCGGCTGGCTATCCGGTATCCGTCGATGATGGTCTGCGGATGGATCTTGCGGTTGACCAGCTTCTCGGCCTCGCGGAGGAGCTCGGCAGCCAACACGGTGACGGACGTCGTTCCATCGCCGACCTCATCATCCTGCACCTTGGAAATGTTCACCAGGACCTTGGCGGCGGCGTTATCGAGGGCGATGGCCTTGAGGATCGTGGCTCCGTCGTTCGTCACGAGGATTTCGCCGGTCGAGCTGAGAGCTATCATCAGTGTCTGTCGTGGGGATGCCCCGCAGGCCATCCAATTGCATTGGCTTCATCGAGGGACGTACGCCGACTGTAAGATCTTGTCCATACCCTTCGGACCAAGAGTACTCTTCACCAAGTCACCGACGGCGATGGCTCCGACGAAGGCGGAGAGACGGGCGTTTTCTCCTTTCTCCTCGATAACATCGTCGGCAAAGATCTGAGTGGGGTTGGCGAAGGACGCCTGGAGGGGTCAGCGAGGGTTCTTAGAGGGAGTCACGGGACGTACCATTGTGAATCACGAGATAAGAGGCTACCGGAGAGGATGAGGCAGCTCAGGGGAAGGTGAAGAAGATGAAGCGGAGAGAGAGCGGACGGAGGGACAATAATGAAGATTCGCAGCGGGACAAAAAGTTGGCCATGTGGTCCGAGCTCCAGACCGCCTTCACCACCTCTCTGCTCTGTACGTAAAGTACATTCTCACTCCCTCACTTCTACGCCGTTCGATTTGACTGCACTGCGTCGCAGAAATATTTTGTATATTCTTTATCGTTATATCCTCTCAGTATGCCAGAAGACGCCCCCTCCAATAAACGTCCCATTGACGCCGTCGACGAGAACGGTACGTTCTTCTCAACCACGGCAACTCCAAAGAGAAAAGACGAACTGACAGACATAGACGACTCCTCCGACGATGACTTTGGTCCGGCGCTGCCCTCGGCCGATGCGCCCAAGAAGAAACGCCGCAAGCTTCCCTTCGAGAAGGTCTACGTGAACGCCCTCCCGGCCTCCCCACGGTACTCCAAGTCCCTCATGCACAAGGACCAATTGGCCTTTACGATAATCACGCCGCACACCGATTTCCTCATTACCGCGTCGATCGACGGCTTTGTCAAGTTCTGGAAGAAGATGGCGGTCGGCGTCGAGTTCGTCAAGGAGTTTCGCGCGCACAGCGGCGAGGTGCGCAGCGTGAGCGTCAGCGCCGACGGCCGCAGTTTCGCGACGACCGGCGCCGACAAGACGGTCAAGATCTTCGATGTCATTACCTTTGGTGCGTCGTCCATGTGAAGCGATTCCGCCTTCGTCTCTATTCGCGACTAACCGTCTAGACCTCCTCTCCATGCTCACCCTCGACTTCACCCCGCGCTGCGTCTGCTGGGTGCACCGGCGGGGCGCCTCCCTCCCCCTCCTGGCCGTGACCGACGACGACACCAGCACGATCCGGGTCTACGACGGACGCGGGGAGAACCCCAACCCCCTTCACACCGTGAAAACCGTCCACCGCAGCCCCGTGGCGGCCATCGCGTTCAACGACGCCTACGACTGCGTAATCTCGGCCGACGACAGCGGCATGGTCGAGTATTGGCGTGCGGGCGACGGCTCGTTCGAGAAACCCGACAACGTGTTTGCGCTCAAGTCGTCGACGAACCTGTTCGAGTTCAAAAAGGCCAAATCGACGCCGACATCCCTCACCATCTCGCCGTCCGGCGAGCAATTCGCCGCCTTCTCCTTCCCCGACCGACAAGTGCGCGTGTTCGACTTTGCGACGGGCAAGCTGACGCGCAAATACGACGAGTCGCTGGGCACGCTGACGGACATGCAGCAGGCGGGCACGGCGCTCTACCCGCTGGACGAGGTGGAGTTTGGGCGGCGGCTCGCGGTGGAGCGCGAGCTGGAGTCGCCGGCGACCAAGCCCAAGATCAACGTGATCTTCGATGAGTCTGGGCATTTCCTCCTCTACGGCTCGCTGTACGGCATCAAGTGCATCAACACGTACACGAACCGGGTGGTGCGGGTGTACGCCCGCGACGAGCCGTTCCGCGCGCTCCACCTGGCGCTGTATCAGGGCCAGCCGCAGAAGAAAGGTGTGGTGACAGTGTCGATGGCGGCCAGCGCCAACCCGCTGCTGCAGGAGGCCGAGGAGCGCGACCCGATCCTGGTGAGCACGGGGTTCGCCAAGCTGCGCTTCTACCTGTTCACCAACGAGACGGAGGTGTCGAAGGCGTCGCGCGACGTGCACAACGAGCGGCCGACGCAGGAGCAGAACGCGCGGGACGCGGCGGCGGCGGCAGCGCAGAAATCGCGCGATCTGGGCTCGTCGGCGATCCTGCACACGACGCTGGGCGACATCCACCTGCGGCTGTTCCCGTCGGCGGCGCCCAAGGCGGTGGAGAACTTTGTCACGCATGCGCGCAACGGCTACTACAACAACACGATCTTCCACCGGGTGATCCGCAAGTTCATGATCCAGGGCGGGGACCCGCTGGGCGACGGCACGGGCGGCGAGTCGATCTGGGGCGGCGAGTTCGAGGACGAGTTCTCGACGCTGACGCACGACAAGCCGTACACGCTGTCGATGGCGAACGCGGGGCCCAACACGAACGGCAGCCAGTTCTTCATCACGACGGAGAAGACGCCGTGGCTGGACGGGAAGCACACGATCTTTGGGCGGGCGGTGCAGGGGCTGGACGTGGTGCACAAGATCGAGAACACCAAGACATTCAAGGAGAAGCCGGAGCAGGACATCAAGATTGTGAGCATTAGTGTTTCTTAGCTACGTTCTGTACGGTAGATTATGACAAGATGGAAAGTCCATATGCATGACCCATTATCTTTACAAACTCAGTCATGTTGATATCCAAACATCCGTCATCGAAACCATCAACGCCGATATGCAAGAAACGCAGCGTGCAGACACATGGTCCGACAGATGACACCATAAATAGCAAGCGTCCATAGAACACCCCTGGGAGATCATCATCTCACCTCGCGAATCTCCAGATCATCCGCCCCTTGCGTCGGCGGGGCCTTCTGCAGGCGGGACATACTCGGACTGGCCCGTACCTTGGGCACGACGACATCGGTGCGGGAACTACTTCCCAGGGAGTCGTCGGCGGGGGCGCCAGGAGCGCCAGGGGCGAGGGTGTTATTGGGGCGGGGGAACAGCATACCGCTGTTGTTGGCGCTGCCGCTGGCGCCGTGGTAGAGACCGGGGTATTTGGCGTCATGGCGACGTTTGAGCCAGACGCCGAGGACGGTGAGGAGGGCGAAGCCGATGATGAGGACGATGACCATGACGACCCATTGGTAGTGGCCGGACCACCTAACCTGTTAGCAGGGATCTTGATATTGGTTATAGGATGATATGAAGGGAGATATGTACCAGGATGGAGGGGCCGGGGAGTCCTTGTGCGCCTTGGCAGTGGCTGTGGAGGAGGCCGCGTCGTTGGTGTTGCTGTTGGCGTTGTTGTTATTGGTATCGGTGGAGGTGTCGGTGCTCTTGAGATCTCCCCCGGACGAACAGAAGTCGGAGAACCATTTCTGCAGGGTCGAACGATCGGAGGCGCTGGTGCAGACGTCGTCGCAGGTGCCGTCGGCGGAGGTTTTGAGTTGGGTGAGCAGGTTGGACTGGCAGAAACAGGTGACGTAGGTTGATCGGCCGGTCGCGGGGGCGGTCGGAGGGATACAGAGCGACTGCGCCGAGTTCAGCGCCGAACAGGACAGCGCACACTGGGGGAAGATGTCGGAGGCTGCGGTAGGCACGAGGGTGGTGGCATCGTCGGCGTGGACGAGACAGAGGAGGCCGAAGAGGGCCAGGAGGGCCAACGGAAGAGGCCGGAGGGAACGCATGATGGGATGCGGAGTGGGACTAGAGCATGGTAGCGAGTGGAGAATCAGAGAGAAAGACAGTAGGGAGAGGGAGTAAAGAAGAGAGAGTAGAGGGTGAGAAGATAGGAGAAGGTGGAAGAGAAAGTGGAAAAGAGAGAGTGAGAGAGAGAGAGAGAGAGAGAGAAAGAGTAAGATGGGGAAGTGAAAGGGTCTGCAGGGTCCAGAACAGCGAATCTCCGGCGCTGGCTAAATTAATCAGATTATTAGCAGTACGGAGTAGGAGTAGTACGGGGTCATAATAATGATAATATTCATAATAATGAATACTACCTCATCCTCGACTAGAGGAATAATATAAGTAATATCTCCGCATGCATCAGATGTAACTATAATGTATAATGATGCTGTCCTTCTACCACATCTTCCACTTCCACTTTCACTTCCACTTCTACCCTTTCTTCCTCTCCCTCTCCCTCTACCCCTACATCTACGAAAAAACAACCCCCATACTCTCTCGCCGTCTTAACAGAAAAAAAAAATAAAAAATAAAAAAAACACCGATAAGCTCGACGATCAGGTACACACAGCAGACACTCCGGAAAGGATCCACGGATCGCCGCGTTCCAGAAGCGGATGTGACCGTCGCTGCCTTTGCGCCGGAAACGGAAGACCAGGAACGCCCGCATGCGCCTCCCACCACACCATTGATTGAATTGCAACATGCTCATTCTTCCATCTGCGCTGTCATCGCGGATCCTCGCGCCATCAGACTCATCCACTCTATCCCTCACCGGGGAGATGATAGAGAATGACTCCCGGGGGTGAGGAGATACCAAGTGCAATCGGTGTCAACTCACATCACCACCCCCTTCATCTGCACCCCCAGCGGCGACTTCACCCACACCGTATACGTCTCCTGCTCCTCCCATGCCCGCCGGCACCGACAGATCAAACTCGTACAACAGACGCCCTACGGTCAGCGCCATCTCCATCTTCGCCAGGTTCTGCCCGAGACAATCCCGCGGCCCCTGCAGAAACGGCTGGGTCGCGTCCGTCCGGTCGTGCTGGTATCGCGGTCCCACGGGTGGCAGCCACCGCTCCAGCGTAAACTCCGTGGGGTCTGTAAAATTCTTGGCCGACACGTTCGCCGCCCATTGCATGTAGGAGACCACCGTCTAAATATCATCAGTATCTAGACTGTATACAACCTTGGGGGAAAACTCACCCCCTCGGGAAAGTAAGCGCCGCAAAAGATGGCTCCCCCCGATGGCGCGCGGCGCGTCAGCCCCAACAGCACCAGTGAGGTCAAGCGAATGCCTTCCTTAATCGCCGCATTGAAGACAGGGGCCTCGCCTGATGCTTGGCCATCGCTACCTGCGCTGAGGCCAGCATCGACCGCACCAGCAGCCGAAAGAGCCAACGGTAGAACCGACAGGCCGCCAGCTGCACCTTGGCGTTCAGCGAGTAGACCTGGACCCCCACCCACTCGTGGTAGCGATTGTGCTCGAGACAGCCAAAGTCTTCGCCGAAGCTGAGCGAGCAGATGACATCAAATGTACAGTAGCTGATCCACCGCTGGAGGTCGACCGGCGTCGCCGCCGCCGCCCGTGTCTTCAGCTGCACGATCGTCTTGCCCACGTGGCCGGTGACCAGCGCTGTGTCATGTGCTGTAGATGTCGCTCACGCAGTCGGAGTTGATGAAGGATACTTCGTTGGGGACGCGAACGGTGTCGCCGTACTGCTCGTAGAACTGCTTGATCTTGTGTGCCAGCTGCCCAGAGCGAAAAGCCAGCATGTAGAAGACGCGAGTCAGCGCCCAGAGGAGAGGGCCATTGTAGCGAGACGGGGGATGGAAGTAGAGGCGGTGGACAACGAAGAACAGGATGTTCTGGAGAATGAGCTTTTATCTGATTCAGAGTGACTGGGACTTACCAGGAGAACTGTACTGAGGGATCGGCGACGGAATCTGCGTCCAGGTCCCGGTGACGGCCGTGCAGGCATTCGTGGAACCCAAGGACTTGCCCACTGTGACTGCGTTGGTGTTGTGTGAGTGTCCTGCAACAATATAACCTCGAAACTTCCATCTTATATTTCTTCGTCTTCCAACTCGGCAGCGGAGAAATCGGAGTCGCAGCCGGCGAGTCCATCTTCTCGAATAAGCTCCTGCAGCGTCTACCGCGATATGCCCCTGGAGTCTCCGGGGATGAAGCCTTGGGGATGATACTCTCCGTGGCGTCAGGGAAGCGTATCTGGTTGGGATCAAGGATGCCTGGATCTTGACGTTGGCGTTTTGCGGCGCTGCGTCTGTAGTGGCTTGTATCGCTCCTCCAGTGTCGATTCGGGGGAAGACGGGGATTGCAGGTAGAGAAGAGACGAATCGAGAAGCTAAGGAGTCAGTCTAAGGCGGTTGATATCGTAGGGGTGACTTTGATTCACTGGAGTTGGGCTCTTGTGTTACTGCGGAGACTGTCTTGTGTTCGTTCTCTTTCATTTCTACACTTCACACTTCACACACTCTCCACAACATCCCACTTTCTTTCCACTTTACGTTCCTTCGACTCTGAGATGGCTAGAACTAAGGCATCTTCCAAGGCGTCTGCGGACAGCAAACACAGCTACAGCAACAAACATCTTCCTGGAGCCTCTCCCCCAGACCACGCTTCCCAGGGAGGCAAATTCCTCCGAATCACAGACGGTACGCAAGACATCCTATGCCCCATTCTCGTTCCTGACACTGACCTTCATAGAGCGAGGCAAAGGGATAAGAAAGAAACAGTCCGATGAGAAGAAACCCAAATTCCTCATCAAACGCCGAGCCTTTAGTCGTGTCGTTCGGGAGATTGCCAACGAAGCCAGCACCTCTGGTCAGATTCGCTTTCAGCCGGGTGCAATCGAAGCGCTACAGACAGTGGTGGAGGAGATGCTGGTCACCGAATTCACCTGTATGATTCTTGCTTCATACCAGAGGAAAGCTCTCTTGCTAACTACGTCTGGTAGTGGCCCGTCTCACAATTGCACATTCCAAGCGCGAAACCCTCAAGAAGAAGGATATGAAGTTTGTACAGAAGATCAGGCGTATCTTGGATGGGAGCGAAATGTCGCCTGAGGATGATGTTCACGACAACTGACAGTGTTGACGGTCTTGCGGGAGGTATTTGTGACCACAATGTTCAATACTCGTACAGGTACATCAGAGCGATCTCGCAGTGTTATGATAATGAAAGTCTTCTAAGCCATCTCACCCTCCCGCCTTAAACCGCTTCTTCCGCAGCAACAACCGTGCCGTTGGGTTGGAAAGTCATACTCAAACGCATGAATCCCCTTCATCCTCCCTTCCTGATTCAATTTAAAGTCATACTCGGTCAGCAGTGTCCCAAGCACCATTCTGATCACATTGGAGGCCATGAACGGCCCGGACAGCTGTTCTGCCCATGTCCAAAGTGCGGGATCGACTTACTCGTCGTCGCAAACTGGTGCCGATGGGCCGCCGACGGCATCTGGCGCATGCGATAATACCGTAGCCCGTCGAAAACCGCCGGATCACTCGTATTGTCGTGCTGGATCGGCACGATGGCAAACTCGACATGCGCGCCTTGGAGCGACTGTGCGCTGCAGCGATCCCGGAGCAGACAAGGTGGGCTCTCAAGACGTTCGTTGGTGCCACGGACCTGTATGGGCAGATATACGTAGTGCGGGATATTGTCAGTCGGATGAAGGCGCCTCGCCGCTCGGCGGGTATATGAAGACGCTATGTGTCTATTCATATGCATCCACATCTACAATCGCTTCAAAATGCCGTACACATTCACCGTATGTCATCTCCTGACATGTATGTGCCCTCTAACACAAGTAGATCTTCTACCCCCGCGAGGCGGAAGTCGACCTCGACCATTGCATCAACGGCCACATACCGCTGGCGGAGACGCTCTGCGGCACGGATGTGCTTCGATCATGGGAGGTGTTTACGTTCCCGATGCGTCGTACTGCCTGCAGTCGATCATGACGTGGGCGAGCGCCGAGGCGCAGGCCGGCTGTGTCTGACGAGAATGGACGCATGATGATGGACAAGATGCAGAAATTCTGCAAGGCGGCGCCGGTGGTCATGCCGCAGGGGATTTTAAGCAAGAGAAGTGACGGGATATGATAGATGCAGAAGGTGGATGATGGTAGTGTGCAGATAGAGAAGCAGTTGTATAGAAGCGGAATGGAAGTGGACGTAAGGGTGTCTAAAAGCCATCATGCCAAGCGGGCCCCGCCTGAGTCACTCTCGATAGTTAACTACGTTCAATTGCACCGCATTGTCATCACTTCACTCATTCATACATCCTCCATACTACACTACACATAGATCTACACATACAATGGCGTCCTCCTTCCCCCCTCCGCCCGTCAGCTCTATCGACTGGTCCAATGTCGGCTTCCAAGTGCGCGACGGTCAGCCCTTCCCTCCCCCCTTCCCCCTCCCCGCCATCCCACTAACATCCACATCCTCTTAGTAAACGGCCACGTCGAGTGCACCTTCTCCCACAGCAATGGCGGCACCTGGACGGCCCCGAAGTTCGTGCGCTCCCCTTACCTCTCCATCCACGGCATGGCGCCCGGCCTCAACTATGGCCAACAAGCCTACGAGGGCCTCAAAGCCTTCCGCCAGGCCAACGGTTCCATCACCATCTTCCGGCCCGACCGCAACGCCGCCCGCATGCGCCGCTCCGCCGAGTGCATCTCCGTGCCGCCCGTCCCGGAAGCGCTCTTCGTCGAGGCCGTCAAGCTGGCCGTCGCCGCGAACGCCGAGTTCGTGCCGCCGCACGAGACCGGCGCGGCCATGTACATCCGGCCGCTGGTGTTCGGGTCGTCGGCGCAGCTGGGGCTGACGGCTCCGGACGGGTACACATTTGTGGTGTTTGTGATGCCGACGGGCGTGTACCACGGGGTGCACGCGGTCGACGCGCTGATCCTCGAGGATTTCGACCGCGCCGCGCCGAAGGGCACCGGGGCAGCCAAGGTGGGTGGGAACTATGCGCCGGTGCTGCGGCATAGCGCGCGCGCCGCGGCGGAGGGGTTCGGCATCACGCTGCATCTGGATAGTCGGACGCGCGAGGAGATTGACGAGTTCTCGACGTCGGCGTTTATCGGAGTGCGCAAGGACGCCGCGTCGGGGAAGGTGACGCTCGTGCAGCCCGATAGCCAGAATGTCATTGACTCGGTGACGGCCGCGTCGGTGTGTGAGATTGGCCAGCGGCTGTTTGGATTTGGGTATGAGCGTCGTCGCATTGCGTATGAGGAGATTCCGCTGTTTGATGAGGTTATCGCCGCTGGTACGGCTGCCGCGTTGGTACCCATCCGTAGTGTGACGATGCGGTCGCGCAATGACAAGTTCACGTTCTCGGCTGGCGAGGACGGGCAGAGCGGTGGGGAGGTTTGTGTCAAGCTCTTGCAAGCCCTCAAGGGGATTCAATCCGGCAAGGTGGAGGATACGTTCGGATGGAATGTTGTGGTGGAAGCGCCGCCAGCCGACTGGGTCAACGATGCTTGACCGTGTCATTTTTGACATCCAGCATCCTACAGGGGGAGCTGGATAACATACAACATACGTGAAGATTCGCTTGGACTGACGTGTTTTCATTTAGTCATTCCATTTCGCAGGGAAGCGTAGAGCCTGGAAGAACGTTGGTGAAATATATATACGCCAGGCAATGGATCAAATATACAATTACTGGTCATGGCACCACTGATAGATTGAAATGGACAGAAAAGACAATAACAAAGATGATTCTTAATTCTAAAATATATTCAACAATCGAGATATTTCCATAAATGTCTTTCAACTACTCCGGCACGGTAAAGTACCGCTTGAACCGATCAATCCGCGTCAATCCCAGCTCCACAATCACCCAGTGGCAGCTCATGAGCAGACTGGGGAACTTCACAGTCCAGAAATTCAAGTACCCTTCCGGATACCCGCCAATATGCGCCTTGAGATGCTCCGGCATGTCGTTGTAGTGGTTGCGCTTGTTCCGTAGCGCCCGGAGCAGATCCAGCATCTTCGACCCCGTGTACTTGCGCTGTTTGCCGAGATTGTCCTTGAAAGCGGCCGGCAGCTGGCGCAAAAAGTCCATCTCGGGGCCCATCACTCGCCGGGCCACCGATTCCAGAAGCAACAGGGCGTCTGACGGCGGATCCCGCGGCTCAAATTCAAAGTGGTCGGACACGTCACACAGGAAGGCGAGACGATCTGACACCGACCAGAAGAACGGGTGCGTCAAGACCGCGCTGGCATCCGGACTGCAAGAAATTAGCCGATGTCTAGGCCCAAGTAACGAACACTTACCGCTGGCGGGGATCTAATGATAGCATCGAGCGGATCAGGTCATGCGCCTCAAAAGCGTATTCACCCAACCGGTCCAATTCGTCCAGGTTGTAGTTCCCTTTGACGATGTTGGCCTCCCGCATAAACTTGCCATCTTTATCGAACGGATGGCTGCCCCGTGTCAAAACGTAGTAGAACACGCAGCCCAAAGAGAAAATGTCAATCGCCCGGGTCGCACGACGGTTGGTTTGCGGATCAACCACGGCGGGCTCCGAGGACTCGGTGTGCTGAGATTCCACGCTCTGGATGGCCGGGCTCTTATCATCATCCACAAGCAATTCCGGGGCCCGCCAGCCGGAGGTACCCGCAGCGTGCGCTGTCGTCGCGCGGAACGAGCTCTGGTTATCCTCCAGCTTCTTACAGAGGCCAAAGTCGGAGATGAGCAGGCGTAAAGCCTTGCTGCCACTGCGTCCGCGGGGCATGGCGACCAGGATGTTTTGAGGCTTGAGATCGCGATGGACGATTTTCAAGGAGTGCAGATAGCGAACACCGCAGACGATCTGGCGTAGGACATCGGGCATGTCGAGGCCGCCTTCCACGAGTTGGGGGAAGTCGAACGGTCGCTCCACAACGTCCTGCAAGGATGCTGGACACAGTTCCAGGGCGATGTACAGGAACCCAGCTGCCTGCTCACGGCAGTAATACCGGATCACGTTGTTGTGGTCATCACTTTCCTGCAAGAGGCCGACTTCGTGCGAGGCAATGTCGTAAAATTCCACCAACATACGTTTCACTGCCACGTCTCGTCCGTCAAACGCCCCTCGATAGACGACAGTGCCATGACTTCCATGGCCGAGCACAATGTCGGTGTTCACCTTGAGCCGGCCGATCTGGACGAGCCCATCCATCTCGATGATCTCGTTGGAGACTGTTCGGGATAACTGAACATCTGTCTCCAACCGAGACGGCGGTCGGAGATTGCTCAGTTCGTTCACCACCCGATCTGCCTGTTCCTTGTTTTCCCCCTCCGTGCCGGGCTTCTTGCCACGTTTATGGGCTTTGCCTCCGCGACGGCCACGTCGGGCTTTCTTCTTGGGCTTTTCAGTGTCGTCTGCCCCGTCCAACGCCAGATCATCCACGTCCTCGTCCCCGTCGGGCCCGCGAGAGGGTTCGCGGATACGGACGCGCGGGGTGGCGTCGGGGGCCGGCGCGTTGCGGGCTTTCTTCGGTTTCGGCGTGACATCTCCCGCGGGCCCCTCCGCCAGGTCCATGTCCACGGTGACATTCGTAACCGGGCGGGCGGGACTCTTCTCCCGCTGGAGCTGGGGCCCGTCGATCACGGGAGTCGAGGGGGTGGACAAGGGCGGTTGCCCATAGGCTGAAATGATATTTTTGATATCCAACTTCTGCTTCGCCAGCTCCTGGATATTATGGGAATTGAAATAGATAAACGTGCCAAAAAACAACAGGAGCAGGGTGACGAAAATGTCCACTGCATTGTCCCAGCCTTTTCGGATGATGGTGCTGTGTCGAAGAGCGGGCGGGAGGGCCAGTTCGGACGGACTTCTCATCAAGTCGCGAGGGGTGTCGTTGGACAGGTCCACGGACGAAGAGCCGGAGATGCTGGGGATAGGGCGACGAATGACGCGCGGCCCATTCAGCGAATGGACGCCCGCCAACGCGTCCCGTTGCTGACTGGGGGTCAGGCTCATCAGCGGCTGTCCATCCCGAAAGTAATCCTTCTCATAGCATTGCGCCATCTTCGCCCGACCAGTGACGAGGGGGTAGGTCTCTTCGGACATGGCGAACCAGCCACCGGCGTTGGTGGCATCAATGAAGACGCGCGCATCGCGATCGTCGAGGGAACCATAATCGGGATCGGGGGGCTGCGAAGGTTGCGAGAGGAGGACCAGCGGCGTGGGAGCGTCCGGGGAATCGACATTGACAGGACGAGCGACATCGAAGACACGGACGACGGGGGTAGCGAATCGTTGGGTGTAGCGCGGACGTTCCATGCGGGAATGATCGAACCCCAGCACGACGCCATCATGCATGCTGTAGATGTGGCTCTGGTCCATCGTGCGGAAGTACTGGCTCTGAAGATCCATGTCCCGGTTGTTGGCGGTCCACTCGGAGTATTTCAACGTGCAGATGGGGTCCCCCGTTTCGGTGTTTTGAATGGCGACTGCATATTCGATCCGCCCCAGGACCAAGGTCCCCGACGGCGAGTCACAGTCCTCCGCGTCCACATCCAATCCGTCCACTTTCCGACATTCTTGACCGGAGGGCATGGGGCCGCGGGAGCTGAACACGCGCAGGATGGTTCCGGTGCGGGCATCGATGGTGTAGAGGGTGGTTTCCTTGCGTGCGGTATAGGTGACGGCGGGATCCGTTCCAGAGTACGGGGTTTCGTCGACCAATTCTTTGACGGTCAAGCCCAACTTCTGCAGACCGGCGTCAGGGCCAGGGCTGTAGATGTAGAGGCTCCCGCCCTGGTTTGGCTCCACAATCCAGATAAAGTCATCTTCGGGCTGGGTGCGATCGAAACTGGAGCGATTTGCTCGGTGATAGATGCTCTCGACGGTGGGGCTACTGGGCACCTCGAGGGCCCAGCGGGCGGCCCCGGTCTTGCGATCACGAGCGTGAATGGAGCCGTCGACGGTCGCCAGCAGAACAAAGTCCTCAACCTCCCAATCCTGCAGGGACCGCGCATGAAGCTGCGGAGCCAGGCCGGCAGAGGGGCCGCTGGCCTGGGCAGGAGGGGCTCGAACGGCGCGGCCGGAGCCCGCCAGAGCCAGAGTTGCTAGGGCGCTCGCATCGTTGGATTTCACGTGTAGGGGATCGCTTCGGGGGTGGTGGCCGTGATGGACGGTTGGACCAAGAGGTACGGAGACGGTCGACGGTAGGTCCCGGTCATTCTGGCGTCCCTGTAGCTGCTGCGGAGCGACAAGAACGGGGAGGAGAAGAAGGGCGACGCTGGCGGGGAGGGTCGAACGGGCGCCAGGCAGCCGCCACCGCATCGTGGACGACTACAATGTGGTGCAGAGGGTGAGGGGAGTAGGGGAGGATGAGGGAGAGCTCATCAATGGTGGGGGTGTTGAAGTGAAGAAGGAGAAGAGAGAGATGGAGGAAGAAAGGAGGATGCAAAGGGGGAAGAGAGGAGAGGAGAGAAAGTGAGGAGGTGAGGTTGAAGGGGGAAGTGGAACAATGTGGAAAGGGAGAGGCCGACCCGGTGGAGATGGCGGGAGGGCCGAGACCGTGACAATAACAATCGAGTAAGAATGAATAGAAATACTCGAGATAATAATGGGGCGAAAAGGATAATTCAGGGGAATAGTAATAATAATAAAAATGATGATAAAAATAATCAGGAGAATTTTGACGGTGGGAAAAGAAGTGACTAGGCGACCAGACCACAATACTAAGACCATAATAATAAGACAATTAAGACAGCCATCCCAGTCAGACAAAGACGCAACAGGCAGAAAAAATAATACCCCCAGAAAGCGGATTACGCCAATCACCACTGGATGTGCCGGAGGACACGCAAGCCGGAGACTTTTCATATTAACATAATGCCGGTGGTACATAAATTCTATGCCTTGTCGTATCGGGCAATTAATCAACTGCATATTTGGCCCTTCAATATACTCTGTCCGCACATAACTAGCTTCCATCGGTTTCTACCACATTCAGCGCTGGAATGTGTGCGTGCCCTGCCATGAATCTACTAAATGAACCGGCGCACTCGGTTAGGGCACTGTAAAGTATGTACACCGACCGTATGGAGGCGGTACCTCTGCGCTACCCCAATCAAGGTGGGCAGCGCCACTTTCTAGAACGTACCGGGGCGGTACCCTCACCGAGCCCACATTTGCGGGTACAGTCGATCCGATATCATCGTCATCGATCTTCCTGTGGGATGGTGATGGAGAGGACTTCAAGAAATACCGATTGGAAAGAACTGGACATTAATGACGATGAGGACAATAGGAATACACCGTGGACAATACATTACTAATTAACTAGTTCAACTCAACAATGGCATTAGGTACAAGCAGTATTATCAACGTAATCCAAGATATAAACATATCACACACGACGCATACAAAACACAGCGAACTACAGTGCAGAAATCGAGATCCGCTTGGCTCCCGCATTGCCATTCAGCAACGCCGAGCCACTCGTCTGCCGTAGATGGTTGTGATGCATCTCCGGCTCCTCCACATCCAGGCTGAACCGACGCGGCCGGTGCCACACGCTGGCCGTCTCGTCGGTCGCAGCCGTCGCCTCCAGCTGCGAACTCGACAGGCCGAACTTGGTCGCAATCTCCTGCAGCCGTTCGTGCGTCGCCGCCGAGTCAATCGCTTGTCCCTGACCTTCCTTGGCCAGACGAGCCTGGGCGTGCTGCAACCACTCCAAGTGGCTCGTGGCGGCCTCGATGGCCCCTTCCTGGTGCTCGTCGTTGTTCAACAGTTCCGCCAGCGCCGTCTCGTGCAACGCCGCCGCCGCCAGGTGGTTGCCGGACGCTGTGTACAGACCGGACAGCAGCTTGGTCATCTCCAGCGTCACCGGGTCGCAATTGCCCCACACCTGGCGCAGGTTGTAGCAGATGTCCTTGCCCAGCTGTGTGGCCGACCGGACATTGCCGCGGCAGAATCGCGTTTCCACCAGGCGACGGCCAATCCACACAACGGCCGGCAGGGACCAGGTCTTCTGGACGATGCGCGAGGTCCACAAATCGGTAAGAATCGGCTGGGACAGGTCAGTGTTGCACTCATACGCATATGGAATGGAGAAGAAGGAGAAGAACCATACCTCCAGATCGTGAAACATCTCATGCTCACCAAGCACGGTAACCAGATCGTTCAGCTCCTCAAACGGCAGCTCGGAGAATTCCAGAGGCATCTCCTTGGCATTGCTCATGATCTCCTGGAGAAGCATCTGCGACGCGAGGGACATGTTCTTGGCCGTCATATCGTCCGGACATTTGTTGGTCTGGTACCCATTCAGATACAGGCACAGTTTGATCGACGTGAAGATGCTCTCCGAAGTACGCAGCCCGTCGGTCAAGTGAAGAAACGAGTGGTACACGCCGGTCACATCCGCCGCGTCCTGGAACCGCGACCGGTCACACAGCTCGCGAACCATGCCCGTCGTCGAAGTGACAATGTTGATATTGTAGTCGTCATGCAGGGATTCGCGACGGCAGAGTGCATAGAATTGATACACGGCATCCTTCTTCCGTAGGTCCTGGGCGACCGACAGGCTGTTGCAGAAGTAGGTGTAGAGCTGGTCCTGGGTGCCCTGTGCCGCCGTGCTGCGCTTCTGCTCCATCTGGAGCCGATAAAGCTTCTCGCCAGCAGCCAGCGTAGGCATCAGGTCGTGGCTGGACAGGCTCTGCTGGAACGTATTGTAAACCTGACCCTCGCGCGAGAGGTCGTCAAGAATCTCGCGGTAGGACCGTTTCTTGCCGAAGACTTCCTCGAAGGCGGCTACGAAAACGGCGGGGCGGTAATCATTCAAAGCCTGGCGTTGCGACATCGGCGTCTTGTGGATCACCTCATAGTGAAGATCATTGATCAGCTGGTTACCTTCGTCGATGTAACCACACTCCAAGTAGATCTCCGCCAGTCGGTGAGCACGGTCAACGAGGGCATCGTGGTTGGCAGTAACATGGACCACCTCATTCACATAGTTGCGAAGCAAGGATGCTCCTTCCTGGCGCGCCGTGGTCGACGATTGTGCTGCGTGCATCTTGGCGATCTGGCGGAGCCACAGCAACGTGGTGGGAGCAGAGAGACCTTGTTGTTGCTTGGCCAGCGTGAGCTCCTCAAGGTACAGGGACCGCGCATGACTAGAGGTGTCATTCTCGCGCAGATAAAGCTGGGCCATCTGGTGCTTGATGTTCACGGGCAAAGGCTCGGTCATGTCGGGCAAAGCACGCGAGGCTTCCGAGGACGAAACCCAGTCGTGGGTATTCAAGACCTGTTGGTAGAGGGTCACCGCCTCGCCGGAATGTTGATCGCTAGTAGCGCAGAGGGCAGCCAGGGTGAGAGTCGCGTCGCGGGTACGGTTGTGCGTCGGTCCGTACAACTTACGGCAGAGCTGCTGGTGCTGCGAGGCTACCTGGTAGCGTTCGGCGAAGCCGGTATTCGCCGCATTTTCCAGAACCGCCATGTAGCCCCTGTAGGTTTTCGGAAGCAGGCCTTCCAGCAACGCACGGTCATAGCCGTCCCGCTCGTCGTACCGAACAAGGGTAGGCCAAAGATGGCGATAAACCTCCAAGGCAGAGTCCCATTGCTTGTCCTGCTCGTAAAGCGTAACCAGAGCCACGGCAGCGCGCACGCCGGTCGCACTAATCTTGCCGTCACGGAGGCAACCCTTGTAGATGTGCCGATAGCTATCCTCGGCTTCACCGCGTCGGCCCAGACGAAGGGCGAGGTCCGCCTCGTAGTATCGCGTATCAATGGTGTGTTTGTCGTTGTCACCCAGACGTGATCCGAAGAACTCGCTGACTTGGTGGAGTAGCACGAGAGCCTTTTCAAACTGGAAGGTGGTTTCATAAAACTCCACAACCGTCTTCACCACAGCGCTGACGGATGGCACCGCCACCTGATCGGCAGTAATCGACGCCTTGAATGCATTGCCATAAACGACGGTCGCAGCGTGCACATCCAGCTGTCGGAACTGGCAATACGCGCGGTCCAATGCCAGATTGGCCATAATCGGGGCCTCGTTGGACGCAAACTTGGACTTGGATTGGGGGTCTTCCACAGTAGGCCACGCATGCTTGAGGACAGCCCAAGCAGTTTTGCTACCCAGGTCCCATTCCTCGTCGCGGATGTGCTGCATTGCCAGCTGATGGCACAATGTGAGCAGCGGCAGGGTGCGTTGGGCGGGCCCTGCAGAAGCAATTGAGTCGATCCAACCAGGCAGGAGTTCCCTGTCAGCCGGAGAGAGTGCGCCAACGCTGTCAACTGCACGGGGGGAGAGGAGGTGGCCAGAAAGGTACTCTGCCATAGCAACTGCTTCAGGCGAGTATTGTTGGCCGGTGGACTGGTAATACTTCCAGATCTGCAAGGCCAGCGCGCGGTCCATGTCGTCCATTCCCATTTCTCGGGCCTCTGCACGCAGTTGTTCGGCACGTCCCACCATTTCAGCCGATCTCACGCCACCGTCCGCCTCCAAATCAGCCGAGAGCTCCCGAATGATATGGGTAGCCTCGTCGGGGCGACCTTGGCGACGGAGGAATTGTGAATAGTAGAATGCGACCTTGGTTTTCTGGTCCCAAGATGAAGTGGTCCCCGCATCACGCGTCGACAAGCTAGCCCACAGGCGCGTCAAGACCGCCTGTGCCTGTGCCGATTGGTTGTTCTCCTCGTACATCCGGGCGAGGTTCAGAGAGAAGGCAACAAGGCGTGGATCGGTCGCATCCATTGAGCGCATCAAAGTCTCGTACTTCGTACGCGCAAGTTCCAAAGCCAGTTCGTCTGGTGGTGCAATGTTAAAGTGTTGAGTGAGGAAGTCGGCGGCTTGCATTGTCTCGGACGAATGGGGGCCGTAATGTTGCACGGTCTGGTGATAGAACTGCTTGGATGTCGCATATGCGTCGTCGTTCCGCTGGCTGTCCTGGTAGGATTTCACCAAGCTATCCAGATACTGCAGACGCTGGGCAAAACTGATGTCGGTCGAGCTCCAACCAGACAGCGTCATATCGCGCAATGCATCGGTCTTCAGGCCCGCAGTGGGATCGGCTTTGCCCATGCCGCCGGGAGTTGCCACAAGAAGCTGCTCCAGATCGCGCGTGATAGTGTCGGTCGGCCCAAGCTGGGTCCGACTCATAGTCCAGGCCTCATACAAATGGTCATTAGCCCACATGGTCTTGGCGTAGTCAGCCGCGCGCGCGCTGAGGATGAGGCTTTGGAGCAAGGCAGGAGAGTCATTGCCCAAGATGACGCGACGGACCGCAACGGACAAGCGATACAGCTCTACAATGCTTGAGCGGCTAAACTGAGACTCTCGGTTGGTCAGCTCCAGTTGCGCAAAGAGCACGGAGTCAGGGAAGGCCTGGCGGAACTGCGTAGTGAACGAGAGCTCGCGCTTCGAGGTTGCGATCGGCGAAGCCAACATGTGAGAAAGCCAATATCGGGCCGTATACTCCAGAGGCACGTAAGCATCCAAATAGCGGTCCCGCGCAGCAACAGGCAGTTTGTCCCAGGAGATGGGGACTTCGTCCGAAACCGACCGGCGCACCCAGGCCAGACAACGAATGAGCAAATCGTAATGGGCCTCGGAGAGCGAATACGGAACTTCCTGGCCCATCAACGCACGAGCCTGGATGTGCTCGCGGACCAGAGGGTGGCGGAACCCAACGAATCCGTCGCGGACGGATACGAGTCGGCTGAGCGGCTGGAAGACATCGCGTTCAATATTAGGTTGACGAGATGCAATCTTCAACGACTTCATATCGACAGCGAGTAGATTCTCGACCTCCTGGATGCGAAGCGGACGCTCCGAAGCAGTCAGCCAGGCGAGCACACTCCGGGTTCCAACGCGGTTCAAATTGATGCTGCGCAGATGCTTGTCGATCAAGTCACCCAGGGTCGTTGGGGCCTGCTCGACCGTCAAAGCCATTTCGTTCAGCGTAGACTGATGGCGGAGCGCCTCCACGGCGAGTTGTGCCCAAACGAAGCAACCATCAGCCTTTGGAACAATAGCCCTGGCCAGCGTGTCCCGTTGACTATCTTCCAGTCCGGACAAAGCGGGATCAGAAGCCATCAGGTCTGCCACAGTCGCCTCGAGATCAGGCTTAGTGAGAGAAGGCTCCATCTTTATTTCCTGGATAGTATTGGTGTCGCGAGTAGGCATGTGCGCAGCGTCCAGTGGCCGGCTGAACACAATCACCTTCGACGGCGTGTTGTGCGTAGACACAGCATCATGAAGGCGTTGAAGGAAGACGCCAACATTCTGGTCCGCGTGCTTGATTTGGTCAATTCCGTCAATCACAAACATGAAATGAAGGTTCGATTCCATCCCGATGCGGATCGCGGACCAGAGTTGTTCTTCCACCTGTGGATCGGAAGCCCCAGTCACGGCCAGCTCCAGAGCAGTTTCGACGGACGCGAAGATCGACTCCTGCGTCTTGCGGCTGCTCACACAGCGATCAAGCATCTGCATCAAAATGCCCTTCAGAATGCTCAACATCAGGGTGGTTATGGGCACATCTGCCCGAATAGAGATAGGGATGACGTTCCAGATATCGAACTCGGGCGACACCTGAAGTTTCTCTACTGTCCACTGGGTCATTGCGCTCTTTCCAGCGCCTGGGTTGCCCAGCACCAACATAAGGTTGCGTGGTCCAACAGCAAAGGTTGTCAGGTGCGGGTCGAACCAGGCGAAAGAGTCGTCCACCAATGAATGATTATGGCCGTCAACCAACATCTGCAAGGGACGGTCCTGCAGCTCCAGGAACTGGTAGACGGCGGAGTAATTGATTGTAGTCTTTTGATTGGGAGCCGCAGTCTGCAAGGCGACTGCTGACATGCGACGCCAGTGGGTCGTGAAACGATTGAAGTAGCAGAAGAAGGCGCTGTTGACAGTCTCGCCCATTGCTTGCCAGCTCTGGGTGCGCGCAGCCTGGCGGTATTCCATCGTGATGTGCATGATCAACTGAAGGAGGTGGGCGAAGATCTCTGAAACTTCTTGTTGAAGAGCGCGGTATGTTTTGGAAGTACGTTTCCTGCTGGAGCAGGAGGGAGATCCCCAGAGTCACTCGGCCGTACTGGCCGAAGATCCCGTCCAGGATCTCGATGTGTTCCATACCCATCTACACCACCCATGTTAGCAGCTGCAGTGGGGGATCATGACTTTCATTGTACTCACCTCAAGCAAGACGAGAGTTGCACCCCAAATCATTTTGCTTGCCTCGTCGGCTCCATCGATGAAACTATAGACCGAGTCCCGCAGCGAAGCAACAGCAAAAGCCAAGCCAGACGCGCGGCGGAGAGCCCCGTCCAAACGGCTTCCATCAGGAGGCATGCGTCTTAGTCTTTCGGCCGCAATGGCATCGAAAAAGTCGTCTGCGGTGGGTGCCTTGGCGAGAAGCTCGCTGGCCGGCATGGCGAGCCGCGTCGGGCACTCCTGGGAGACCATGTCCAGGGTCTCCCGGAGGATCGGGGACGTGCCGGCACCCCCATCCACAGCATTGTTCTCCTTCATATGCGATGAAGACATGCTGTATGATCGAAAGTCATGTGATAAATGGGTGTAGTAGCAGGATCAGTTCATACTACCCGAGACAGCAGTAATGGTTGTTATATGGTGATGGGACGTCGTACACGACCATACTTGATATTGTATCATAGGGGGGAACAAGCAGTTATCGTCTCCGAAGACCCGGGCCAATGTTGACATCATGATTCTGGTTCTATAAAGACCAACACACGAGGATCGTCATTCAAGGCCAATTCCCCCGACAACCGTGGTTCCGGTGAGTTTATCTTCCCCACGAGATGGAGGGAAATTATGGGGCATCGAGAGCCAAGTCCCAGTCGCACCACCCATCCGAGCCGAAGTCGTGGTGTCATATATGGTCATCCCGTTGGTATTGTTTCTGGTTCCGATGAACTGGGGTGAAAAGCGTCATTGAGGCCTCCTTCAGCGTTGAGGTATAAGGGGGGTCCATGACATCACCCATCGGCGACGAGAGTGGGTGGAAAGAAAAGATGGGGATGTGTAAATCCGGCAGACAGAGCATAACTGGGTTTGGAGAACCAATTGGATCGACTGAGAAGGGGAATGGACAGTAGAGGTAGATGTGTTGCAGTTGATTTGGTGATGGTGTTGATGATGGTCGTGACGCAAGAACCCGTTCGGGTCGTCATTGTTTAGTCACGTGATTGTATACACAGCAACACAGCCAAGTATAACTTCTGTAGCATGAGGATCACATCAAGAGTTGTAGTTATTCTTTCTTTTTGAATGATATGCACCTTAGTTGCGTATGCCATATTCCTCTATACTGATACCCCCCTGGAGCTATTTCGTGCCATAGAATCCTAGCTGTGAGGGATATTCTCAGACAGCACAACACATCCCTCCGCTATAAAAAGCACATAAGCGCCCGAGTGGGTGTGAGCCAGTGTTGCTCGGCAAATTTTCTGACTGGTTTGTCTTCCCAATGGCTTGGCTGACACTAGATGTATCTGTTTTGGACAGATCAGCAATCGCCGAGTTCGCCGAGGCGTCATGTACCTAAGCTAGGGGGGATGGATGAGATGATCCCACTGCCGTCAGGATCTTGCCCAGCCTTGGACAGGGGCTCGAGCACAAGACTTCCGCCGCCCACTTGAATGGCAACGTTGATCTCTGCTCCCAGCGCCGCCGCGGAAGTCTCGGCGGAATTCCAAGATTGCAAGGCATTATCGCCAAGAGAGGAATACGGGTATAGACGCGAGCGCCCAGAACATGCCCCCACAAGCTGCTTCGTCCGGATTCTGGGCAATGGCAAGGATAGGGGGAGGATTTCTTGTGCTCCCAGGGGGCTGTTGCTTCTGATCATACTGAAACCTCGCAAGTCTGCTATTCTGAGACGCCTTGTGCTTCGAGAGACGTCACATACTCCTAAGAACTGACTTTTGTTATATATCAATATCCTGTACTCGTGATGCTCATCCCATACGCATGATCTCAGTGTCAATTCCGGCGTGGAAATTTAAGCAACAGATGGTTTCCCGGCCAACTTCACCCCTGTCTCTGTCAGTTGTTTGAAACCGAGTGTGTCCGGACCATCTACTCTCCGTCATGCCAGCCCTTGATGTGAGCGAGCTAAATGTGGTAATTTCAGCACTAGGTATCTCCAAAACAAGTGCTGTTCTTCTTTTGTGTGCGCCGACTGACACGCTAGGCGGGTTCATGGTTCTCTACGGTGTGATTTCCGTTAAAATCAAGAATGTGTGGTACTTGGGAGAAGCATGTACGTCCTCTAGAAGCGGGTCGGAGAATATCCTGCTGAGACAATGCAGTACCAGCAGTTCTTGTCGGCATCATATTGGGCCCGATGTGCGCAAAGTTCCTCGATGCCACCGAATGGGGAGCAGCAGTCAAGGGCCAGCAGGAGGCTATCACACTTGTGAGCTGTTCACTGTGGTAAATCAGACAAGCCTCGATCGAGCCTAATATTTAATTTTTACAGGGCATGTGCCGAGTCGTGATTGGAATTCAACTGGTTATTGCAGGCTACCAATTACCTGCGAAATACCAACTCAAACGATGGAAGGAGATGTTCATTTGCCTCATCCCGGGGATGACACTAATGTGGCTACTTACGTCTGGTTGTATCATGGCATCCGTTCCGAATATGACATTCGTAAGGGTGACCCGATCCCTACGCAAAGGTCCAACAATCGCTAACCGCAAGAAGCTCTCTGCTCTAGTCATTGGCTCCTGTGTGACCTGCACCGACCCAATCCTCTCACAAGCATTGGCAAAAGGCCCCTTTGCAGACAAGTATGTGGCCAGGGCCCTTCGCGAGATTATTTCTTCCGAGGCAGGATTCAACGACGGCTTTGGGTTCCCCTTTCTCATGCTAGCGACGTATGTAATGCGGCACGCCAGTGGGTCTGCTGATACTGGAGCACACACAACAACATTAGCAGAACGAGCGGGTGAAGTTGGTCGTCAAGGTGGAGGCGTGGGCAAGGCCATGAGTAAATGGGTGGTAGAGACATGGCTCTACTACGTGCTGATAGGCGCCGTGTATGGGGCTGTTCTGGGGTACATCAGTCTCCGCGTATTACGATTCGCACTAAGAAGGTGTGCTACAATCCTGCATGCTATTCGTCTTCTTACATCGGAATGTTTACGTCCATCTACTAACAGGTCACAGGAAATGGATTGATACGGAAAGCTATCTCCTCTACCCTGCAGCTTTGGGGGTAAGTTCTTGTCCCGCCAGGTGTACTACTCTTAGGATCTGACAGCCGTATGCAGCTCTTTATAATCGGCACATGTGGGTGCATCGGAACCAATGACCTCCTGGCATGCTTTGCTGCGGGCAATGCACTCAATTGGGACGGGTCATTTCTCGCAGAGACGGAAACACGGCATGACGAGGTCAACCCTTGTATCGATGTTCTCCTGAATTTCGGTGGATTCATGTACATCGGGGCAATATTCCCGTGGGACGAATTCAACCAGCCAGAGATTACGGGGATCACGTACCCCCGACTTGTCCTGCTGGGATTTCTTGTTCTCCTACTCCGTCGCATTCCCAGCATGCTACTTCTGTATAAGCTCATGCCGCGGGTGTGCAAAAACTGGAAAGAGGCCCTGTTCATGGGGTACTTCGGTCCAATCGGTATGCATTTGGTTCTCCGTGATTTGAGAGATGCTAATGCGGACGTTTTGAATAAGGCATCGGTGCTGTGTTCTACGTCGAACATACACGCCATCTGTTTCCCAAGCCCACAGAAGGAGACGAGGAGGAAGCTCGGCTGACACTGGCTCTCGGACCTAGTAGGACCCATGCACCATGTCTGGTTCGAGCCACTTACTGACTCAATACTTCAGCTGTGTACTGGCTGGTTTTTTTCTCCATTCTTGTTCACGGACTATCGATACCTGTCCTGAACGCCATTTACAAAGTCATGGGAGTTCCGCCTGTAGTAGATCCATCAGGACCTGCGGAAATCCGGCCGTTGTCAGCGAACGAGCCTCTACCAAAGAACAGCTTCCTCAACTCTAAGCGTCGATCGGTCATGCTATATAACCGGTTCTCGCGCTCAAATTACCCAGAGGACATAGGCTGGGATATCCCTAGTGTTTATGGGGAAGGACGGCGAGAACGGACGGATCCTCCTGACCAGCCAACTTTCCAATTACAGAACATCAATTCTCGGGGTTAGTGATTGGCGTGTAGCTTGCCTATTTGATGTATACTCGATATAACTGTACACTGTCTGCTTTCGCTGGGAATAGAAGTGGGAAATGGTAGAGGAAGACAAAGAAGAAGCTTAGAGCCAAAAGACTACAGAAAATGTAGCACCCGCCACTAGAGCTCCATACATAGTATTCCTTGTGAGTTCTTGCACCCTTGATTCAGAAGCACTAGGTGAAGGGGAGGGTGTACTGGATGGTGTGGAAGCAACGGTAGGAGTGGATGTTTGGCTTGCAGGATATGATACTGTTTCGAAATTGCAGGAGTGTACAAGACTATTCATGTCTACAATGACCGAAAGTCAATTGATTGTACACTATGGCATGGTGGATTTATAAAGTATCTCACCATTGAAATGATCGTGCCGGGCGTTTAGAGCAACACATGCTTCACAAGCAGGTATTCGTGACGGCATCTCATGCCCATTACAGATGCAGACGAGACGCCCACGCTGGTTGTTATACTTCGAGTCACAGGAAGCAGTGATGCTGGCCACTGGGCCGCATATCGGCACGCACGGTGTTGGGATAGCATTGGGATTGGTTGTAACCGCTTCTATCGATATTGAAAGGGAGACCAGCCATAAGAGAAGCAAAATGAATTTGCGCATTGTCTATATTGAAAGTAGCGTACTGTTGTCCTGTAGACAGACCTGGACCTTCAGCGGTTATATACAGCGGCATACGTCACGACTGACATAGTGCAGAGTAACAGGACAACACACCCCGTGGTAGCCGAACGCCTCGTCTTCATTCATGAATAACCTTCATACCAAGTACGTTTATTATTGACTCAATTACATCAACTCGTACAAATCGTCGCAACCACAACAAAGATCTTTCAATTCCCGTGAATAGCAGCTCGAATCTTGGTCGAGGCCAGCTCAACCACCGCCTTGGCTGTGGCCGACTGGCGAACAGGCTCCAACATCACATAGTCGTGGATCTGGCCATCAGCTTTCAAGATGCTCGTCTCTACCCCAGCCTCTTGAAGACGATGGCCAAAAGCCTCGCCCTCGCCAATCAGAGGATCCTGACCAGACACAAACAAAGTAGTCGGGGGGAACCTTGCCAGGACTTCATTAGGAGCATAGCTCAGAGGAGAAGTCAAGGCATTCTTGCGGTCCTCCTCGTTAGGCAGGAAAGCATTGATCATCCAGTCCATGGTCTTCTCCGACAGATAAGGTCCGTCACGGAAGGTCTTATACGTGGGGCTCTTCTTGTGCGTATCAGTCACCGGGTAGAAGAGAATCAGGTGCGCAACATTGATGGGAAGGCCTCGATCCAGCGCCATTTGCATCATGGCGATGGCCATGTGCCCTGTCCTGGGTAAGTATGACACGCCTCAAAACGCATTGCGCGCTAGAAGAGAAGAAGCCTACCTCCGACGCTGTCTCCGGCAAAAGCCACCTTGTCCGTTTTAAGCTGAAGCTTAGAGCTCTCGCCAACTGCATACTTGAGGACCGCGTAGGACTCTTCAAATTGAGTGGGATACTGAGCCTCCGGGGCCGGGGTGTAGTACGGGAAAACCACGGCAGCCTGCGTTTGGCGGGCCAGGTCCTCCATCAGGGATCCATGGGCATTGGGACTTTAGACCTTAGTACGGTATAGAAACGAGAGTCGAGGGGCGAAATTACCTTCCAAGAATCCAGCCACCGCCATGAGTGTAGAAGATCATGGGAAGCGGTCCAAAAGCAGCTCCTGGTCGAAAGATGACAGTGTTCACCGCACCTGTTCCGAATGGAACTTTGATCTGTTCTTGCTTAATGTCGGCAGCAGGCGTATGTTTTTGGATATCCTCTAGAACCTGTCTGGCTTCGGCGGGGCTTTTAGAGTATAGAGGGGGTCCTTGCGAGGCCGCATCAGCGAAGCGCTGGTTGATCGGATCCAGGGCAGCCATGGCGAAAATATATCACGTCCAGAGACAGATAAGACAGAGCGTACAGCAGTTCAAGTAGCAGATGTGAACTAATTATGGTGGCATTATGGTGACACTCGAAACGCTAGTATTTATATTTGACGATTTCTTTACATTGATGCTTGAACAAAATGACACAATGTCATTTCCACCTAGGATTGGGACTCAACAGCTTAATAACTTTGTTCAGTCCAGATCTCTTCAATGGAACAAAAGAGGGTTAACAATTGGAGATCAATTGGAGCTCGAGAAGTCAGGATTCGTTGGGACCAGAGGAACAGTGCGATCCACGACGTCACCAAGTCTTCGGCGTCAGTCTCGGATAGACTTTGACGTCTGGTCATCGTCAGACCAATGGGGCAATATTTCCGCCGCCGATGTCATCTAGCATGATGGTATTCGAAGAGACGAAGCTGCCGAAATGCATCCGCGGGCTCCGTGATGACTTCATCCGATCTCTTCATCCCAGTGTTACACAGAGGATGCTTGCTTTCTAATAAGGTATCAAGCTCGCTTAGGTAATTAGACACACTCTAGCATCGACTAAAGAATAGCATGCCAAAAGGAGATATTGACCATTCAGAATGCCTCATCTGCCCTCATCGTGCGGTCTTGTTACATGGATTTGAAACCCGGCCGAGGTACATGCTAGAAGTAGGACGTGTCCGACCATTGAAAGTGCTCTTGCCCTGAATAATGGAAATTTATCAACAGCATCGTTTCAGGGCGATTTCAAATGAAATTTTTTGCCAGAGATAGCTATTAATTGCTCTTTTAGCTGTATAGCCATGAAACCAGCGACATGCGGAGAAACACAGCCGAGTCCGCACAAGAACGAAGACAGTAAATTCCGAGCCGAGTTCTCGGACACTACCCTTTTTGTTAATTCCCCGAGGCCCACCCACCACTAAATCCGGATCTCCGAGGATTCCGGATCAGATAACGAGGTCCCAGTGGGGCAAGTATAAAACCAGACCAATTGAAACCGGCCTGCTAAAGTCTTTGCCGAAACCCCGGGGCTTATCTGATCTTGTCGCCATCCGTATAACAAAGGAGTCCCCCGCGAAGAAAAGTGACATTCTATTTTCGTTTTCTCCAAAGATACCAAAATGGCAAGTGCACTGAAGAATATCATCGTCGTTGGCGGATCCTACGTCGGCAAAGTGTGTTTTCCACCGTGGCTTGTATACCGTATCGTCTATACTGACTCTTGCAGGGCACAGCTCAGGAGCTGGCACGTCTCGTCCCTGAGACACATAGGGTGAGCTTACACCCCTCTCACCGCAGTAAGGAGCGGTTTTCTCATTCGGATAGGTCCTCTTAATCGAACCTCACAGTCACTTCCACCATCTCTTTACGTTTGTAAGCAGTCCCGTCACTCGCCACGATGTACTATCGGCTTATCATCTCACCATTCAGCCCCGATTCGCCATAGTGCCTGGACAAGAACATAAAGCATTCATTCCGTACAGCGGCATTTTTGCATCAATACCCAATTCTCTTCGCCATGCCGTCGTTCAAGCTCGCGTCTTATCGGTTTCCCCGCAACATGTGAAGCTGGACCGAGACTGGCATGGATCGTCCCAGATTCCATTTGAATACCTTGTCGTCGCTACGGGGACCCGCCTGGCGGAACCGGCAGGGATGCGACACGATGACAAGCTGTCTTCGGTGGCCTACCTACAGAGACACCAGAACGATGTAAAGCGGGCGAAGTCCATTCTCATCGGCGGTGGTGGCGCCGTAGGCGTTCAGATGGCAACAGACCTCAAAGAGTACTATCCGGACAAGGACATCACTGTTGTCCAGTCGCGCCCCCAGCTGATGCCGGGATTTCACAGCAATCTCCACGATTTGATCAAAGCTCGCTTCGAGGAGCTGGGTATCAAGTAAGTTGCATTAGAAGACGCATAGACGTTACAAGGTTTATAACGGCTCTGCAGATTGATCACCGGTGCTCGAGTCGTCGTCCCTAGGGGGGGTGTGCCCGCTAATGGTGGCTCATTCGATGTTCAGCTCACGAACGGATCCCAAGTCACAACGGACTTTGTGATCCTTGCGACAGGCCAGACACCGAACAACAGTCTACTCAATGACCTGGCTTCTTCGTCCGCCGAATCACTTATCAATACCGACAACGGATTTATTAGGATTAAACCCACAATGCAGTTCCAAGATCCACAGTACCCGAATCTATTCGCCGTCGGCGACATTGCCGACACTGGCCTCAGGAAGGCGGCAAGACCAGGATCTGCGCAGGCCGGAGTTGTGGCACGAAACATCCAAGCAATGATTGAAGGGCGGAAACCCGAGGAAACCTACCCTAGAATGCCTGCAGCAATTCATCTGACGTTGGGAATGGTGAGTCTCAACAAGCCTCAAACCGGGACTCAAGCTAGATACTGACTGATATGTTAGAAATACAATGTCGTCTTTCGGAATCCAAACGAGGCCGAGGGACAAACTGAACCGACTATTATTCCAAGGGTCGAGTAAGTAGACATGAATCTGCATTGTGTCACGCGAAACTAACACCACATTGCAGCGGCCAGGAAGATATGAACGTCGAAGGGATGTGGGAGAGGTTTGGAGTCAAAATTGATAGCGCTAATCAGTATCATCTGTAACTTGCGTGATGGAAGCAAAGACGTCGTGCGGCATTTATACTGAGTACATAGGTTTTGCGTTAAACTAATGCGTCGTTTGGCTCTATCACCGATCCCCTTTCTGATTTTTAACTGGGTTACAGCTGAGCGGTACCCAAAAATTCCTCGGCGGTTCCCAAATTTAATTCAATCAAGCAAGCAATCATTTATTTATTAACCTGTTGAAGCCTATCTATTGAAGCGATTAACATAAGAAACATCGAAAACGAGCGAAATCACAACTAAATCTGCCCACCACTAGGTCGCTGTCTTCCCCGCGCCATCTGCGCGTCAAACACCTTTCCTACTTCATTCCTTGTAGTCGCTCCTCCTAACGCGTTGCCGCGCCTAGATAGACCCCTTCTAGGTAGAGTGGGCATGGTTAACCGTTTTATTAACCGTTTTAGCTAAAACGGTTAAAAAATACCGCCTCAGGTATAAAGATTATAGCGTATATATTAGATATAATTAAATTTAAAATTGAAATTTATATATATATAAAATTATTACATAATATATATAGAAGTATATTATGTAATACATCTATAATACCGTATAATACTTAACGGTTAAAAAATACACTATAAAAAAGGGTCTAAAATTGATTAGTCATGTATTATTTACCAATATAGTGTAATGGTAGTATTTTATTACGTAATTAAATATCCTATAGCACGTGATATCTAATTTCAATAATATAACACTATATTATATAATGTTAGTAGGTTAAATACATACTATAAAAGCTCGGTAATTAACCTGAACGGTTAAGAATGCCCACTCTACTTCTAGGCAGCTAATTAGTCTATCTAACATTGTCTTCTACATATGTTCTAGAGCCTTAAAGAAGGCTTCCATGTTCCTGGTCCTGCTCCGCAGAGATAGGGCCTATCTCTGCGTGGCGGAACTGCTTAAGCAGGCCTGTTTAGTATATAAATTCGGCGACGTAGCAAATTACCTGCGGGTTGGGTAGTAGTAGTAGTAGTAGTAGTAGTAGTAGTAGTAGTAGTAGTAGTAGTAGTATTATACATATACCCGGAATAGCTGGCCTAGCGCCTGCTGTGCGGGTATTCCCTACTCGCCCGAAATGAACCTATCCAGGCGTATATAAAAGAGATATCTCGTCAAAAGTATAGCGGTGAGGTCCCCCAGATCCCGCTGCCACGTCTGCCTCACCGCCACCAGCCTATACATCCAAAAGCTCGCCGTCGCTACTTAGTTATGCATCGAAAAGCGCTTGAAAAGCCTCTTTTACCGCGATGCTCCGCCGTAACACCCCCTTCTCTACCCGGTCGGTCTATTATAAGCGCCTACCTAGGCCTCTGTATTATTCTGCCTGTCTGCACCTGTGTGTCGGTTCCTTACCTTAGCGCGGCCGTCCGCCGCGCTGTATATTCCGCTATGGAAATATATCGCGGCAGTCTGCCTGCCACTTGGCCAACTGTCTGACCAGTTGGTGTGCCTGCTTCCGCTTACCCAGCGTCTTCACCTGGTGTCATTATTCCTCTGTATTGCCTCATACGCGTGACCTGCATAGCTGGAAGCTTCCATGCAAACTAGTGCAAACCGTGGAACTACCAAAAGCTAGCTTCCCCGCTGAGGCAAACCATTAATATTGCCCCTGGAATCGATGCACATGCGCCGGGTTATACAGAGTACAGTACTAATCAGGCGGTGCATCGTAACATAATGACTTTTCTTATCATACTATTCGGCTTGTCAGGAACCAGTCTCTTTCCATGTTGGACGTTCCCCGCTGGTTTGAGAGCTAACACCAGATGTTATTTCTAGGATCCTCGGTGGTACATTTTGCCTGGAGGACAAGAGCCCTGGTTCGTTGAATAGCGACATTGCCACTTAAATCAGCAGATAGGAGCGAAGTTCTTCGTATGTCCCCACCCCTGGTAACTTCGGCCACGAGCAAACGCTTGTCAAACCCTGGTATCCGTCTAAGCTGCGTAACCTGCTAGTGTTATAGTTCAAGCACGAGGGTGACTAGAATCTACTAGTCCGAAGGGTAATCGATACTTATCCTAGGAGTAAGGTGACTCCTGTGAACGATGACGGAGTTCTTGAGAACTAACACGATGATCCTAAGATCCGAAGCAGCAAAGATAGAAGCAAGGCCAAGGGGATACGTATATCCACTTGTGATAAGAGGTTGACGAATCGTACTAGCAAAGACAACGATATGGTTATCAATGACAGTGGTATTGAACGCGAAGAACTAATCTAAGTACATGGTAACGAGTGTCCTTATATCCTTTCGATCTTGTGTGATGGTATACCGATGGTAGATGTTGTGGTAGATGGATGGTATACGATGGTGGTTGCATCTACCATCCGGGCGCCATCCCATATACCACGAGTCCTGATTGGATGATTCGGCGGTTCCTAGAAAATCAAGTTCGTAGAGGAACATACGTACTTGAATTCCGTGCGTCCTTTCCTGATCAGGTTTAGCGCTCAGGTCATGATCACTGAGCCTCGGGCTGAGTCGCGGGCATCTCTTTGTTGCGGGGTTCGGTTGGTTGTCGTTGCCCAGCGGTTCTGCCTGGCGTGGCCGCCCTCAACTAGTTGACTGGCAGGGGTGCCGTAACAACGCTATCCGTATCCTGCCCCTCTCCTGCCTACTCGTACGGTGACCGACCCTCCTCCTCACATCAACCAACGTCAGACCGCCTTGGATTTCTTGAGGATACCGAGCTGAACCAGCGAGATATCACTCAAGCAGATACTTTCGAATCAATAAAGTATCTGATCGAGTGAAAGGTGACCTTCGATAATCGGTTTCTGGCAAAGGACACCGAACAAGATCTGGCCTACAGACCCTATACCTACTGGCAAAAGATCAAGGAGAAGGCCGAACGTATTGTGCAATGGAAGAAACCTCGTAACTAACGAGTCCGGTTAGATAATACGATCGTGACTGTTACTGTAGATCACCGTTCACAACATGACATTACTAAATATTTTGAAGGATCCGATGTTGATTGGACTGACATAGAGGCACAACTTCTACGGTGGGCCAACCTATGTCGTCAGGGCAAAAAGCTCAGGCTTTTAGTCTCCATCAACTATATAGAGGATGATACCTTATCCTCATCGAGAACCGACAAGAGAGGCAACACATCCACAGCTAACAGTATGCTCCATGACCTTCATCTCCAGTTGGCTGCCGAGAACTCTTCTAGTCAGGCCCCAGTTTGGCGTGATGTGTACAGGAAGATGCGTTGTCCTGGACCGCCTTGTCATCATGAAGGGCAGTACTGTTGGTTGGATCCTGTGAGCAAAAGGCATTACAAAATGTGAACTCACCACATGAAGGCTTTAGTCAAATATGTTGAGGAAGAGGGTATCCTAGAAACCCAGGCGATGTCCCTGAATTAATCCGAGACCAACTGTTCGCGGAAGAGCATCATCGAGTGGGTAAACGACAGAAACCCGTCTACCCACCCGCTGGATCGATGTGTCCTCCAATAAACATTAATCTTGGTCCGACCCAGTTATCCCAGTCGCCAAAAACCGCCTATGGTCGTGCGGAGACAAACATATCAGGTCAAACTGATTTGGAAATTGCCGGGCCAATCGAAGAAATAGTGGAAGAGTATACCAACTGGCACCTGGAAAAGGTGAGCACGGAGAGCTTCAAGGAGAACATACGAAGAGCACGGGATATAGTGCTGGAAAACTGTCTTGATCTTGGTCAGCTCCACAATCCTAATATCGGCGCGGAATTTCTGGTGAAAGAGGGCGTGAACATAGGGGCCGCGTACAGGTTTGTCAGCGATACAACCAAGTGGCTCAAACAGCGCAAACGAAAGAGGGGGGTGAACAATGACGATGTTGAAAGTATTTTTGATTAGATTACTTATGATATATGGTATAATCAATCCATAGAAATCACTTATCCGTCGTCCCCTCTTGCAATCGTTCGGGACTTTAAAACTAAGGCTGATAATCCTGCGACTGTTCTGTATGCCAAACGTCTCGTAGCTATTTATGAGAAAACTTCGTTGGCTCAAGATACGACTAAACACTATTGTGGACTGTTGTGCAAGCCGGAAATGAAGATTTAGAGAAGCCCATGAACTATTCTCTGGTAGTAAGCCTAAGACAACGGCTTTGCAACATGGAGGGGCCACAGATATCAGCTCACCCAAGGGTAAAAAATGTTGGTGAAGCGTCGTATCTTAGATATGAAGACCTTCTCCTCCTCCAGATTTTGAATCCGACTGACGAGGCTGTTCATTGAAAGATTAGGTGCGTTTTGGTACAGCCTTGGGACTTTATACAACTTCTCTCTTACTCTACCCCACGGGAGCAGCGCGCCATGGGACGCCGCGTTGAACCCTGGAAACATATGCTTATCCGCGATATGTTGCGCGGAAAATGCTTTACTACCTCCCAGACGCTGACGTTGCCGAATGTAGCGAATATTCTAGCAGGAATATTCCTTCATATCTGCGCATGTTTGGTACCGTCAAGTGCAAAACCAGTTTCACCGTGTCACACTCCTCTTCCTATCCTTCCGCCTACTGCCAAGCCAATCCTAAAGCAGAGTGCGGGCAAATGGCCGTAAGACTAATATCCCACAGCGAATACCAAGAGCTATCCTCCATAATCTAATCATGTGATTGTTGGGTTCCAAGCACCAATAGTTGGTTATCCTCACACAGCCTCACTCTATCAGCTGATTCTTACCCCGCTTTTCAAATTCGCGCTGGGGCGTGGTAAAGTGAACGATGATGTCTTTTGACGCCGTCTGTCAGTACAGTGACTGACAAGTTCGGCTTCCACATGCTTTACACTCATTAACGTTCTCTCAGCGCCACTCCCGCCGACTAGCCTATTCTCAGATTAGTAGGTTATTTTGGTATGATTGCCGGTCGTATCAACCACTATAATACATGCCCTACGCCAATGCATAATTTGTGCACTGCTCCTAGTTCGAGAACGTTCGATGCGATTCGACGAGGACGCGGCCAGTTGGCCCGGGGCCTGGGATGGAGGCGCCTCGCGGGAGGGTCAGGCAGGCCTCGCGCCCCCGCCGGGCCTGGCCAGTTGGCCGAGGGTCTTGGCCGCGACCTTGGCCGGGGTGCCTGCGGGGGAAGGTATGCCTGGAGGGGGCCCCCGGGACGGGGCAGTCGACGCCCGGAACGGGGGAGGGGGGCTGGCCAGTTGGCCGGGCGGCGAAAATCGCAAAGTACGATTTGAAGGTTAGGGGGCGAAAAAAGCCGGCCCACTTTGTATGGGATTGGAGGACATGCACG